TCTTTTAGAGTTAACCAAACCGGGGTTTAATTACTTGAATATTAATTTTACTTTCAATTTTTTTTTTTTTTTTTTTTTTTTTTTTTTTGTGTGTGTATAAAAGCACCAAGCACTTTTATTTCTTAATTTCAGAATATTATCGAAAAATATATATCAAATTAAAATAATATAAGATTCTATGAATAAATTGCATAATAATAGTGTTTGAAATTAATTTAAATAATAAAAATTCCCATTGAAAATGAAGTAGCATAGCAGCAGGCCATGGTTTAGTGAAAACCATTAAATTAGTTGACTTATAACGTTAAAGTTGCATTTGGTTGGATCCATCCATATTCTTCTTACAACATTAATGGGATTTTATGTTTCAACCATTACATGAGGTTTATGATATCACTTGATCCTCATCAGATCCTTTCACTATTATTTTTTCCTTTGATAAGATTTGGGGATCAAATTCAGTGCATGCCCTAGCTAATCCAATCTTTTTAATTAATTTCATTTCTGTCGATTAAAAGTGGAGATGATAGTGTTGATCGCATCTGCACCGTCAAATTTATCTACAATCTAACGGCAGAGATTAGGGGGTGGTTAAAAGGGTAATTTAATTAATTGATTTATATTATCGTTCATATCTAATATTAGCACCATACCAATGAGGCATTCTTACTCATTATCTACTAACTAATGCCCATTCATTTAACAAACACATATATATATATAAATATATATATACACACACACACACATTTATTTAATATTTCTTAAGTTTTTTTATTAATACAGTTCATCATCTTACATAATTTTTCATATTTCATATGGCATCTATATGTATAAGCAGCCTATGTTTATAATTGATTTATTCTAATATTTTGATGAAATAAATACTCAGCATAAAGATATTAGATTCGATATGAATATAAATCAAATATAAATATAAAAATTTTAATATTAAATTTGGTAATAAAAAATATATTTATTTATATACATAGTATAAAATAGTGTTATTTTTGCTAATGTAAAAAAAGAATTGTGTCAATTTGAAAAAAAAAAAAAAAAAAAAAGATAACTGCATTATTTTTATCAAGGTATTTTATTTTTGTTATTGAATATTTAAATTACAAAATTTCAAATTGAGTTAGATAAGACAAGAAGATAATCAAATCTTGAATCGAATATTTAAAATTATATTTTTAAAAATCGAATGGAATAATCGATTATTTTTCAATTAAATTCATTTACAACCCTACTAAGACTCCCCTCAGGAGAACCGCTCAATTAAAAGTTGACCATTGCACTCTTTTTTCAAACCACTTGCAATCTAGACAACTTATTTCACTAATTATTCCTTAATTTAGTCAAACATTAGAGAAGAAAATAAGGAAAATCATTATTCTAAACAAAGAATATATATACATATGTGTTTTTAGATCGAATATAATAACCTGCAAAAATTAAGTAAGTTGTAAAAGCTATTCTAAATTACGGATTATATTCGAAAAAGGTTGATAAAATTCAAACAAATTAAATGACATAACAATCACCAATTATCATATTGCAACAACAACAACAACACGACATTATTGGGATTCAATTTTTAATTATCCTTAATTATTAAATGTATATGTATAATTAAATTAAATTAAATTAAATTAATAGTGAGTGAGGTGGAAAGAGCTAGCATTGTTAAAGAGTGTATGAATATAGATATAGATATATAGAAGTGTGTGATTGAATTTAATTGAATTGAAGTGTGGTGATGGTGAAATTAGAGTAATTTTGTCTGCCACAAAAGGGGATTTTATATTTCCAAATTGTGGGAATCAACGAGACACAAAAGGACACGATCAATCTTGATGGTCCAAATTTTGGCCCACACCCACCCTCTAATAATCTCATGCTTATATATATATATATATATATTTATATTTTCAACTTTATATTTCTACCGTTTTCATATATATATATATTACTATTATTATCATCAAAATTATTAAAACATTAAAATACTTTCAAAGTATGTCTAAACACATTTTCAACCAAACTCATTGGAATTTAGGTGAAAATTTGCAATTGTTACTCTTGGATGACTCACTAACTTATTGCGGGTGAATACACTTAATGATGCCCACTTTTGCCCTAAGTGGGTTTCTAAACCTCAATCTTCATCCACACAAACATATTTATATATATATATATATATATATTTTTTGTTATTTGTTTGATGAAATAAATTTGATTAAATAAAATAAAACCCAATTATTAGTTAGTTTAGGTAGAACGGTGTGTGTGGCAGACATTTGGACCCCTTGCTGCATCTCTAAATGAAATATTTTCTACTAAAAGAAGGATTGCTTTTATCGGCCACTTTCCTAAAGGAGAATAAGCTATTATTATTATTATTATTATTATTATTATTATTATTATTAACACAACCTGCAGGGCTTCACTTGCACCTATTCTACTACCATCTATATTTTATTACACAAATTAAGATTTTAATTATTTATAGGTCATATTACAGTACTTAATCAATTGAAATATATCCACCTAATTATTACAGTAATTTTGTATATATATGTTGACAAAGACAAGTAATTTCCACGTGTAATATAATGTAGAGATCGAAGCTGCAGCCATACGAATAAATATTGCTTACAATTTTTGGCTTGATTATGCAGACGAATTGAATAAAATAATTAATTAATTAATTTTCAGATATTATTTGAGCATCTAATTATGTACGAGTTGAACATTAGCAATATTATTAGGATTCCTCCCCTGATAAAAACACAGTGCTTCTAAATTCAAATCTTTGGCATCAGGGAAAACAACACCAACCTTAACGTGATCCTGACGCACCCTAACTTTAATTATTTAATTAACATATATTTAATTAATTAATTACACCCCCCCCCCCCCCCCCCCCCCCCCCCCCCCTGTCAATTTTACATACCAATTTAGGGTTTCTATTTTCTTGGATTTTATTTTTATTTTTTTGTTACTATACAAATTCAATAATATTATTTTTTGCCTTAAATATATCTCTTCTTTCTAACCCAACCTACAATTTACAAGATTAGTTATTGAGAATTTCATTGGGAATGGCTTTAATTAAATTAGTCATTCTGCACTCTTCATTCACTACTATTAGTATTACCATTGTAAATAAGTGCCTTCATTTAGTGTTTTAATCTTACAAGAATTTTCTAAAATATTATTTTTACAAAATAATATATTACTATATACATATAACAAAAAAAAAGTTAATAAAAACATACAAAGCATATTCGTTGCAATATTCTCACAATTCTTCATATCTCATACGAAAATCACTTAAATATATAAATACAAACAAACACACTCATTTAATTTTTTTCTTTTATTCTTTTGTTAAATAGATTTATATTAATTAAACACATTGATTTTTATTTTTTTAAAAAAATTACTTGTATATGATATATTTTATAAAATCATTTTTAATTTGATTAATCACATCATCTCATATTTCACTTTATTTATAATCAAATGTATTATATCATATTCTAAACTTTTACATCATGCATGACAATCCCAATCGATAGCTATAGTATCAAAACATAACCAAACATCGCGTTTATTTAATTTGTCTTTTAACTAAATGTTTTATTATCATTCAACTTAGTTCCACTAAATATATATATATATATATTATTTTCGATTATAAAATTTTATATTAAATTACAATTTTAAGTTAGAACACAGATGAAAAGCTCAAATCTAAACATAAACCAGACAAACCAATAAATATCACTATTAACATTTCAAATAAATTTAAATCCAAAACTCGGGGTTTGTTTGTCCAACCAAAACACTAAACTTCATTTCCCATGAATATTAAAAAGTAAAACAATACATATATACAATAACATGAAAATATTCAAAATAATCAATAATTTTATATAAAATATTACTTTAATATTTTTGACACATCCTTCATACTTCACACAAAAATAATTCACATCTTTCCTTTATTTCACACAAAAAATAATTACAATTAAACAAACACAGTCTAAAATCTAAAATCTAAACATAGACCAACCAAACCCATTAATAGGAATATGATGTTTTATGAAATAAATAATTGTTTAATATAATATTTTATGAACAAGTTATTATTTGATAAATAGTGTCAAACTATTTTTTTTTAAAAAAAAAATCTATGTAAATAGAAGGGAAAAAATCAAATATAATCCCAATAAAAGCAAAAATTGCTGTCAATACTAGTACTAAATGTTCTTTATATACTCTCTAATATGTTTTATTTTAGTTTGTTGCAATATTTTTAAAATAGAAACTAATTAACTACACTTTATCTTATCACACCACTCTAATAGAAAAAATAAGTATATATAATCTATTTAATCACATCACATATTTCTCAAATTATTCTACTTAATACAACTTTTAAATTATCGTATCGAAAATAAAATATTACACCGTATGGGAACGGAAGGAGCCTCTGGCCTCAGTTCAGATCAGATGCCGCATCAGTTCTGGTACATCTACGTCAATATTGTCGTTAATTTTTTTTAACGACAAGACAGTACAAATTTTTATAATAAAATTAAAATTGATTATTTTTTCTCTTATTGACACCATATTTAATTTTTTTCTCTAACTAAAAAAAACCCTTCATATATATATTTGATCGAATGTCATGATTCTTTTTTCTTTTTTTTTTAATTATATGAAAGTCCACCGTCACTGAAATTCAATGTCCACGCCACCATGCTATTCCTTATAGGACATGTTATGATCCATGGTTATTACAAAGGAACACTATTTGTTTTGTCATCTAATTAATTTTATTTCATTGTTCCTCCGTCCATCAAAACCCTAATTATTAATAAATATTTTATACATATATGTATGTGGGATTCCTGTGTCTCGTTGTGTAATAGGGATCCACATTGAAGATTCCACTATTCATTCACACTCACTAAAGTTACAGTTGAAAGGCACCAATATTCCTCGTTACTTCCTATAAATACTTCGTCGGAATCGCCTAATGATAAGCATCAACACACTGCTGCCATCTATAGCTCCATCGTTTCATGTTCATTACAACCTCGTATAGCTAGAAAGACAGCTTCTGTTCTTGAAATCTCATCCATCATCACTAATCTTTTCATGGCTAATTCCCAGCTTGCTGTTTCGACTTCCGTCAAAGTCCCCTCACGAATCTCCACCCACCCATCCCTTCGTCCACTTCATAAACGCCATGATCGCCTCTCTCATTGCTCTATATTTGGGGAAAGATTAAAGTCCTTACATCCTGTCAAAGGAAGTAGGAAATTCATCAGGCTGAAAATTTCCTGCGTTGCCACTAAACAAGGTTCAGCTGTTGCTGCTGACCCTGCAAATGATCAGAAACTCGTAGCCTGGACCAGTGTCAAGCAGGAAAAATGGCGGGGAGAGCTTCGTGTTCAAGGGGAAATTCCACTATGGCTGGTATGTCTGTAAATTGGTGCTTTTACAGGGATGAAGTTTTAGAGGGCTCCTGGGACGTAAACGCCAAGATGAATCCATGCCATTTGTTTTGGCTTTACAACGGTGTGGATTTTTCGGGTGTTTTGGTCCCGGGACCGCCGAGCATGTAGTATCTTGCTGGACGGCTGGGATCTCAATCCGCATTTTGATTAATAATTTATATATATTTTTTCAATTTTTAAACTGCACTTGACAGTGATTAATTAAATTAAATTAATATTAATTAATCAATTGCATGCAGAGTGGAACCTACCTTAGGAACGGCCCAGGGCAATGGCACATCGGCGATTACAACTTCCGGCACCTCTTCGACGGCTACGCCACCCTCGTCGGCCTCCACTTCGACGGCGGCCGCCTCGTCATGGCTCACCGTCAGGTCCAATCGGAAGCCTACAAGGCCGCCAAGCAGAACAACAAGCTCTGCTACCGCGAATTCTCCGAAGTCCCTAAAACCGACAACTTCCTGACCTACATCGGCGACCTCGCCAAGCTCTTCTCCGGCGCCTCCTTGACCGACAATGCCAACACCGGCGTCGTCAAGCTCGGCGACGGCCGAGTCGTCTGCCTCACGGAGACAATCAAGGGCTCCATCGTAGTCGATCCCGAAACCCTAGACACATTGGGGAGATTCGAATACAGCGATCATTTGGGTGGGTTGATCCACTCGGCCCACCCGATTGTTACGGACTCGGAGTTCTTAACCCTATTACCCGATTTGATCAACCCGGGTTACTTAGTGGTGAGAATGGAGCCCGGCACCAATGAGAGGAAGATCATTGGCCGGGTCAACTGCCGGGGCGGCCCGGCCCCTGGTTGGGTCCATTCTTTTCCGGTGACGGAGAATTACGTGGTGGTGCCGGAGATGCCGCTGAGATACTGCGCCCAGAATCTTCTTAGGGCGGACCCCACCCCGCTCTTCAAATTCGAGTGGCATCCCAACTCCAAAGCTTACATTCACGTCATGTGTAAAGCCAGTGGCAGAATTGTAAGATAATTTTTTATTTCATCTCTGCTTCCATTTTCATGAATCCATGTTGTCTGATCCGGTGTGGATGAACGAGTGAAGGTATCGAGCGTGGAGGTTCCTCTGTTCGTGACGTTCCATTTCATCAACGCGTACGAGGAGGAAGATGAGGAGGGACGAGTGACGGCCATTATTGCAGACTGCTGCGAGCACAATGCCGATACGACTATATTGCAGAACCTCACACTTCAGAATCTCCGGTCACTTTCCGGCCAGGATGTCCTGCCGGATGCCAGGTACGTTGTAGTAGCAGTAGTGGTGATTTCATAAGCATACATACGATGATACTAATGGTTATTTAATTAATTAACCTCGTCATGTAATATTAGGGTTGGAAGATTCAGGATTCCACTAGATGGAAGCCCTAATGGCAGTTTATACGCAGCGCTTGATCCGGAAGAACATGGAAAAGGCCTCGACATGTGCAGCTTTAATCCTACCTTTCTTGGTAAGAAATACAGATATGCTTATGCCTGTGGCGCCAAGAGACCTTGCAACTTCCCCAACACACTCACTAAGGTACTTCAATATATACATACATATATATATATATATATATTATATATATAGATACTTATCTGTGGTTGGGGTTGAATGTTTAATTACAGCTAGACTTGGTGGAGAAGAAGGCCAAGAACTGGTTCGACGAAGGGTCCGTACCATCAGAACCCTTTTTCGTGCCACGTCCGGGAGCAACCGAGGAAGATGATGGTAAGCTATACATGCTCTCTAAAATTATATTTCATTACAGTTGGAAACATGACAGAATCTGAATGTGTAATGACAATGAACTACAGGAGTGGTAATATCAATGATCAGTGACAAAAATGGAGAAGGATACGCACTACTGCTGGATGGGTCGACTTTTGAAGAAATAGCGCGAGCAGAGTTCCCTTACGGCCTTCCCTACGGGCTGCACGGGTGTTGGGTTCCAAAGACATGAACTTACGAGTGTATTGAAAACGCAAATAGTTATGACACTAGTCGTTGATCATATGCCCTATAAAGCAATTTGTAGTATATGATTACAGCCGTAATCATCGACTGACAGTCCATGGAGAGAATTCCCGGATCATGCAGGATGCATATAGCTCAATGAAATAAAATTTCCATTCGATCAAAATTATTACGTTTCGAATTCAAAGAAAGTTTTATGCCCAAGCAATGCATAAGATGTAATGAACTAGCAACTTTGAGACTATTGAACTATCAAATCTAAAAAACAACAGCGCAATTACCTCGCTCTTGATCGTTGGAACATAGCGAGAGGGAAATCCCGATGGCCCAAAACTACAATTTGATTGATGAACAGCTGAAGTGAAGATGGATCGATCAAGTCATTTCTGATCTGTGTATACTGCATCAACATCGTCGAGCTCAAGTAGCTTGGAGAGCAACTCCTTGTTCAAGTCCCTAGCTTCGTCATCTACCTGAAACACACAAGACGCTTATAATAACCTTATTACCAAAATCAGTTCCAGAAATATAAAAAATGGCGAATTGGCAAACCTCGACAGGTGTCAACGGAATAAGTTCAAATCCACCATCAGTTTCAAATGGTATTGATTCCTCGCTTAGTTTTGTCAATATGGAGGAGTAATTGTCCAATGAGCTTATTATTTTGTAGTGTCTGTAATCGAAAGAAACTAATTAGATCTTGAAAGCAAACCGATGGCAGATTAAAACATATTATGAAGTTCAATAACCTTTCTGAATCTTCGTCATGGTCATCTTCGTCCTCTGAGGGTTCAATAATATCATCTGCACCAGAATCCAGAGCAATAGCAAGAAGCTGATCTTTGTCAGCATCTGAAACCTTTATACTAACAACTCGAGCACGTCTAAACTTGAACATGATTGATCCGGAATCTGCCATTTTCCCTCCATAGTCCTTCACCACTTCTCTAATGGCTGCCACAGATCGGTTCACTTTATCAGTTAACACCTGAACGATTATTCCAGCTCTACCATAACCATAGACCTGAACGAACACAAAAACCTTGCTTGATATAACGAAGAGTGGCTGATCAAATATGTGAATATGAGCTCTAGTCCAATGACCTCATAGAATTTCTCAATGTATGCTTCTTGACCCTTCTCTGAAGCTCTCTTGATGTTACGATCTATGATATCCTTAGGTATATCGAGCTCCTTTGCTTTATCAAACAAAGCAGCCAAGGCCGTATTAGATACCGGACTGGAACCACCTTTCTTGACACTGGGACATTCATGACATATAGGTCATAATCCATAAAAATGAAATAATGTGAACTAAGTTTGAAATTGTAAAAGAAAGAGTTCGAAAAACCAGCTTCCATTGATATGTAGATAGGCACCATTCGCCTATACTAACCCTTTCTACCAACTCCCTTACCATTCATCCACAAAAAAAACCACCAAAATGAAAGCTAAAAAGATTAAATTTATTCTGATTTTTCATTTATATGCTCGTCTTTAATAATTTTGTATAGATTTGCAAGTGAATTACGTCCACAAACACAATTCTTCTGCTACACAAGATTATCTTTGCATAATTTTGTTTCAAGTAAACATGTGATAAAGAATCGTAACTTACGCCGACACAACTTCCTTCCCAAATCTTGCATAAAGCTTAGCCTTTTTAGCATCCTGAGCAGTCTGGAATAAAGAAGAAGATCAATATCAATAACATACCATGGCAAACCCTACCATTTAAGAGATACAGCATTACTATAATCTGATGAAAACATATATCATATTAGTTATTTACATCACACATAATAGTTATGACCATATTGGGATTATTCATGCAGAAAAGCGACATTGTGCCGAAAACTTCACGTATGGTCTAGAAGAATTAGTTGACAATCTAGAGTTATAAATTTGATGCTGTTGGCTTCGAGCAAGAAGACACAAGCAAATCTTTAACGCACTTCCTCAAATGTAGAAAAGTCCATAAAAAGCAATCAAGAATAGCCAGAGTTCACTATAGATGTCCAAATTCAGACACAAAATACGATCACTGGTGCAGACTTAACACCTGGTTTTGACCCAATTAAGCTAAAATGATCACTGGTGTCAGTCTTCCAACACAGATGCATAATTCTGCATTCAAATTAGATCGAACAATTGATAAGTCCACTTTCAGGTCCCTACTTCCCATCAAGCAAGAAATACTAATCAGAATGAGTACAAATGCCATGACTTGTAAGGAAATGATTCATCTAAGCGTCATCTAGATCAGATAGTTTAAGCTTTTAAGAATATATAAATTAGGGTAAAATAATAAAATAAAAATCACAGACTGAAAAATGAATACCTTTCTGCCAGCAATTTTACAGGATCGCCTGCCCATACACAAAGGCGGGGAAGTTGAAATTTTCCTATCCGAATTTCCATATTTTGGAGCACAAAATGAAGCCCATGAACCAGAAGACGAGTAGCAAGAAAGAGATGACAATTCTCCGCCCAGTAAACCTGCTCAAGATTCACAATCCACAAAGAAACTCTATTTCGATCAACATATAACATATAACAACAATATACCAGCCTTTTGTGTTGTGGACAAAGAGAAAGGGTTTTAACTGTTGGGAGAAAGGAATTTAGGGGTTTGAGTAGAAACCCCATTCGAATATCTGACAAGTAGTGAACCAAAACCTCTCACTACTGACGATGAAGAAGCCATCTTATTCCCTTTACATGAAATGTGATTCCAATCCAATCCAAGAACCTCCTCCGATTGAAATAGCTAAGGATGATTTTTTTGTAGCCTGCGTTTCCCCTGTACAGAGAAATTGAAAGCAAAAGGTAGAAAAACTAGAAACAGGACACAGTGAAACTTTCTTTCAAGATATGTTTTTTCGATATACGTTGTTGATCCAAACACAAGAATCTTCTAACAGTGTCTATGCATCAGTTAGTTAGGCCCAACCCATCACACATCTCTGACTGCAGTCAAGCCCTAAAAGAGAACACACTTTAGGGCCCATCATCACCTCTTGCAATAACAGACTACTGTAGTTTCAACCGGACAAGCAAATATGGAATATCAAATATGCAGCTGGAATGTGTTGGCCGTCGGGGCGGTAATAGACGTTTCACAATCATTGCTGTGACTCCGTCGATTAGACAGACAGGCTTATATCATCAAATTTATCAAATATCAATAGAATGGTGTACTAAAAAACAGACAAGTGGTGGCAGCTGGGAGAAATTATATAAAATATTTTTAAAATGATGATAAAATCTTCTTGGCATGTTCTTTTTGCATTCAGGAGGATATTAGAGAATTTTTTGTTAAAAAAAATATCTAAGTAGTCTTATTTTATGAATTTTGAATAAAAATGATTCTATACTCAGGATTTTATTTACCTTTTTCTACTTTACTTTGAGAATAGAATCAAGGTGAGCCAAGACGGTGTCGTTTAATTTGAAAGGGATGGGTCATCTAAGTTTGCGGGTGCGGCCAAATAATTATCTAGCTGGACTGATATTCACGTTAATTCTATTATTTAAAAACAAATTATTATTTATCTAGGGTTAGAAGAATAAATAAATAAAGGTATGTATATATATTAATCAATTAATGAAAATAATTTGAGCAATAAATCTATCGGAGAACACGCTTTTCCCTTGTGCAGAGCAGTTTTACTTTCTGGGACTCTCTCTGCTCACAGTATCCATGGCGTCCATCTTCCGAGACCGAACCCTCGGCCACTCCCGGCGGGACTCCTTCTCCTCGTCTTCCTCGGCTGCCGCCGCCACTGCTTCTCCTTCCACCGCCACCTCCCGCATCGCGCCGTCCGCAATTTCGCCTGCTTTAAACCCATTGCCTTCCCCATTCGGCGATCTCACCCCCACTCTCTCAGATTCCGACCTCCGCGCCACTGCGTACGAGATCTTTCTATCCGCTAACCGCTCCTCCACTTCCAAGCCTCTAACTTATGTTTCTAACAATAGTCACAGCAGTTCACCCACCGGCAATAGTAGCCCCGCCAATTCCACTGCTTCTCTGCAGAGATCATTGACCTCGGCGGCGGCATCCAAGATGAAGAAGGCGCTTGGGATGAGATCCATCAGCTCCAAACGGAGCCCCGATTCGAATAATTCCGGTAAAGTGAAGAAGCCGGTTACGATGGGGGAACTAATGAGGACGCAGATGAGAATTTCGGATGCCACTGATTCCAGAATTCGCAGGGGTTTGTTGAGGATTTCTGCCGGCCAGGTTAAATAGCTGCATTCTGGCGGCGAATGAGATGCTTGATTTGTTGCAATTTTTACTTTTATTGTCCGAGTTTAGTTATGTGTCGTCTAGCTTCTGCATTTTTTCTTGAAAATGCTGCCTCTGCAATTAGTAACTGGACTTCGATCTGGAGTGTAGGCATGGCCATAACTTGGAATATTGAAAAATTCGTTCTTTTGGGTCGTAAAAACGGGGAATTTAATCTTTATTGTGCATGGAAGAGTGGAGATCGTGTGATCTGAACCCTTAGGGTTCTAGATTGATGGCGGCAGATGTTTTATTGATGTTTAAACTGTTTTTCTGTTAATGCTTTTTCTCCTGATCTCTGGCTGCTGATTTATCAAATATTGCTGATCAGGTGATTCTCTTCAATTTGTTTCCCGATGTTTGTGGTAGAAAGGCTTATCAATTTAGAGTTACTAGGTTGACTCTTAGTTTACATAGTGAATTAGGCTTCTTGTCCGTGTTTGTAGGCTTTTTTCAAATGAGGTGATTAAAGCATGACACAGAGGTTGAAATGCATCCTTCTACGAGAAGCTTCTAAGAGTTTTTAAAATTTCCTTAGTATATGCTAATCACCTCTCAGATTTGGGCGTTATGCTAATTCCCATGTTGTCGCTGCCAAGTATATCTATCAATGATTTGGGCAGTAGTATCTTTCTCTCATATTTGTATCTTAATCATCGTTGAGCATTATTCATAAAAAAAATAAAAATTTTCTTTTGATCCATTTGTCCAACAATCGAGGTATTCATAAAGACGGCTCATTTTACTTTGTGCAGGTTGGAAGAAGAAATGAATCTATGATTCTCCCATTAGAGTTTTTACAGCAATTCAAGGCTTCAGATTTCACGGACCACGAAGAATATGAAGCATGGCAGAAGAGAAACCTTAGAATGCTTGAGGCTGGTCTGCTTTTGCACCCTCACATGCCTTTGGAAAAGTCTAATGTTGCTGCTCAACGGTTGCGCCAAATTATTCGTGCAGCCTTGGACCAGCCAATAGAAACTGGAAGAAATAATGAGTCAATGCAAGTGCTTCGTACTACAGTAATGGCACTTGCAAACAGAACATCTGATGGAGCTCCACTTGAATCCAGCCACTGGGCAGATGGTTTCCCGTTGAATCTTCGTTTATACGAAATGCTTCTACAAGCCTGCTTTGATATTAGTGACGAAACATCCATTGTAGAGGAAGTTGATGAGCTAATGGAACTCATAAAGAAAACATGGGCAATCTTGGGACTGAATCAGATGCTGCACAATCTGTGCTTTACGTGGGTTCTATTCAACCGATATGTTGCTACTGGGCAAGTTGAAAATGATCTCTTATGTGCTGCTGACAATCAACTTGCTGAAGTTGCTAAGGATGCAAAAATGACAAAAGATCCAATTTACTCCAAGATTTTGAGTTCTACATTGACTGCCATGTTGGGTTGGACTGAGAAGAGGCTCTTGGCTTATCACGAAACATTTGATAGTGGGAACATTGATACCATGCAAAGCATTGTGTCTATTGGGGTAGTGGCTGCTAAGATATTGGTGGAGGATATATCAAATGAGTATCGTAGGAGAAGGAAAAATGAAGTTGATGTTGCTCTCAGCAGAATTGATACTTACATAAGATCGTCACTTCGCACTGCATTTGCCCAGGCAAGTTGAATGTGAATAGTAGAATGAACTATTGTTGACATGGAAATTGTACGAGCCTAATATACCCAGTGGCAGATGTGTAATAGCATGGGGTTGCATATATCGTTGTTATGCACTAAATTGTTTGCATATGTGATGCCATTTTCCTAATATGCATCAGGGGGTCCTCTTATTTTATGTTCTGGGTTGCCTAACATTTACATTTATTGTGTTCACAATTTGGATATTTAGGCTTTTGACGTTTTAAAATTTTGACATGTAGATTATGGAAAAGGCTGATTCAAGTAGAAGAGCATCGAGAAATCAGCCAAAACCTCTTCCTGTTCTTGCCATCCTGGCCAAGGATGTTGGCGATCTTGCAATCAAAGAGAAGAACACATTTAGCCCCATCTTGAAGAGTTGGCACCCCCTTGCTGCCGGTGTTGCTGTTGCCACTCTACATGCTTGCTATGGGAATGAACTAAAGCAATTTATTTCAGGCATTACAGATTTGACACCAGATGCTGTGCAAATATTAAGAGCTGCTGATAAGTTGGAAAAAGATCTTGTCCAAATTGCTGTTGAAGATTCGGTGGATAGTGATGATGGTGGAAAGGCTATAATTCGTGAGATGCCTCCTTTTGAAGCTGAAGGCGCGATAGCCAACATGGTAAAAGTCTGGATGAAGACAAGATTAGACACCCTGAAGGAATGGGTTGACAGAAATCTCCAACAGGAGGTACCTTTACTTGTGTACATGTTAGGACATTGCAGCTTTGCAACTTTATTGCATATTAGATACACCATACACAGATTAAAGATATGCAATGGCCTTCATATAATAATTTTCATCTGTTCCAAGATCTCTGAACAAGTTTTCGGTGCACCTCAAGACTTAAATTGTTAATAGTGATCAATTTTTCACCTCTTGGTATTCTTTCTGCAAAAGACTAGTTTATTCACTTTAAATAAGGTTTTTTAATCTAGTGCTATCAAAAGCTGAATATAGTAAACCTGATTTCTACCTTATGGTAGGAACATCATTAATGTGTAGGTGAATGACCATTTATATCAATGAATTCCTGCCATTTAAATCTTGTACTTATCTTTTACACCATCCTTTCAATTTTGTAGGTTTGGAATCCACGAGCTAATCAAGAGGGATGTGCTCCTTCAGCTGTTGAGGTTTTACGAACAGTTGACGAGACCTTGGATGCATTCTTTCAGCTGCCCATACCGATGCATCCTGCACTGCTCCCAGACTTAATTACTGGCCTTGACAAATGCCTTCAATATTATGCAAATAAAGCAAAATCTGGCTGTGGTAATAATGCTTAGCTAGCTCAAGAGATTTTGTACTGTAACCTAGAAATCTATAACTGAAATATTTTATGTGCAGGTACAAAAAACATGTACATTCCTACAATGCCGGCATTAACCAGATGTAATGTGGGGACAAAATTTCAATGGAAGAAGAAAGAGAAGCCACCTATCACTCAGAGAAGAAACCCTCAGGTTGCAACTGCCAATGGGGAGGGCTCTTCGGGGGTACCACAGCTATGTGTTCGTATAAATTCATTGCATAAAATACGGATGGAGTTGGAAGGCATTGAGAAAAGAATAATAACCCTGTTGAGGAACTCAGAGTCTGCTCATGTGGAAGATTTCTCAAATGGATTGGGGAAAAAGTTTGAACTCACGCCTCCTACATGCATCGAGGCAGTCCAACAACTCTCTGAAGGGCTTGCTTACAAAATTGTCTTCCATGATCTAAGCCACGTTTTATGGGATTCACTCTATGTCGGTGAACCTTCATCTTCAAGAATCACCCCTTTTGTCCAGGAGCTTGAGCGGAATCTCACCACTGTGGCTGATATCGTTCATGAAAGAGTCCGTACTCGAATAATTGCTGATGTGATGAGAGCTTCGTTTGATGGCTTTCTATTGGTTCTGCTCGCCGGAGGTCCAACACGCGCCTTTACTGTACAGGACTCCCAGATAATAGAGGATGATTTCAAGTCCCTGAAGGAACTTTTCTGGGCCAATGGAGATGGATTGCCTAACGATATAATTGACAAATTTTCGGCAAAAGCAAGAGATGTCCTTCCACTGTTAAGAACAGATACAGATAGTCTTGTTGACCGGTTTAAACGACTGACTTTGGAAAAATATGGCTCCTCTGCTAAATCCAGATTTCCCTTACCTACAACATCGGGTGACTGGAACCCGACTGATCCTAACACGCTGTTGCGTGTTCTTTGCTACAGGAATGATGAAGCTGCTACAAAGTTTCTGAAGAAGACCTATAATTTACCAAAGAAGCTGTAACTATCCTTGCGGGATCCTTATGGATTCTGCCCATTGGGGAAGGCAGTTACCGAATTTTCTATTGAAACTTGGAATTGCGCGGTACCTGGTACGGCTCCGAGGTTTTTATTTAAGGTCTGTTTATTGCAATGCTTGAATATAAGTAGTATTAGGAGAGGTAGATTCAACTTGGTGGCATATATGTTTCATAGATGACGAGATTCGTTTGTTCTTTGATACTGGTTCTGTTTTTTTTTTTTTTTTTTTCCTGCTGTTCTAAGGTACGGTACGTCTGCGTGTGATTTTTTGTTGTAGAGAAGTCGGTGAATATGTGCATAAAGAAACTCTGGACCTTTATATGTGCTGAAGTATTTGTTATTTAACATTTGCATAAATGTTATACATTTGTTTTTACCATGAAATTTTTGTTATGTGATTTATCATTTTAGTCTGGAGTGTGGCGCAAATTAGTTTCGTAAGTAAAATTCTTTTGCAGTTTTAATTCTTCGGAAGATGCTTGTGTGGCACCTGCGTGGCTCACTCTAAAAAAAATCCACTTTGTCGCTGTCATGATGGACTCGTGGCCTCCGACAAATCATGCGGGTGTCATGCTTTACTTCAATTACGAATTAAAATGTTCAGGGGGTAAAGGGGTCAATTAAAATTATAAAGATGCTTCACTTCAATTACGAATTAAAATGTTCAGGGGGTAAAGGGGTCAATTAAAATGATAAAGAGTTCGGAACTAAAAACAAGTTTACCTTAAATTATATTATACCTATTTTATAGTAAAATTTAGTTATACTTTCTTCATTGGATAAATGAAGATATTATAAAAAATTATGAAATGATCAATAAAATAAAAAATAAAAAAAATAGTGAAATAGGTAGAAAAAAAATAATGACAATTTTGCAAAGAGATATGTAAGCCCACTTCCAGATAAATAAATTGTATTTTAAAATAAAATGTACTATTACACTATTCATCATATCATATTGAATGATTTATTAATAAATTATATAAATTTTATTATATTACTATGTCCGGCAACAAGATTATTCTTTCTATTTTTGGCTATACACTTAAAGTAAATCTTGAGAGTCACTCAAAGTAGTCTGAATTTTACGAAGGACTTAAGGGTAAAGCAATCTCATGTTTGACTTGCAGCCAACCTCATTTGTTAATTACATTCACATTGAAAACTATGATACCTAAATAGTTTGTTTACAAACAATAATGTAGTAGGAATTAAAATATAGTGTAGTTCAACATGCCCTTTGATAGCAGTGCACTCAAAAACCTACCCTATTTCCCACTTCCTTTTCCTCTTAAGGTATCATATAATCACAGCAATGCCCTTAAGAAAAACTATAATAGAATCATCTGAAAATGTGATGAACATTTGGTGTATTTGTATATGTTTTAGCATCATTGAGTAAAGACCACAATTCATCAGGTCAGCTCTTCTGCCTCAAAAACTATTCTCAGCCAGCTAGTGCTAGATTTTAGGGCACATTATGTACTCTTTCCAACCTCTATATAAACAGATAAATGCAATCCTCTAACATAACATAACTAACTGCTATTAGCATCAAGATCACAATACATAACATGGCTCGTCGCATTTTCCGGATAGTCCTTGTCCTAATAGTCGCGTTGGTGGCCAAGGGGCAACCTGACAAACCAAAGAAGGTCAAGTGTGAAGATAAGAAGAACTTCCGGGCATGCTCTAATAGAGATCTATACTGCCCTGCTACTTGTCCGAGTACCTGTGTAGTCGACTGCTGGCTATGCCAGCCTGTTTGTACCCCACCGCCACCACCACCACCTCCTCCACCACCCAAACAACCCAAACCGCGCAATGTCAAGTGCCAAGATAAGTCGTACAAAAAGACATGTAATCAGCGCATGTCTTGCCCTGCTGCCTGCCCAAGGACCTGTAGTGTTGATTGTGTCAAATGCCAGCCTGTTTGTGGGCTACCACCTCCGGCACCAACTTACAGCCCTCCGCCCGTGGTCACTCCAACCCCACCTCCTCCACCTCCAAATTCCAACCCATCAGGGCCACCTAGTCCAAGTCATGGCTCGCCTCCACCAGAAATGGCTCCAAGCCCTCCCGACAGTTCTGAGGCTGCAGGTGGGAAGAGAGTCCGTTGCAAGAATAGTGCATATCCCGGCTGCAATTACCAGGAGCATCAGTGTCCTGCAGATTGTCCTAACCATTGTGAGGTCGACTGCGTCACCTGCAAACCAGTATGCAGTAAGTTTCTGATTCATGAGTTAGCATATTTTGCTTTTTTTATCTCATTGATTGGTTTTATTTCTCAATGTTGTGTTGCACATCTTGCAAACATCAACAGACTGCAACATGCCTGGAGCTGTATGTCAAGACCCGAGATTCATCGGAGCTGATGGAATCACCTTTTACTTCCACGGCAAGAAGGAAAGGGACTTCTGCCTGGTTTCCGACACCAACCTGCATATCAATGCGCATTTCATTGGTAGGAGAATTGAGAACATCGGAAGGGACTTCACCTGGGTTCAGTCTCTGGGAATCCTTTTTGGCAAACATCAGGTCTTCATTGGTGCCAAGAAGACAGCTACTTGGGACGATGCAGTCGACCGGTTACAGCTATCCTTTAATGGGATGCCTGTCATCCTTCGGGAACAAAAAGGTGCAAAATGGCAGCCGGCATTCTCGCCAGGGATTCTCATAACAAGGTCGCATGACACCAATGCAGTTGTAATAGAAGTCGAAGGTAACTTTCAGATCAAAGCAGCTGTAGTCCCCATCACTGAAAAAGATTCAAGAATTCACAAGTATGGAATCACGGGTGACAACTGCTTTGCTCATCTAGATCTGGGGTTCAAATTTTACTCATTAAGTGACAGCGTAAATGGGGTGCTGGGACAAACATATGCAAGAAATTACACAAGTAGAGCGAAGATGGGAATAGACATGCCTGTTTTAGGAGGAGAGAAGGAGTTCGCCTCTTCGAACATCTTCTCCACAGACTGCACTGTTGCCAGGTTCGCGGGAACACAGACGAGCATTTCAAACGATTTTCAGTTCATGGACTTGAGCTGTTCAAGTGGCAGCAATGGCAGTGGAGTGGTGTGCAAGAGATGAACATGTAACATCTTTTGCTGCAACAGCCAATACTAATCCAAGAATATTGAATTGCTATGTCATAAAAGAATAATAAGGGCAGATCACAAAAGGAAATCTGTACCTGGATCAAGTATTTGATTTATGTATTCTAGCACAAGTGTCTTCTTTTGTGATAGTATGATCATTCATTTCCAAACTAGTTAAGAATGAATTCTAACTTATACCTGATGCCTCCAAACTGGGATTCTGCTACAAATGCTACGAATGAACATGTTTCCAACTTCTCAAAGTCTAAACAAAAAAAAAACCAAAACAATGGAGCTATATATTTCAAGTGCTGAAAGAGCTTCCATTCAACTTCTTATTGTTGGTACATACAGAAATATGGGCAGTGTCGCATGAACATATGACAGCTAGTTTTCAGTAGTTCCTTTGGCAGATGAATTAAGATACTCTTTTACTACCTCTTGTATTCTTTTCTTCATTAACTTATCTTTTACCCCAGTGAGCATGTCTCGATAAAACATTTGCAGACGAATAAGCTTTCTTTCATCTGACTCCTCAAGCATACTCTCCCACTCTTTAGCAATATCAAATGCACCAGAGGTTCGGAGAGAGACAGGAAGTTCAGTATCAAGAAGAGGCTTCCCAAATACTGCACCGTGGAGTATGCCAGCGTATCGTTCCATCATGGAAAGCTTTGATTGAAGGAGCTTAATCTCCTCCATTGCAGCAGATAGCCTTTTGTCTGTTTCTTCTGTTTTATCTTCTGGAATCTTCTCCTTGTTATGGTCCTCAAGCGATGCATTGTTCGATTCTTCTTCCTTGAAATCATCACTGACCAATGGCCATAGCACTGCTGTTGGTGCATAGCAATCTACTAACCTACCATTTCCAAGAACCCCACTCCGACCCCTGCCCCAAGACCATAGTTTATACCCAGCATCAGCAACAAGAACTGTATGGGCTGCACCACATGCAACTTGCAGAGGCTCCGAGAATCTGTTACCATGCAATCCACCAAAGGGAATCATTAACGGAGTAAGAGCATCCCCGGCCTCAGCACCAGTAAACCGAGAATCAGGACACAGCCCTAGGCCCTTCTCCATCCCCCAAGACCATACCTCACCGGAAGATGAGACAACACAGCTGTGATATAGACCACAGTCAACTGAAACCAGATTCTGAGGCAATCCTTTAATAAGTTCAGGAGTAAGTAAAGCTTGGGTGGTTCCATGACCCAGCTGCCCGTTATCCCCCAACCCAAAGGTCCAGCAACCATTTTCCGAAGTGTTGCCTGGTTTCTTTCTCTTTGCTAGTACAGCTGTATGTGAAGCACCACAAGCTATATCATAGATCTCCCAGGGGGATTCTATATTGAAGGCTTCTATGATCTCCGGGTGTAACCGGTTTTCCCTGTCTCCCAATCCTAACTGTCCATGGCTATTACCACCCCAAGAGTAGCAAACTCGGCCACTGCCTTTGGATTTTTCTTCTGCACTGACCAATGCAACTACATGATCATTTCCACATGCCACCTTAAAAACAGTGCGACCATGGAAATCGCAGACTGGAACTGGAGCTACACCACTGGCAAGTGAAGAATCTTCTTCTGATGGTTGACTTTGAGAAGAATTGGGACAATTACCCCACATCCACATGGCCCCGCCATTGTCCACAGCCAGAGACATCATACCTCCGGCACTGACAGAGGAAACCTACAGGAGAGAAATTGAAAAGCTCCCGGTTCTCCATGACAGATGAAATAATAATGTTGAACAGAACTTAGTCTGTACCTTCAAGGGTTTCCCACCAGGATCCTGTGTTGAAGAACTAGCTGATTGCGATTCCAAGAGACCCTCCAACAACCGAGGACTAGAATAATTTTCTCCCGCAACACCAATTTGGCCATCCGTATCACTGTCAAGGAAGGAGTGGTTCTAGAGAGAGAGAGAGGGAGACCACAGAGAGTTTGCAAATAAAATGCACGACCAGAAAGAGTATTTCCAAGATTGCACAAAAATAATTCTTGTATGGAAAGATTATAATTAAGGATACAGATGTTGTAACCCCAGCCCCATATTGATCCATCATCTGATATCATACAAGAAGAACTTAATTAGAAGTTAAGAACACCAGACCAATACAATTCCAATTTCAAGGCATTCACATTGTTAAAATTTATTAAAATGACTTGGCTGCAGTAATTTCCTACTAAAACGAGAACGATTGGAATAAAGAAATATGTGAAGGATCTCCGTGATGTATGACAACCATGAATTTTTTTTATTGATAACTTCAAAATTACTGGAGAGAACATCGAGATAAAAACAAGATCACGCAAAACTCGAAAAATACAAGAAACCGCTATTCAATTTCAACCTGCAAGTGCAAGACTGTGGTAAGCCCCAGCAGCAATACCAACAATCTTAACCTTGTCTTCCCTTTCATCATCAGGAGCATAGAAATAGATACGTGCCGGGGAAAGCCGGTCCGCCTCCGAGCCGGTGCCGAGGCGGCCGAAAAATCCTCTTCCCCAAGAATATACTCTTCCGTCGCCTATGACACACAAACCGTTCAGCTAATATACAGCACGACAAATAATAGAAACCGAAAAACACGAATCGAGAGCTAGATGATGATGCCAGCAACTACCACTCAGAGCGAGAGTGTGAGCTTCCCCAGCGGCAATGGATACTATTTTTCGAGAAACTCTGGCTACCTCGGTGGTATTTCGTTTTTCCTCCATTCCTCAGTCCTCTCTAGACGGTTGGAAACGTCGAGGGTAATGAGTAATGACTCTTCCAGAGCCACCAAGATCACTTGAAATTACACTCGAGAAAGACTTCAATCAATGGAGAACAGCAGAAAATTTGTATCAGCAGTGAACCTCGATCCACCATAAATAATTGCTCTGAAAAAATGTGGACGATCGATGCCACCATGAGAACTCCATTATTGTCGACGATAAGGTTCTGACCCGCATAACTGATCTTGGTTGGACTACTCGAGTTACAATTCCGATAGGCCAATTCATTCCTCTACGGAGTTTCAACTTGGACTTCTATATGGGCTACATTAATAAGCCCAATATCTTCAGCCCATAATAAATGGGCCATAGATGTACTTTCTGGCCCAGATTTCCATTTTATGGCCCAATTGTGAACTAAATAGCATTATACTATAAGCTATCTACAAATTATTGCATTAATACTGAAAACGTGTTGTATGGCACAATATAAAATTTATCGAGCATGTAGTTAAAAAATTAAAGAAGCTGTAATTTTCATAGCCCTAAATAAATTGAACTAATAGTGACTATACAATATACTTTATCAAATAAATAATTAAATACTGCATGTTCCGTCGCCTTCCGCCCTATCAGCTTCCTCCACGTAGGCAGAGAGATTCAGATACTTTTCCGGATCATCTCCGCCGTTCCGCCACCGCGCTCGGCAGAGCACGCAGGTGGTCGATCGCCGCCGGCAGCTCCTTTTCCACGCCAAGAAGCACTCCTCGTGTATTACATTCCGGCAAGTACCGCATGCAACCACGTTGTCCTGCCTCGTCATTTCCTCCAAACAAACAGGACAGGCGGCGCCGCCGTCCGCCACCGTTACGTCCATCCGCCGCGAGCCACTCGGTTGAAAAAACAGCTGATGAAACCTCTCCCTCACCGCTTCGCCTGCGAGCGCCTCGGCGGAGGTTGGGAGGTTGAGTACGCGGTGGAGCTGGCACGGCCGCAGCGTGCGCCGCCGCAGGCAGGAATCGTCCGGCGGAACTCCGAGCACTCGGATGAACACAAATAAGATGTGCTTGCACGGCGTCGCACGGTCGGGGCAGGTGCACGACGGCGTGGAAGATATGCTCACCGTGTAGACATTCCCGGTGGCGCCGAGGATGAAGAACAGCGAGTCGGAGCGGTGGAGCAGGCGAAGACGGTGGCGGACGGCGCGGATGATGCGGTCGGAGAAGGACTGCGTCGGGATAAACTGCCGCCGGTCCGGCGGAGCTGAGCTTGACGCCACGGACTCCGATTCCATGAGCAAAATTCAATCAATCTCAAATTCAATTAGGGCACAAATGGAATTGGGGATAAATTACCGCGCGCTTTATGGATACGGCGTCGTATTCACGTTCATGTATAACAGGAAGGATTATGCAGCTTAAATGCTCCGTAGATTCTTTGGAGGGTTGTGTGGGACACGTGACGAATTGTGTGTATATTGGGACATTGTCTTCGTGTTTTTTACACAAATGGCTTTCTTTAAGGATGTAAAGAATCTACAAGTAATAGCTTTGGACATTTCGTTTCACAAGGAAAAGTAGAAGACTTTCTTGACGTAACGTCAAAAGATTTTTATGTAATTTTTATGGGCTTTGACCTAGGTAAGCCTAATAGAGAGATTTGTTAAGTGGGTCCGTTAAGGGATCAAAATTGTTGGATGTTGATATTATCCATTAAAGGCCCAAAATGGATGGAGGTTTAATGGGGCCCATTAAAGGCCCAAATCGTAGGGGTTGAGTGGCCCATTAAAGGCCCAAATTTGACTTGGAATTAGCTGAGGTTGAATGGGATTCGATCGGCGATCGCAGATTCAGTGCAGACATGCCGCCGAGCTGCGTGGATGCGAGTACGGTGAATTGGCTTAGCCGTATGGCTTCCGAGCCATACTGGGCTCTACACTTTCTTGCCTTATTCTCGTACGTTCCAGTTCGTTGCTCCGCCGCTAGCGTCCTGGGTTCTGCCCGCTTAGATCATCTTCTTCATCGTGTAAAGTTTAAGTTATTATCGTTTTAATTTCTCTCTGGAAGTTTTGCATTGGTTGAGGATGGTTTTGAAGTAATGCATTTATAATTTAATTAATTATTTTATTTATTGGTAATTTTGGATTTGGTTGTTAATGCAGGAGATTCAAGCGCTGCTTTCTTTTTGTGTTATAACTGCTGTGAAGGTACAGTTAATGTGGTTAAGATTCTAATTTTGATGAGTTTGGATTCGTCGGTTAACTGTTGAAATTCGAAACCACTGATGCTCAGAATAGCTTATATGAATGTTTTTGTGCAGGAAAAATAAATAATTAAGCTTGAAAGACACAATTTTGATATGGTTACGCATGTTGTATACGTGAGTGATTGATGTCTATTGTTTTGAACGATCTCTGCTTACACAACATTGATACTAACTTGCAGGCAGTGAAATCAGAATCATGGGAGGCTTTTATAGCGGACACTTTGTTCTGTGTTAAGGTATCCTAATAGCTGCTTCCTCAATCTGGTGTTTGATATTCGATTGATATTTGTTGCGATACACGCACGATTCATCTTAATAGAACGTAACTATATGGAATCAGATTTGTCGTGTAAGAGTTTAGTTTCAGATTAGACTGGAGGTTGGTGCTTTAGGAAGTGGGTGTTGATTAAAATAGAGAGGCATTATATTTTCATCTCTGCCGACTAAAAGGAACTTAACCCCTGGAATATCTTCGAAAACCTTTACTTTTCAAAATTCCGAATATAATTTGAGTTTTTCTCTTATAGCTTTGCGCTGATCCAGTGACTTAAGAGCACAGACTCGGCACCTACCAAATAGAAATAGTGAAATGCCCTGATATCTACTACTTAAATACGGTGCCAAGATGGATTGCATTTGATTCATTTCATAAAGATTGAGGCAGCATTATGTTTCAACTTTTAATTTTTACGTTTGTGTGTCTTATCTTCATCCTATTCTGCCTATTAAAATAACCTAACTTGACATTAGCTTTCAGATTTTTCTTGCTGCTATTGCTTTGGTCATAGATTATCACTTGGCTCTGTGGTACGGAGTGGCATTTTTGGGTATGTCTTAATTCTAATTTCATTTTCCTAATTTTGTAACTGTAACTTTACAATTTTCTACTTTATGATATCCATGTAATTCAGTTGAGTTGAGAGTCCTTTAGTACATGCCATAAGATCCAAACCAGCTAAAAAATTCTTCTAAATGTTGTTAAAAAAAAATAGAATCTTATTCAGAAACTGGAAAAATGATAGCAACAGGATAACACGCCCTGTCCCAAGTCTAAGGCATCCCATAACCATAATTTGTAGAAACTGAATAAATGAACTGATTATAGGATCCCAAATGAACCATTGGCCTAAGTTATTAACAGGATCAATAATAGGAAAAAACACAGGCCCAACATAACTAGATTGGAGCAACCAAAAATCCAAAGTGAGAGGACATGAGCTTGGTCCTGTCGGCGTATACATGGTGTGGTGGCAGGGTTGTGGGCAACGGGCTTGTATCAGTTTCATATTATAAAGAATTTTGCTGATGGTGTAGTTGCCCAATTTGACAATGGCTTATTTGATCAGTAAGTTGGAATTGGCATTAAGATGGATGGAATGCTGACAATTGGATGCCTACTAACAGCTAAGTCTGATATGGGGTTGTGAAAATTTTTTGTTCTTTTAATTTCCTATGTACATCCATTGAAATCATAGCAGCCTTGATTTGTGTGGTTGGATCTATTTCTAGTATTAACTTACTGTCTGCTCTGTCTATTTGACCATTTCCAAGGGAATCAAGTTCAGTTTTTTCACCAATCAAGTTTATCAAACTATTCTCAATTCTTAATATTGTACTAATTTTCGGCTTACAGTTATATATATCATCACACAACAGCCTGCATATGAAGGACTAGGTATGGAATGGTCACCCTGCTCAATCATTTTATTTTCTTTTCTGTGTATTATCAATGTCTTCCTGAATCTTGATGTCATTGTTACTTTGATTTCATATTATGCAGGTACAACAAGTCAATTGACACCTCTCCAGTTGGAAACTTTGCTTACTGAAGGAAATTCTTCCAAATTCTGGATGGTTGGTGTGTAGACTTTTCACATATTACTTGATTATGTGTTATTGCATTATGGTTGCACGCATGAAAACATAATGTATTTTTGGGTTAGGACACTGGATAGTAAAGTAAAAGGCCTCAAAATATGCATTACATTTTATTAAGTTGTGATTTCAGTAGCTGAGAGGGATGAATATCATATCCCTGCTTAATACAATTATCAGTCTTTATTCCTCTTCTTTGGTATGTTAACTTCTACACAGCCATGCTACGTCCCTTATGTTCACCATATGGCTGATTTAGTTGAATGCAACTTGCCTGCTGAATTAAAATTCTTTCTGTCAGTAACTAAATATAATTTTCATACATCTGTAGATGGTTTATATTCCTTTGATTATTTCTGATCGCTGGGAGTTTCCTCAATTAACTTTGTAGAAATTTTGGCAGGTAGAGTTTCGATCATTGTCCATGTCCAGTTGCGTAAAATCAAGCTCCTATTTCCCTGAACTATCAATTACGTGAGTCTTAAAGCTTCTCCAAGCTCCCATGCTTTGTACTTCATTCAATTTCTTCTTTATTCAGAAACTCTTTCTATTTTTGTTGGGGGAATCTAATTGTTAATTTCGCATCTAACTCATTTGTTCTGTTCAGTTTTTCAAACAAAAATGTATCCTTTGGAACAGTTGATCTTGGTCTATTCCCAAATGCTGCTGAGAAGTTTGGAATCACCCTTGGTAGAAAACCATGTTAATTTGATTTGTTTGTAGAACTTATGCCAATTCATAACTAACTTATTCTTGGGCTGATTTACAGAAAACCTCCACCAACTTCCAACTTATGTATTGTTCCGTGATGGTGTTGAAATCTCACGGTACCCTGAAATAAACTCTGAAGCAAAAATTTTTGATCATCCTGTGTCTAAGGTACTGTGTAAAAGTTCTATTTTGTGTGAATAGAAATGAAACAATTATGTCTGGATAATAATGTTTTCTGATGTTCACTCCCCTTGGATTATTATGGCAGAAACTTCTTTGCCGACACTTTGAGCTTGATAAACTCCTCCTTGATTATATAAATGGCAAATAGGTAAGTAATCTGCAAATTTCGCACTGCAAGACTTATTGAATGTTTGCTCAATTTATGGACCTCTTGTCTTTCATTATTTCCTATGCAGGCATCAAGTAATCAAACTGTTTAGTGTTCCAATCTGTTACTTGATCGCCAAAAGCTCCCTGTTGTCTCTTCTCCCACTTCCGAACAACGTTCAACACAAAGTTTTCCTGTGCCATGAGAAACTCAATGGCCACATATTCATGGAATCAAACCAGACTTGCTGGATATATATATATATATATATATAGATAGATAGATATGTTGAAGATTATGGCCATTGATTCTGTGACCTTGGTATAACCTTTTTTTATCTCCTTACCTTTTATTTTCTCTTTTAAGAGGGTATAATATAATGCTCTTATCCTGATTTGGACACAAAGTATACATGTAATGTCTTCATTGTTGTTGCTAAGGAATTCATTTGTAATTATCTGTATGGACACCTCATTCTCCCTCCCTTTATATCAATTTCTCTATTCTCCGGTGTATCCTTACATCACAAGATGGATGGATAGTTTAACAGACAAGTAGTTTCTCTAAGGAAGAAGATTATGTGTATCTATATCTAATTATATGTACAATTCGGCCTGTTTGAATTTCACATTCTATCAGCTACAACTTCCATGTCTTGTAAATGGCCTATCACATATCTAAGCTTCAACTTGGATAATATGAATAACAGAAAACATTGCCTATAATGGTTACCTTTGTCTCCATGCCTTAAAATGTCATCAGCTGATTTTAGCCCAACAGATAATTGAGGGTCTTGTGTGTTGTCTGATTGCAATTTGCTGATACTATTTTAGTGACCATTCATTCCACCATAGCCCACAATCCATACACCATAATACTTTCCCATTTCTTTCTTTTGCACCTTTTCCTATTTTCTTGAATCAACTTGTGATAGATCAATAAGCATTATTACATGCATGCATTCCCTGAATTGACAAGTTTTTTCCTCTAATAAAGATTCCTCCATCCAAAAAAAAGAAAAAAAACTCAATTCCCCTTTCACTATCATCCATCTTTGCTTGCCAAGAATTAGCTTTTTTTTTTTCTCCAACACTCCCTTTATCTTTTACATGTATGTATATATTCATTTGGAAATTTTTTATTTCTCATCCATGTATATGTATCTCTTTCCTTTCCATTCCATTCTCTCAATTATCTTAATGCTGCTTTGTTTGACAAAATGTACATGTTTTATTTGAATGATGGGGAGATTTCCACTCAGATTTAAAATCATACTTTCAACACAATCCAAAGTAGTCAAATATTATTATCTTTATTGTCAACTTCATTCCTTTTCTTTGTTTAATCTCCCAAAGCTTCCTTACCATTACTCATTTACAATCATTCATTGCTACATATATCCCTTCAATCTGATCATCACTGCATATATTCCCAACTTAATTTTACACCAACACCAATTTCAAGAAATCAAAGCACTTGATTACTTCCAACATTTTTGTACTTGGAGTGGTCAAAAGATGTCAATCTAAAGGCCCTTTATACCCATTTTTGTAGTAATATCAAAATGCCTTTGCCCCAGAACTAAATTGACCATTTGGCTCTTTGAGAATGGAGTGTGCCTTTTTTGTCATCCCTGTTTTTGTCCCCCACAAAACATCTCCACTATTCACTTCTACACTTACCAACTATTCATTCACTTTCTTCCATTTCAAATCACTTTTGCCATTTTCTTGCAACGACAAGACACTTATGTACAAAAAGCAAATACAGGCGTGCTTCCATACAACACATTTTCTTGCAATCTGAAATTTATAATAGCTGTTCTTAATTAAGGATGGTTAAACTTGTTTTGTTTTCATCGAAGATGAAGTTGTGTATTGGGAGAACCTCACAACTTCAAATTACTTTTTTAAGGAAACAAACAAGAAAGGAATGATGATTTCTTCTGACAAAAAGATGCTCCTCAGGAAAAGTTAATTGTGGAGTCAGATATATATTCCCAGACAAAGATTCTGAACAATAAGTACAATCCATGTGTGTATGTATGATCTTTTGTCTGGTGCCCAAATCTGCTAGTTGAACACTTGAGATTAGATTCAACCTCAGGTCAAATATTTTACTTGTAATAATCATTTCACAACTTTTGTCTGATAAAATGTGAGTATTTGTTTATTTAATCTGTTGTATTTGGAGGCAAAATAAGACCTTCTTCATAATTGTATTTTCTTCCTTTTTCTGAATTATTCCAGCAGAAAGCAAATCAGTACAAGTAAAAACAAAAATTGGGATCCTACTCAATTGACAATACCTGTCAAAACCTAAACAAAAAAAAAAAAAAAAGAAAAAGAAAAATCATGACAAGAAAAATAAATAGAAGAACAAAATTAATAGAGGGTGGGGGTAAGTAGTTTAATATTTGAAGTGGATTGGTATGCATGCAATGCAAGAATTGTTAGGGTGTTTTCACGTGAGTATATAATCATCACTATCATTACATAGAATCTTGAAATTATATATAATTGAATAAAAAGATGTATTGTGTGTGTGTAAAATTGTGGATGTCTAATCTTGAACATGAAAAGCAAATAGAAGTAAAGGGAGAATTGACACTCTTCTTTCTTGGCTTGTTGATCAAAAGGTGATTTTCTTTGTTGGAATTCGAGTGCAATGACAAGGGGGGTGGGTGGGTCGAAGGGGGCTTTTTCAACGGATAGAACAGAAGCTGTATATAGAAGAAAATAATCAATCAATCTTCTTCTTCCTACTTTATTTTCTTGCATGGCCATGGCCATGGCCTGCTCTCCAACAAGTTTAATGATTGTTCAGAAATTTCAAATCCATGACAGCAAATCCTAGCTGTTTCATTCTGTCAGCTATTTTAATTTTATCTGCTTATATTCTTCTTTATGGACAGAATCTTCCAGTCCCCATTTAAAAGCAAAACACACACACATACACTCGATGGCAATTCAAAGTGCAGAGATTGTTGTCCCAAAGTATAAAAGAATAAAGAACAAAGATTTTGGATCCTTTCATTCTTCCTTTTTTCTTTCCCTGTTCTTAAATTATCATTTCTCACCTATACCAAAAGATAATTCTTAGAAACTATGGTATAAATGCTATCAACAACTAATTGATCTTTATGCTATATTATTTTACAACATGGAAACTAATTGATCCTTTTAAATAAACAAATCCCATCAGCAGCCTAACATGGATAGAAATCCTTCAAAAGCAATAACCCAAACATTTTGTGTCACAGTGGTACTATCCTATTCCTGTACAGTACAGCCAAAAGGCATTATTACAAGACTTGGATCAAGAGAGCGTGAACATGAATAAGAGCACTTTAGTGATTCCACCGGAGGTAACACATAACATTGGTTAAAAACAAAAAGAAAAGAGTATTATAAATATGCATATACCAGTTCAACAACAATAAGGAATAAATCAATATATTCAAGGGAAACTATAGTTCAAATATTATTGGCAGCTGTATTAACTAAGAAAATCCTGTCTGCAAACGCTATTGAGAAGAAATAAAATCAAGTTTCCGGCAGACAGCCTCTATTTTCTTATCTTATGCAACAAAATTGGATTGACACATCAAAATGGCCCAAGATGAAGTAACACCTGCGTATGGCATGTCATCCAGGCCCAGAAACACTCGATCGATGTAGCATGATAAACCTTTAGAAACTGACCATGTACCTCTGGGATATGACTCGGGTAATAGGCAAAGGTGCTGTGTCATTCAGGGATGTATACGGTTCCCAGCTTGAATTTACAGCGTCTCATTCAATCACACAATGTCCGAGCACGAGATACCAATTACAATAACCTTCCAGGTATAAGTGTATCCAAGATAGGATGTAAAACTCTCCCGTTAAAAAAGTTTTGATGTAAGAATATCATCTCAAACTAGACAACCTTTTCCTCTTCCTATTTTTTCTACGAGCAGTAGAGTTGTTTGGGCTGTTCATGGTGCAAGGTGAAGGATATAGGGATGATAACTGCCTGCCACACACCGTTCTTGCCTTTTTAGCCGACCAATTTAGTGGCATATTATTTATAACACGGTTGATATCATCAGAATTATTCAATTCAACGAGCTTCTGAACTTGCTCAACCATTTGGTGTGCCCAAGCAGAGGAGATGTCCATATCAATTGAATCATCCATTGGTTTTCCCCAAAGATCTACTAGGACATTTTTGAGTGATTGAAATGACAAGGAAGATGGGTAGGATTCTCGATTCTGGCATATCATGTTGACCTTAATTACGTGCTTGCACAGATTTCCTTCCAATGACCACTTGCAATCACAGTGTGCAAATTCCGAACCAGGATTCCAAACCACATGTTTTAGATTGCTGTCATTCTGACTGATGACTTCGGCAAATAGATGGTCCTTGTCATCATAAGAAACAGAATTATCTGAGATTTGAAGAGCTCGGTGCCACGAAGTGGAAGCAATGTATTCCTCCTTCACATTTCGAAAGGAATCACTTTCATCAGCATATCTGTCGAGCCAGTAGCTTGAATGCAACTCGGTTGTCAACTTATGTACTAACCAGTCAACTCTCTGTAGTGAACCAAGGTGTGTATCATCATACAATTTAGATTTCAGCTTCACATGATATGCTTCGATGGCGCCAGAGGACTCCTGGCTTGCAAGCGGAAGAGTCTTCATTGATGTAAACCACATCTCTGCAGAGAGACGAACTTTTGAGTAACAAAATGTAACATACAGAAACGACAACTGTAAATACAATGTAAGATAAATAATAGCTAGTCCAATATAAGTATGAAATGTTTAAAAACCTCTTTTGAAAAAGAAACCCCTAAAGAACCCTGCATATATGTAGTAAAGAACAGTGATCTGACCAATCTTTGGCACCCAAGAATCCTTGAAGTATTGCATGAACGATGTCTGATCGACAAAATCCAGAAAAAAATCTTCCAAAGCAGAGTATAGATCTGCTCCGCCCCAAATGCTGTATGCAATTTGGCCAAGGCGTTTAAACATCTCCCTTTGAACTTCAATGTTAGCACACCTCTTAACAATGTGTCTTAGCCATGATCTTCGAACACGCCATAGAGAAAAAAGTATCGGGCAAGAAAATATCTCCCTGAAAAATAAGTTAGCCTGTAACAAATAACTGTAAAAACCAGAAAGAGAATTATATTATTTATACAAAAATGACCAGCAGAACATATCATGCCTTATGGGTTCAATCTCTGCTGCAGCATCATCAACTAAAAACCCACTGCATTTCCAGCCAGGTTCAACTGAACGAGCTCGATCAAGAAGGGCTTTCATCCATTTTGCAACATCATGTTTTGCAACACTGCGAGTAATGATCCAAGCAACAGGGAGTGCATGTTGCCTTGAGTCGAATACAAGAATTGTTCGAAACGGGTACTGCAGTTTAATAAATCAAGATTACAAAAGTGAAATATGAACTTTTCAATAAAAAAAAAAAACAAAAACAAAAACAAAAACATAAGTACTACCTTCAGGCTCTTAATCCCAAAAGTTGAATCAGCTGCTACAATATTTCGATGGCCAAAACGGACCATTTGCTGCAACTGCCACTCTGTCTGTATTCCCAAAATAAAAGGATCTGTTTTTGACGTATCTTGGTAAAAGAAAATAGACTTCTTGTTGCGCTCAGCCCATAACCGAATGCTGGCTTGGTCATCAAGATCCAACTCATGTGTTGAACGTTTGATAATCATGCCAAGCTTCTGCACATATTGAGAAGCGAGGCTATTCACCTGGGGATCAGTACCACAATATCGCTGAATCCCCTCAATGTGTTTTTCTAAAACATTCTCTTCAGGTATACCAAGATATATCATCGACATAGTTTGTTGTTGAATTTCGCTGCAAATGTATGGAATCTTCTTAGCCTTGGGGCCTATGGCATCCCGATCAAGGGGTCCATGGCATACAAAACCAGCTTTATTAACATGTCGTTTTTCGTTATATATGAGAAGTGCAAGAGAAGGACGGGCATAGAGCCGCTTCACAATAAAATGACATGTACAACCCCGCATAGATTGAGGCCTAGCTGCACGGTTTCGAGTGTTGAGCCGATATTTCCTACTTGGCAAGATACCTCCCCCTTCCCCATAATTTTCAGGTCCAAAAGAACACCAATACCTTGAATAAGAGAAAATAATAATAATGATAATCAATTGGGAAAGATAACACAAAATTTGTATTTTAGTGATCAAAGTTGTAAATGGAGCATGGGCTTTGTTAATAGTCTTAAGGATTCAGTATCTGAATGGTAATATCGTCAATACAACCAAAATTTTATGATCCTAATGCTGATTAACTCATGCACAATTATATAAATCATAAAAGACAGGAGCAAAAGCAAAATGAAATGTGCAACTCACATTCTATATTCCAGATACTCATCATTTTTGTATTCCTTTAAGCTCCCTTTGGCTCGTTTTCTACCTCTCTCAATGTGAAACCGTGTGGGGAACTCGACATTAGAACACTCTCCAATGATAAAGGCATCAACCCGATCATAAGGGATAAGGGCTACATCATCACAGCGATCTACACTTCTAAGACTGATCCAGTCCAAATCGGCAGAAGAGAAGTCTTCCCCAGAGGGATCTTGCACTGGAAGATCATCAATGGATTCACATACTTCCATTTTCTTTGATTCCAAACCCTACCAAACTGTTAAGAATTCACAGCACAAACTGCAGGAAATGAAAAACATCTTTCATCACCTTGTCACCTCCATTGGCTACATGAGGGGGTAAATTGCATATTATTGAAGGTGAAATACATACCATTGCATAGAAATAAATTAAAGATTGCATTGCATTACCTCAAGTTACATCATCCAAAAAGTTCAATACTGTGGTTACAGAAATAAAAGCTAGTTCCTCATAATTTCAACATCAAGAAACAATTTATACAAAAATAAATAAATAAATTAGAAGCATGTATGCAGTCAGAAGTCTAAGTAAACATTGGAGAAATAAATGGCGCTTGGATGTACCATTGGCATGCAAAATTACTCAAAACACTGTCATCTACCATAATAACCATCACCAAATTAATATTTTCTCTTAGATATATATATATATATATATACATATAAATTTCAACAATTGAACTTATTTTCAATTATAATTTGCATTCAAATTCAAGTGTATGCAATACTCCCAAAGGCCTACAACCTCCCTGCGTGTTCAAGTTAGTAATCAAGCAGTTATCAAAAATAAAAAGTTGTAATCAAGCATATACTGATCACTCAATCCCTTATATCCGTATTAAAAAAAAAAAAAGACATACCCATTCCACAAATACAACACACTTCAAAATTGAGTCCAAACAAAGCCAAATTGCACAATCAAAAGGGTTTTAAAGAGAGGACGTCTATCCAAGTAAATGAAATCAATATCAAGAAATGGCTTAATTCTTGCAGAAACAAGTAAACTATTATTCCGCACTGCAGGTAACTAAAATCCACAGGTGTCAACAAACTGGCCTCATAAATTAGGGAGAGACGACAAGAGCACTTACAGGGCTACGAAACTCCATTGAAAACAAGAGCTGTGCAAAGCGGGCGGGTGCAGAAGAGGGGTTTTCTGGGGAAAAAGTTCCTAGCTGAAGCAGCAAATAAGCCAATCAGCTCGTGCAGAACTGTATTCGGCAGTGACAAACGGAACAACAAACGACGCCAATAATAGAATCAACTAAGCAATTATTCGAGTGTGAATCGGTGCAACTCAGCCGATATTAAACTGTTTACATTCTAAAACGGCAAAAACTTGTCCGAAATCAAATTGAAAAAACAAACAGTAAGCACGTCAAAATTGTGCAAATTATTTTAATTTCTTCTCGTTTTAGCCATAAAAGCAAGAAAGGACTGAGCTTACAGTTATATCATACATATGAGCTCTAGGGGACGAAGCCGACTGAAGAAGAAATGGGGGGCAAGGATGACTGGCTTGACAGGGAGATTAGATTAGGGTTTTAGGGTTGGCAGGGGTTCAAGCTTCTTGTTTTAGCACGTTTCAAAATATCAGATTTTGGCTTCTTCTTTTTTTTATTTCAAATATATACACACTAATTATTTTACTTATTTCAATAAAAAATATATATATATTTAAAATGTCGAATAAAAATATTATTGAAATAAAAATTTAAATTAATATTTTATTTTAAATCAATTTAAAATTATAACTAAACACACAAATTCAAATTATTCCCAAATAAAGAAATGTTTGTTCATCCAAATAAAATTTCAAAATATGTAATATATATATATATTAATATTTTAATTATGACAAACATAATGTTCATCCAAGTTTTAAGGATATAAATTTCTATAAATATTATTAAAAAATAAAAGTATAATACTAATATACTATATAAATATAATTATAAGCAACAAGAAAAATAAATTCATTAAAAAATACTCTTTTGATCCGAAGTAGTCACACTTTTTATTTTGGTCAATCTTACAACTCATAATACTTTATTATTTATTTTTTTAAGTATTACAAAATTTTTAAAAAATTTAAATTTCAAATTTTTAAATTTTTAATTATGCCATGGATTAAAATATTTTTATTTAAAAAATATAACATAAAAAATAATAAACCCAACAGTGTTTTTCAGCTAATTTTGAAATTTTACTATAGGATTTGTTTCTTTGTTCCTCAAATTCCAATTTTTTATGGACTCTAATTTTAAAAATATATATTTTTATCTCACAAAATATTTTATTATATATTATTTTAATATCAAATTTAAATTCATCAAAGAAATTTTGTCATTTTATTATATGATATTATGAGACAAAAATATATTACTTATATTTTGAATCTAGTAAGATAAAAATATTTATAAAAAACTTTATTCTAAGATATTTTATATTTAAAATTTTTATTATTTCTAAAATAATTGAGGAAAATTCAAAAATCGTATCTAAATAAGCCAAAGAGTATGACGATTGTGGGAAAAATATTTGGTAGCACAATGATTATATCAGTGCAAAAAGAAAAAGTATGCATAATACTTATTGTTTAGTTGGCAAAGGAAATTGGAGAAAGCGAATGGGAATGCGAAAGGGAAAAGGAAATTAATTAAAGCCCACTCTCGATCCATCCAATCCAATATGTATTTCAATTCAATTAGTTTCCAACACTTTTTATTTACAAGTACATAATTTTTATCAAAATATTAAATCAAACATAATTTTTTTTTATTAAATATTATATTAAATACTTATTTTTTAGTATTACCAAATTTTTTCTTTGAATTCAATAAGTGATCCTATTACATTAAAGAGTGTGTTTCTTTAGATGAATTTGAAAAAAAAAAATTGTTTGAGTTTGGCATAAAAATAATGTTTGATGAAATATTTTGTAAAAAGTATATATATATTTTTTGGAAGAATACAAATTTAACAAGTAAAATTTAAAAAAACTATGGTAAAAAAAAAGAAAAAAGACCCTTTTGAAATATATTACTAATAGTAAGTGGATATATATATATATATGTGGGTAAAAATAATGCATGGTATTATTGACCATCTCCCCAAATAAGGGTGTCATCATCATGAAGGTTCAATTCAAATCTGGTCCCCCCCCCCCCCCCCGCCCACCCCCACAACACTAATAATATATACATACATACATATATATATGCCTTTTGGATTTTATTTCTTGACCTAACTCAACCCTCTTCATCTTCATCATCATCACCATCTTTCACCCATTCTTTTACACAGAAGCCCCCCCCGCCCCCCGCCCCAACACACAGACGCACTGTATCTATATATATGTGTGATCATGAAAATAATAGTCCTCAGGAACTTAATTCATTGATTAATCCAATCTACAGTTATACACTCAGCAGCATGCATGCATGCATGCATGCCATTATTACAAAACCTTATCATCATCACAATCAAGATTCAACAGCCAAATTTAAAAAGGGGGAAAAAGCACTTTAATTTAACTATATATAGATATATATATATATATATAAGCATTCAGGCCAAAAACCAAAAAACACTCGAAGACAACATTAAACTAGCTAGGTTAAAGAAAACCCTAATTAATTAACATTACACACTATATATATATATAAAGATCAACATCGAAATCAATTAAATACCTAATTAATTAATAATTAAACCTTAACGAAACACAAGGACGACGGCGATGACGACGACCTCGATCTGGCCACCGATTCCAAATCCTTCATCACGTGCGCCGCCGTCGGCCTCGCCGCCGGATCGCCGGCGGTGCAACGCAGGGCGACGCTCATGGTCTCCACAATCTGATTATTAACATTAATCTGTAAAGCCTCATCGTTAAAAACGTTCTTAAGGATTGAAGCATCGACCCACACTTGCAGATGGCAGTCCGAGTAGCAATACCGAGCCCACTCGACGATGCAGCTTCCATGGCCGCCGCCGAGCTCCATGTCCGCCGGAGTCTTCCCTGTCAGAAGCTCAATCAGAAGAACCCCGAATGCGTAAATGTCGCTCTTTTCTGACAACTCTTTTGATCCTTTGGCTTCTGAAAATCATCGTCATGTCAGAGAAAGATTCATTACTAATTACATATTTAACTATATGTATATAATTAATTACCTGGAGCAGCGTAAGCCGAGGCAATATTATTATTACCGAAAGCCTTTTTGGTGCTGTCTGAAGAAAAATGATTAATCATCCATGGCGGACTTAACCTCAAGTGGGCTTCATTTTTGTCGTCCACCAACACCTTTTTGGGTGTAATTTCTCCGACAACGATTCCAGGTGAGCAGGAAGAATGTAAATACTTCAGGGCTTTCGAAATCCCAAGAGCTACAGAAATTCGATGTTCCCAATTTAGCCTGGATATCACTTCACTCAAATCTTTTCCTTTTATATATTCGTGGACCAAAATCAATCCAGCCTCTTCCGACGACCTGCAAACTGCCAGCAGCCTGACAACATTTGGATGATTAATCTTGCAAATCTGAGTCCATTCGAACCAACAGGTCGACGAAATTACTGCAGTAATTTCTTTAACCAGGAAGGGCTTTCGATCGAAGCTGGATTCCCCTTTGTAAGACAGACCAGTTCTTCCACTCGCCACCACATTTTCTTGTCTTCTTGCCGACAATATTATATCCTCGATTGTTATCGATCTTGCAACCTTATTATCTGCAAACTGCAATTCCCAAATTCCATCTTCGCTTTCCACTCTTTTCAAATCGGAACTGAACTTCCTTTGCTTAATGAAAATTGCGATGAAAACAACCGCTGCAAACATTGTAATAAAGGCAAGAAGAAAGGTTAGAACAAACCATCGAATGTGGTTGGCTCTATCGTGGTTGCACGACGGCAAGCCGCTTGTTTTGTGTCCTCCACAGAGGTTTTTATTACCAGCCACCGAGCTGGAGTTGATTGCCATAAATGCCCCTGTCGAAGGCAAGCTGCCATGGAAATGGTTGTGGGAAAGGTTGACCTGAACAAGCGACTGAACATCCCCTAATTCCGATGGAATTTTTCCTGTCAATTCGTTGACAGACAAATCAAGCTGTCCGAGAACAGGCATGGCAGCTAAGCTTGAGGGTATTTCTCCACTCAGATGATTGTGATCGAGGTCCAAACTCACAAGCTTCTTGCAGGAAGATAACTGGTCCGGAATTCGACCTGAGAGTTGATTTCCACTTAATTTAAGTTCCATCAGCTGCGAGAATTCTCCGAAGCTTTCCGGAATGCTGCCGGAGAATTTGTTCCCCGACATGTCCAAGTTTTCGAGCTTCGAGCTGCCAAAGGAACCCGGCAATGGCCCGAAGAACTCGTTTTTTGCCAAGCTTAACATCTGAAGCTGCGGCATATTCCATTCCAGGTGATCGATCCTCCCGGACAGACTGTTGCTCGAGACATCAAGAAAGTAAACCGCCGGAAGAGATGTGAAAGAATTTAATTCGCCGGAGATTCGATTTTTCTGAATTCGAACACGCTGTAAGTTCTTGCAAAGGCTTAAACTCCTCGGAATTTCGCCTTGGAGAGAATTGGAGAAGAGGATAAGCTTGAGCAGATGCCCTGATGCACAGACACTTTCTGGAATTTTTCCAGTTAGATTATTGGTGGAAAGATCCAAGACAGTGAGGTTATTGTACCTGCCGAGATCTGCCGGGATTTCGCCGGAAAATCGATTCGACCATAGCTGGAGGACTTGGAGGTGAGGCAAGGACGACACAGCTTTGGGAATCTTTCCTGAAAAGTTGTTGGAGAATAAATGGAGGATTTCCAACTTCTCCAGGTGCACCAGAAGCTCAGGAATCTCTCCCGACAGGGAATTGTCACTTAAATCGAGGGACAGTAATTTCTTGAGACTGAAAATGGAGGTCGGAATTGTGCCTGTAAGCTTGTTGAAGTAGAGGAAGAGGTGTTGGAGATTAGTGAGATTGCCTAAAGATTGAGGGATTTGGCCTGTCAGATTGTTGTAAACAAGATCGAGATGATTCAAAGATGGTAGCTCGCCGATTTCGTCTGGAATGGGGCCTGAAAAGTTGTTGTATCCAAGATATATCCATTTAAGCTTTTTCATGAGCCCTAATTTCGCTGGAATTTCGCCTGTCAGTTGGTTTGATGCCAAAGTCAAGAACTCCAACATCGTGATGTTTGTCAGAGAGTCTGGAAGATTTCCCGACAAGACATTCCCACCAAAATCGACGACTTTGAGACCTGAAAGCAAGCCAATGTCGCCTGGAATCTGTCCCGACAGCATATTATTGGACAAATCGAGCGTTTCAAGAACTGTTATGCGGGCGCTAGGAATCGGCCCTGTCAGGTTATTGCCGCTCAGGTTGAGATGTCTGAGGGAGAAGCAGGAAGAGAATCCCGGTGGAATTTCGCCGGAAAAGTGGTTGCCGGATAAATCGATGACCTGGATATAGGGCAGCCGGAAAATGGAGCCTGGAATCGTTCCGGATAAGTTCTTTCCAGGGAGCTGGATTTTAGAAACGTGGGAGGAATCGAAGCAGGTGATTCCACTCCAATGGCAGAAGGAGAGTGAGGAATTACTATTCCAGGTGACGAGGGAGTGAGAGTGGTCGATTATGGAAGCTTTCATGGAGAGGAGCAGCTGGAGCTGATCAAACCCTTTGCACGTGGGGAAGACGATGAATAGAAACCCCAGCAGAAACATTCCGAACCCTTCCTTTGCCATTTTGCAAGTTTGGGAATAATTATGCAGCCTGGATGATGGGATGAACAAAAAGCTGTCAGCTAATGGAGATGATCACTCTTCATTCTTCTGCAAAAAAAAAAAAAACATCATGGGCAACACTTGTGACCATAATTCTCGGATCTGATGTTGTTTATTATTATGATTGTTGTTGTAATAATATTTTAATAATCCAAAAAAGAAGAGATAAGAACACACACACAAAGAGGGACACATTCATTCAGAGACACGCACAAACACAACTTTTAAGGAAGAATCTTTCTTACACAGACATGTATTATTAAGAAACAGCATTTGCTATATCATCATTAAGGTCGTTCATGAGATAAACAATAATACCTGTATATAAACACATACATATGATAAACGAGAGCATGAAGAAATAAATAACTAAATCCAGAAGCAGCCCAGAAATAGGAAGAGTACAGATGAATGAAATTAAGGCAGTAAGTACCAAATAAGAGAATATAGATGGATAGATGGAGAAACAGAAACCAAAATTCTTGCGACAGAAAAAGCTGGATTGGAGGCAACGTAACTCTGAATAAAAACGTAATTAGATTAGAGCAGTAGGGTAGGGTAGGGTTTGTTTGAGGTTGAACTTGAAGTGGGCAAGAACTCCCAAGGATGATAGCAAGCTATATATATATGTGTAATATGTATGTATGTATGTATGTATATTCACAGAGGCACAGGCACAGCACACGAATGGTTTGTAATGAAAGGGGGGTGGGGGTGGGAGTGGGGGAAGATGAAGAAGAATTGATTATGAAAAGGCACTTCTTTATTGCAAGCTGCAGTAAGAGGCTTTTGTCGGTTATTACCAAAATTCTTTTTTGACTGCTTTCGAAAGTGACTGATGACAGACAGCAAGCAAGCAAGAATATTTTAATATTGAATGAATCGAAGCTTTTCTTAATGGAAATTCCCTGCTGCTTGAACAAGCTAGCTAGCTAGCTAGCTCATCTCCCAATGCAACAAAAGATTTTAAAAGAAAGAAAGAAAGAAAGAATTTGCAGAAATGCTGGGAGCTTTTAAATTATCTGTGTGTGTGTGTATGTATGAATTGAATGGAAGGTTTCTTTCTTGATACACATGGAGGACAGAATACATTGATAGAGACGACATTGGAGATTGGAATTGAAAAAGTGAAAGATCTTTTGGGCAATAAAATTTAGTAGTAGGATTGTTCTTTCTCTTCAATTTCTTCTACTATTGCTTCAATTATTGGCCTCTTTCTCGAAGGAATATCCACTGTCTTGTCTTTGTCAATTTAGCATGCTTTCATTTCATTTTTATTTGTATTATTTCTCATTTCTCATTCATTTTTTTATTAGTGTAAAAATTAATGTAGATACATAGATAGAATATATTATTGTTTTTATTTATTTATTTATTTTTGTTTATTGTTGGCTTGCTGCAAAGAGTGCAGAACATTGTGGCCATGCTTCCACTAAAATTCAATGTACCACTTTTGATGATTAAAATAAATTATTACAACAAATCTCTACTCTTAAAAATTCTTGTGTACAATATTAATAAATATAAAAATAGTTAGTTGAGATGAGGTAGGCGTGACAAAAGCCCACCCATTTCCACTAAATACGGTTTGTCCACTAATTTTCAGATAACCCTCAATCTCTTAATTAATTAATTAATTAATTAATTGTTAATTTTGTAAGCTGTCTAATCCAATCATTGCACAAAGTGCAATTAATTAAATAAAATTACTCATTGTTAATGTTAAGCGTGAACACATAGCAATCCATTAACTTACTTTGATGTAACAAAGTTAAGAATAAAATACAGCACTTCTTTTTAAACCATAGACATATATACTTTATTATAAATTTTATTTGTTTGCCTTTTTTAAATATATATATATATATAGATATTTTTAAAAAAGACTAGAGATGGGCCTGTGAGGATTTAAAGCCCAATAGCTGTTTTGGATAAGCCTGAGGCCCAATTGTATAAATATCATCCAATCATACATAAATTTCCAAAATATCTGTTAAAACTTGTATTTATTTCTTACATTTAATAGGCGTCGCAGTCACGTAGTGATTTTCTACCATTCTTTTTTTTTTTTTTTTTTTTGGTGAAAAGAGAAATAAAATCTTTTTTTATTAAATTCACAGGCGACCTTTTGTAAAAAATTTGGGGAAAAGGGGTTTCCTATACATTCACTTTTCAAAACATAAAGCAAATGCAAGCACACGTGTGGGAGTCACGTGCTAGGTTGGGACCATGAACTTAAATATATTGGGTTATTTTTACATGAACCATGTGAAATTAAAAAAGATATTATTGGACAGGACCACAAACTACAACTTACTGTTACTTGGGCTGTAGTAATGTAAATGTCGCTTTATATAGAGTAAAATGATTTTTATTTTTTTTATTTTTTTTAAAAAAGAAGCAAATTCTGTTGAATATTTATGCATGCATGCATCTAATGAATGTATCATTAATCGTGTAATGATGAAAGTATTTATATATATATATATATATAGATGTGTGTGTGTAAAATGTTAGCAAAGAATATTGATCTAAGTAGTGAAATTAAAGGTAGTAATTTTATTATAAAACAGTGCTAATTTGAGACTTGCATGATTAATTATTTAATTCTCATCACAACAAAGAATATTCTTACCAATTGAACTCATTATGCAAACTGAGTTAAATGTTTTTTTACCAAATTACATGTCTAGGAATAATTATTGGTTACAAGAAACGTATATAATGAGAAAGTCGGGAATTAAAATCCATGAGCAAAATACAAAATTGTGTCAGCTAAAATAAGTACAAGACACAATGAGACCATCCAAATTAAAAATGGACCAGCAGCAGCAGCAACAACGGAGCTTATGCATATATGCATGTAAAGAGAATAATTAATTCAATATGCTACATATATATATATATATTTTAATTGGTAATGAATAAATGAATGGGTTTCAAATGAGAATCATTTCTCGAACTCGAGTTTTAAGTGATAATATATATATATATATTATAATAGTCATGAAAATGGCTTTGAAATCAAATCGATACAATTATAATACACTTTAAATATTATTAAATCAAATAACTTCGAAAGTTAGCACGATTCATTCCCAATTGCCTTCTTTCTTTTGCTTCCAAAGATCCGAAACTCTTTAAAATGCCCTCAAAATTTTCTGAATCCAGTCTAAGAAGTTTTTTAAATTGTCTTGGAATTAATTCAATATGTGAACCAAATTTGTGATAGTTATATATATATATATATTGATACTCCAACATGACTAATTAATTAATTAATTAAGATTTCTCATGCATCAACCAAATTAAATGCCCTAAACTTACATACAGACACTAGATATATAACACACACACACATATATATATATATATATGAACTCTATGTATATCGGGCAGCAGCCTGTCCTGATCGGTTCTTACACAAACAAATACACAATACATACATGCATATGCATATATATAGACTACATCTCAATCCTGGGGACGCAGCTGGAAGTTCTGGTGATTATTGATGTTTTGGAGGAGGGATTGTGTTTGTGTAGTCGTCTGTTATCGAAGCTTTTCTTGGCGATTCCCCTCATGGCCCATGCAAATGAGAGCTTGGGGTTAATCCTACTTGTGGTGTTGAACTCCCGGACGAACTTCACAGCTTCTTCCATGCATGCTGGTCCTGGTCCTGACACGTGGCGGCGCAGCCTTTCATTGACGGCCTCGGAGCAAAGCCCGCAGACCCATTTGCCCGAAAAGGAGCTCCGGATCCGGGCAATGTATTCGTGGGTGCATTCTTCTTTGAGGCCGCAGCACTCGCACTCTGCTACTGCTACTGCTACTTGGAAGATATTATTATTTGTCTCTTTCTCCTCGTCATCATCCACGACATTATAATTGATGCCTGCTGCTCCCAATTCTTTGCTTACGTCCGACACTGCCTTTCGTAGAAATTGATGATCATGATCGCTCTGAATCAATTAATTAAACAGAATCAATCTGTGCATGCATGAAATGATGGAATGATATACATATATATGTATAGTTCTTGAAAGAGATGTAAAAATGGTGTGTGTGTGATCATGCATATATACATATATACATACCATAATTGGAAGGACATTATTGGTGCAGGTGGTTTGGGGTTGTTCTTCAACTGCTAACTCAAACATCATCATCATCTGTTTTCTTCTATCTGAATAAAACTAGTATGGGACTAAACAATTACACCATATATGCTTCTTGTGGTGTGCTGTGGTCTCGACAGTCGAACACACACATATATATAGTGGATCTATGGGTTGCATTCTTCTCCAGCAGCAGCGTATTAATGAAGCAAGGACATTTATTTATAAATGATGATATATATTGAACATATATCAACATCAAGATTGAGAAGGGCCCTTTAATTTGTAGTCTAAAGTCTCTGCATGTTGAACACATACAACAGGCTAGCTAGCTTTCTTGACTGCCATAAATGACCAATTTGCACCCATCACACACAACTTGCATCCAATTCCATATGTATATATATATATATATGTTACGCACAAAAAATAATAATAATAATAATAATAATAATAATAATAATAATAATAAGGTATCCAGAGTCAGTCGGTGGGTTCTCAGTTGGTTGGTTCTCAATCAGATAAGCAAGTCAGATGGTCCGCGGTCGGGTAAGCAGGTCGGATTATCCGCAGTCGGATAAATGGGTCGGTTGATACAAAGGTTGGCTGCTATGGGGGTCAGTCGAAAAAGGAAGTCGGGCGAAGAAAGGTCTGTTGATAGGTCAGACGATTGAAGAGACCAAATAGTGGTCGTTTGATGGGGCGACCAGTGAGTCTTTTGATCTGGCGACCAATTATGTATCTAGATTGGTCGGTTGGTCGGTCGTTGGGTTATGCGGTTGGCGAGGCGGTTAAAGATATGTGTCAATGAAAGAGGCAGTTCTGAGTTCTGTAACTGGTGGGAACGGTTGGTGAGACAGTGCGACGGTTCTGAACGTTTTCTTCAAAGAATATTTAAGGATTTGGATCATCATTTGGCAAGGCATCTTCAATCAACTTCAACAAAGCAAAGTCAGATTTGGGGATCACCACTTTAAATTTCAGTCTTTTATTTTCCAGTTTATTTTCTGTACCATACAGTGTTTAGAGATTCCTAATCTCAGGCACTAATTAATCAAGTTTAAGGATATTTTCTATATCTTTGAATTTTACTTTATTTTTGTTGAAAAATTACATCAACAATATATATATATATATATGCATGGAATGGAGCACCCAATGCAATGTTTATGTAGTGGAACATGCAGGTTTGCTAGCTCGTGAGTATTCACAGGCTGCAGCTAATTAATACATATATAATAATAATATACACACAATTAATTAACAACTAATAATATATATATATATATATATTGAAATAGTTAGGTCCCTGCCTATATATGTCACTAGTGTAGGTAGCAGCTATATATACATAGTGAGTAAGGAAAATATAGGAAGGATCCCATCTAGCATTTGCTTCATTTGCATTGCCAATTTGTGATGCATATAAATGCAAATGGGGAGGGGGAGGGGGAGGATTGGCATGAACATCTTGTGATGCTTACTACATAGGGTTTTTTAAATGGATAAGAAGATCCAAGAAAGTTAAGATCATTGTTTATGTTTCTGTGCCTGTTTTACATAATACATGCCTGCCTGGTTTGTGTTTAAATTAATTGTTGCCCATTTAGTGTTTTAGTTTTGATCCCAATAGAACACAGCTGTACGTTCAAATTTGATACTTAATTTCAGTGAAGAACCTTGTAGAATGTTAATGGGTTTTTTTTTTATGCCAATATTCCTCCTTTCTTATTTGGAATATATACTGAGACAGGTCGGAACCATTAAATAATACCCAATGGAGTTGAAACTTTACTAGAAATGTTAATTAGTTCTGATTAAATATGATGTATGACATCTGTACTCAGATGAGCTTTTTAATCTAGTCTTAAGATGGAAAACATTTGGGGACATCATTTACTATGTTCTGAAGTTATATATATACCAAATAACAAGTGTTGCGGTAGTAGCTCAATTGGTTATATTTCTACAAATATGCACTTGGTAATAAGACATTTTTAGTATCCCCCTCCTCAAAAGAAATCAATGCTACCCTCTTAGCCAAAACAATTACAACAGAGCAGATCCACCAAGTAATGTAACCCATAGTAGAAATGCATCAAACCAAAATTTTTAAGGTTTGAGACCCCAATTAAGATTAAGAGAAAAGTTGGACCAACAAACCTTCAAACGCATGCAATAAATATCCTTCTCTTTGATTTTCCTGAGGCGCTGGTTTCTGCTGTCAAACTATTAGCAGTTGTTTGGCTCTCTCATTCCTCAGTCCAGTGAGGTATAATCAGAGCATTTTCCCAATCCCATGTGTCTTTTGAGTAGAGAATGTTACAACATACCCTGGAGCTGAATGCTCTGCTGTGGAAGCAAACATGATACGTATTGCACCTTCATCAAGTTTCTGATGTTCTGCGGATTTTCTTCTTTAACTTATCCTGTTCTCGATATCGTCCTCGTCGTTCCTCTCTCTGTCTCTTCTTTGAAAGTTGATCTTCCTTTGCACGCTCCACATCAAGGGCCTTCCTCTTGGCCTCTAACTTTTGTTTCTGTTTTTTCATCTGCATAACATTACAATTGACAATCATAAATTCAACGTGGATTAGCTTGCAATGATGACAATGTTTGAATAAGAAATCTGAATTGAAGTCTTCCCAACATGAATTAATACATTTGTTCTTGTATATGATCCATTTACTCGTTATTTTTTCAAAAGAGCGACACAAATGCAACACTAGCTCAAATAAGGCCATCACCAAAATGTTCTCGAATTTATATGAATCTATAACCACACACAAAATGTAATTACCTTGTCATTGTTAATAAGTTGAAGGTGCTGAACAAGAGCATGAACTCTTCGCTCACCAGCCTCCATGACAACAGCTCTCCTTTTTTCAAGCAATGGTCGTTTCCGAGCAGAAAGATTCTTGGGCTTTGATGCAAATGGCAGAGCAGCCTGAAGCGACTTGGGAATAACCAAGGGATTGAACTTCTTGGGTTTCCTTTCAATTGGCTATAAGAGAAACAGAAAAAGATGTTAAAAATTACACAATGGAAATAAAATTTTATGTTATTTATTCGACTTCAGAAAATATCAAACAGGTGAAAGTGTTCTTCAGAGTGTGGATGGAGGGGACTCTAGCAGGCTTGAGATCTCACCCTGTAAAGTGAATCCTTGTTGACCGGCACAGGAACATTTTGCTCCCTCCTCAACTCTGCAACAGTTTTCATCCCATGCCAAATCTTATCACGTGGCTGCAAGGCCGTCGTCAAAGGGTTGTAGAAGGAAGGAACTTCAACTTGAGTCCAAGCACGCAAGAACACAATATCACCCTTCTTTATTCTATCCTCAAAGGTGCACCTTGCAATGCCTTCTTTCGCAAATCCACCCTTCTTCTTGTACTTGTTACCAATTTCCTCTTTTGCAGCCTTTTTCAGTGGGGGGAAAAAAAGGTTACTTGCATGACAGTGCAATAACTACAATAAGGGAATTTAAATAAACCTGGTAGCTCAATAAGTACATAAAAGTAATGTAAATTCAACATGAATTCCCACAAGGCATTAATACCCCCATTTCTTTCGACATCATCTTCTAAGCTCTGCACTCATCATTTACCCTCACCTGCTGTATCAATCCAAATCACGGCAGAAGCAGGAGTTGCACTAAGTCACTAACTAAGCCTAAGTCTGTGTGTATTATCCCCCCTAATTATTATATGGAATACAAAAAGATTGAATACACAAAGGGTGCATGAAAAAGCAACCAAGAAAAGATGTTAAAATCTATGACAAATTATCAGCTTAACATCTGTCCTTAAGAAGAAACAGGATCATATCATGTTGAAGGTACACTCAACAAGAGGCATGAAATAAGTGAGCAGTTCAAGTAAATTGATATGATAGCAAGGCACATAAATTGTCACCAGAATAAATTAATTGCAGCAGAACGATATTGATGCTTTTGGAGAGTATTCGGGATAAAAATGGACCTTTTTCACTTGCCCACGGATTCCACTGACAGTTCGTATAGCTGCACCTTCAAATCTGGCCACTTCTAGATCTGAAGTAAACATGTCCTCAATAAAAGCAGTCTTCTTGAAAATTTTACACGCATAACCAACTAGCTTGATCTTCTTCACTATTCTGGCAGCATGGTTAAACTCTAGGACTGTACCAGTAGCTGTTATCCGAAATGATGCCTGAAAAGACCCAAACCGATGGATAATAATTAATTACAATAACATAAACTTTAAATAGAGACTATGCAAATCTAATACAGTTGATTAATAGAATGATTATAATGTGGTTACATAAATGAAACTTCTCTAACTGACGTGGGGTATTCTCACAATTACAATCCTGTAGGATGCTCTGTATATCCCAAAAGAGGACAAAATAGATGGTGGCAACAATAATTATACAACAAGAGCCAATAATATTCCAATAACCATGAAAATAAATAAATATATAAGAAATTAATAAAATCAAGAGGATCAAGGAAATTTAATCGAATGAATGTCAACCATTAACTGAATTTAAGCAATGTAAAATAAAAGAAACAATATAGAAGAGGGAAAAGCTTGGCATCTTTTTCAACCTTGACATACAACACAATAAACAGAAGTTTCTGTAAACAAGTTTAAGTGATGTTTCTGTATTAACCAAGTCATTTCCCCTGAAATACCCAACTTGGCCACACAAATGGACAATACTGCACCATCCCTATCATGGGGACATAAGATGAGCAGAGAACAAAATACATGGTTAGCCAATTTACCTGATTATTGGATAAATTCTGGACAGCAACCACACCAGCATGAGGAGGGGCAAGTGGACCCCAAAACATTGCAAGGCAATGCATGTGTTCAGGTGTGTATTTGAGCATACGATGACGCCCATTTCGGTCCTCAATGGAATATATGGGTACAGTTTGATAACGTCTCCACCCAATAGAAACAATTATTGGGTCTCTGGTTTTCAATACTTTTTTGTGCCATCTATGACGCTTCAGCCGAACCTTACACAGATAACGAAAAAATGAACAAAATGCTCAAGGAAAATAATTGATTTATTATAGCCTTCTGAACTTCATATGATGACTGATAAACTGATCAAATAATGCCCCAACCAGAGTTACCTGCATGTATCCAACATTTTCCTCCCCAAGAGCAAGGCCGCCAACAAGAATGGGATGACAAGGATCAAAGTTTTCAACCATTTCATAGGGCACATCATGAACTTCAAGCCTGACATATGTCCCAGTTCTGTACCCTTCAATCTCAATACGAGTGACTTCATCAAGTTGATTCAGCTCAGAAATATTTGCTTGCTTCTGAAGTTCAACCTCCTCCTTTAACTACAGGAACAGAACATAAAAGATAACTCATCCAACATTCAAATTTCGCATAAAAATCAGTACCCAAGAGATTGTACCTTATCAATGAAACCACTTCCACTGCTTTGACCGTGACCACGTCTAGTGTCATTATTGTCATCATCTTCATCTGGTAACTCAGAACCATCATACTTGAACTTGAATTAAGGACACAAGGTTCAAAAGCAATGTTCACTAGATTCCATGGGAAATTGGCATGCAACAATAACTCCCTATTGTTAGACTATGCAACTAATCACGCATCAGAAACTTGCATTACCTCAGAATCTAAAAAAAAGAACTAAATCAGGCAAGCGATCATACTACGTAATATTTTCTACATTAAAAGGCAGGCGATGTAACTTCCATAAACAAATGCTTAGTATGCATAAGCAATATCAACAGATGATAGCACAGAACTAAAATGAATTATAGCAAGTTGTCAAAAAGGATATTGTGCATCAAATTTTGCACGAAGGGCTAGTTTTTTCAGCCTCCGCTCCTCTGCTACCAATCCTTCAGGCTGACAGGAATTTCCAATATCATTCACTTGATAACCCTCATATTTCTCACCTGTTTCCAAGTCTTCAAACTCACCAAAGACTTCGTCATCATCTCCATTATCATCATGACCCACAGTACCTTCTGAGAGTTGATTTCTCAAGGACGCCTTAGACCAGTCTCCCGTGACAAAACGATCACGAATACTTCCAAGTAATTCTTCACTCTTCCAATCCTTTTGGCTGTTGTTGCTAATAAACTTTGAGCAGTCATCAATGTCCACATCATTGCCAACAATTCCTTCCTTTGATTTCTGCAAGAAATCAAGAAGTGCCAAAGTTACGGAAGAAATTTGGGCACATGCCTAAGTTATTATTATGTCATATAAACAAATATTCAGTGAGAGAGAGAGAGAGAGAGAGAAGCCCATTAGTGAACCTTGCTTCTTTCCCCTTTAGGCTTAAAGAATTCATCATCCTCATCACTAGAATCGTCAATCCCGTTGGAAGTGTTTGATGCAGGTGCCCCATATACAAGCTGCATAAGATTAATTTTCTTTCTAGATGCAGTTCGTTCTGCCAAGGATTCCTTCCACTTGGAAGCATTCCCCATCTCATCTTCTGCAAGACCAAACACACAACCAATGAGCAACAAAGAAAGTTAAGTTTGCAGAACTGAAAGGATGTATTTAAAAGAGAAGACAAAGGAGTGGGTGAGGAAGGAAGATATAATGAAGGCACTTCTGAAATCACATCAGACTACAAAAATATGAGATTGATCAACAAAAGTATAAATAAATAAACATCATTTCCACATCACCATCTTCTGTTTCATCATCGTCGTTTGATTCCAAATCATCATCATCATCACCATGGTCATCTTGACCATCATCTTCACCAGAATCCTGCATTCAGAAGTTATTACCATAGTTCAGTATAACAATGAAGGTAGATGATGACAATAAAGATTCGAACATAAACAGCTTTTCAACATTGCACCATATCAAAAGAAATTCTTGACAATAGCTATAACAGTATTGCACCCATGTCTTGACAGTCTTAATTAGTCAGATGTTACATAAGGCAATAATAAGCAAAACTTTAATCATTTACTTGACAAATAATTACCTCCGGATCATCAACATCCATTTCATCGTCAAAAACTGCTTTTCTTCTCACCCTTCCTTCATGGAAATCAATTTGTTCCCTGAAGTTGCTCGGGGTTGGAGACCCTTGTTCTGATGCATGGCCAGATTCCTCATCAGAACTATCATCCATAGTCCCTGAAGGCAACTTCTTATTAACCAATTTATCCGAGGATTCCAGACCATATTCATCGTCAGTATCACTGTCTTCTTCCAATTCATCATCTTTAATCTCTGACTGATAATGCTCAACAGGCTCCAATGGTAGTTCCTGGTTAGAATTTTTATGAGCATCAACTGAATCATTCAGAGCTTCAGGTGATGAATAAGGTCTTTTCCCAAAAAGTGAGATGAAGCTCTTCTCCAACTTCTCATCAACAGAATATTTAGTGTTTTGCAGAGATTTAACCAACTCAACACCAACATCACGCTGGCTGCCTGGCAGGGAAAGAGAGGAGTTTAGAGAAGCAAACAAGATGCAATTGTTATATACACTAAAGCAAAAGGATAACATTAAATTAATTCTGATGCTATAAAAATTACTAGATGAATGCAAAAATAACCTTTGTGTGTCCCTCCTGGATTAGCTCCATCATCTTTAGAGAACTGCACAAAATGATCATTTATATTTATATAGACAGCATCCTTATCATACAGAAGATCCCCCAGTCCAGACATGGGTGCATAAAATAGCTTTTCCTTATCACGCAGACCCTTCTTTTTCGCAGCTGAGGGGAGCGGACAAGGATCAGCCAATGCTGTAATTCCAGACAAAGGATAATCACCCACTCCAGCAACATGTACCTATTGCAGACACAATAAGTCATGATATAAAGCTATAACACCAAAAAAAAAAAAAGACCTCTATCATTCCTTGTACGCAAAACAGAAAAAACAAAGATATAAAAATCAAAAGCAGGAAATTAAAAAAAAAAAAAAAGAAACTACACAAATAATGAAAAGCTAGAAACATTATAAATCAAATATCTAAAGCATTACTCCAATGTATCAACTATAGAACATGTAAAAAAGAGACGATCTAAGTTCGATATAACATTCTGATAGGAGCAATAAGACAATGGAGCACAATATCTTTCCAAAAAACAAACCAAAACAAGTAGACCAAATAGCATACTAGTCATTGATGATCATTTAAGAAAAACAACAAAAAGGATTAAGGTGGATAATGGAGTCTACACTAGATAAGGCATATGAAAAAGAGAAACAATAAATGGTCTTGAAAACACCAGTAACTTTCACGGTAATGGATGAGATGACAACCAAAACATGTTTCCAAAGAAAATCCAAAATTATGAACATAAAAGAAAAAAGCATGTATTACAGGGCTATTAGCAAGTAACAAGCATCAAAATAGTATTCTAAACTGATTATTAAAAAATAAAAACAAAAAACGAAAGACAAAAACCAGAAATGGATCTAATTACTCTGATCCCAAACTGGCACTTGCTCAGCAGAAATAATATAAGTTGAAAGCATAAATAAGACAGAACCAGACTTGATACAAAATGTGTACCTTTGATCCCTTCTTCAAATTGCAGCCACGCAAATAACCATACAATGTAACATTTCTGTCACATTTACTGTTCACACGCACCTCCTCTGGGTGTGTGACATCCTCAAAACGATCAACTAGGATATAAGGATGTGAAACCCTCCAAGATAATGGGGGAAATTTCATGACAGAAATAAATCTCGCAAGATTGTGTACTTCACGTTTTGTGTACCTGTCCACATCCAAACAAGGATATATAATAAATGAGTCCTTGACTGTGCACCGAAGAATAACAAATACAAAAGAAAAAGATAACCACTTACTTTCCATGAATAAGGCCAGACAAGTAAAAGAGCTTGGCACCATCATATATCTCAGTCCAGAAACGGTGTTTGAGTCGTTGTTTCGTTTTCTTAAGTTTCTTCGCATCCTTGAATTTGTCCAGGTGAGTGAGAACACCCATCACTCTAGGAAATCCATGATTTTGTAATATGTTCAGGAATTCAAATGTTTCCTGAAAACATAGTAAAATCAGCCAAATGAAGGGAAGGGACACTTGAATGGATATACAAATAATGAACTCCCAAGAGCCACTTAATGGAGCAGCTAAGCATATATTATCAGGTTGATCATAATCAAACCCAGCAACTTTTGCCATTTATTTATTTATTTTTGGGGAGGGGGGGGGGGGGGTGTTGAATTTGACAGCAATAAAACCCCAACTCAGTTAACTTCTCCTAGTTGCAAATCATGCAGAGCATGACTAACAGATACCCTGCAAGTATGTTTACGCATCCATCCAGCTTCACTTCCCTCAATCCTCCTAGTTGCTTGTCAACTAGTAGTTCAATGACCATGTTTGAGATGAAATGTATAAGAGTCTCAAACTCCACTGATTACATCTTAATAATGTGAACCCTAACTTCAAAGAAGATGCAGTGCAATAAAATAGAGATGTGTAGAAATAAAAGCTCACCATTTCAAGGCCATAACTTCCATCAATAAGGAGTAAGGCTAAATCAGCAAACTTAGCACAATCAATCATGCCATTGATATCATTAGGACACTCCACAAACTGTAGTCTCCTTTGCTTTCCTGAATCATAAATCAACAATAACTTGTCATAAAACAAGTCAAACAACAGTTATTGTGATGACAGATATTTTAGAAGTGCAATATCCTTAGGTTCTAACTATCAACAATTACCTACGCTTTACAGATTTATATGCCATTAAACATATTATCAAGATCGTGATATGCTTTAGAGAACAAAAAGGTTCATTCTCACTTAAGGATGATCCCTAGTCCCCATTTCTTGGTACATAAAATAATAATAAATAAATAGACTTAAAAAATAAAAAATAAAAAAAAATTGAAAACAAACCAAACCTGATACAATTGTAATTGGGCCGCGAACCTCAGGTAAGTTGTGTTTTGTGTAATGCTTTACAAGACACTTGATCAGCAATGACTTCCCTACCTGCAATACCACCAAACCTATTCCAGCTTCAAAACCAACAGAATATGTACAAGCATATATGCATCATGAATGAATCCTAGAACCTCCATGAAACAGACCTTAGGTGGTCCCTGGACTACAACCACAAAGGGAGCGGGTTCCCCAGTAGAGCGATCAATGGTAGGGACATGAAGCCTTTTCTGCTCCTTCTCTGTAGCTCGTGATTGCAGCCGTTTAGCTTTAACAGTTGAAGTGAATGCAAAAGCCTATATCAGCCATTACATTCACATATGTCAAATAAAGCATCATATGAATATATGTGTGTGACGTGATTCACTATATTCAACGTAAGACAGAATCGATAAACTAACATGGGGGAACATTATTATTACTATTCTACGTAAGACAGAAAACCTTAGGCCTATGATGCTCCAAAATAATCATTTCAACTCTTGAACCCTGAAATCAAGATTATATAACGAAATACACAAACGCTGGACCAATATCTCAGATGAACCATGTTGGGACAGCCCGTTCAAGGTGGGGTGATTTGCTCTTCCGAAATTAGATACTAAGTCTACCTTCTTCATTGGATGAGCAGAGCAGTTACAAGGAATGATGGAAAATGCCTATGCTCAAACTCTACGCTGACAAATATCAGAACCCTGGCTTAAAATAATCCATTCCTCTAGCATTTTCTGAGGGTTTTAGTGCAGACAAGACCGAGGCAAAAACTACTTTAGATAGCTTGCAAGAAGCCACCATGGGACGTGTCTCCAACTAGAAGAACAGTTAAGGAACTCAAATCCACAGACTTTAAACACGATGAACTTCGTCCAACCAAGTGATCGCGTAAACAGAAACATAATCAAACTAATGATATCTCAGGACACTCTATTTATCGAAAATTACATAATAAACAAAATCAGACAGAAAACAAATTAACACAATCAGAGATACAACATTACTTCGACCGCATACCTTAGGATTGTTGAGCTTCTTCTGCTCCTTGGAAAGACCTTCGGTCGACTTTGCTTTGGACTTTCCTTTCTTTTTCTTCACAGATGCTCCTGATGTTCGAGTCCTGTGAGACTTGTGCGCTTGGTCATTGCTCCCATCTGCCATGGTCGCTACTTCACGAGCGCGGCCGAGAGACAGGGAAATATAAGGTTTTATGTCAGGCGAGGAAAGGGTTTTAACAACTTTGAAGTAGCGAACAGTATGTCTCTTTATATTTTTGGGTATTTATATAGCTTTAAGATTATGGGCCTAAACCTAAAGCCTAGCCCAGTAGGCCCAATACAATTCGATAAATTCCAAAATGGACCAATTTTAAACGCATTTAGCCCGACCCACGAAGCCCAAAAACAATTCCACTGAAGGACAATTGAAATAGATAGATTATTTTATTAATTATAACTTAGTACTATAAATAATTGAATTTCATAATACACAACAAACATATTACATTGGTAAATATTATTTATTTATTACTAATTACAGTGTAGTGAAGTGGGCTTGGTCCTCCATATTCCGTACCGTCCCCTGAAGACCCGAGTCCAGATAAGCAACCCATTCTTCACGGGTCAAGCCTTCAACCGGGTCGCCCAAAAATGACCATTCGATCTGGCAACCAGAGACCCCATCTCCACCGTTGATCGCAGTCACTCTCATCGTGGACGTGTACCGCTTGATCCCTATATTGTTCTCCAGAACTTCGTAGCTCAAGCTCCGACCGATCGGATCCATGGCCAACAACCTCTCATGGCACCACTTCACCACGCCTTCGGAAGGCGGCGGGAGAGTGGCGGCGCAGTAGCGGACGAGGCCAGGCCGGCCATCGACGCCTTCGATTCTGCGGCAGGTGTCGATGGCTGGGAACCACTTGTGGAAGTTGCAGAAATCCTCCAGGAACGACCACGCCGCTTCTGCGCTCAGACTAAGGACCTTCGCAGTGGCTTTTCCTTCCCATCGGGGACCGTCCGCCATGAATGAGCTCTGAACGTTTCTCTGTGGTAATTATGGTATGAGTATGACTACCCTACTCTGCTCAGAAATTGGACTGTTACGAAGAAAATCAATGGAGAAAATTAAAGTGTAGCGTAGCGTAGCGTGGATAGACACGGGATCGGTTACGGTTTTGATTGATTAAGATGGAAGAACAAGACGATGACTGAGATTTGATGGTTGAATTAATTTTGTCTTTTATGTTAGTGCCTCAACCATAATATAGGTTAGAATGACATAATCCAACATATGTTCTACCACCAAACATTTTCACTACTAGAGAAATCATGACAGTCCTGACCAGTCACACTCATTAAATCAAATGAAATTTTTTTTTTCTTTTTTCTTTTTGCCAAACTTGAAAAGTCGAAAAATATTTATCTATACGTAGCTAAAGAGAATGTAGACTCTGATAATCAAGCATAAATACGAAACAAGAGGAGCTCGAAGAAACTTCTCGAGCCTTACAATCAAAAATTAAAATCAAAATCCAAAACACTAGTGTGTCTCTTTGGATTTTATTTTTTTTTATTTTTTTTTCAAAATACAAGTAGAAATTAAAAAAAAAATTATCTAAAGAAACACAAATCTTTGTCTCTCACTATGAATAAAGATAACACCAGATAGCCGCAGCATGAGGCCTAACCTTCAAGGATCGATGTTGAGATGAATGCCATATTAATACTACAACACAAACCACATTTTGTCGACAATGGTTCCACCGGTGCGAAGCATGAGGCCTAACCTGCAAATGGTTCCACCGGTGCGAAGGGTTAATATATAATCAATGCATTCGAAGTGTATTAGAGAAAATGCATAGAAGAGGCCAGGTATCATATATGATCACAAACAGGCAAGACACTACAACAAAATATCATGAATAGGCAACACAGATCCGCTTCATCGCGCAATGATAAAACTGAAAAACATCACATGAACAAAAGGTACAGAACCAGAACAATTACCCGAATGCTCTTGATCCACCACACTTGAAATGCTGGATGCAACAAACACAAACAGTTCGAGTCGATAATTAATTAGCAGAAAACAGGGGCGTGTAATGACAAACAGGATAGATACAACTACATACTTGTTGTGGGTTCGAAGAACATACTTGATTCCCTACGCCACAATTACTCCTTGAATGGAAGCATTGTTCCACCTGAATGCTAAGAAAAATATAATGTAGTATTCAGATTAGTTAATCCCTAATGAGTACTGAGTGAAAATATTTTGTAGACAGATAATCAGTTTCAAAATCTGATTTCACATGCCGGAAAACCATCACCAATGTCAACACTGCCTGTGCAGTACAACATAATGTAACTACTGTTCCATGCTATACAAACTTCCAGGAACAGAGCAACAAGAGCTACCGAAGGGGAAAACCTGCCTAAACATTTAGACAATTGCAGTTTCTTGCAGAGGTATTACATATATATATTATGATAATGGTTACAGCAAGCAAATCAAAGTCCCTATAGGCATGATGCATCAGCCTCAGAGCAGAGAGAAAGTTATCAGGTTTCTCCAGCGGAGAAAAAATCGGCATTTGCATATTGCCTGTGAGGAACAGATGATTTTCTATGCCAGGAAATTTTGAAATTTCCCTCTCCTCAAGATACAGTTCTTCCATAGCACATTGATGCAATATAAAGGTTTTTGGCCCATTTCTCCTGCAAGGAACAAAAGTAACTCTGAGAACAAACTATGGAGAAAGTTTGCCAATGAAAAAGTTAAAAGAAAATGTAAAATCAACCTTCACATGCAGGCTTGGGAAAGCTGATGTCCGAAGCGTCTCCTGTGTTTCATCTGAAGGTTTTCTTCGGGGAACACTAAGAACAAGGGCGACTTGATCACTTGTTCCTGCAGTTGATGTTATGCGGTAGCCAGCTTCCCACCTTCGATGAATACCTTCGCTGGGATAAAGAAAATCTAGCTCCACAACCTGAAGCAGATACAAAACATACGAATTAATTCCTGTATGTGCATTCATGGTAATGGGTCAGGGGCTAGTGACAGCATGGACAAGTGATAAAACATACTTGATCGGAGAATCCAGCTCCACGAGACATAACAATTGCCCATTTGGATCCTGCTGTACCCATTGCCGTAACATAAAATCCCTCTCTCCATTTTTTGTTGATCCACTTAAATGGAAAAGATTCGCTAATTTTATAAGACTGTTGGAGGTAGTGGGTACCTGTATCATGGGAAACACCATTAGTAGAATCATGTAAAGAATCAAAGAATCTGCTCCCATATTATATGTAAAACTAACCCTTTGACATAACCACTAATGAGCTACCATCATTAGCCCCTGCTACAGCACTGATGTAATAGTTCTTCTCCCATTGCTCCATAATCCATTCCTGACATTAATACATTGACAATTTAACCATTCTGCAGAATAATGCTGGTGAATATTTGTCACAGTGACAGATGAAATTAGCTTTTAAGTTAAAAAGAACAGAGGTGAAGAAATATAATGAAACCTTATGAAGGAAAAAAGGTGACCATTCATAAACTTGAGAACTAAATCCAGTTCCGGCGTCCATAATTAAGGCCCACAGATTGGAACAAGATGCTACACTGCTGATAAATAGTCCATCCTGATTTCCTTTATCAATGTGCTGAGAAAGCCTCGAATCCACAACATTGTAATGGTATCTACAAAAACACATAAAGTATCTTGTTATAGATTCTGAGATTGAAGAATTAAATTACAAAGAATAAACTATGATACCTTTGCTTCATTGGTCGTCGGGCATTATACACACTTATCCACTGTGTTGCGGGCATTCCTATCCTAACCTTCTTCTTTGGTTGGTCATTGTCATCATCATCCATCAAAAACCTTCCTCTCTTTTGTCCCACATGATATATAAGCTTCAAAAAAAATGTAAAGAAAGATTAAACCCAAACTTACAGAGAACTTTAAGGTACCGGAAAAAAAAAAAAAAAAAAAAAAAAAAAAAAAAGGGACCTTGGAGGGTTACCTTCTGAGCACCTTCAGTATTGATCGGTCTGATATCTGGATTCGGACCAACTATTCCATCAAAAAGGGATATATATTTCGCATAATTAGGCTCCTCGTCGAACTTTAAGTTAACAATATATTCAACAAACTGTCTAAAGGAAGCAGGGCAGAAGCAACAAAGAGCTTCTGGAGAAGTTGCCATCTTCTTTTTGCACACAAGGAAACCTTTATTTTCGCCCTACACAATTACCACCATGTGAGTATGAAGGATGAATCTTGCATAAATAAAATACAGATTTTGAGCATCCTGCTAACCTGGTACCCTTGCCAGGGAAGCCGGCCTCGGAGAAGAAATATGAGTGTATACGCAAGAGACTCTAAATCATCTCTACGGCTACCAGTTCGGCCAAGATGAGCATGTACGCTGGCATACCGCACAGTTCCCCTGCAATCTCAATGTCACCATGGCATGAGAAAAATGAATTTAAACAGAACAATAAGCACGCACACGTAGAAAAAGAAAAGAAAAATTAAAAAATGTAGCAAAGTCACCTAAACACATCTGGGCGTTGATCATATTCAACATGAAGACCAGTATTACTATCACGCCACTTGGTAGCTGCATTAAAACATAAGAAACAATGATAAAAGTCAAATTCTCATCACATTTATAAAGCTTAATGCAAGTTCTATAATCTATATATAAATTGGCCATATGCACTGTGCAAGTAAGATTACCCAATCCTAAATCAACAAGAAAAAGTTTCTTCTCATCCGGTGTTCCAGGTGGACCAAGCAAAAAATTTTCCGGCTTCACATCCCCATGCACATATCTGCAGGATTATTAACAAGCAAGTCACATCATCGCACTCTTGCAATAAAGGCACATCATAACAATATTTTAAGTCTAGAATTCCACGGCAGAGCTGAACATTTAGAACTCAGTACTGGTGCAAGGAATAATAATTGACAAAAAGAATAATAGGAAAATTACAGGATTTCCTGAAATCAGACCAGGACATGCCACTCAGCTGCCAAGGCATTCTGAGACTATCACTCATCCACTGCACATGATCAGAAAAGAGTCCAACTTCTTGATAATATTACTTATATATTGGCATGTTAGCCTGAACCATCTACAACTGTGTGAATTTGCATACTTCTTATGTCCGGATTCATATATTAAAACACGACAAATTACTCATAGCTTTAATGCACAGGTTCTATGAGTGGTCAAAATCAATAGCACAACCGATTTTTGCAGCCTGACATGCAATGGACAAGTGTTAAATAATATTCAATTAATTTAGACTTGAGAGTTGAACCAGATTTTCTCTAAAAATTACAAATAGCAATGTCAAATGACTTACACTAAGCATGTATCAATAAGTTTGATTTCTTTAGTAACAACGACACTTCGTATTCACGATGGTACAAACCAATATAAACACATGTTCTATAAACATGCCACAGACTATCAGCAATCATCTAACATATAACAACATATTCATCATTAACTCCTAAATCACAGCTTAAGTCACGAATCGAGAAAAGAGAGCTTCAAGAGAAATACCCTTTAGAATGCAACTTCTCTAAAATGGAGATTGCTTCAATGGCAATACATGCCACCATTTCTATTGACATTCTGCAAAACAATATTATGTTACTTTGACTCAAGACTTATACAGTAAAAAGAACTTATATATTTGAATATTAAAACTGACGCATGAGAATTGTTGTTCCAGACATCCCAAAGACTAGGGCCTAGCATATCCATAACCTGAAATATAGTTCAATAAGTGAGACCATAAGATATACAAAAGATTTTAGAGGAAAAATATATATATTTAATAACGATCATATACCATAATATAGTAGTCAGACTGTCGCCCTTTAAAGTGTACGCGAGGTATACCATGACTGCCGCCGAGTGCACTGTGGAGAAATAATACAGAGATCATTATACGCAAATCTTGAAATAAGCATGTAGAATTATAATAGCAGTGAATTCAAAAAGAATACTCACTTGTAGACTTGCCATTCATAGGGAGGTCCATAGTTACAGCCTTTGCTGCTCCGATGCTCAAACTTCAGTGCAACCTACAAGGGAAAATAAATGTAATATAAGCCCACAAAATATAACCCCAGATTATGGAATCAGTAAATAAATCAAGTACCTCAACAGCACCAGGACCGGTTCTTTCATGTGGATTTGAGGGATTGAGTCGACGACCTACATACACTTGTCCAAAACCTCCTTTACCCAGTTTCCGCTCAATTTTATAAGTAGGAGAACCACCGACTCGGACCTGTTGCAGACAAACCAACCATAGATTTATACAGGCCACAAGTTATAACGGACAGAATGCGCAACAATGAGATCAGCATTAGATTTCCTTGGGATATAGAATTCCAAAGCACACATACAACTTCAAAAGTAAAACTATGAGAAGAAAATTGTCCTGCTCGAGATCAACTAATAGAACACGTGTACAACCATGACCATAAAAAAGATCCATATATGGAATAAAAAGGGTTCATGCCTGCTTTCCACTTGGCAACAACGCCCGCTTTATCAGAAACGCAAATGAATCAAGTACAGCTATCTCATATCAAAGCTTGTAGTAACTTGATCATACTTTTGATGCCATAGTAAATTCATCTAAATCGATATCTACCATAAATGTAACAAAATCCAAATTTCGGCGTCAGCAGCCTCCTCTTCAATCCTCAAGTATCACTTACCAAAAAATCCCCTTGATAGGGCAGTTATATTTAAAGTAACCAAATATCCTAATTACTATCTATATGGTTTTGTTTTTAAGCTGACGAAATCATATCACACACTTGAAGATAATTAAACGACAAAGATCAAAATGAAAAAAAAATGGTTTTGTTTTCAAGGAGAACAAGTATTGATAAGCTTCAAATTTCGAGAACAGCACCAAATATAAGCGAACAATACATGAGAATATAACTATTAAGTCAATGTTGGAGCCCAGTAGGCCAAAACTCACCAACAAGCTTCTCTATAATACCATGGCCGATGATACATTTTCAGCTCAAGATCAAAGAAAGAAAGCGAATACTAAAATAGAAACAGCCCATCATCTCAAATAAAACATCACTTTGCAATTAAATTCCATAAATATATATTTCCCGGAAAGGTGAAGAGCAACTAACCCTTTCAGGAAGGGGTGCAGTTCCTTCATCTTCAGCAACCAATCCCTTTTCACTGCCACAGCCACCACTATCGTGCTCATCCATCGTCTAGATTACCTTGTGTTTCACACTACCTTGCTCTATTATAATCGACAACCTTCAAGGAATCTGCTTCCTTAAAGATGCATCAGCATTTCTTTTTCCAGCCTCACCACCACAAGTTCTTTATCCTTGGTTCTTTATCCTATTTAACTTCTACTTATTGTAATTAGAACAGTTGCCTTCTCCGGTGGAGATTTTTTCTTTTCTTTTTTTTTTTTTTCCTCCTCCCTATTCAAGAAGGTCGGCAACATCTGCGCTCTCCAGCCATTTCAGAAACATCCACAGAGTTCCATCAAGTACGTCGCGAATTCTTCGATTGATTAGCAATCAAGTCACAGATCGGCGACGGAAACGTAAGACGGAGGATGAACTAAAGAAAAGCACCTCTCAGGGTAATGGAATCTAGGGGCAGCTTGAGGTACATAGAAATCTGGAATTAGGGTTCAAAGATTGGGGGGAAATCAAAATCCAGTGGCTCCAGAAGGTTAAAAATAAAAACTGAGGGATGGACATAAAAGATGACAGAGATACATACAGGCAGATACAGGTGGCACATAATATTGCATTGGTTTTGGCAAATATTAAAATTAGTATAACATCATGCTATAGATAGTTTTAATGAAAGCAAAGGGTGGGTTTGATTTTTTGTTTGAATTTTTATTTTACTTTTTTGTTTAGATAATATTATCATCGTTATATATTATGAGAAAAAAGATATTTATTTTATCAATTAAAATTATGTATTATTTCACTCTAAAATATATATATTTAGTTATATACTACAGTACTATTTTTTTATCTCACTTAAAAATAATAATTTATATAAAATATTTATAGAATTGATTTGTTCAGTATTTTTATTATTTTTTTTTTCTCTCACTCAAAAATAATAATTTATATAAAATACCTATAGAATTTGTTTGTTCAGTATTTTTGATTCGAAATATATATATATTTTAAGTAAAATAGACGTCCAATTACAAAGTAAATATTTCATTAAATGTCTCAATTTTTTTTCACAAATATTCTTATTTTATATCACGTGAGCAAAAATATTCGTTACACTATTTTTAATTATCTATTATAATTAAAATATTATTATTTATTTCTTAAAAATCACATCAAAATAAATGTTTATTTTGTGGGTGGACAGAGAGACTATGAAATTAAGTAAATAATACAAAAATAATAAATAGCAAAGTCCATCTTGAGTTAGGATATAATTCATCATTATATTTAATTACAAATATCACACAATAAGCTATGAAAATTATGTCCAATTCAAATGAACATAAATTTCATAAATGAAAATAAATAGAAAATTTTGACCGAATAGTAATAATTCCATTTAAAAACAAAAACCAAATGGTGGGTTTCTTTTTATAAGTTTGGGAAATTTTGAATTTAAATTTTATATTAAAATAATATATGATAGAGATATTTTGTAAAATTGGATAAAAGAAACGTATTATTATCAATACAATGTGTTTATTTTATATTTCAAATGCAATATATTTACTATTATTTTTAACACAATTTTAATAAAAATTGTAATGTTTTTTATAAAATATTATATTAAAACTTTAATTTTAAATTGAAACCAAATGTAGTTTTAATATTTTATAAAATAATATTATGAAAATATTATTATAGATTATAGTATTTTTTAAGTATATGAACAAAATTTAATGTTGTATAATCTAATTATAAAATGTTAAGTTGCTAATAGAACGTTATTCTATCATACAAATGATTAAGGGTGAATTTTCGAATCGGATAATTTGAGTTTGGTTTTGTCGGATTGATATTTTTCAAAAAATATATCAAAAATTCAGATTTTAATTATCAGATCGAGTGCTCATATTTTATTTTAAAAAATATAATAATGATATTATTATTATTATTACTAAAAAGTAAAATCTATAGGTATTTATCATTCGCCTAGTATGATTTTTTCGTCGAGTCTGGTTTGCAGGGTATTAGGTTCGGCCGGAGTTTACCCATGCGCATTTTCGGATAATGGATGCGGATTTCTTTATCATAAAAATAAAATAATAATAAAAAAAAAGTAATTGGTATTAATAACATTCATATCTTGATCATACCTACACAACATATTATATATAAATTCTAAATTTAATACACAAGCCAAGAATGTAAAAATGTTAATAAGATAAAACAATTGACATATAAATTACTATTATTAAATTAATACCAATACTGTTTATTAATAATTTTTTTTTAAAGTACAGTGTAACTGAATCATTTGTCATTTCAGTCAATTAATCGGAAATCATATAAAAATCATATTATAATTTTTTTTATTTTTTTTGGACATAATTGATTATTTGGCCCGAAGATGTGCCCGTGGCATGCGTATGACAAACTAAAAAAAATTATTTATGGAGCTAAAATGATAAAATGGTCAAAGAGACTAAAAAAATTATATGTATACGCCTGGATGATGTCTATTTGGCGGACGTTTATTCTATGACGTGCCAAACGTGTATCACATATGCATCTCCGACGTTGGTAGACTAATTGTGCCAGAAAAATAACTTTACAGTAAGATTTCTATACAAACTCAATAACGAACTAAAATGATTAGTAGGTAAGTTATTTAACTAAAAAACAGTTTTTCCAATATAAATTCAGGTATGATTGAACCAACTGCTCATCGCTAATCAATTACTTGACAATAAAAAACTTTTTATGTAAATGTCAACCACATGTATTTCTTGGTTTATGTGGGAAAAAAAATAAAAGACATTAATGAGTAACGAATGTATTACAAAAATATTCAATATATAATGTCTAATATATATATATATAACAGTTCCAAAATACAAAATTAATAATGACTCTGTCCCACCTACTGTGTTCATCTTTACAGTAATATATAATATTAAAATAGAATAGATAAAAAAAATATAAAATATCACTATATAAAAATTATTAAAAAATCAAATAAAAAGTAATAAGATAAATAGAAAAAATATGGTAAACTAATTAGTATTTATTAAAATAAAAATAATAAAATTATAGGTGAAGGAAATTGTTTGTTGGGTATAAATTTATCAGAGAGAAAAAAAATGATGTAATTTTAGCCGGCTAAGAAATACAGTATCAAATAAGTAACTTTTCATTAAAGTCAATAAGTTAAAAAAATTAGAGTATTATCTAATGGGGAAACCTGATATTTCCACACAGGAATATTTGCATTATTAATTAATACTAAAATCCTAATAATACCTTACCTTGGTCACAATCAGCTATCAAATTCATCCCAATATATTTGTCAGTTTTTGGAGCACGCAGAGCAGAATACAAACATCAAACCATGCCAGTCAGGCCACTGCTAATCTGAGAACTAAAATGAGCATAGGATGCCACCACAAACAGAAAACACCTCCCACCCCGCCCCCCACCCCCCCTTCTCTGCCTATATATATATACACACAACAACAACAACAACAACAATAAAGCTTTGTATAACTCTAGCAGGACCAGCAAAAGGACTATGGCTAATAAGAAATAATCACCTTAAATCCACAGCAAAACGGAAGGCCACAAGTGCTCTGATGTGTGTATCAAGGATGCATCGCAGTCGAGTTAATCGAATCTTGCGAGTACACTGGGCCGGCAGCATAGTCTCCTCAATTGAACTGTCTCCTACCATGTTAAAGTAACATAAAGACACACGAAAACAGATTAATGGAGGTAATGAGAGAGGGTGAAGTAAATGTTGATCAAGAAAGAGTGATCATTCACCTCAGAATTATCATGGCCATATCTAACCAAGAAACGGCACCTGCAACCTCTTATATCATGCCATCTCTTTTCGATCTCTACTATATGAGCCTCGTAATACTTTGCTTCATCTTCTCTCTCCTGAATGAAAAGAATTGAGAAGAATCGGTTAGAAGTTATTTAAATTTTATGATTCAAATGAATTAGGACTGATGCATGGTCTCTATCCTTTATCTTTGTTTGAGGTAAATCACTTCAACAATGTTCAGGCTGATATTTTTAAAAATCTCACATTTCTTTCATCTCTCTGGTAACGCCACTTCCAATCATGCCTCTTTTATCATATTCTTAATCTAACTATGTAAAACGAAAATAAATAAAGTATACCTGGAAGCACAATACTCGATCCCCAACCTTCAGTTTTTGACATTCTGAATGCTCCAAAGTAACAGAACGTTCTCGCACATCCCTCACGCTCACCCATTCATCTTCATCTGATCCAAACCCGACAAATCTAACACAAACTTCCTGCGGCGAACTAAAACCATCACATTTTGAATTTGGATTATAGCTATTTTTTTATTTTTTATTTTTTTTTTCTATTTTCGAGAGTTTAGCATGCGATCAATTTAAGGTGATGTGATGAAAAAGGTAACATTGGATCATCAATTAAGGGTAAATTACTTCACAGAGCTAAATGAGAACTCTATCAAAAAAGCAAAACTAGCGTCTAATCATGAATCGTCTTTTGCAAATTAACATAGAAAATAAATAACTGCAGGCACTTAGCTTCAATGCTATCCTCAAAACAAAGCTGGAGAAAAAACATATCGCTACTCACAATTTCCTCAGAACTGAGAAATCTATGGGAAAGAAATGCATCAACATCGTACCTGAGAAAAAGAAATAGAAGGAAAACAAGAGTATGACAGGGAACTCAAACGAGAAAATAGAATTCAAAACTAAAGCTAAAGAAAAACAAAAACACCCATAAATATTGGATTCTAGCATTACCATGCACCGTCCTTGGTGGACCTTGCTTCAAATTCCAACCCTGAGATCTCTTCGCCCTTCTCGTCTGCCATCAGAATGATCTTTGTCACAACCATAACTTCGTGGTCCTTAAATTAACTTTTTAATACTGAAAAGATTTCGGATTATACAAATTGTTAACCTTGGAAAAGTAAGCAGTACGTACCCTCACTTTCTTCAATAACTTTCTGAGCAGAAGCTTGTGGAGCAGAAGCTTGTGGAACAGAAGCTTGTGGAACCACATTTGGGTTATTGGCTTCATCTAAGGGAATTGTGTTAAAGATTTCATGTTTCTCCCGAAACCAATTTTCAATCTACAATGCAGAAGACAGGGTTAAGAATATGAAGTGCTAAAAATAACTGTTAATGAAAAGCCATAAGATAAAACCTCCGTCCACTTCACGGCAGGTTTGCTGGCACGGCCACTGGAACGACTGCAAATTAAACAAACTCTAGTCACAATTACAAACTATGCAATCTTCAAGTAAAACATTCAAAATAAGAACTCACTTGAAACCTCTAGCCAGATTCTTGCAAAACTCATGGTCCAAAGTGCGTTCTTTCGATTCTTTAAAATATTCCTCCATCTTCTCGACCTGTAATATGCATGTCAGCAATAAGCTCTCTGCTTAAACTAGAACTAAGTTGCAATTGCAATGTCTCTCTTTCCCATATCCATTTGAAGCAATGTTTCAAAAAAGGATGTGAGAATAACACATAACCAGAGTTTATTGATATAGCTAGTAATTGTACTTAGAATTCGCATTTACTACAATGATGTCAATACGTTCATTAATTGCCTTAAAATTAAACCGCAGAAAACCATTGATCACTATAACCAGTTCACAGACAACTATTTAAACTAGAAAGCATAAAAAGCAATCCCAAGCAGAACCGATCAAAGTTGTCTCACTTCATCAACAAATCTGTAATCATCATAAAGAACACCCAACAGTCTCCCAGACATTAAAATTGAGCTCGCAATGCAATCCTGGATTCTCTACTCAAATCTACATTTGAAATCGACATCACACAAAAGGCACATCAACAAAGTTCATAACATACCTCAGAATGACGAATGACGAAGATAAGCAAAATCCCCAATATATCTAGGGCCGACGAGCAATTAAATGATAAATATCAACACACAAACACTAAAAAAAATGGCAGAAAATGAAACCTCAGCTTCCGTAAAGCCGGTGAAAGACTGCCGTTGCCTCGGCCGGAGATCCATCTGCACCGGATGACGGAATTCCAGGTATTGCCGGGAATAACCTCCAAAGGGTAGCCGCCCAAGCGCCTTTTCAAACACTTCTATATAGAGAGACTTCTTTTTATTTTCTTTTGAAATATCAATAACATATTATTTTCACATTAAAAAAAAAATAAAAATAAAAAATATAATTAAATAAAATTACTAATCACACATCTTTATTTATAAAATTATTATTTTTTTGACCTAGAATCCACAGCCGGTTTTCAAAATTAGTTCCTTTGCGAAAATATAAAGTGAATACTTTTTTATGAATAAAAACAAAAATTTTCAAGTATTTTTATTAATACAATATGATAAATTATTATAATCTAAAAATATAAATAACGTTATTTATAAATAACATAATTTATATAAAATATAATTAATAAATAATTAAAAATATATTAATAAATATAATTATGATATAATATAAATAATTATATATTTAAATTAATTTAATTAAGATTATAAAATTATTTATTATAAAATTTATAAATATAAATAAAATATATAATTATTTTTTAAAACCAAAAATGACAAATAAGGTAGATTAACAAATAATAAAAATAATAGACAAATAGAGTAAATAAATAAACAAAAAACGAAATGATTAGTAAATAAAAATCTAACAAAAACATGAAGGTTTTATTCTAATAAAAGCACAAAAAAATTAATACACTACACTAAGCCTTATTCATTATTATTATTTTTATATTTTTTGTACCTTATATAAAAGGTTTTTTTTATTTCAACAATATCACAAAATAAACGCACCTGAATTTGCTTGTACTTTATTATTTTTCTTACAATTATTAATGGGCCTAGTGGGCTGAATTAACTACATAAGACTGTAGTCGGGCCTAATTGAATCAATATAGTGGGCCTAGTAGCTTTTATCGGGTATGGGCCGGCCATAGATGTACACATATTATACATATATAATAGTATGTCTCAACGGTAAGGAGTTGCAACTGAAGCTAACAGAAAGGAGAAGGAAGTGGCAGACTGCCAGAGAGAAAGAACAAAGAAAGCTTCAACCTCCACATTCGGAGACCTCCATCCGCCAACAAAGCGCGTCTGTCTCTATTCGTTCTTTATCTCTCCTCAAAACGCGCGCGCATCGTGCTATTTCTATCGTATAAATTGCCTTCTGTAACCGTCGTCGCTTTCATGATGTTCGCGTTCAGACGAGCAACCAATACTCGGGTACAATTCGCGCTTCTCTGCTTTAATGCAATTTCTTCTTGCTTATTCCTGATGTAGAGGAATTTTGTGTGTGTTTTCCATTTTAAGAGGTGTGTGTGATCGTTAGATGATTCCCGCGTCTTCTCGATCTCGCGCTTCTATTGCATTTCTCTTTTGCGTTAAGAGATTTTAATGTTTATGTTTAATGTATTGATTTCCTTGTTTCTATTGGTTTTAATGGAAGGGGCGAACAAACTCTATTGAGTTCTGGAATTGTAATCGAAGGCAGGAAGAGAGAGATAAGTGTAGTGATGGAGAGTACATTCAAGGACATGAGCGGTGAGTCAGTTCTTGACTTAAAGGACAAACTTGGCCTTCGTGGTGGTGTAGCGGATGTGTATGGTGAGGATTTTGCCACTGAGAATCAGCCTGTCACCCCGTGGACTGTTTCGGTTGCCAGGTGACAAAAATCTAATAATATCCCTTTAACATTAAATTCCATTATGTTTTCATGAGCTTGGTACTGTCGAGAAGTTTCCATCATTTGACATGTTTAAAGATCTGTGGGATTGGTGAGTACTAGTTGCTCAATCTGCCAAATTAATAACGTGAATGGTCACTTTTGAATCTTTTGTAAGGATTATTATTGTTTTCTGTTCTAAGTCATCTTTGCCTACTTTTCTGGATGGTTCATAATCATACTTTATATGATATTTGACCAAAAAGTTATAATGTGAATGATGTGATATCTGCTCATTAGACAGACCTTAATCTCATATTTGGTGATGAGTTCATGTTTTTGCCTTCAGTTTTATTGTACTGAATTTAGATTACAGGCATAAGCCCAAATGATGCCCTTTTATAAGTCTTCTTAATGCAAATCAAGAAATGCTTCAAGTTCTACAGACTTAATAGCCTTAAACTTTCCAAATGATATGCATTCTAAAGATTTTTCAACCTTTGGTTTAATTTATGTTCAGTGGTTGCACTTTGTTGCGTGATCCACGCCACAACAAAGGGCTTGCTTTTACTGACAAAGAAAGAGATGCCCATTACTTAACAGGACTTCTACCTCCAGTAGTTCTTACACAGGAGCTTCAGGTTCCTACTATGACCTTGGACTAAGGGATGTATTTATGAACAATATTGTCATTTCAGTATAAACTTATCCTAATTTAACTGTTTATGTTGGCTACCAGGAGAAACGGTTGATGCATACTTTACGTCAATATGACGTGCCATTGCACAGATATATGGCCTTGATGGATCTCCAGGTGAATCTTCTAGCGAACTGCCATTGTAACCTAGCCACCATTATCCAACCATTACTTGCAATAATTTCTTTTTATAACTCACAGGAACGGAATGAAAAGCTTTTTTACAAGCTTGTTATAGATAATGTAGAGGAACTGCTTCCAGTAATTTATACCCCTACTGTTGGGGAGGCCTGCCAGAAGTATGGCAGCATTTACAGACATCCTCAGGGGTTGTTTATCAGCTTGAAAGAGAAGTATGACAAACCTTTAAAAGCATCATCGTGTTTGCTCTTTATCTGATGTTAAATGATCTTGATTGGAACTTCCAGGGGAAAGATTATTGAAGTATTGAGAAACTGGCATGAAAAGTTTATTCAAGTTATTGTAGTAACAGACGGTGAGCGGATTTTGGGGCTAGGAGATCTTGGTTGCCAGGTAAATTTGATTTATTTATTTATTTTTCTGCTGCAAGGTTGTTAGCTCAGTAAAACTCGTTGAATACTGCTGCAGGGAATGGGCATTCCTGTTGGAAAACTGTCTCTGTATACAGCTCTTGGAGGAGTTCGTCCTTCAGCTGTAAGCATAACTATTATGCTGTCTAGGTGAACATATTTGACCTATTAATTTTTGAGAATACCATTTTCTTTGTGTGCATCGCCAACAGTGCTTGCCTATAACCATTGATGTTGGCACAAATAATAAGAAGTTGCTCGAGGATGAATTCTACATTGGTCTCAGGCAGAATAGAGCAACCGGAGAGGTCTCATGCCTGCCCTTTTTCTTCTTACTGGTTTTACACACGAGAGATATTTCTGAACTGCTTGTTTATAGGAATATTATGAACTTCTAGATGAGTTCATGACTGCAGTCAAGCAAAACTACGGAGAGAAAATCCTGATACAGGTATATAACCAAGAAAAGTCAATAATTTACTTAATATAAAATTCAGCAATCCATTTGTCTAAATATTTACATGCTGGTTCTCAGTTTGAGGATTTTGCAAACCACAATGCCTTTGAGCTGCTTGCTAAATACCGAACAACTCATCTTGTGTTCAATGATGACATCCAGGTTTATATGGTCTCAAAATTTCTCTATATATAAAATCATGCCCCTCAGAGAATAAAATCAACATATTGTTTCTGTCATCTCAGGGAACAGCTTCTGTAGTTCTTGCTGGGCTGATTTCATCTTTAAAACTACTGGGTGGAACTTTAGCAGATCATACTTTCTTATTCCTTGGCGCAGGGGAGGTTAGCCCTTTCCACTGAAATAGTGTGCATGCCTTAATCTGGTGGTATTTGTAATCCATTAAATGGAATTTAATGAAAATAATTGGTGACTTGTTCATTACACATAGATATATATCCATGCATCCTTGTTTGAGCTTCTTCTGATCTTACCCTTGACTTCTCGTAGGCTGGTACAGGTATAGCTGAACTCATTGCTCTTCAGATATCCAAAGAGGTAACTGACTTATTTCACCATCTACTCTGTCGGTTTCCCTCTTAAAAAAGCATGTCAGCGACTCAAGAGAATTAAATGTGCAGACAGAAAATCCAGTCGAAGAGACCAGAAAGAAAATATGGCTTCTTGACTCTAAGGTATTATAAGTTGTTTTTTCTGGTGCAGCATTCCACTGAACCTCCCCTTTGAAAGTAAGTACTTTATTTACTCAAGCTTCCCAAAACAGGGCTTGGTAGTCAGCTCGCGTAAGGAGTCTCTGCAGCATTTCAAAATCCCTTGGGCTCACGAACATGAACCAGTCGAGGGATTGTTGAATGCAGTTGAGGTCAGAAAATGTACCATGCGTTACATTATGCTGCACATTATATTCATTACTTAACCATCTACTCAAGAACAACTGTGATGTATCAATTTCAGGCAATAAAGCCATCAGTTCTAATTGGGACTTCTGGCACTGGAAGGACATTCACAAAAGAAGTGATCGAGGCGATGGCATCCATCAATACGGTTGGCATTTTCTGAACTTTAAATGTACCTAACTTAGTTTGCACTTTCTAAGATACAAGAATTACAAGGTCATGATGCTTTTCAGAGACCCCTGATTCTTGCTCTATCAAATCCAACCTCCCAATCGGAATGCACAGCTGAAGAAGCTTACACGTGGTCTGAGGTAAATTGCTTCAGTCTTACACAAGTTCTCGATTTTGTGTCCCCTGTTAGAAGTCTGTATCTTGCAGGGGCGTGCAATCTTTGCTAGTGGAAGTCCGTTTAGTCCTGTTGAATACAATGGGCAAAAATTTGTTCCTGGCCAGGTTCTTTCTACCCCATGCAACAGAAATCAGAAACTTTTTAAACTGCTTATTCTTTCCCTGTTCTAATGACATTACTCATTTCTCTACAGGCCAATAATGCATACATATTTCCTGGTTTTGGTTTGGGAATTATCATGTCTGGTACTGTTCGTGTACACGACGATTTGCTCCTGGCAGCTTGTAAGTGACCATGAATCAAGTCTTGGCTTGTTGCTCAGTATTTAAGGCATCATGTAATGATGTGTGTTTCTCACTTTTTTCCTGAATATAGCGGAAGCGTTAGCAAATCAGGTGACGGAGGATAACTATGCAGAAGGACTGATTTATCCACCCTTTACTAATATTAGAAAGATTTCAGCAAATATTGCAGCTCATGTGGCTGCTAAGTCATACGAACTCGGTAAGTACAATTATGTCAAGAAATGTAGATGAAGCCATTGATTAACTTTATGATGACATATTTGCTTTCCCCTTTTAGGTTTAACCACATGTCTCCCACGTCCAAAGGATCTTGTGAAGTTTGCAGAGAGCTGCATGTACTCCCCTCTTTACCGCAGCTACCGTTAGTTAGGTTTGAAGAAGGCAGATTAGGTATGAGGTTATTGAACCATTGGAAGATGTTCCCTGGAAGCTGCATGTACTCCCCTTATGATTTTTTCTCATAGCTATGATCGGATTGTCAACCATCATTTTCCAATTTATTATGATTTTAGTATGTATTTTTACAACTACAATATTCTATGATATAATACAACAAATAGGATTCATGCCACCGGGTCAAAATCAATCTCGACCAGGGACAAATTTCTTGACTAGGCAGTTGGCGCTATGCCTCCTTCAATGTATGTTGTCCTTTTCCAATTCATTTTTACCATTTATGTTGAAACATCAATTTGCTGATTGTACACTGTTGGTTGATACATTTACATTGTTACATATGCATTCATGTAGATACAGCAGCCCAGGTTCATCTTATGCTGGAAGGATTGAGCAGATGGTTTGATATTTATTTGGAATTTCAAAAGCATGGAAAAAATTAGAGTTCTGTTAATTTCTTTCCTCAATAATTTCAGGAAGACACTTATGTTTACTTTAGCTCGGGCTTATTGATATTAGGAGCAATATGTTCAGGATCTTTCAACTCCTGCAGGGGCTGTTCAGGATCTTTTTTGCATTTATGCAACTCAGGGAAGTATGAACTAGTTATATTTGAAATCTTCTTATGTAGAATGAAAGTTAATTGCATGTGAAGGAACACCATGCAGACTGGATAGAGACATTTTGGGAATCAGATTGTGTAGAGACTTATCAGAGCTTCCTTATCTCCCTCCCTCTCTCTGTGGCTTCCTTATCAGCAGATAAGAAAGAGGAGTTGGAAAAGAGAATCAATCCGTCAGTTCTAGAAAAGCAATTGGCCCAAATAACATTCTTACGCCATTTAATTGGGTACCCAATGCTTTGTTGTTGTTTCTTTCACAAAGCTGGCCAATGTGACCACAGGGACAGCTCTACATAAATAATTGGAAAGTAAGTGAGGCGGCGAATGATTGATGGCTCATGAGTCTTTCCCCCAGACATGGCCAAGGAATAAAGGATGGTTTTTCCTTTTCTCAAATCTTCTTGCCCTTTGCACATTCTCGGAGAATGGTTGTAGCGATGGCGACACATGCATGGTGGGGATTCCAGTCTTCTTATCTGAAGGTAATGCAACACTGCTTTTCAAGCATATGCTGATCTTTTCTTATGTTGATCTCTGGTCAAACTCTTCTCTGTTATTGGGATTCCTCGTTATTATCTTGTTATTCATTCTGAACTTCTAATTAATCTAATCTGCTAGGAGATATTGTTTTAGTTGCACTACTTTATAAGAAATAGTTTTCTTTTCAAGTATTCAAATTTATCTGCTGCTTTCATTTGCATGTAGCTGTTTGGTTTAGTTATTGTGTGTAATCTGCAAGATATTGTAGAAAACTTGGACGTCCAGTTAAAAGTTCGTTTTCATGTCTGATAATCAATAAATCTTTATTGATTTAGTGTCAAGTCTGAATATATAACCCAAGTGGATGTGGCCTGTCTTTGGTGCATGGATTAATAGTCCTTGGCACAGGCAGACACACATGAGGCATGTGCCCAGTGTGATACTATAATCTAAGAGATCTTCATATTAATAGTCATGGTAGGTAATGAAATTGCCAATATTAACCATTGATTGAGCTAATACTTGATACACTCATTAGATATCTTGCTGGCTGAGCAATCATACTGCAGAATGGATTAGGATATAGTTTGTTTTAGCCATTTAGATATTTCATGCTTGAGAAATAGGAGATTGTAGTAGGTGATGTGAAATGAGGAAATAGTGAAAGAAAGAGATTTGAGGTGCAATTGTAATCTTCTGGACTTGTCATTCCATTGTTTCTTTAAACGTTGCAAAAAGTGAACCTATTTGCTGGCAAAAGTTATATCATAAAAGTGGTACTCAAATTATTGAGTGTGAGGCCTGAAAAGTATTCTCAGGATAAGAACTCCTTTACCAAGAATGAATGTGGCCAATTTTTATGCTCAGTACATTTGCCACCACACCATTCTGTAACAGCTTCCTTTTCCAGACTAATTGGGAATCTGTATAGACTCGAATATCCTGAAACATTACATTCTTGCGGCATTTGGATGATGATATTGTGCTTATCCTACTATTTAACCAATAATTAATCTATTACTACATGATACCTCTGTTTTAAGGTACCATTCTGTTAGTTAAATATATATTCTAGAAAATTAGATAGTAATCTCAAACTATGAATGATGGGGGAAACTGAGATCATGCAAAGGATACGATAATAGGTGTATAAAACTGAATTGTTTTTAATACCTCCTGTTATGTATTTCCATTCGGGCTGTTGCGTTTGTGTAATTTTTTCATTCTTGAGGGGCAGGCAGAGAGTCACGTGGAGGGAGAGGGACCTGAGGATGGTTTCTTTCAGCTCAAGTGTCCAATGCAGAAGCCCGGCAGAATCTCCTTGAGAACACGTAATTTGAAAAGGGATAACAGAAATATCAGCAGAAAGATGATTTAGGCTTGTTGGGTTTCTGTCTCCATCCTATTACACTTGTCTCTCCAATTCTTGTTCGTACGGTATCTCATCTCAGTGAGGGCACGATGCATCCAATCACGAAGGCATTCTTTCTTCGAATCCCAGGTTTCTTCACATAATAACAGATTGTGATCCTAGAACATATTGGTAAATGATCGGTACCTCAAATAATATTGTTTTCATGCATTTATATGGCAGGATGCCCACAGATGCATCATCCCACCAGGATGTTTATTCACATAGCAAAAGTTAAATCCAAAAATGGTGTATTTTTATTTGTTGTAGAATTAAGTTAATTATTAGTACTCGGCATTATTGGGGGTTATCTTTGATTATAATGTGTCAGATCTGCTGGTCTCTACTAGTGATCAATATATACTTACTTGAAAGTTGAGAAAGACAAAAGATATGCTGCATTATTTACCATTTGCATCGTCTTATTCCCGTATACCCTCCTATATATACCATGCATGTGTAGCTCTTAGTTTTCCCCTACCTTTGCACCTTCTCTAAACTAACTCATCTCTGTAGTAAGTATACAATGGAACGTCAAGCTGCCTGCATGAGGAAAGCCTTGTTTGATCAGGTTATCCTCTTGCCAAAAAAATTATCCTCTTGCGCTTATTTTTATGTACTAATTCTCATGAATTTCTTGAATGGTTGTCTTTCAGGGATATCTTGACGAGCAGTTCATCCAGTTGGAGGATCTGCAGGATGATGCTAACCCTAACTTTGTGGAAGAGGTGGTCAAACTATATTACAGTGATTCAGCACGGTTTATTCGGAATATAGAAGTGCTACTGTGAGTTCAAAGCTTAATCCCCCCTATCAATACAGTTCGCTCTGCTTTGAACAATTTAGGATAAGATAAGAGTTCCGTTTGACTTCAAGCTGTGTATTTTGGTGCAGGGATAAGAGCTGTTGTGACTTTGAAAAACTCGATGATCTTATGCACCAATTCAAGGGCAGCACTTCGAGGTACAAACACTGAGCCAAATTGTGTGAAAAATGGTCTTGTGCATGCATATTATGGGGTTCATTTTTTCTTTTTCCTTTTCTGGCCAAATAAGATCCAGTAAGATCCTTGGAGCAGTCCATTTCTAAGACTCTTCACTTATCGAAAGTAGCTGTCACAAATGCTTATCTTGTGGAAAGTAGAATACTATAGAATCATTAGTTCTGTTTATCGATGGTTTCACACATTTGAAGACCAGTTTGAGCATGAAAACTCATCTTAAAGAGGGAGATTTAAGCACCCTATTTTCTATTCGACATAAACCTCGCGCTCTATTAAATAGCGTTTACTTATTACCTCCCTGTTGACATGATTTTTGCAGCATTGGCGCTAACAAAGTGAAAAGGGAATGCACTCTGTTTCAAGAATACTGCAAAGTTGGGAACTTTGAAGGGTATCAATTTTTACTTTTTATCTATGTCTCGTCCCTTCTATGATCATCAAACCATCTATAACTATAAACACAATTCCTATCTACTATACCTGCAGATGCGTGAGAACATTCCAGGAGGTAAAGCAAGAGCATGCGGCACTGAAAAGAAAGCTTGAGAGTTACCTTGAGGTCTTTCTCGTAGTCCAATCCTACTCAATGCGCATGCATATATGGGGTGCATTCGTCTATTCACACATGCACTTTGTTGTAACAATCTGATAATAACTTTGTTGTGATTTCAGATAGCAAAACAAGCTCGTTAAATCAACCAACTTACCAAAGATTGGAACAAAGGCTCTAGTGAATGCAACAGTTGACAAGAGTCCCGAGTAAATGACTCAGAAGCATTTAAATGCTATTTCATTGCTACTAAATTCACTCTTTGCATTAGTGGTTTAGGCTATTATCTTATTCGGTTCAGAGTTGCTTTCTCAATGTTATTAAAATGTACAACTGTGGCTTCAGAAAGAGAGGCCCATTTGACTTTACTGTACTCATTTTAGGGAAAATGTGGGCTCCAGGCATTTTCTGATCTATTCAAATGCTATATCATTATAATTTCATTTTTAGGGAGAAGTGAAAAATAAGAGAGCCAAAAAAAAAAATAAGAGAGAGAAGATGCTGGATGCCCTAAAAATATTATCAAGAAAATGAACAAAAAGAACCAAGCAAGCCTGTTTAAAATAACACCCAACACGTGGGGTACCAACATGTCTTTATTATCTGATCTGATGTATCCATTTCTTCCAATGAAGCTAAGAAAAATTAATTCGACTGAGCCAAAAATGTCACCCAATGCATGTGAACGGGAGAGCAAATGCATCACAGGATTTATAAGTTTCAGTATTTACCAGTGTAAGACTGAAGCAGCCATGAATGCACCACGGAAACAACAGTAAAGTGGTCACGCATTCTCCTGCATTTGATTTTAAGTCTCCCTCACCTATATATATTAGCAAATTCACCGCAGAAGCCAAGATATCAAAAGCTTTTGAAACGTAATCCAACCAAAAGGGCCAAGGATCGTGTTCAAAATGTATGATACGGTTAAGTGGCAGGTGTAAGATTATAACAGCCTTACGATCCCAAACAATGTAAGATGTAAAGTCATAACAAGTAATTGCACACCATCTTAATTTGTCAATAAAGAGGACGAGGACCAAAGCCAACGAGTCTTACATGGGTGCAGTGTTGCAACAAAACCAAATAAAAGATGAAAGGGAAAATTGACACAATCACACGAATAATAGCATGTGAGCAAGTGAAGGTACCAGCAACTGTATGTGTTCCATACGTGCTGTGTCCAGAACTGCTCCAATGAAATTGAGTTACACCGATAGATCAAAAACAAGGAGATATAATCACCTGCATATCACACATTTCTTGTCTGATACATTAGAACCTCATAGATAGCACATACCAATATACATTTGCATCAGGATGAGGGGCCGGTCATATCATGGGACAAATCCAATATCCTTAAAGTACTCATGCTCAAGAGCACTTCTGGCGGTGATCCTTTTGGCTGGATCTAACCGAAGCATTTTCTGTGAAAGATTAGTAAAACAATCATGTGAACCTCAGGACCACATCCAGTAAAGAATGTGCAAAAGTTATCAGGTTTGTGGAAATTTTCCTTAAAAGTCCTTCAGTAAGAAAGTAACAAAACGCAAGAAAATAGCAACCACCCATTTTTCCTGTTCAGAAATGATGAAGAAGATTTCACAACAACCTTCAGTCAACACCTTAATACAAAATCTTTGGTGCAAAAGAATTTGGGAAGAAGAATAATTCAAATGTGGAGCTGAGGGGTCTGGAGTCTATAATACTGCTCAGTATAAATACAAAACCAATCCTCTTATTATCCTAAACATTGTTTTCTTAAAGCAAGCAGAGCACACTTGATGAAAATTATTTCCCTGTGAATACCCAGGAGAGAAAAGAGAGAGAGAATAAATAAACTTACACCAAGTAGGTCAATGCCAGCTGAATCAAGATTTGGAACCACGGTGGCCAGATCCTGCAACATAGATACACCAATTAGAAGTTTTTCATTTTAAGCATCCTAACAAGAGAAAAACAAAGAAGCAGAAACCAAAGGGATCTCATCCTAGTTCTGCTCACCTTGGATGGCCATTTGGGAAATGCTGATTTAAAATCAGGCAGAGATGTCACTCCAGGCCATGTATCCTCATTTGGGGTTCCCATAACCCTTCATAACCAACACATCAAGAGATGGTAAGTATATTAAAAATTACTTCGAACAAATCAAAGTAACTTTTGGGAAGGATATATAGATAATTCCGAGAAAGGAATCACTGTCTGGAGTGATGTATCACCTAAAAATCTTAAATAGTTCATCAATTTCAGAGTCTCCAGGAAACAATGCTCGCTGGTTTACCATCTCTGCAAAGATACAACCAACAGACCACACATCCACAGGAGTTGAATAGTGGCGTGAACCAAGCAGTATTTCTGGGGCTCTGTACCACAGGGTTACAACCTATGAAAAATATGATTTATCAGCCAACTTGAATGTTAGAGCACAGTGGCTTCTAGAAGTAATAATCTAGTCCCACACAAGGAAGAAATAGAGTGCGAGTGAAAAATATAGAAAGAGGACAGCCTTAATATCAGGATCTCATTAAAAACAGTAGAAGCACTTTGTCATTTGCAGGTTCTTAAGAAGATGATAGGATCAGAAAAGAGTTCTCAAAAACATTTGCATGATAGTACCTCATGAGTAAATGTCCTGACAGGAATGCCAAATGCTCTGGCCAATCCAAAGTCTGCCAGTTTTAGTGCATTAGTCCGTCGATCTATCAGCAAGTTTTGGGGCTTTAAATCTCGATGCAGAACACGATGAGAATGACAATAGGCAATTCCACGTAGTATTTGGTATAGAAACATCTGCAAAAATTGAAGTTGGCTCCATAAAAACTCAGATTCGCGAGATGTTCACTACAACAACAATGCAGGAGCTCACCGAACACAGCATCGGATAAATTTAATGCAGTTGCTAGCAACTAACTGATCAATGCAACAGTCATAAATCCCACCAACAAGAAAGTCGCCTAAAAGGCCATAAACTTAAAAACAATAAATGCCAAAGAAATCAAGCTTGCCAACCTCCACCATCAGGCATAAAGAGGCCACTCACTTTAACCAGACGGGGATCCTGAGAAAATTCGGGACAGGAATCCATATGTTTCTTCAAATCTAAATCCAGGTACTCGAATACCAAATACAGTCGCTTCTCACTATGCACCACATCCTGCAACCTGTGATCCAAACATTAGAGAATGGTTAGGGTGGAAGGCCTTCGCAAATATTCTTCACAATAATCCTCTCTGTCAAATAGGAATTTTACGGAGCTATTGATTGTGGTCATTAATATACCTAACAATATTTCCATGTTGCATCTCTTTCAAGAGAGAAATCTCACGAATAGCTGTGCTTGGAACTCCCTCATCTTCCTGCTCTAGTCTTATTTTTTTCAGAGCAATGGTTTCATTAGTTATGCGATCACGAGCCTTGTATACAACGCCATAGGTTCCCTCACCAATTTTCTCAACCTTTTCATACTGCAAGAGAAAATAAAGAAAATCACAATTTATTACACGCGTATGAACCTGAGTACATGAGTTAAGCTGACAAATATTAACCTGCTCCATCCGCCAACAGTGACCAGCTCACAATCAATTGGCGGAAGTCCTGGTAAGATAAAGCATCATCAGGAAAGAACACAATGCAAAAGCAATACACCTGTCCTCAAGCATGCAACAACAATACCATCTACACCGGTAGAACATTTCCCGCTTGAATCTTAAAAGAAATTATTGCAGGATAAAAGAAAAACACGGACATCAGAAAAGAGACAAATCTCTCAAGCAAAGCAAAAATTCAGGTGAAACTAGACTTCCAAATATTATCCACCAGAAAAGCAAAAAACTGTAGATTTAAACCGTCACAAAATCCCCACTCACAGTTCATATACAATGCCAGAAATACAACAATAGATTCACATTGATTCACTATTCACACGAAGAAATCAAGCATAGAAAAGCACACAGCGCACAAAAACCATAAAAATCAACACACATTCTTCACACCTGCAAAAATTACGATTTGTTTTTGTTTATTCTTCTTTAAGAAAATGCACCGGCAAACGATTGCTCTTACTCCTCAAGTCAGTGCACAACAATGAATCCGAATCACAACCAAAACCACACTAATATCCGAAGCCAAGATCAGATAAAAATTAACCAATTAACACCAAACGAATCAGCAATTAGAAAGCAGTAGCATAAACAACATCGCCAGATGCACAAACTGAAAAAGCAGCATCCACAGAGCTTGCCTAACAATTAGCGAAACCAGACCAAAAAGACGATCAGAATAAACATAGAAATCATTGCGGTTTCACGTACCGGAGACCGATGAAAGAAATGTTGGGAGAGTAAAAAAGCAAAAGTGAGAGAGAAGGAGAAAGGAGAAAGGAGAGAGAGAGAGAAGAAGAAGTGAAGTGTGTGAATTCTCTGCAATTTCCAGAGAGACAGAGAGAGAGAGGGTCGATAATAATAATAATAATAATAATAATAATAGCCTTTCATATAATAGGGGTGGGCTTTTGGTTATTATTATCGTTGTAAATTTCAGAATTTGTTTTGTGTAGTCAGTGATTGGGTGAAGGGTTTGACCAAAGGCGAAGGTTTTGTGTATGTATCGCGCGAGTCAAGTCACTTTCTCTGCTTTTCTACTTTTTTGTTTTTTGACCAATTAATAGTTGGTTGGTTTGTTACAAAGTAATTAATATTTTGCTTTCTTAACGGACAGCACTAATTATGACTTCAATTGGGCCTCCTCCAATAACTAAGCCCAATACCCAACCTCACTTAACTTAGGCCCACTTTCACTCTTCTGATTTTTCTTGTACGGCCTAGTAGTCATAATCAATGTTGTATAACGTTTCATTTTTGTACTTGTATGTAACTAATAATTAGGCATGGGTTTGGATGTAGGTTTGAAAGATACTTTGAGGTCAAGAATAATTAATAAAATTAAATTTGAATAATTATTTAAACCAAAAATAGTGAGACATACTCTCATAGACAGTTTTCAACAGCAACATTGCCGGGTGCAAATCCTTGTCGAGTAAATCCATTCCGTAATAACTTTGCCAATTCGATACCAAAAGCTTAAACAAAGCCATCATCTTGTAAGAGACATTGTGCTGATCCGGTCAAGTTACGATTGTATTTACTAATTCGATCAAATCAACATCATGCTGATTTAATCGGATCAGCAGATTCATAGCAAATCAAGTGTCTAGGTATAGGTCATCTTCCATTGCCATGTCCTGATAAAGCATGTCAAGAACTTTGTCGATCTTGTCGGCATCCTCAACCAACAAATCACCGGCATGGAACTCGCGAAGGTGTCCGTCGATCTCCATCCAGCTACATCCCGGAGTCTTAACGACGCCCTTCTCCTTCATCAAGATTCTCATCTTCGCGCTATCATCCCACCTCCTCATCTCGGCGTATATTTTGGATGATATAACATAGTTCCCCGAATTCTCGGGCTCTATATCTAAGAGAAGCTGAATGACCTTCTCGCTAACATCCGCATTCTTAAATTTCTGGCAAGCACCGAGCAATGATCCTAACAAAATCTCGTCGGGTTTCTGAGGCATCTTTTGAACAAAGTCCCAAGCCTCCGAAATCCGTCCAGCACGAGATAGAAGATCGACCATGCACGAGTAGTGCTCAACTTTCGGAACCAAGTTGAGCGACGTGCTCAGCAAATTAAACAGCCTACGGCCCTCATCCACCAGACCACCGTGAACACACGCTGAAAGTACACCAACGAACGTTACGTCATCCGGGAGCACGCCGTGTTCGTTCTCCAACAAGCGCTGGAATAACGCGAGCGCATCTCCCGCTCGCCCGTGGAAAGCGTGTCCGGATATCATTGCATTCCAAGAAACCTCGTTTTTCTTAGGCATGTTGTCGAAAACCTTCGCTGCGCATTCCAAATTCCCACACTTTGAATACATGTCGACTAAAGCAGTCGCAACGTATATGTTGTGCTGAAGCCCCCTCGTCGTTGCATACTCTTCGACCCATCTTCCCAAATCCAAAGCACCAATCGAAGCACACGCAGAGAGCACAGCGATTAACGTGATTGCATTAGGCTCCGGTCCAATCTCCATCATGACATTGAACAACGATAGAGTTTCATCCGCTTGTCCATTTTGCGCGTATCTGTTAAAATCACAATGCAAAACCGAGATGATAAAAAAGACCGAAATAATAATGCAAACTGATATCAAGAAGAGTTCCAAACATCCTCACCCTGTAATCATGGCATTCCAAGTGACAACTTCTTTCGCCTTCATGCCGTCGAATACTTGCCTAGCCGACTCCAATTCCCCACACTTCCCATACATGTTAATCAAGGCAGAGCCTATGTAAGAATTAAGCTCCATTCCCTTCTCCATTACAAAAACCTCAATCCATCTCCCCAGCTGCAAGTCACCCAAATCTCCACATGCCCCAAGAACACTCACTAGAGTCATTTGATCAGGTTCAAATCCACCTTCCCTCATTTTCCCAAACATTTCCACTGCCTTTCCAGCAAACCCTACCCTAGCATACCCTGATATCAATGAATTCCAGGACACAGAATCCCTGTCAGTCATTTCATCGAACACCTTCCTTGCACAAATCATTTCCCCACACCGCGAGTACATCGTAATTAATGAATGAACTACGTGAAAATCCAAAAGCAGACCAATTTTCAAAACCTCACAATGAACCATCTCCCCTGTTCTCGAATCCGACCGATTCCCGCAGGATATAAACACAAATGGATACGTATACTTATCAGGCTTCACCCCAAACGATTTCATCTGGTAAAAATAATCCAGAGCGAGATCGAATTTTTGCCATGTTGTGGCTAAACCCCTGATCATTACGTTGTATGCATAACTGTTGATCGGGATTCTGGGAAAGAAAAGCGTCGAGTAGCTAAAATCTCTGAGGTCGATGATTTTGGAAAGCAAGTAATTGTGCATGGGCATTTGAATCGAGTGAACAAGCACCTTGGCATGGATCTGATGCACTAATTTGATTGATTTGCTCTGTTTCAAGATGAGCAGAATCTTATTCACTAGGGTTTTCTGTTGCTCATGTCCATTCTCGATTCGAGCTATAAATTGGCGCGAAACCTTATTGCGCAAAATCATCGATCGGTTTAGCGGCTCCGGCCAATTTCCCGACCACAATATTAAAGAGCTACTATAAAAACCAAAATCGCCAATTCTAAAATGCGATTTTAGAAAGCGTTGGATACATTAATTCTTATCTTTAAATGTTTCAATAGAAAACATAACAACATACGCAGCGGCAGTTCTCTCAGGTAAGCTGCTGAAAGGAATGGCCAGCATAGCCGTACAGTTTCTGTCAAGAGCAGTCCGGCCACCGCTGCGGCGGCGCTTTATTATACAGAGGAGCATTTTTCAGAGAGCACCTGTGATGAATAAACGATCCTATTCGGTGAAATCGAGCCTTGAGCCGCCAGATTTGAAGAAATTAGCTGAAACAGCCCGGATTTCCCTAACGCCTCAAGAAGTAATCATTCATTTCCCTAACTAGTTCGTTCAAATGCTTTTAGTTTCGTTTGCTCTTATTGTTCTGTTCTCAAATTTCAATCAATTTATAGGTTGAAGAATTTGCCCCCAAAATCCGACAAGTGGTTGATTGGTATCTTCTTTTATCCATTTACTCATAACTATATATGATGAGTTTTTGCGTTAGGAGACAATTTTATTAACGCAAGCATTTGCAATATACTCTTAATCATCATAATGAATGTTTTATTTCAAGGTGATGATGTAAATGTGAAACAGGTTTGGGCAACTTCAAGATGTAGATCTTCAGAGTGTTGAGCCAGCCCTAAGAGCAGGTGCTTGAATAATTAATTTTATCATAAAATTTCAACTCCCCAATATAAGTGGGTACAAGTTTAGATTATCATTTTAACTTAAAGGAGCATGCTTTTGTCTTTGTTCTAGTTTTGTGTGTTCCTACATATTAACCCGTCTGCCATTTAGATGTCGGATCATACTCCAGGGTTTTCTGTTTGATGTATGATCATGGTTTCTGTTCATCAATGTGAATGTTTACATGCACAAGTGATTACTAATTGATAGTTTTTGTTCTTTAGATACTGAAGAAGACAGCTTGCGGGAGGATTTGCCTATAATATTTACTAACAGGTAGTAAGCCCCCTACATATATATTTTCTTTTTTTTTTAAAAAAAAATAATAATAATAATGTAATAATAAAATCAGCATGTGTTTTCTGAAGATCAAAAGCATTAAAGTTATATTGCATCTGACCTGTTTTGCAGAGATGCTATGATAGCAGCTGTGCCAACCTATGAAGACTCTTATATCAAAGTTCCTAAAGTCTTGAACAAGGAGTGATTGCTGGTTGATACCCTTATTTTATTCATTTTTGTTTTTGACTGCAAGACTAAGGTATGTCTCAATTAGAGCAGCATCCTGTTGCATCTACAACAAACTTCAATATATGAGATTGCTACTATTCTACTAATTGAGTATACCGAAGAGAAATTCACCATAGTTGGTTGGAATATCTGATCATAACTTTATTTGCTCGCCAAGTTTACACACCCCCTTTGCACACACAATACCTTTCTATCCATTTCCACTTGCAATGGATTGGCTATCACAGAACACCTATTGATGAAGTTGCTACAAATCATGACACATAACACTAAGAAAGCAGTGTAACCATCCCGCAAAAAAGGATTTAATGATATGGGTGAACTTAAGATCATTAGTTCAAACCCTCAGAAAAACATAAAAAGAAAAAGTGTTAACTACTAAATTCAATAGAAAATAAAGCAGAAACATAGAGATATATTGTAAAGCAAAGGCCATTACATAAACCAATGATTTCGTAAATACATTATTAGATGCCAAGAGGTATGATGCCTAAAGAACCATGGGAATATCCCATCTTGATATTTACAAGGGAAAAAGGAATATAACTGCACAACATAAGGCTATAAAACAAATGCCTTTGTTACTAACATCTATTGTCTTCCCCCTCCCCTTCTGTGATATAACTTCTTTTCTTCTACATCGTGTCAACAATCTATTCTCTAAAAGCCTTGCTATATAGATAAACACATAGCAATAAGACCCAATAAAAAATGGTGGGACGTTAGTGTGGATGTTTTTGCTCAGCAATAACTACGACTGCCAGAACAATTCAAATTCATTACTATACAGCGATCGATCCTGAATCTCTAGATTTGCCACATGCCAATTTACAAGCTTTGATTGGATGCATTTACACAAAATAAGGGCAAGAGGAAAAATCCACCATTCATTTTCATCCCTGCAATTACAAAAAAATACATCAATTATGCAAGTAAATAAAGCACTAGAGTAAAAATGTTCAGGTTGGGCAGGTGTTCCACTCACATATTCCATGGCTGGAAGTATGGGATGCTCCCACTTGATTGACGGTGGTGAACAAAACCACAGATGAACGCAACAACCTGGATAACTCAAATAGAAAATGCATAAGAAGCCAATAGAGTTACCGTATGCATTAAAACCTGTCGCAAATGTCCGCAAAGTGATTCAAAATAAAAGGATCAGTTGATTCACATACAGAATCCAATGTGAAATCAATTCTACTCGAACACTTAAAACAAAAGATATCCTAGGAAGATGGCAGCCAGTTCAAAAAATATTTAGATTATTTATAGATCTAACTGCTGATGTAGCAACACAGCAACACATTACATGAAAGGCTTCAAAAATAGAGAATGACTTACAATGTTTATCAGGGAAGCGACGTTCCACAAAGCATACAAGCGTGCCAAACCTGCAGAACGCCTTGGTCCATGACTGAATAGAGCATTAATTCCAGCCGGAAAGGGAAGTAAAATACCAAGGGGTATAATAAACAGAACAAGAAAGACATCTGCTAGGGAAAACGAATACAACTGGAGCAATGTGAGCAGTACTAGACTAAAATCTCCAAGTAGCAGGATCGAGATTACCAAGCCAACGAGATCCTGCAGCACATAAGAGGTCCATTTAAGGAATGGAATCTTAAACAAACACACTATTGCACAACACCTAAAATAGAGAATTCTTATGTTAGGTATGGGTGGGTGGGGTTGTGAATTGGAAGACAGAGAGGTACCTGATGCCCAACTGGCTTAGTGTTGTGAATGAGAACAGAGAGAATAAAGCATATATCTCTTTGCTCTTCCAGCACCTTCAGGCTATTAACATCTATAATTGTGCCATTAACCTTCCTCCTCAAAGTGCCTTCTTCACTATCATTGCTTCTCGGCATTCGACTCAGGTAAGACATCTTTGAAGGCTCATCTTTCAAATACATATCTTCTGAGCTGCTTGTCATCAACATCATAACAAACAAACAAGCTCAAATGATAAAAGAAAAAAAAAAAAAAGAAAGAAAGAAAGGTTAAACAGGATTGCATCTTATCATCTTGTTCTTCACAAACCATATCCCATTAGACCTTGCCAAAATCTCTATACTAATATGACATATATGGTCACTGTAAATTAAATTAGGCCACTGGAAAAAATTGCAAGGAAGGTAGGAAACCCAGTATCCCTCGGGATGGAGGGAGTATCAATCAAGTAAACCTCTAGTATCTCACATGTAAATGCACATAATATTAGATATGAAATGTGGAGTTGAAAAAAATAGGGATCCATTTTAGCTGAAAAGGCACAAAATCATTTTGCAGCAATTTCAATAGCATATGGTTCAGGAATTTAGGGTACCTGTTCACTTATGGAATGGAAAATGAGAAATATGGTGATGATGGTTCTTCAAAGAAACGACATTGCAAAGTAGTATAACCATAAAATCACATTCTTCATGTGTCAGTTTAGATGTTATGGCAAAGATGCATTACCTTGACCATTGCTCACTCCCAGGTAGTCCGTCTGGAACAGATAATGGCACGAGGTCAGTTTCTTCATTGACAGCATATATGAGAAGTCCATAATGACAATAGCTCTCAGCAGTAGTTTGAAACCAAGCAAGGTCCACGTGGACACCATAGACCCTTAATGCAGGATTTGCAAAAGTGTCAAGCCAATGAAGAACTGGACGAAACGTCACTCTGAGGCAACCTCTTCTTGCCAGACGCAATTGAGCATTCAACCCAGACACAAAACGATACCATGTAGTTGGTGGCACAGACTGAACGAAACAGAGAAATTATTGACATCAGGGATGTGCTCTGATTTGTTAAAGAATAAAACAGGTACTTAGAGGTCAAAATTTTCCCCATCACATGCAAAAGTTGTTCAGTTCCTTCAAGGTAGAAGAATAGACCTGACTCATGAGGCTGGTCATGACATTGTCACTATGCAGTGCAAAAGGAGCCATGTAACTTCCATCACCACCAAAAAGTAGAGACATTGGAAATCTTTCATGCAGACGAGGAGGAAGATCATTTCTCTTTTCATCACCACCAAGGAAAAAATCAACATATGCCAGCATTAGATCTGGTGTTGCAGCAACCTGTAACACAAATATGAATATTCATAGATTGAAGGGGCATGTTTCAATTACACAATATTTAAAAATAGTTTTAGGAGCAACAATGGTACAGACAAGAAATTAAAAATTGATAACATAAGCAATAAGGTACCCTAAATGTCAGGTATCCAAAACGATTGGGCCCGGTCCAGGTAGTATTTTATGCTACTCCAAATCTCAATACTCAACCCGGATTATCTGAACTATTAATTATTTGACCAAAAGCCCATCCCTAATTGGAAGTCACTAAAAAGACAAGAGAACTGTGCTACAAAAAACTGACCTTCAGTCCCTCATACAGAGCACGTGAGCGACAAGAACGTAAGCAAGCATGATCATATTCGGATCTAACAAATTCTCTTATTTTCTGCAATTTCATTCTCCGCCGCCATTGTAGCCAAGACCATGCAAAAGGATAAGCAATTAAGCAAAGAATACTGTGTACTGCTCCTTCCCACCACTGATATGCAGCAAGTGAATTGATCTCATCCACAAATGTATTAAATGCAACCTCATATCTGCCATTATTCATCAAATAAAAGTACATGATTTCTAGGTTATACAGCCAACAAAAGAATTTAAAAAGGGCAAGCCTTTTTTACTTAAGGGAGAACTGAGAATAATATTACACAGGTTTAAATAAGATAATGTCATACCAACAAGTGGCAGTTTCATGTACCAATGCGAAATCAAACAATAGGAAGGAAAAAACTTACACTATTTCTTTTACTTGTTCGGGAGGCATATGTGGAAGATGCCAAGGTTCACTAAAAGTATTGGGGCCCATAAAGTACATTCTATGCACATGACTCTGAGATTCTTCCACTCTATTAGTTTCCATAACCTGATGGGCAGACAGTCCGTCAATCTTTCTTTTACTCAATAAACATATCAAACTTAAGCCTCAAATTGCAGTTTCATTCACCACACTTTGCTAACTACTACCATAAAAGTATTATGTGCTTGTGCATACCTCGTTAAGAGACTCAAGGAAAGGAAATGAATGGTCGATCTGAGAGCCTTGTTGGGTTGGAGCAGGACCCGGTTGCTCATCAACCCCGATGAACTTCATCCGTGCAACACTCAGCACCAAAGCAAGAAATATCAATAGTCCAAAAAGCAGAAGACCAAACAACCAGGGACCTCCAAACGTATATACCAACTCCTCAAGAGCAGTATAACAGTGAGGCATGTGATACCTCTCAGAAATGCATTTGTAAGGACAAGGAGTTTCAGTGATTCCACCTGAAAGCAGCAAACAGGAACTCTGATCATCATCCGTACACAAATAAAATAAAATAATGTGATGTACATCATACTCAGGAATTTATGACAATAGAAAAACTATTAACATCTGAAAACTGAGATCACTAAACTATCATATCATCCACACAAAAGTTAGTAAATTGTTCCACAAAAGAAGACAAAGACAAAACCTCTACTTGACAATGGAAAGACACCATAAAAGGTTGATTCCCCAGGTTAGAGATACCTCGGACATGAACATAAACAGCACGACTTGGAAACTCATCACTTGGGCATGGAAAGCATAGCGATCTGTCAGATCCAGTGACATTTTTGAAAGTGCCATCCGGGCATTCCTGCAAAGATAAAAGAACGATGTCAAGACTCAGGATTGAAAAGTGAATACATATTATCTATTGGTAATTGATTATGGCTCCACCCTGGCTTAATGCCCCAAACATCTTTATTAAACAACATGAACAGAACGTAAGATTTCTCTCTGCCATCATATTACTGCTCCACTTATTTCTCCTATTTCTTTTAAGAACCTTTCCAAACAATCTCTTGCATACAATGAGTTGGAGAAGATTAATAGAACTAGAAAATTGTCAATAAGATGGAAAGATAACTACCTCACAGAATGTTCCATAAAGCCCCTTTGGACAAGCTTGTCCAGTGACGGTACCATTCTCACCCATGTGGCTTTCATTGCCACCTAATCCACCCCTATAACAAAGTCAGGTATAAACATTACTGTGTCACCCACAAAATGCGTGCAGTGCAAAGATTCTACATTTTCTTCACCCATAGGATGTAAGCATCCACAGCACAAAAACAGTGTCTAGTTAATGAGGAAAACTATGCAGAAAAGGGTGTAAGTGATCTATGCAATATATGTATCTAAACCTTTAATCTGGAATAAATAGTCACATAAGCAACTGCATAAGCTGAAATTCCTAAAATTAATGAAGCATAATCTAATAATCTACGATATCCTACATCTACACTTTATGCATCCAGTCATCCACCTGGACAAGAAGCAATTTTTGTAGAAGAAGAATAAGTTACGCCACAGCAATAACTACTTTCTCATTATTCCTTTAGATAGTCTATGGCCTTAAAAGGCGTTAAGAATTAGAAAAAAAAAAAAGAGAAATGAAAACAGACTAAACAAATAGCATAGTATGGGAATATTACTACAGAAATTTACATGAATAATAAAGCTTATGCAGCATCAGATGCATAAAGAAGCAAAGAAACTAACCTGGCATGAATGCTTCCATTCACTGAGGCTATTGGGAAATATACATCTCCTGTAGGGATGTCTGACCAATGAAAATGAATTCTTCCACCACCCCCTCCTCCACCACCCATTGAGCTACCATGGCCTCCAACACTTGACAAATTTCCAGCTTGACTTATAGCTAAAGAGTGCAAAAATAACAAGATAGTACCACCTGATCCACCCCCAAGACTCAAATTCGCACTATTATTATTTAATGCACTCTTATGAAATCTCCATTTAGAACTATCTCCATCTGCCTTGACAGAACCCTCCACCTGTAACCTCGTCAAGGGATGACGCATTGAACCCATCACTGCATGCAATGAACTAAGTTAACAATCACAAAAGGTCACCACAAATGTAATATAGAAACAATTAAGAGAAAAGGCACACATGAAGTAATTGCTGTGTTACAAGAATAAATGAACCATTGTACAACCACAATAAATTAGATAGACGTCCTCCACTCACCAAGAATACCACCACCAGCAGTTGATATAGCCAAGCTTTCATTGCCACTGCCACTGCCTAGTTCACAAGGCAAGCTAGCATCTCCATATGACATGCCACCAGGAATACAACTGCCATTATAACAGCCCATTCCACCTCTACCTCCATGCCCACCACCACTACCTAGACCATTACTCAATACCATTCCTTGACCAATGCCACCATGACAGCCTGCACAAAAAGCAATGCTTGTTTGTCAGGCATTCGGGAAATGCCATTCAGTCACATGGATTCTGACTCCAAAAGATAAATAATTTCTCCAAATAAAAGGATTTTAAACATGCTTGTCCCTGAGTGTGCATGTGTGTGTGTGTGTGTGTGTGTGTGTGAGAGAGAGAGAGAGAGAGAGAGAGAGCTCTTCAGAATACCCATTCCAGATGTGTTTATAACTCCAGAAGCCTGGACACTGATGGTTCTTGCTCTATGGAAATGAACAATAGAACCTTCAACCAAACCCTCAACATTGACATCCTCAACTCGACAGATCTGCATAACAATATATTTTTTAAACTTCATCACAGCAACTATTTTGCATGCTTTTAAGGGAAAAAATAAAATAAATCAAAATAAATCAAAAATTCAAAAGAGTAATTCTTCTGATGTTTCATGATAGATAGCCACCTGCAGGGTAAAGGACAAAGAAGAGTTCACATTACAATCCTCAGGTGGGTGAAGAAGTTCGGCTGGACAATCTTCCGAATCGCAATAAAGCTTTGGCATCCTAACAAGCAACAAAAATCAGCTTTCAGAAAATATAACAATTAACATTTGTCTGTTTTCATTAAAACAGGGATTAGAACCTACACAGCATCATCCGAGGTATTTCTTAAAGGACCACGCAGAATAGAACCAGGTCCAATCTTCATCAGAACATGAGGGGAAACACCAAAAGCCAATTAATCAAACATAAATTATGCTCCTAAAATTTTTGGCGCAGACATTTTATCATAGTAGTACTTATTTTAGATTGAAGCAAGGGTTTCCATGTATAGGCAAAATAATCAGCAAGCACGAATCAGTCACTGTATGTTATAGACAAGGTGTAAAAAACATCAACAAGCCCAATGATGCCATCAACTGAATAAACAGATTGCAAAGAAGCCTGCCAGATTAGATTTCAGTCCCTTCACCATTTCAATTAACTCTATAATTTTCAGGAAGCAGACATGCAGAAGCTACAGGAAAGAACTCGGAAAATGCAAAATGCATAGAAACACCCTTCAAAATAGCAATGTAGAATACAAGTGTGAGACCAGAACATTGACATACAATATAGCTTATGCTAATTATGAAGCAACTAAAGTAGGACAAATCCGAAACTTCAGGAATATCATCATATTCATTCATATATTGCAGTGGCATGCTACTTCTACAGGCTCCAACTTACAAAAATGGATTACAAAGAGAGAATTCATGACTTCTCCTACTTGGATTTTTAATGAATATAGGATTATGTTCAAGGAGCTTATAGCTATAGAAACCTTTTGAATAGAGATGAAGCAGCATGGATACACTACATGTTTCTTAGTGTCTGAAGATAAGAACATATTGGAGCCTCAAAACAGCTTTATTGTAGGTGAAATATGAAGCTTTGAGAAGAACCGATAGGTGAAAAAGTCTCCAAGTCAAAGAGCAGGCATATGTATTATTCTTCTCTAAATTAAGGTTACATAAGTGGTAAAATTAAGGTAAAATTAGTGGAGAAATACTGATAATTGCTTACATTAATGACATAAAACAACGACAAAACTAAACGTTGTGCTTCTATGCAATCTCCTGGTCCAGTCAAATTTAAAAGACCTTGCCCATGAACGCCCAGGTTTGCATTTGAATGAATAAGTGATGATCCCTGTTGAATAAAATAAATCAGTAGGTTGTGAGAATACCATAGGCACAATTCTAGAAGGATTAAATTTGGTAACTCACCCTCAGGACTACAAGATTACTAGCTTCAAGGGAGGATGTCTCGACATTTTCATCTCCACCACCATCTATTGTCATCTTTGAGTTCAACATTAAAAACATCTTAACAGACATGCGAAGTGCCCCAAAAACCTAGAAGAGAAAAGGATAAGAACATCTGAATTGTATAGATATCCAAATTTAAAAATTCATTTCAGTAAAAATTGACATGCCTAGTTAAAGGCTTAAAGCTCAACTTTGTTTGCATAATTGCTAGTAAAACGGCATATAAATAAGTGAATATTTTTCAATTGATGCCCATAGAATCATTAAAATAAAAAGGACAGGGGGTTGGGGCAAGCATGCTGATCACGGCATATCATCTTCCACAAGAGGGGAGAAACATACTCTAATTTCAGAATCACTCATCAACAGCTCCTCTGCTAAAAGTTCAAACACCGACATGGAATAATGTGCAAGCCCAAAGCTTAGTGTTGCTCCAGATAAAAGGCTTATTTGCCCTTGAACCTTGAGTCCATGAACAAAACAGAATTAGATTCTTAAGTGCAGGAGATGGTCACTAAAATGTAAATCAACGCACATGTAACTTTTTTGAAGAGCCAGTGGCAAATAACAAAGTTCAGTGGTTACAGAAAGATCATAGCATGCAGGACATATTGCAGAGCACCACCAACAATCAGAATTAAAAAAACCTGGACTCGACTCCAAAGCAATGGGACAGCTGCCTTTGCATCATCCCGGATATAGACATTTGTCAACAATGGTTGAGGAAACTCCATGAGAAGTGTCTCCGTATTTGTAGGATTACCATTATTGCTTACAGTAAGGGTACGAGGAACAGTCTCATAAATAGTACCCGCAGCACCTTGATTTTCAGGGCAACCGAGACTGCTTCCACCTAAAACATAAATCATGGCAGGGAAGGCTGAGCAACTCACTCTTAGTCCTAGAGAAACAAAATATTATACTTTTGACACTGAAAAATTGTTGATCAGACCAGTTACAGTTTCTATGCATGGATCAAGAATTGCCAAGCGCAAGAATTTTACAGCCCACAATTTAGCAAGGGATAGAATAGCTCCAAACTTTCAGCATGGGGAGCTCCTTCGTAGGATAGAGAAAATAGCTGAAAATGTATATCTCAAACCAAATAGCATGGGAATTAAATTATCGTTTTTCTCTGAGAAAGAACATTACAACTAGAGATTTATGGAGCTCAAAAATAAGCAACTAAGTATTATCACTAAAGAGCCAACAGGAAAAGATAATAGAAAAAAAAATGTCATACCATTTGCTGCGATGACTGGTTCTTCATGCCGACTAAAAATATTGACAGAAACTCTACCACCACCACCACCACCAAAACCTTCACCACCACAAGCACTTATTCTGCCATTTCCCGTCCTGGAATTCACAAGAACTATGATGGTTAGAAACATTTGAATGTGTTCCTACACTTACCACTAGATTAATGAAACGTAGATATTTCGAGCAGTATCTTCACATCCAATGCCAGTTTTCAAATATGAAGAAGTGATAAGAATACAGTCAATAATCCAGAGAGATACTACTCGCATGAAGAAGCATGTTTTATTGCACTGTTGATGATTATTATTGTACATTTCTATTCTTTAAAAATATATAAGTAGATTTCAGAGAAAAACAGACACACACAATGCGGAAAGGGGCTTATATTAAAAGGGGGGGCCCATATGCAAGAGCTTCACGAACATGATAAAGACTTCATTGATTCTAAAAAGTGATTATTATAAAGCATAACAATGTCGTAGTAAACTGTGTAGCAACACTTGACTATAATTCAGAAACAGTATGTACCCAAATTCCAGCTACTTACACTGGTATGAAGTCAAAACAATTGTCACTAACAATGCATACCAAATCATAAATTGGCAGTCACTAAAAACAGAATAACAGCAGTGAGTCTGTCACTCCAACTACAGTATAAATCACTTATTTGGCAGTTAGACCCTCATAAATACATACTTTAAAACACGTTACAAGGAGAATAAAATTATGAATCCGAAACAAGAGAATAGCCAAGAATTTACATTCTATGTGCTTGGATGTAGATGCTGCCTCCAGACCCGCCTCCACCTCTAGCACCTCCATCTCCACCATCGGCCAAGATACTGCCATTTACAAGCAAAACATTTGATACCAGTAACATTACCCTTCCCCCTCCTCCACCTCCGAAATCTACATAGTAGCTCGTCGTCCCACCTTTACTCCCATAACTCCAGGGCTTCCCCAAAGTTGACCAGGAGTAAGCATCCCCGCCCCATACATCTTCCGGAAGCTTACTGTTATTACTCAGACAAGCCGCACCCCTTCCACCATGCCCGCCACCAGCACCTTCCACCCCTTGCGGGGTCCCACTTGTCTGGGGTGGGGGAGACCCAGCTAAACCAGTAGTATTAACAACAGAATCATTGCCAAAAATAGCGTTATCTGAGACTAACTGAAAAGTGCCGCATATTATGGAAGAATTATCCCCCAGAGTAAAGTTCCCGGTAACATTGATAGCAAGCTCGCATCCACTAAACGACGAACAGTTCAGAGTAACGTTATCGGCAATTCTAAAATTACCCGTGCCTTCCACATACACATTTTTTGATAGGTTCAAACTGGAGACAATCTCGCAGGTGGTGTCTAAAGAGCCAACTCCGGCGAAATCGACGGCACACGACGCCGACGGTGGATGCGGCGGCGGAGGTGGCGGCGCCGGAGGAGAGTAGTCATTGTGGAACAAAAAAGCGTCCGAGTCAACATCAAAGTCAAAATCGGATTCAGCAACAACCGACCTAGGGTTCACCAAGATTGACAGCACTAAGACGGCTACCAATCCCATCAAGCCCAACGAAAGCGCACGATGAATTGTGCAAACAGCCATCGGCAGGCTACAATAGTCATCACATTAAACCTCCCCAGCGCAACCAGCAGAGACCGATTGCATCTGAAAAAGGAATAAATCTCAACCAAAGAACTATAAAAGCACCGAGAATCAAAACCCTCACCAAACCGCCACGACAATTGAAACCAAGCCGACTTCAACTCCCCACAAAATAAATGCACTGAGAGTCTGGGTGCGTGCCCTGCAAGCTATGGATACACGACTGTATGTATAGATGACGTACAGGGTTTTGGAAGAAAATTAGGAGAGAGAGGGGGGGGTTGTGAGGATTGTAGAGAGAGAAAGGAAGAACTTGAAAGGAGCGGGTGTAGTTTAATTTAGGGGGAAAGAAGGTGGCGACGTGGGCGCACTTTAATTTCCTTTTTTTTCTTATTAATTAAGTTAGATAATTAAATATATAAATATAAATAAATGAAGCCAACCACAGGGCTGATTGGTTGTAGGATTTTATGGGTGAGTTTGTGTGAGGTTTGAATTATGAGTAGGATTTCAACGGTATAAAATTGAAATTATGGTATGATATATAAATAAACACTGATGTAAATTTTAAATGTAAATTTTATTTTTTAATTTTTAGTATAATTTACTTTTGTATACTCATCAAAATTTGTATACAGCTCCACATAAATTTTGCGTTTGGAAGGAATATAATATATTTTCATCCATTATCAAATTTATTCACATATTTTTTATTATCATTAAAATATAATATTTATAAAATTTTATGAAAAAGTAATATTTATTTATCATAATTTTAAGTACTATTTTATCTCTATTCCATTTGAAAGTATTTTTTTCATATTTTAAAAAATATGATAATACTAAAATATTCATAATTTTTATTTAAATTACATATAATTACTTTGTACATAAAAATTTAAAAATAAAAATATCAAATTTTTTTATATATTTTTACTAATCAATAAAATACTATTATTTTTTAATCTATTACAAAATTTTAAATGACTTTCCCGATGACAACGAGCAGAGGGAATATACATTTTCTAAGTCGACATGGAGAGACTTATCTTATATGTCATATAAATGTATATATTATGTATTATTTTATGTTATATTAATGTATGTATATTATATTATTTAATAATGTTTATGAAAAACTTATTATATTTTAGAGTATGATTGTTTATTAAATAGTTCGATGAAATATTTTTTTAAATATAATGTAAAAAACATATAAAAATATTAAAATAATGAATACATATAATATATATTTTTTTAATAAATATATAAGAGTTTTTTTGAGCTAAAAGAAACACAACTTCAACATTTCACCATTTAAGATGCAACATTAATACAAAATATTTATTACAATGAAATAATTCAAAATCGTAATAAAATTCAATTAAGGCACCCTTTTCATTACATACCCTATAATTATGTACACAATATTATAGAAGAAAATTTTATTTTTCTATTATTTCAAATTCAAATAACCCTATAATTATGTACACAATATTATAGAAGGAAATTCTATTTTTTTTTTATTATTTCAAATTCAAATGAACGCTATCGTAATTTTTAATATTACTTTTACCATCAAATATTATTTAAATAAAAAAATCAAATTAATATTTTATTTTAAATTAATTTTATACTACAGTCACATTATTTTTAAAATAAAATAATGCATCCAGATATATATGTACTAGCTTTTAAATAAATGTATAGCGTGTTCTCGTTAAATATGTACGTTAGCTATGTATTAAATTGACAGATCATGTGTGGTCTGCTTTCTAGGATTTAACTGTGTTCGTAATCAGACAAAAGAGCATTAATCAACAACATTGAATGATGTTTGCACGCGCATTAAAATAATAATAAATGATATTATATATGATTGATTAATTTATTTCTTGAAATGATAATATTCAAGGAACTGTGAGCGTACACGTATTTTAATAAATAAATAAAATAACAAAGAATTGGTTTATTATTTTAGGAACCAAAAAGAAAACCTTTTTCTGTAATGTATTAATAAATACTTTTAATTTTTTATAATCAATAAATAAAATTGAGATAATTAAAAATATTTTTTTATAATAAACAATAAAAATATTAAATAAATCCTATATATACTTGCTCTATGATAATGTAAACCTCAGCTTTGCTTCACATGGTGGTACACATATTAGTATTATTCATCGCTGTCTCCGTACAACATTAAAATTAATTGAAACATGTCCCCGTGCACAAATTCCTTTTCTCTTGAAGCACTCGAATTTACAAATACGACAATACATATATAATTATATAGGTATATATTCAGTTTGTTCACTCGTTATTTTTAAATAAAACAATTTTTATAAATATTATTAAAAAATATAAATATATACATATTAATATAATATATACATTATTCACTTATAAAAAAAATCAATTATTCTAACACAAAATATTATTTATTTATATTCTATTCCCTTAGTTCCATAACTATGCATCAATTTGCTTTTTAGACAAAATTTTAGAAATATTAATATATATATTAAAAAAATAAAAATAACTAAAATAACTTTAGTGATATTTGTGTAATTACTAAACAAAATACATCTTTCATAATGAATGGACTAAAATAAAAAAAAGGAGATAGTTTGTTACGGGGTACAGAACAATACAGTTTCCTTACCATATAAAAAATCAATTCATAAACAAGTCATAAAAAAGGATAAGTTTTATGGAGATGAGTTGGCCTTTACATAGCCATAAACAAGTCTACAGAACAACACACGTGTCTGGGGAAATAAAAATGAAAATAGGACAAGGATATTATTATTATTATTTATTATTAAAAAATGCATATATATATATATATGTATACGAGAAAAGGATAATTTATTATTAAATGAAAATTGAGAAATACTTGAAGCTACACATGTAACTGAAAACTCACCTACCTACCAAACAAAATGATTATCTATTATAAAAAATAAATGAATATATAAGAAAGTGGGGTATCCTAATTTTGAAGTTCGAACCAAGCAGAAATTGGGGTAAGGAATGGTGTCCTCACATGTGTGTCTTGTCTGTCACTTTGTTCAGCTTAAAACGACACCATCAAATTATTAAAATTTCAAACCAAGTGATTGTATTTTACCAATTAACCAAGATAGTAAAAGATTAAAAACCACACTGGGTCATTTTCTGGTGTGCCAAATTTCCAGGGATGTCATTTTCTTTCATTATCCAACTCTGAACTTTTTTAGAAGACAGCGACAACTTCACCTTCCCAGTTTTGTCTTCTTTCAGACAGAATTTTTCACATTTTTATTTAAAATAAACTTAACAATAATAATGAAATAGTAAGGCAGAGCAGTAATGATGGGCTTCAAAACTAACTCTGGCGGAAAGGGAATTATTTTCATCAAGAATTCACCTTATTAAATAAAATGATCAGGTGATTAAGTGGTTAATTATGAATCAAACACCACAATTGCCAAATTTGAATATTAGAGATTATGCAATAATGACCTTAAACCTTTAGGCCAAATATGACACAAGTGGGAAAACACTACTAGTCAGACAATAACAATGGAGGTTACTTAACCTACAAAAAGAAAAGGGAGGCTGTATATATTTATACAATATAATAAAAACAAATCTAAGACAAAAAAGCATGATTCGATTGTGAAAAGGATTTTTAAAAATGGACATGCCAAATGTGACAAACTTTGGCCCCATAGTTTCCTTCCCAAATTTGTCTGCTTATTAGAAGTTGGTCTGTGTGATATTCTAAACAAGGCCCCCCTTCAACATATTGTTTTTCTTCACTACTCATTCATAGAGATTTTAAAATTTTAGGGAACTAACCATGTCCAATTCTTTTAGGGAACAGAAATTTTTCAAGAAGTGTATATAGATATGGAAGTAGGATTAAGAATGGACTAATATACTGCGTTGCTTACAGTGAATGCTTCTTACTGAGTGGCAATTGGTGAAATAGTTAACAGCTCCGAAAATGCAGCTGCCTTACACATCATTTTAGCAGCTTCCTGACAGCAAAAATCACAGAGTATGTTCAAACATTATGATGGCAGAAATCTATATAACAAGCAGAATATTTGTAATGCTTATAAACCTGAATTGAGATGGATATTTCCAGATGACAGAATTAGCTCTTCCAATGTTAGAAATAACTGTGGGGATTTCATCCAGAGATTAGTTTGGTGAGTAGGAAAATAAATGCTGAAAAGCAATGTGAACCATAATGGTAATATGGAATGGAAGCACATGCTAATGTCAAATGTGCATTACTAAGTTCCATAAGATGGAATTTAATTTGGAAATTCACATTCACATATATTTTTGTCTGCCGGTGGAAAGTGAACTCACATGGACGGTCCAGATGCCGCTGAACCGGAAAGACATTATAGCCTTGTTTGTATCACATTAAGTGTCTACTCAAAAGGGCAGTATACATACTAACTTGATCTTCGATGCTACAACAGGTGCCTGCAACCAAACACGATCAGGGAATACAACTGCTGATGCCTCCTCCATGTCCTTATCCTCATAACGAATTATGGGTGCTGTCAAAAATGATGTTGCATTAGCATCACATATTAGCAAGGGAACATTGCCAAAGAATTCGCAGCGAAGGATAAAGTCATAATATGCTCTAAGAAAAGTAATTCTCACACTTATATATATTCTCAGTTTTATGATAAAATTTAATTTTGATGTGAATTTTGCAGTCACCATCCTTTCTTGGAGTTTTTCATTTAAACTTTCGTTTGTTAGGTGGTAGTTGTGCCATGGCTATTGGTGCGAGTCAATTATCCAATTTTGTAGCTTATTGAACAACTTTTGGGGGATTACATAGCTGAAACTATAGTTGTTGTGTCTCTTTGTATTTTAGCCAATTTAATGGTCCGTGTGTCCCAGAAACAGCTATTTGTCACAAAATATATTGGGGGGTTGGGGAAATCATAGATTGGCAGAAAAATTAAATTATCTTATTTACAAACCACAAATTCTACATAAATCCAATCTAGATACAGTAGATTTCTTTATTAATGAGACGACTTTCCTAACAGATATAGATTGTAAACCTGTCAAAGCATGTATCATGTGAGAAAAAAGAAACACATATCAGAAGCAAAAGGTACTCACATGAAAGAGAGATCTGCCAAACCATCCAGCAGATGTAAGAAGGTTTCATATTCTGTTGAAATCAGCAAAATAGCAAAGGGCCCAGCATGAGAAAACTAAAGTAAGACAACAAGTAATAGAAAGAATGCGGAGCCAAACCTCCCCTCTTTGCAGTAATCAAGTATCTGGGGATGCTGAATTACAATCCTTTACTAAAAGCTTTGTCGAGAGCACTAAATAACACTGAAACACAGGTGGAAATGCAGTATGAACCATCAAGTTCACAGCATCCAAAAAAGACTTATCCCATGACACCTGAAATGGATGAGAAACCTGAGGCACCATACAGTTAATGCATGAAGACCGTCTCTCTTATGATTTTTTTGGGTTCAAAACAACTGCAACTAACTTACAAGATTTGGACATCACATGTTAGCAAGGACTAATTAAAGAAGTATTGGCAAAGAAATGATATACAGTTATATAAATAGCATCCATGTACAAGAACCAGTCTTTCCAAAAAAACCAGAATATGCAATTGTCAAGACAAGGATAATAACGTAAAGAAATGCTAAAAGGCAATGCAGATTGACGCATAATGGTGATCATTTTCATTTGAAGAGAACAACAATGATCTTAATTCCAATGTTATGATCACTTGCACTGCTGATTGCAGCCCCTCTCCCACTGGTGCACACTCCTAAATCAGCTTGCTGTGTCGTCCTCACATCACTTTTATCATACCAATGGCCAACAGTTAAAATTAGACTACTTCAAAAGTTCCACAAGCTATAGGTGCAAGTAAAAGATTCAAGTGCTATCTCACTTGAATAGTACATTATAATGCAATTCTTCATACCTACAAGTAGTAAGAAGCATGCATTAACAGGCTTTTCAATCTTCGTGTGGAAATTGGATGGGTTGAAACAGCATGGCTCCTGTTTGTAAGACTGAAATCCTGGCCATTTGGCAACTAATGTTTTCCAAGTGCCTCGATAAAGGCAGTTATCTCCTGTATTGCCAAGAGAACAATCTTTGTACTTCCTAAAGACTTCCATTAGTCATTGTTCATTTTCCATCAACAGACCACTGACTTTGGTCATCTTTGAATCAACTTCTGATCCCAAGGCAACTTCTATCACTTGGTCTTCAGTTGGTAGTAATGTTTGTCTGATAAGCAATGGCCACACTTCGTCAAAACTTGATGTCTCTTTTACCTGGTATTTTATTGGCCTGCAGTAGTAATTGGGATAGTCTTAGCCCATTGCAACAAATTTTGATAAACATGATTTGCTTTCATTGAATATACACACATATTATCCAACTAATTTGTTCCCATAGATTATGGGGGTAAATTCCATTTGGATACTTTCTGTTTAATATATGACTGTCACAACAGCGATCATGTGCTAGATGTCCTCATTTATATAAAAACACGACATACATCTCATAGTCAATATGATCCACACAAGAAGAAATCCAGCATCAAATGTCATCATAAACCCTAGCGTTAATAAAATTCAGAGCATCCAATAAAAAGATTCTGCTAAAGAAACCAAACATGACAGATATAAATCGGTAAACAAAAAACCATGTGGTTTGGAGTACTCAAACCAAACTCGAAGATGAAGTACGAACAAACTCCCTATACAAGATGACTGATTATGGGAACTATAATATACCAACCACCCTAAATGAGTGGGTGTGGTGAAAATGAGGCTCCACTTTCAAACTTGCGTTGCAATCAAAGCAACACGAACTTGATACATAGAACACAAGTGTTGGCACTTCATCAAACCTCCTCGACGACATTTTGTGTGTGTGTGTGTGTGTGTGTGTGTGAGGAGAGAGCAGTTATTTTACCAGTTATCCATGTTCCGCACTCCATACGATATAATATACTCCAAGTAATGTTTAATCACAATCTCACAACCACTGCAATCACATTTCCCCCCGCAGCTTAATCGAACAAACCATATTCCTATTGAACTATCACCAGCAAACTTTCGATAGTACACCTTCATTATTGTTCTCTCAACGCGTCTAGAGTGCAGAAGAATGAGCCATCCTCCAAAATCGGACGCATAGATGAAACCAGCTGAAATTAGACCAGAGATCACAACAAGAAGAGAGAAACACGATCCGCACAATTATCACCCCAACCAACTCCACTCCACTGCTTTCTCCGATCAGGAGAGGAACGCTGCAAAACTGTAGCTCGAAGTTGCAGCAACTTCGCGCTCAAGCCTTGAAGAGCATGAATGACGTCAGCATTTGACGTACTAATTGATCTGACAAGGAATTTAAATCGCATTTTATCAATTGACCCAATTGGAGAGATGTCGGTAACTTAAAGTCCAGTCTAATCTATAGGCCCATCTAGCAAGAGGAGCCATCAGCCATGGACCAATAAAATAAAATGAAAAATTATATTCCACGTGTGAAACTACTAATGGTGCCTTCTAAAATAAAATATTATTGAAAAAATATAATTTACTAATCAATTTAAATTTGAAAATTTAGTGTAAAATACAGATAAACACATTCCATTATTCTGAGCATTTTAATAAGTCTAAGAGCAGCTAATGTGGTTATAGTAATTAATAAGATGATTATTTTTTTTAGGGTTTGATGATGAAAGAGAGACCAATCAAAATTCGTGGAATTGGGAAGGCAATGAAAGCGTGGCATTGGGGAAAAGTTTCGGATAAGGTTGAGGTGGGATTGGATTGGATTGGATTGTATTATTATGTGGAAGGAAATAAAAAAGGAAAGAAGAATAGTCAAAATCACGAGGTCGGGATCTGAAACTGGAGACTGGAGGAGAGAGGACGGACGGACGGACGGCTTCATCCATATCCGAAAACCAACGCCCACGCAAGTCACGTGCCGCTTTCAAACGCCAACACGCCACCAGACACGTGTGACTCATCCATGTCACGTGCCATCTCCCGTCCGTACAGATTCTTTGTTCGGGGAGACAGGAATCGATATAATAAATATATTAAATATTTTCATTTTGCTAGAGTTTCTGTCCAGAAAAACGCCAAAATATCCCCTGTTGAGATAATGAAGTAATGCCCGGCCGGGTTAACCTTACCGACTGTGATAAACCGTACAGTCAAAGTCGAATCACTGTGCCGGTCTGTGATTCAACGAACGTTCTCTTGTAGGACCCACCGGTTATTAAAGCGTGGTTTATCTCAGCCGCCTTACCACTGTGCAATGCTGTGTGCGATGGCCACTTGGCCTTGTTTTGGGGGCACAAGGGGGGGGTATATTATTATTATTTTATTATTATTGCTGTTACTATTAATTTAATTCAATAAATTTGTTCTTAAATTTTGTGGCTTACTTGCCATTAATACGAGAGTATTTGATAAATTTTTACGACCCAACAAAGGAATCCTGGTTTCATTCCCCAAGCCAAAAAAAATAAATTAAAAAAATTAGCAAATAATAATTAAATTTGAATGCGCGTAGGACCCACGAAGTCATCCATTCTTTGCGTATGCGTTTGAAGAGTAAATGCCAAGGTAGGGTTTGGTTTCATGACTTTCTTTCTTACTTTGTATGTAATGTAACCAAACCAACCCACTTGCTAGCCTTAGCCTACCTGTGTACGGGAAACAAGGGTACACTGTCTACTAACCATGGTTAACCATGCTCCCTAACCCTGGTTTGGATAGCAGTTTATAATGGAACCGCTGCCTCGCATAGCAGACCACGGCGATGATCGCTGATCATGACAGTGCCTCTTCTGTAGAGTGAGCGAGTGACAGTCGTATCCACAATTACAGTTACTGCGATTTAATTTAAAGATGATGATGATGATCGGAGGTGGAGATCATCCTCGCTCAAATCCCACCGTCCAAATCCCACCGTGGGATTGCCGCCACGTCGACGATTCCTCCATGGCCCACATTTACTCCCCCGCCGCCGCCGATGGCGGCCATTACGAGGATGCCTTCGCCGCCCTGCAGCGGTACCTGCCGTCCAACAAGGACGACGATTCCGACGACTTCGACGTGCCGGTGGACGCCTTCTCCTGCGACGATTTCCGTATGTTTGAGTTTAAGGTGAAGAAGTGCGCACGTGCTAGATCACATGACTGGACGCAGTGTCCGTTCGCGCATCCCGGCGAAAAGGCCCGCCGGAGAGACCCCCGGAAGTATCACTATTCCGGCCGGCCATGTCCGGACTTCCGCAAAGGCGCGTGTAAGAGAGGCGACGCTTGTGAGTACGCCCACGGCGTGTTCGAGTGCTGGCTCCACCCTGCTCGCTACCGGACGCAGCCGTGTAAGGACGGCACCCACTGCCGCCGGCGAGTCTGTTTCTTCGCCCACACGCCGGAGCAGCTCCGAGTTCTGCCGTACACTGGTAGCCCTGACGATTCCTTCATGCTCATCGCTTCTTCTCCAAACTCAAGTTTTTATTCCCCTCCGTCGTCTCCGGTAACCGGCTCGCCGCCGGTCTCCCCCGGCGGTTCACTCAAACTGAGTCAGCTCACTGAGTCGATCCGCGATATGCAGCTCAACAAATCGGGCATGGGCCAGGGTCTCGGCCCGGGTTCGAGCCTGAGCCCAACTACTTCATGGGGATTTAGATTCGGATCTCCCCGGAGCCCGTCAACAGTCCGACCCGGATTCGCCAGCCTTCCAACCACGCCGATTCGGGCTGTAACCCGTTCCGGACTCAATCCATTCGACGCCTGGGAAACTTCTTGCGCAGAGGAGCCGGTGATGGAGCGGGTCGAGTCGGGAAAAGCTCTGCGCGAAAGACTATACGCAAAGCTCGGGAAAGAGAACTCGTTGGACCGCGTCGGCCAGGCCGAGTCAGCGAGTTCAGATCCGGATATCGGATGGGTATCCGAACTCGTTAAATGAGATCCCGAATCCGAATATCAGACCCGATTCAAATTTTCTGGCTGTAAATATCATACATCATAGTTAATGGCATTAGGGTCGGGTCGTTGTTGATTGAAATCTTATATTGTGATCGATCTTCTGTATTTGCATTAATATATATATTAATATTGTAGGTAAGAAAGAAATTGCAAGATTTTGTAATGTTTGTACATAATCAATCCATTGATATTTTCGTAATAAATTTTGGTGTTGATTCGATGTTGAATATGAAGTTTTGTATCACTAATACGAACACTTATCGAAAATGTTTTACGTGGGTCGGATGGGACTAAATCAAACAAAATATATGGATACTATAAATATATATTAATGAAACCGACACGACCAATATAAAAAATATATATACATGTATTGATATATGCCCACCTATTAAAATAATAGATCACTAAATAGGTTCTTGTCGTGTAATGTGCATCCAAGTTGGGATTAAGTAAAGGGCTTTTAATTGAAGCATTAATTAGATGCATGACAAGACGTGGCTTCATAAACATGTCCTTATCTATCTTAAATATTTTTCTTTGTGCCTTTTTAATTATATCTCAATCCATTACATTAATTTTCGCTTGGCACATAGAGTGCCTGGCCTGTTTCTATAACTGGTTTTGGTTTTTAAGTAAGGTTGTTTCGATAAAAATCATTAAAATTTCAAGAAAATCATAATATTAATTAATTGTATAGTTTTATTTATAGCCGGGGCCGGGGCCGGGGCCGCTCTATTAACAGTATATAGCAAAAATGAAATTAATATATACTCTCTCATCCCACTGGAATATATTATTTGGAATTCTATAATAAATTAAAAAATAATAATATTTATTAGTAAAAATATGTAAAATATTTTGATATTTTGATTTTATATATAAAATTAATTGTTAACAATTTAAAGAAAATTTATCACCTTATATGTTACATGAACTTCTATTGTATGAAATTTTTGGGAGCAAATTTAAAAACTTGCGGCAAATCTTTATCCAATGAATAAAGTAGATTTTCTAAATCATCTATAACAGAAGTTGTACTTATGTAAAATATAAATAAATAAACAAATAATGGATGTGCTCTGGGAGCATGCATGGTCTTAAAGTCTTATAATTTGTATTTTATTTTCTTATTTAAAGAAAAAAAAAAACCGAGACAGTATTATGGGATGGTGCATTATCAAAGTGTACTATCGGGCCAGATGCTCAAAACATAGCCTAAAAAGTAGCAATTATTTTGAACTTCACTCTACTTTTGCCATTGTTTATTGGAAAGAAGTAATGTTTTTTTTTTTTTTTTTTTTGGTTTTTTTTTTAACCAAGTATTTTACTATTTATTTAGGATATTTCAATAATAATATATTATTTTTAATAAAATATTATATCAAAATATTATATAAATTAAAATTTTAATCACCATTTCAATTTCATATCTGAACAAAACAAACGCTAAAAATGAATGGAATTAATTGGAACTATAATGTGTTACCTTTCTTTATTCAAGTGAAAATTTAATTTGAGTTTATTTTGCAATATATATATATATATTTATTTATTTGATTACGAAGAAACTACTATACTAAATAGTTTTTATCTAAAAAAATATATCTAAAATTTATATTATGTTTAAATTTTTGACTTAAACGGCATATTTACATTAAATTAAATAATTTGATATGTGTGTTTTTGTTTGGGAGTTTGAATTAAAATAATTGTATAATATGATATTTTTTAGTATAATATAAAAAATAAAAAATACATATTTAATTTGATTTTTTTTTAAAAAAAAAAATAAATATATGAATAATAGAAATCCTTCCAAATTTTTCAAACAAACACACACTAAAATTTCAAAAGTATCCATATGTGAAAAGGGTTTTTTTTTTTAGTTATTATTACTTTTTTTTTAATCACGAAACACATTTTAATTGTGTGGTTACCTATTATATTTAAAATATTATTATTTTTTAAGTTCCGTAAAAAATGACCTAGTAGCGTAGAGATTGGACTTGTGACCCTAAAGTCATAGGTTCAAATATATCACATAATATTTTAGTTTTACACCGTAATAATAATAAATAAAATATAGGTTGTATTATTGTAGAGTTTTTTTTTTTTTTTTAAACAGTATTTCTATTTGATTTTTTGTGAATTTCAATAATATAATTTTATAAATAATTGATGTAATTGAGTAAAATAAATCTGTAATTAAAACTAAAGGTAGACAACGTTTTGAAAGTATTATATACATAAATTCTATTTTAAAAAATGAGATACATAGATTAGAAATGGTGAGTCTTAGCATGTACAGAACAAATTAAAATTCTTTTGGTTTGATGCAGCCATAGATTCTCAATCTCAGGATTATCTTGTCCACTATCGATTATGTAATCTAAAAAGGGCCCCTCCTTGAGAACAAAAAATCAATAAATCAATAAAATGAAAAAAAAAAAACATATATAAATACTATACACCAGCCACAAAGATAAATAAATAATATTGAGCCCAATAAATAAATAAATAAGTATACATATCAATGTAGTGTCATGGGACCATGGATGTGACATATGATGTGACATATGATGTGACTTTTACTAGCTAATATGTTCTACTTTTCTTATTTTTTTATGTCATCTTGGCTGGAATTATTATTCTTCCACCCGGATTCGAAATGCTTATTTATTTTTTAAAAATTAATAAGGTTAGTAAAAATATAAGATTGATTTTAATAGTTCTATTTTTGTAAATACAGAGAAAAATAATATTTTATAAAAATAAAAAATATGTTAATATTTATATATATGTATATATATTTTTTTTTACTATAACATAAATAAATATTTTTGACTATAACAAATGAAAATTGTAAAAAAATAATATATTAAATTGAAACAAAATAATATTGAAATAAAGACCATACAAACTACTTCAAGAAAACCAGCTCGAGTATTGACATAATCATATTTAATTTATTTTTCTTGAGATCAATCACAAGTGTTCCAAGAATGCAAAAGATCAAAGGACTGCGTCCAGACAATATATTCAATTACCAAATCTTTCAACAACCCAAGTTTACAAAGCACTTCAATTCCCCAACAAAGTATCAAATAGAATAGATGTTATTTAATGACTTCTATATACACTGAAAAGTGGCAGAAGATGAAAATTGATTAAAAAATAAGCACACAAACTCAATGCAAGACGATGATCTCAATTACTGCCAATGTTTTTGGAGTTCCTCAGATTTTGGAACTGAAATCTGCAAAGAAAGGCATCAGATTTACTCGTTATTAGAAATTTTTTTACCGATATGAAAAGTATTTAGGATTGAAGTAACAACAAAATCAACAAAAGGCAGTAGCCGTGTTTCAAGTGAATGTAACAATTCACAATCGGTAAAAGGAGACAAAAAAATAACATGAACATAGAGCATGGATGGACCACCTTAAAGGGCCATCTCCCTTTGCAATTCTGCGAGCTCATCATCTTCATCTTCAACAACCCTTGCCGGTTGTTTCCCAGCTTGAGTGCGTACAGGTGCAGCAGGAGCTGTTGTTGCAGGTTGCAGAAGCTCATTTTCCAGTTCAGCTCCTTCTAGTTCTTCAAGCTCTGCCTCCAACTCATCCTATGGAAGAAACATAAGTTAAAAAGCTTTCGCCTGAATGAAATAATTGAGGACAAGGAGACATTGAACAATGGACTACCTCATCAAAATCAGCTGCTGCACCAATTGGCGTTGATAATGCTTCTTGAATTTGTTTCATGTTCTCGGTCTGCTCGTTGATCTCGTCCATTGTCTTGTCAACATCATCAATGTTACTACATTGAGAGAAGCCCTTAGTAAATGATATAATCAATAAAACTCCAATGTACCAAGTCATTGTACCATAAGAGCACAGGGAGGTTCCATTAGTTAAGCTCCCAACAACTTTATCCATTTCATGTTAGAATTTATAGGCATCCCATTCAACAGAGTTATTACATAAGAATGTGGGTAACTTACGTTGCTTTCTGCATAGCTTTCATTGCAGCTGCTCCGGTTCTCAAAGCATCAACCGTTTCTGTTGTAGCTTTCGCTCCCTCTAGCATTATCATCTGTTTGCACCATCCCCGACCAAAAAAAAAACCAATAAATACCAATTCATATGATAAACAGGTTTATACACAGCAAAATCTGTCAGCAGAGAAAATGAATGATTGAATAGATATTAAGACAACCTGATCATGAATGCGCAACTGGAATTGACCAAGCTGTTCTATTTGCTGCTCATAGAGCCTTTTCCGCTTTAAGCATTGTATTGCAGCTATAACAATGTTGTATCAGGAATCACAGTAAAAGGATTATAACTGTAACTAATAACCAAGGCATTCAATGTCCCAAAATTAGGTTGACAAGAATTCATAACCTATAAGCACATTGATACCAAAACGGAATTACCTTTTGATTGTGATATCTAAATAACAAAGAAGATATGCAATAACCAGCCACAATCTCTAGTAAGTCCTAATTTGATCATACCTCTTTTATTTTTAGCTTTAGTAAATTCCTTGGCCTTTTCAACTTCAGCAGCAGCCTTCTTCTGCAGAACTTTGTCTTTCTTCTCTAGCATCTCAAGAGTCTACATACCATGGTCAAGCAAGCATACTACTCACTAGGCAGAAATACAACTTAAGAGAGATAACATAGAGTATTACCATATAAATGTCTTCGAAGAGAATTAGACAAGTAATAATATGGAGTTACTAACATTTGTCATTAAAATACATGCAATAAGATAGTATCACCATCTTAGGCATATTTAAGCAATACAAATTATTAGGATTTATCCATGTATTCTAAGCAAGAATCACATACATTCTTATGAATAGCAATAGCTAAACATTACCTAAGAAAAAAATTTTAATTTGCAAGCAAATCACAGATGAAAAAAATAAAATAAAAATGAAACCATGCCTCATTCAGTTTGTCCAGCGTTGCCAGAGCATTAGTCTCTTGCTTGGGCTTTCCGAAAAATCGCGCCAACATCTTCGATTGTTTATCTTAATTAAGAACAGAATTGTAAACCCTTAAACCCTGCAAAAGAGCCAGAATACGTCGGAAGCCTTGATCTAGACTTATAACCGATTCCTAATTCTCCAAATCGATTCACAACAAATATTTAGGAAAGGTTATCAAAATTCCCGTATCCAATTATGCATTTATACCTAACCTTGTGGCTTCACCAACCAGAGAAAGAGCTAACTTCCTTCCCGGAGATACGAAGATTAAATCTTTGCGAAACTTCCGTCAAGAAGAAGATATTAACGAAGCCACAAGTCCGACTGCGAGGCCAATTACGATTCCGGATCGATTTGGGAGACGAAGTCGATCGCGTGACGGTCAGTGTCTTTTGCAATGTGACAGACCCGTTGGGGACGCTGGAAATTTTCATTATCGTCCTTACTTCTTTTTAATTTAGAAAATGGTACTCGATCCGAATTGAAGATACTAGACCCGATGTCCACCTATAGTTGACGTTAGATTGCATCCAACGGCTTAGAATAAGCCACGACAGCAACCAATTTTGATGCCATTAATGACGTCTTAATTATCCCTTTTATTATTTTCCGTTAATATTCAGAATACAGAGTAAGGAAGTTAGGCTGTCCACCCTGTCCTGCAGAACCACCAAATCCAAATTCCCATTCCCACGCATATGTGTTGGAGCATGCGATCGTGAATCCGACATCACGTTCTTCCCACAACACAGGACGCAATCGCACAATACGATTTGGGGCATCTCATAGATTTTGCAGCTCAAGTTCTCATGTGCTTGGTCTTCGTCCTGTGTTCATTCGAAAGTGCGTGCATTGTGTGTTAGATGGTGGCTTCCATTGCCTATTTTGGGAGTTGTTTTGGATGATCACAATACTGTTTCTGTGAGTGCAATTTTGCTTTCTATTAATAGGATTCACCGCTGTGTATGGCGTTAATTTAGTGGGGAAGACGAGATCAAAGAAATCGAGCACTTTCTGGATCACGCCTTATTATTTTTTCTTACGAGTTGAAGTCGTCGCTGTAGTCAATTTCCTCTTGGTTTCTACTTGGAAATTGCTTGAATCATCAGGTCTTTCCTTCTCGTGTCTTTTTCTTTCAACTACATGGAGAAAATCTGCGTATTCGTGTATCAAATTCCTACTCTGACTTCGTTCCGCAGAAACAAGAGCCGAGGCTGTACCCCCTTTGTTTCGCTTCACTGTTAAGTTCTGAAAAAGATGTTAGAAAAACTTTAGATTTCTAGAAGTGCCAGGAACTCCCTGAATGTTATCAGTTGTACTGGTTGAATCGGGTGATTTATTGAGATTCTTGTAGGATTATGATACTTTCTGATCGTAAACCAAATATATTTGATTGAATCAGAGGTTTTTCTGATCCATGGAAGATGGCAAAGATCCTGTTGTGGTTGGCAGAACTGGTCAGACTAGGGTTTTGCCCCAAAGGTTGCTCCTATTGCTTGGATTTTTCCTGGTTTTGTGTTTCACTTTCTCTGTAGTTAGTATCTATATGATTAGGAACTTTGGAATTAATAGTGTTGTGACTGCTGTAAGGCCGGATTTATTTCCCTGCAATGAGGAAAAGTTAAGCTTAAATCAATGGATCAAGCCCACATCCAATCTGATGCATAAGATGAGTGATGAGGAGTTGTTGTGGAGGGCATCTTTCGTTCCCCGAATAAAGCAGTATCCGTTCAAGAGGGTTCCAAAAATTGCATTCATGTTCTTGACTAAAGGACCATTGCCGTTGGCTCCTCTTTGGGAAAGGTTTTTCAAAGGGCATGAGGGGCTGTATTCGATATACATTCATTCATTGCCTTCCTTTGAGGCAAAATTTTCAACCTCCTCTGTGTTTTACAGGAGACAGATACCTAGTCAGGTTTGTGCCGTGGCACCCTTGTTCTATGTTCCTTTATCTATTAGCCTTATTTGTGAGTCCTTTAGTAACGTTTATGCTTCTTCAAGTTTGAGAAATTCTCTGTATTCCTATAATGATACATGGTTTGTCTCTGTGTACTTGTATGATCTGTTATTGAAGCTGTGTGCCGAATTTGTATACGTTGTTTTCAATGTAATTAATTTTTCAGCTTAAGTGTTGGATTCCAAGACATATTGAAATGAAATGAAATGAACATAAGCTTTAACTATCATTGTTTTGATACATTTCAAAGTTGAATAGTATTTCTAGCCGCTGTTTCATTTCAATATGCTCTATGTAAACTCACTTTTGGGGCCACTTTACCTTAGTACTCACTACCCATATCTTTTAAACGTGTTTGCTTGGTGTTTTGTCATTTCCTTCTGTCTTCCTAGTTGTTGAGTTTGCCCTGAAATTATCCGGTCAAAAATACAGGATAAAATAGATTTGATAGAAGCTCTATTCAATTTGCTTATCTGACTTATATGGACATGTCTAGGAACAACATGGCTACAAGATTGCTCTTTTTTCTTCCTCATCGAATCCAATGTAGTAAAAATAGTGATCAACTACTTGTTGGTTTTCAATTTTTAATTAAATTCATCGTGGATCTTTGTAACCTCATGTTTTATTTGAATCCCTCATCGGCAGGTCTCAGAGTGGGGAAGAATAAGCATGTGTGATGCTGAGAGACGACTCCTAGCCAACGCCTTGCTTGATATATCGAACGAACGGTTCATCTTGCTTTCGGAATCATGCATTCCTCTCTACAATTTCACTACAGTCTACGACTACCTAATGGGATCCAAATACAGCTTCATGGGTGCATTCGATGACCCTGGCCCATACGGCAGAGGTCGCTACAACCCCAACATGCTACCGGAGGTCAACATATCGGATTGGCGAAAGGGGTCTCAATGGTTCGAAGTCAACAGAAAACTCGCCCTCTACATCGTCCAAGACATCAAATTCTATCCAAAATTCGCCATGTTCTGCAAACCGGCATGCTATGTGGACGAGCATTATTTCCCGACAATGCTGACCATTCAAGCCGGACATCTCTTGGCTAATCGAAGCATCACTTGGGTCGACTGGTCGAGAGGCGGCCCTCATCCCGCCACATTCAGCGCCTCCGACATCACGCCGGAGTTCTGGAACAAAATCTATGAAGGTAAAAACTGCTCCTACAATGATCATCCTTCCTCAATTTGTTTCCTTTTTGGCAGGAAATTCTCTCCCAGTGCCTTGGATCCTTTGCTACTGTCAGCCCGAAAGTACTTTGGTTTGTAACCAACTTAACTGTAGGTCGTGTCTGTGTGTCTGTCCTTTGTAATATTAATGGAGGTGAAAATTAAATAAAACTTAGAGAGCTATATAAAAAATCTGAGGGGGGGCTACTCTCTGTTGTTTATTTTTGGATACAAAGAGACAGGAAAGGAATCCTGTTTGGTCGAAAGAAAATCAAGGGTGGGATTGGGGTAGTGAATGCCTGCTTGTCTCTGCTGCATGTCGTGTCACTGTATCATTGGGTGAAGAAGGTTCTCGAACTTGGTATTAATGGCCTCAAGTGTTTTTTCTCCCTTTTGACGTGTCGACGTGTGATTGGTGCAGCAGCAGGTAGCACATGCTCTCAACTCAGCCGCATCTGAACAATTATTCGCACTCTACTGTACCGGCATTGCGTCAGATTTAATTCTCTTTCATACTTTGAAATTTTGAATACGAGTTTTTTTATTTTTTTTCTTCTTTTTATTAAAGATTTGTAGACTTTATTATTGTTGTTTTGGTATGGTAAATTAATATTTAAGAGGTTTTTTTGGGTAAAATAAACAGTATAAAATTGATTTAAAAATTCTTGATTTAGGCATAATTTGAAATTTGAAAGAGTTGTGTGGGACAGGGACTTTTTAACAAAGGGGGGGAAATATTTATGGCTGGCATGACTATTAGGCTGTCGTATCAAACAGCTGTCAGTACACCGCTTGCCAGTCTGTAAGTTTGGGCAGCTGCCCGTGAAGTAGAGACGCTGCCCGTAACCGTCTCTCTGACGGGTATATAGTGTGCGTTTCAAAGTTCGGGAGTGGAAATAGAGATATTGTAAAGTCATTTCATTAGGAATTCTTCAATTTATTCTCTCACGCGCAGAGCGTAAAAGTTGTGGTAAGTGCAATGGCGTCGTGTCAGACTAGAGCTTTGCTTGTAGCTGTTGCACTGGCAACTATTTTCGCTCTCATGGAGAGCTCGGCGGCACAAGAGTCTCCGGCGCCAGCGCCAGCGCCGGAATCGGCTGCTGGAGTTATGTCGCCATCATTTGCCGTCGGTCTCGCTGTTGCGGTAGTTACTTTCGTCTTTGGTTCTGCGCTCAGGATCTGAGGTTATGGTGTTCGTATATATATATATATACACACGTAGTGGAGTGTATCTCTGCGTCCTCATACGGCGTTTTAGGCATTTATGGAGTTGATTTGTGGTTTTGTGCTCATCTATTATTAATATTATGTGTTGGTTGTCATTGAGTTTTACTTTTAGGAATTTCTGTTGGATATATTTGAATTCATTTGCTCTTGTAAGTATTTGATCTTTTATGCATTATATATTATGTTTTGATACTAAATTTAGTGGTTTCTTTTTTCTGGTTGCTTGAACTGATTGGAATTTTAGTAGATCTAATGTTAATAGATTTTGATATGAAGCACATGTTATTTTCCATTTTCTGAAGAATGCGGAGTTCATTAAGTAGATGTGCAGCCGGCCTCTGGAAATAGATAATTATAGTATGGAAAAAAATAACAAAAGAACACAAGAAGCATTAAGATTATATCTAACTTTACAAAATTAATTAAACGTCGAATGCAGAAGAATGTTGGATTTTGTCGTCCTCAGTGAAGTTCACTGAATGAGGCCTGGGAAGTTCATCTACGGTTGAGAATTTTCAATGTGTTGCTTGTACAATAACGTTTGCTGATTTCTGTGATATTTGTGAGGAGTCCTGCCTAGTGTTGACATGAACATTGCTAGTTAGTTGTAGCAGCGAATAATTTCGATAATTGCAATTTTAGGAAATCATTGCAATAATTGCAACGATTCGAACGTAGAGTATGGTCATTAGATGCTTTTTCAGTGTAAATATCCAGCATGATTTACGCGATAGTGTCGGTGCTTTCTATTAATTTATTGCCAAATTCCAAATCAAAGTAGAGAGCAGGTGAACTAGTTGGGAAAACAGTATAAAGCCATAATAAGTGGGCCCCATTACTGGAACAGTGTCTGTTCTTTTGTTGGTGGAAATTTTTGCCTTTTTATCCTCGATATGCTCACTCCTTTTCTAACTCAGAGCTACAATGAAAATTTCACCTACCTACAGACCATTTTTAGCATTTCCTAGAGATGCTTTCGTTGTTCATTTGATGGTCTAATGAACATAACAAGCCCTCCTTTTTAGGTATTGAGAGTTGCACATTTTAACTTATATTCTCACCTAAACATATTTTTCATTATTTAAGATATATACCCGCGCAGAGAGGACAGAAAAGAATACGACATGATAATTAAATTGAAAACCAGCCATGTGAACATGAATGAACAAACAAGTCTGGAGAGTTACAGAGGAGAGGAGGACAAATAGAAGTCAGTCAAATTTTACAGTCCACGGAAGGTCCATGCCTTTCATGAATCCGAATCCGAGTCCATATTTCCCATCGCCTTTAATCCCCTCGGTCTCTGCAAAATGGAACAAATGACCTTTTATTATTACTCCCCTCATTCAAATCTATATTATTTTTTTAAAAGTAAAAAAATTACTCGCTCCATCCGCATGTAAAGTAAATATTTATTTTTAACACGATGTTTAAAAAACAATAGTATTTTAATTATAATTGGTAGTTAAAAATAGCATAATAATATTTTTGCCCTTGCTTTTTTTGTATAAAAATAACGATGCCATGTAAAGTATATTTGGGAAAAAATGAAATATTTATTTTATAATTGAGCGTCGATATAGAACTTCCTAGCTGGACGGAGGAAGTTATATTTTTGTATTTTTTTTTATTATAAAAGAAAAAATAATAATTATTAACGCAGGGAGCATAAAATATGATAAAAAATGAAATCATTATTGTGTTTTACTAAATAAACAATAAATACCTTCTTTGAAACCTTCTTCTCTCTGACCTCGTATCGTTCCATTGTCAAATCGCTTAACCACGCCCCCGGACACACCAGCTACATTCATTATATACATACATACATATCCAGAAAACAAGATAAATAAAATATCAGAAACAGGAATGGCTAGGATTTAAAGAAGAATACAAGATAACTACATATATATATATATACACGCATCAACGATGCCAGCGCTCCCCATGTGCTACTGTTTTGTTTTTTTGTTAGCAGATCTGTGTCTGTGATATGCATGGCTGGCTAATGGGTATGGCTTCTCTCTCCGCCAAACAAAAGTTTAAAAAGCAAAAGCAAATCCACAATTCCTAAAGTGTGAGAAAAAATAACTAACAAAAGTTGTAAAACAAATTTTTTTATTGATGTGAGCTAGCTAGGGGTATAAATGCCATTCCGAGGGCCAGGGCAACTTGGAGCCTAATTATTAAACCATACCTTTCATTATATAGTCTTTTTTTTTTTTTTTTTTTTTTTTTATATATATAAATTATTTACTAAAAATAACTTTTGCTATTTTCTATATTCATTTTTAATCGTCATAAAAGAACATAAAATACTTGCAAAAAATACATTTACCTTGTACACAAAAATTTAAACATATAATCTAATGACTAAAGTGTACTACTTTTTTTATATTATATTCAATTCTTATCTTAAAAAGATTAAAATAAAAAAAATAAAAGTCAGACCCCAAGGTGTGCTTCCTATTTTTTCATATTTTTTTAAAAACCTACAGTTTTATATTATACATAATTTACACCAGCTTTAATTAAAAAGCATCACATTCATTGTAAATCTCTCGTTAACAAGTATATATTAATTCAAATCCCTAAATCAAACTGTGAAATGCCTCCATGTCATTTAAGAGAAATTTCAATAACAAACATGGGAAAAAGGTCACACCTCTAGCCTCTACCCATCTATCTGCCTAATCCATTATTCCCAATGCCTCCACTGCTCTCTCTCTCTCTCTCTCTCTCTCTCTCACACACACACACACATACAGAGGACAGACATAAAAAATAATAAAAATCCACCCAAGAAATTGTAGGAATTGTGTGTATTGTACCCACCACCACTAAGCACTAATAATTCTCTCCACCTAAAAGGTACCCACTAAAAACTGTGTGATTCGGCTCTTAATCTACTTAATTATTGAAGAGAAAGTTAACTGCAGATTATGCGGTTAAGTATGTAATGGAAGGGTGGTTCCAAAATATCTAATAAAATAATTCTCCCTGCGCTTTTCCTTACCAACATCATACACTCTCTCCTGAAAAGATAATTCCAGATTCTAATCGATAGCACACATTTTCTCACATGGTACAAGAAAATTGAGGCAATGACAACTTTAAAACTTGTGTCCTACTAGTGATTACTACCATGGCCGCCTTGGATTCAATCATTCTAGCATGTAATTATCTCCTAGATTGGTCATTGGAAGTATATGATGGAACTAGAAAGACCCGAGGGAAAAGATCCCCACCATTCAAAGCATCATATTTTTTCACTACCTAACAAGCAAGAAGTTAATTCCTCCAAACGCAAGCAAAGGATCATGAGACAGAGAGAGATAGGGTTAGAGAGAGAAACTTTGAATAAAGGGTTGGAGATGAAGGGAACTTACATTGAGTGTGCGTTGAATAAACTTGGCTCTCTTCTTGGGTCTCTGAGGTAGTTTGGATCCTTTAATTGCCAAGAAATCCTCTTCCTTTTCCTTATTTGTCAAGGCAATAACAAACTTTGGGAGCCATACGGCGGCGATTGCATCACCACTGCCAGACAACCCACTTTTCTTTCCATCATGGGTTGCCTCTGATGAGCCAGAACCACCACCTCCACCGCCGTGGGGGTCATTATGGTAACTATTCTTGTTATGGTGGTGATGGTAGATGTTATTACCAGCGGCGGCGCTACTTTTCTTGCAGTCTCTGTCAGGGGATGCCAATCCCTTTAGCCCGTTGCTGTGACCCCTCATCCCAAGCGTATTCTCCGAATTCCTAAAGAGATTGATTGAAACAATAAGCGGAACAAGTTTCAGAATCTGTACAGCATCATAAGGAAATACAACTTTATAGTCCAACCCAAGGTATATCAAATAAGGAAATACTGTTATATACCAAGAACATTAATAATCCAGAAAATTACACGGAAGCAACCTTTAATTACTTAACACTAACAACATAATAGTAAAATAAATTTCACAGTAGGAGAGAGGCTTTACTGAAATAGGCTTGTGGGACAGTGTTCTTGGATCACAGGCGGAAAAAAAAAAAAAGTAGTTATGAGAGGGTTTGTATTGTTCCCCAGTTCTGACTTAGGTCAGCTGTTGTGTCTCAAGAAGTCAGAGCAAACAACAGAGACACACTAAACACGAAGAAGAAAAGACGTGGAGCTGTTACCAAGAGAAATTTGAGCAATTAGATGGGAGAACTACTCAACGCATTTCAGAAGGGTTACGTGTCCACATTTTCTTCTACGGGCTGTAGATCTAGCAATCTATTCTAGCAGAAATCAATAGAAGGTTGAGGAAAGGAACTGAGGACAAACGGTGGCCCACTTTCCAAAGCCCCCAATGAACAAGCCCCAGGGCATAAGAGCACCACAATTACGACTGCAAACATTTTTATTTTTATCTTCACGATAAATATATGAAGATATAGAAATCAATATTGATCATTTTCACAAATTAGGTGTAACATATACAGCAGAATTTCACATCGGGTGAAAGCCAAATTCAGTAACATCAATAGGCTGTAAGTATAATAATTCCCCATCATATATATCACAAACAAATTCTTAAGAATCCATGAAACTTAAACTAGATTGGTTTGGCCATCACTATTTTCATTTATAAACAGACGGGAGGCCAAGTAATTAGCATATAAAGAATTAGTCATCTACAATCAAGGAAGGAACATATAGTTTTTTTAATCTTTTTTTTCAAAAGACGGCTCTTGATAAGGGTTGAGCGCAAAAATAGACAAGCTTACCTGTTACCACGCAGACAAGGAGAGTAATATAAGGGTTCTATATTAGAAAGCCCCCTTCTTAAACGTGGAGGACTGAAAATAGAAAGTAGCTAGGATGGGACTACCATAAAACAACAGAAAATCAAACAAATATTCATCATTACTATAGTAGTAGTATTTTTTATGGTAAAAAATTAATAAAAAAAAAGACCGCCTTTATTCCTAAATACTGCCAAAGAAAGTCCACGTAAATAAGATGATTATAAGATTCAATAATTTCGGTTGATTACAGCAGGCATATCCCCAGAATCCCTCGACCCCAACTCTACAGTCACCTCAACAAAAATCTCATTTAAAAAATTCAACTAATATTTATCACATTATCCACGCGTGTCAGTCACGCGAGATCCACATATCTTTCTTTATAAAAAGGAAAGACAAAAAACCGCCTACCTCAGAAGTCGATGAGACGGAGAAGCCGGACGCTGACGGAGGTTTATATACCCGTTATCGCCGTTACTCTTACCGGCATTAATGTTGTTCAGCTGATTCGAATTCGCCTCTCTACTACTGCTAATAGTGCCATTCAGATCCGACCTAACAACCCGCCTATCGACACGGGCCGTTGTCCGCTGAACAGGACCAGTACCGGACGGGGTGTTGCTATGGTCCTTAGCCTGGACCTTCATGCACCGAAGCCGTTTTTTGTTTCCCCACTGTAACACAAAGTCAGGCGACGCCGTAGCGGTTGACCTGGACTCGAATCTCAACAGCAGACCATCGCGACTGGTAGAGTTGGTGTTGTTCCTCTCCATCTCCTCCCCCTAAGTAAACCTGAGACCGTCAGATCACGACAACGTTACGTCATTAACGGAGGGTAATGTTATGTGAGGCAAGCTGTAGATCGACTTTGAGCGATTTACATACGGAAGAGAACACAGAAAATAAATCGAAAATTTTCAATTGTCCACTTTTATTTAGCCAATTACCCGTAAAGAGCAAAAGTAGTTTAGGGGATTCAACATTGAGCATCTTATTTGCCAAAAACCCGAAAGAAAAAGAAGAGAAATTGTTTGATGGTAACTTTACATTTCAAATGCGTGAGAGAGAGAATATTTCCATTCCTCGAAACTCATGAGGAAACTAAGACAAATTGTCATCAAATACGTTGCATCAAAAACAAAGTTGCAAAATAGAACAAAATATGGAAATTTGGGATGAACTCGGTGAAAAATGAAGCTGAAGCCATTTGAACAGGGAGGCTCGAAATTTTGGGGGAAAACGAAAGAAGCAAAGGGAGGAGAGGCGGAAACTAAGAAAAACCACCATGGTCGTTACCTGGAAACCTCAACTCTCTTCCGTAGCAATCTTCTCTTAGTCTCTTATAATCACACCGGAAAAAAAAAAGGTTATCCGAATCTGCAATTACAGGAACCAGGCACTGAAATCTTTTAGCAATCTACATTTCACAACCCTAAAAACTAATGAATTTCTGATCTGACCTAAACAAACTTACCCAAGACAAACAGATTATGATGTTGAAGACGCAAAACGAATTATCCAATCAGGAAAAACATCAAGAGAAGAATTGATGTCGAATACGCCGAAATACCTCCAAATTCACAGCAACTTCACCCGATTTACTTTTCAACCCAGTGCGGTATGTATTTCAACGAAAATATAAGGACAAATCAGAGGTCGGAATTGAGGTTTGTCAGGATTTCGATCTTTATATCAGGAAACTGATATGGAATCTCCCAAAAATGTACCTATGATACAAAATTTGCTACGGCGTTAATAACACACACAAAAAAAAGCAGCGAAAACGGGAAAACAATGACAATCGGAAACTTACGAACCGAAGTATCGTCCCCAAACTCCTATCTAACTCCAACGACCCGTTCGGAATCCTGGCGTGAAAATCTCCTTCAATATCCTCAGAACACCACCTCCAAAATGCATCTGTCGTTCAAAAAACGTCAACAATAGCATTAAAAACATATTACATGAAATAAATATACACAAAATCATTAAGAATTCCAAAGTTCTTATCAGCCATACAAAAGAGTAACTCGTATACTCGAATTACAATGACTCCCCTGCATTTGAACTCACCAGACAACACTCTTTCCCACAGTTTCCCTCAATTTCCTAACCTCTTGTGAGAGAAATTCCAGTCGCCTTGTTCGTGCGGAGAAAGAAAAGAAAACACGAAATACTCTTCTCTTTCCCCTTCAAACCACCTATTTTATACCCTCCTTCTCTTCACTCCATCATCTGCCACCGTCGAAATATAATCAACGGTGCAGATTTGTTTTCGTCTCCACTGTGAAGACGGCGTTTCTGTGCACACAAGACGTTGACGGCGTTAATTGATTTGACGGAATCTTTACCTCCGTTGATGTAATATTTTATTTATTTGCAACAATTTAATCAATTATTATTGGAGCCTTCTGGCTAAACCACAACCGCAGTTGGCCACCAGCTCCCAGCGCGTGTGCGTGATTGCTTTAACTCGGGTTAGTTAATAAACTGTAGTCAGGACTCAGGTTAGATATAATCCTCTGTTTTCTAACATAAAATAAATAAACCTATTACGAAACCCTAAACTAGTTCTTTTCTAAATTAAATTAAAATTTAATAAAATCACAGCATAATTAAATTAAAACTATAAGGGAGGGGATCTTCCTTTTTTTTTTTTTAATTTTTAATAGAGAGAAAACAAATACAGTTGAATGATAAAACCAATAAAAAGAGTAGTTGGCTATAGAAAGAGTTGTCAGCCTTAGGGTGTGTTTGTTTGAAGTATTGCGAAGATTTTTATTATTTATTATATATATTTTTAAAAAATATCAAATCAAATACCTATTTTTTATTTTTTATATTATAATAAAATTAATTTTACATTCAAAATATCACATCAACACCTATTTATATCATATCATACAACTATTCAAATTCAACTTCGATTTTGAGTTGGGATTTGAATAGTAAAAATTTTGAATTTGAATAGTTGTATGATGTGATATAAATAAGTGTTGATGTGATGTTTTGAATGTAAAATTAATTTTTAATATAATATAAAAAATGAAAAATAGGTGTTTGATTTAATATTTTTAAGAAGAAAAAATAGGATGAACAGTGAAAATCCAAACAAATCTCTCAAACAAACGCACGGTCACTAGATTTGTAAGATTTATCAATATATTAAATTGAAATCGTCATTTATCGGTTCGATTTGTGCATGTTTAGGTTTGAACCGCCGCCTGTTTTCGAACCGGAGAACCGGCGGTTGAAGCAAATCCACCAAATTATTTATTACTAAAAGAAAAGAAAATTAATATATAGTACAAATAGGCCCATATGAAAAGGCCCAAATTGAAGGCGTCCAGGAATAAAATCCTTCTCGTGGTTTGCCGCCTGTGAGTTTTTTTTTTTTTTGGCAGAATCGTACCCACTTGTGGTTCCTCTCTTAGCTCTACTCGACGTATCCGAAGGTTTGTGTAAGGGGTTTGTGTTTTCCTCGCTCACTGTACTTGTTTCTCTAATTGCTCATACGTTTATGTTATTGTGAATCATTTGGTTTGTATTTTTAATTTTTTTCGAATATGGAAGCTATGTCGTTGGTCGCCTTATTATGTTGGGTTTGTGATTGCGCGTGATGGTGGGAATATTATGCTTTTGTTTTGAGATGTGTCTGTTTTCACCGTTCGATCCCGAAACTGATTTTTGGCTATTCAGTTGGCTTGGTCTTTGAAACTGATTTTCACCATTACGCCGTGGAGTGTTTGGTATTTGTTTATGTTAGCATATGGACGGTGACCTACGTGCCTGGTGCAGTTTCTCATCGCATGGAAGGAGGAGAGAGCTTGTTAGACACGCTTTTTGATGAGGAAGGTGTTGATGATACTCGAGATGTTGAGATGCTTGACGTTGAGGAAGGTGAATTAATTGAGGAGAAATTGAACACAAGAGGGGAAAGTTGTGATGGTAGTGATAAGCTAAATCAAGGATCTGACACGAGGATTTCTAGGCGGAGGAAGAAGAAAAAAAGAAAGAATAAACAGAGAGGAGGAAATAGCATTGATCCTAATGTAAATAATATCAATAGGTGAGGATTTCATAGCATTATATTGCCCTACATTGATATATGTTTTGCGTTTTTGGTTAGTTAATTTTAAAATTGTATTTCAATTTTAGCATTTCGCACTTGATGACAAGCTTTAGAAACTGGGTGCATCTTCATGGATGAGAAAACCACGGTCATTTGATCTTGCTGGTCAATGTATATGGTAGCCCAGCACTATGTTATAAGACATGCTTAGTCAGTATTAATCTAATCAGCAGATATCCAGCAACATTGTTTTTTGCTACCTTCATAAATCTCTACCTCAATATTTGAGCCTTCATATCATATTGTTGATGGATGTGTTTTTCTTGTGTCACTCTCCTTAGGTTTGTTTTGGGTGCGTGCAAGCGCTTGAGAGAGAAAAAATCTTATCTTATGTGGACTGCTGTTGGTTGTCTTGGTGTATCTGCTTTGAGTGATCTTATCAACGAGGTAAAAGAAATTTTGGTTACTTGTTTTGGCACCAGTCTGATACGATGGTCTGTCTAAATTGCAAACAGTACTTGTCTTGATTATATTGCTTGACTTGTTTCTGACTACTTGATGTTGAAAAGCTATATATAAAAATCAGTCGTTTGGTTTTACAAAAGCAGGAACAATTTTCTTGGTAATTAATATAAAAGGTGAGATTCTGGCATTCTGCACAGCCATGTTACATGTGTCATAAGGACGACCAACTTCCTTTCCTTAGTTCTGATTACCAATGTTGTCTCCCCTTCAATCGCAGATTATTCGGGAGAAGAAGTTATTGCTATCATGCAAATGAAACTTTGATCTGAGATAGCTTCTTACTCAACTGCACCATGTTTTGATAAATATAGGTAGATTAACATAATGATTGTTGCCCTTCCTAGATGATCATGACTTTCAGTTTATATGATTGCTTGAGAGAATTTTCTGGCATCTATTTGATGAAATTCTTTATCAGACTCCACTTTGGCATCTTTGTCCACTTCTCTGCAAAGCATTTACTCCAGAGATTGTTGATGTGAAATTAAACTTATAGGTTGATGCCATTCAAGCTTGTGGTGGCCAGAAGACTGCTGACGGGCGCCGTTTTAGGAATGGTGGCGGCATATTATGGAATATCATTAAAGCACGGGATCCAAATGCTTACAAAGAGATAATGCGAAAGGGAAAAGAGTTTGAGGTAATGCAGTGTCTCCATTTTTTGTTTTCTAGACAGGCATTAAAACATAGCTGCAAATTTCTTTTAGAAATATTAAGACTCTTATTTGCAGTGGCCTTTTTAATGCCTTTGCCACAGTTGTTATACATGATGAGCATTTTCTACACTCTGCAGAAACTATTTAAGCAGCAATTTAATGAGAAGAAAGAACCCAAGCAACAAACTGATGCTGCTGCTGTGCTCAATCGCATGGATAGCCTGGCACTAAAGCCTGATGATCCAAATGAGCCTGAGCTGTCGGCTGCTGGGCAGAAGAAAGATGATCCAAATGAGCCTGGGCTGTCGACTGCTGGGCAGAAGAAAGGATCTGTTCATGATCGAATCCGAGTGCAAGTTAAATATGACGATTTTCTTGTGAAGGAGGAATGCTCCAAAGATGGAAACAACACTACCTGAATGAAGATTGACTGATACCTTCCCCCTCAAGGTCACATTTTTTGCACTTGCCTCTTCTTCCTCTCTCACTTTGGTGCTTTACTACTGTCACATTTTTCTTTTCAAATGATATGTGCACATTACAGTTGCCTGAGTTGGTTTTTGATCTTATTAGAGGGAAGGCATTTCGAAATTATTTGAATTAATATTTTGGGCAAATAATTTAGTCTAACAGCATTCAATTCAGTAGGAGGCCTTGATAATAAAATGGAGAAAGTACACTGCAAAAGTAACACAAGACAATTTCATGAATACACACACATCTTAACTACTTCCTACAGTAAAAACCAACAAGACTAGAACACAAAACACAATTTTCACTACATAAGGTCTGTTTTCTTGATGATGAGTGTTTTTTCATTCACTGGATAGCAATGACACTGCCTTCAGCCTGTGCTGCTTCTGGGACTGGCGATCTCTTTATCAAAGACTTGGGTATGTCGAGGTCGTCCTGCAAGCAGCGCTGCTGGGGATGGCTTAAGAGCACACACATGTGACGGAATATAGATCGTGTCAAACCTCGACCACTCTCAAATACATAACCCTCGTACTCACTTATCCTCTCAAGTGCCTCGACCAAGGTATCGAAAACTCTTTGTGGGCAATTATCAGGTCCGGGTAAGTCATGAATGTACACAACGTCCAGAGTGAAGAGCTTCAGAGTTGTCGGCAGCTGGTATTGTGGTGGCATAGATGATCTACAGTAGATTAAGATCTGTGAAACAGCCGGTAAAAGATGATGTTAGGATTTTGATGGCTTAAAGGGTACCGGAAATTGAAACAATGTTGCAAGAGTAAACCTATAAGGAAAATGGAAGTTTAATGTCATCAGAATAAAAACAAACCACTCTTGCAACTTAGCTTTTCTGCACTCTTTGGGCATCAAACAGGGGATTAACATTAGTTTCAAGCATAAAAACAAATTATGAGAGAGTCTGATGAGTTAATTCATGCTTACCACTCTGAAAATCCGGTTTTGTGCACGAGATTTCTTCGATTCATGAGTCGCTATTCTAAATAACTGTGTGAGATCTGCAAGACTTGATGATGCATCCACAGAGACGTCTCGCAAAGCAGCAACAACAGAGTCAACTTCACTGCTGAATTCCTTCCGGAGCTATGAGCAAACAAAGGGGAATAAATCAAATCCATACATAATAATAATAATAATAATTCCAGCTATAATATGGAAGCACGCACTCACAATCCTAGAAATTACGAAGAAATTTTGGTCATACCCAGTAAGTGGATTTCGACAGGGCGGTGAGTGCGAATCGATGGTCGGGGTTGATGGTGCGTTTAGCGTGGACGAACAGCGTTATCGCCTGCTTTATGCACTCTAATCTCGTGTAGGGTTTCCCATTGGGGCCGATCACCTTCATCTCCACCGACGTCTCGGGACCTACATCGATGCAGAATAGAATGTCCTCACTCGACAATCTACCAGCTGGAAGAGTGTACGCGCCGCCGCTCCCGTCATGTGCCGGCGGGGGATCGAAGTTCTTCACTTCCATGGTGTACTGTTTTTCGTCTCTTGCTCCGTTAGGAGGGTTGGGAGGGCGATTTAGTCATTTCAGAAGATTGCCAGTTTCAACCCCGAGTTGAAGACAGGTCGAAGCTCGAACTAACTCTTTAAACATGCCATCACCTATTCTACAAGCTCGACTTTCGAACTACCTGTGGTTTAAACTAGGCTCTTTAATTCCGCTTCAAGCTCGAATTTGACTCCTCAAATTAAGGTTTTGTTTACACTGGAATCTCTTGGAGATTTTTGAAAATAAGTGAAAATGTATTGTTTAAACACGGCTGAAACTATAACCAAAATTTAAATTATGTTATTACTCATTTGATTATATAAATAGGTGTTATTGTAAAATAATGTCATGTAGCAAATTGGATGATTAATCATTCTTTTTAATTGCCTATATAAAGGGCTATATAAAGGGCTATGTATTTAATGAAATGATATAATTGATTTTTGCTTCATTTTCATCCTATCTCTCGGCTCTCTCTCTCAACCTCTATCTCTCTCTCTATATTATATACACACCTATACATATATATCTAAGTTATCAATATATATTAAACTATAGTTATGTTTGATATATTTTATAACACGTTATTAGCATTTTTTTTGTTGTTTTTGTTGTATTACTCGAAAGGTTGCGGAATTTTTGGTAAGTATTTACTTTTTTTTTAATCATGTCTAATATAGCAAAATTTGAATTTCCCCCACTGACAATTACCGGAAATAATTATATGCCGTGGGTAATGGATGTCGAAATGCACCTCGAATCCATGGGACTTTCGAAAACAATAATTAGTGAAAATGAATGCACAAATCAAGAACGTGCAAAGGCAATGATTTTCTTGCGTCATCATATTGACGAAGCCCTAAAAATGGAATATTTAATGGTGAAAGATTCATTTGAACTATGGACAAATTTGAAAGATCGATTTGGACACTTGAAATCTGTTATATTACCGAAAGTGAAACATGCATGGCAACACTTGCGATTGCAAGATTTTAAAAACAGTTGTTGATTATAATTCCATGATGTTCAAAATCACGTCCCAGTTAAGATTTTGTGGAGAAAATATTTCTGATAGGGATATGTTGGAAAAAACATTTACCACGTTTCATGCCTATAATATAGTTTTACAGCAACAATATCGAGAAAGGGGTTTTAACAAATATTGTGATCTTATTACTTGTCTGCTTGTTGCTAAACAGAATAACGAATTATTGTTAAAAAATCACGAATCGAGGCCAACTGGTGCGAGTCCATTCCCTGAAGTGAATGCGACTCAGTGTTTAAATAATATGCCTAGATTATATCGCGGACGAGGTCGCAGTGGACGTGGATTTGGTCGTGGACGTGGAATAAGTCGTGGACATGGAGCCGACCGTGGACGAGGTCGTGGCAGGTTTGTTTATTACCGTCAGGGATAATTTGATGAACATGAATCAAATAGGCCTATGAAGCGGCCTCAGAACGATATTGGTCAGAGTTTAAAGAAAAACGAGGATAAGTGTTATCGTTGCGGAATGACAGGGCATTGGTTCAGAAATTGTCGTTCCAATTCTTATTTTGTTGAGCTGTACCAAAATTCCCTGAAACAGAAAGACAAAGTGCCTGAAGAAGTTCAAGCACCGGAAAATGTCAATCCCCCAAAAATTAATTTTTCAGAGAATGTTGCCAGTGGAAGTGGGGGTGATAAATGTAATGATAATACACAGCTAGATGTATCTGATTTTCTAGTACACCCTGAAGGTGGGTACTATGAAAATCCCGGAAATGCGATATAAATGCATATAGAAATGTGTATATATTTTTGTAACACATGTAGTTTTTGCTCCCTACATTTTGTAATGATATGACAGCTATGTATTTTCTCCAAAATTTTGATATATTTATTCTTATATTTCTCCTAGAAGAAGAAATATGAATGCTGAGCACGTTATAATGAATAATATGGAAGACAGTTCATGTCTCATTGATAGTGCATCAACGTACACTATTTTGAAATATATGAAATATTTCACCAACCTGAAGTTGGGAAAAATTGAAGTGAATACCATAAGTGGTTGTGCGAAGTTAATTAAGGGCTCTGGAAAAACGATAATATTTCTCCCCGAAGGAGTAAAACTTGATATCCAAAATGCACTATATTCTAGTCAATCTCAAAGAAATTTGTTGAGTTTTAATGATATTCGCAGAAATGGATATCATATTGAGACATCAAGTGTGGCAAATAATGAATTTTTGTTGATTACAAAATTCATTGATGGACATAAATATATATTAGAAAAATTGTCTTCATTGTCTTCCGGATTATATTGCACAAAGATTAATGTGGTTGAAACATATCTGGTAGACCAGAAGTCTACAGATTTTATGATTTAGCATGACCGGTTTGGGCATCCCGGTAATACTATGATGAGACGAATTATTGAAAATACCAATGGCCATAACTTGAAAGATTAAAGGGTATTAAATACAAAAGAGTTTATATGTGCTGCTTGCTCAAAAGGGAAGTTAATAATTAGACCATCATCGGCAAAAGTGGGAACTGAATCCCCTTCATTTTTAAAACGAATTCAAGGTGATATATGTAGACCTGTAGATCCACCATGCGGACCATTTCGATATTTTATGGTACTTATCGATGCATCTATTAGATGGTCGCATGTGTATTTATTATCTACCCGCAATTTGGCATTTGCGAGGTTGTTTGCTCAAATAATTAGATTACGAGCTCAGTTTCCAGATCACCCAATAAAGAAAATTCGCCTTGATAATGCTGGTGAATTTTCATCCAAAATATTTGATGATTATTGCATGTCTATTGGAATTGACATTGAACATCTTGTACCTCATGTACATACTCAAAATGGTCTAGCTGAATCACTTATAAAAAGGCTGCAATTAATTGCAAGACCTATGCTAATGAAATCCAAACTTCCCGTATCTGCTTGGAGATATACAATTATGCATGCAGCAAAACTGATAAAATTAAGACCGACAAGCTATCATAGCTACTCCCCAGTACAATTAGTGTACAATGAAAAACTCAATATTTCACATTTGAGAACTTTTGGGTGCGCGGTTTATGTGCCAATTGCACCGCCCCAACGTACAAAAATGGGCCCCCAACGGAGATTGGGGATATATGTCGGGTACGAATCACCATCTATCATTAAATATCTTGAACCATTAACTGGTGATTCGTTTACGGCTCGTTTTTCTGATTGTCATTTTGACGAGTCGCATTTCCCGATATTAGGGGGAGAAACTGATTAACTGAAAAAGAAAATTACTTGGAAAATACCATTCAATTTTCTTGATCCTCGTACAAGTCAAAGTGAATTAGAGGTACAAAGAATTTTACATTTGCAGCGAATAGCAAATCAGTTGCCTGATGCTTTTTGTGACGCCAGCAGGGTCACTAGATCTTATATAGCTGCTGAAAATGTACCTGCTAAAATTGTTATTCCTAGAGACAAAATACAAAGTGCTAATGAATCAAATGTACGCTTAAAGCGTGGCAGACCTGTAGGTTCCAAAGATAAAAATCCTCGAAAGAAAAGATGAACAAATGAAAGGATTGTAGATTTGAATGTTAATCAAAACCCTCAAGAAACAGATAGTAACATGGATCAGATTTCTAGAGAAGTTGATCCTGATAAACTTGATGAGGATGTTAATCCTAATAGAATTTCTTCTGAAAAAAATGAAATTATTGAAAATTCAATAAATTATGTTACTACTGGAAAGCATTGGAACCGAAGTGATACAATTATGGATAATGCTTTTGCATATAATGTAGCACTTGATCTAATGGAAAATGACGAGGATCCAAAACCTACATCAGTTGATGAATGTCGGAAAAGAATAGATTGGCCAAAATGGAAAGATGTGATCCAGTCTGAATTAAATTCACTGGCAAAACGAAAAGTTTTTGGACCGATTGTTCAAACACCTGAAGGTGTTAAGCCTGTTGGCTATAAATGGGTATTTGTTCGAAAGCGAAATGAGAATAATGACTTGTTGCCCAAGGTTTTTCACAAAGACCTGGAGTTGATTTTAATGAAATATATTCTCAGGTAATGGATGGAATAACATATCGATATCTTGTCAGTTTGGCAGTACATGAAAATTTGGATATGCGTCTGATGGACGTTGTAACTGCATATTTATATGGCTCGTTGGATAGTGATATTTACATGAAAATCGCTGAAGGATTTAGTATGCCTGATGCATATAAAGCAAAGCCAAAAGAATGTTATTCTATTAAGTTACAAAAGTCTTTGTATGGGCTCAAACAATCTGGTCGCATGTGGTATAATCGTCTCAGTGAATCATTATTGAAAGAAGGATATGCCAATGATTCTATTTGTCCGTGTATTTTTATAAAGAAAAATGGGAGAAATTTTATAATAATAGCTGTCTATGTGGATAACTTGAATTTAATTGGAACCCCTGAAGAAATTCAAGAAGCTATTGAATATTTGAAAAGTGAGTTTGAAATTAAAGATTTCGGGAAAACGAAATTTTGTCTTGGTCTACAAATTGAACATTTGGAAAATGAGATTTTGATACATCAATCTGCATATACCCAGAAGGTATTGAAACGATTTGCAATGGATAAAGCACATTCATTGAGTACTCCAATGGTCGTTAGAATTCTCGATCCTATTAAAGATCCTTTTAGACCAAAAGAGGAGAATGAGAAAGCACTTGGTCCTGAAGTACCATATTTAAGTGCTATTCGTGCACTAATGTATCTGGCTAACAGTACTAGACCGGATATAGCATTTGCTGTAAATTTATTAGCCAAATTTAGTGCAATTCCAACACAACGACATTGGAAAGGAATCAAACATATTTTTCGTTATCTTCAAGGATCTATTGATCTTGGTCTATTATATCCAAAAGGATCTCGACATAAATTGATTGGATATGCAGATGCTGTGTATCTTTCTGATCCGCATAAAGCCAAGTCTCAGACTGGCCATATGTTTACTTGTGGCGGTACAATGGTATCTTGGAAATCCACTAAACAAATATTAACCGCCACATCTTCAAATCATGCAGAAATAATAGCAATCCATAAAGCCAGTAGAGAGTGTGTTTGGCTAAGATCAATGATTCATCACATTTTACAGAATTGTAGTTTGAAATCTGAAAATGATAATCCTCCCACTATTCTGTACGAAGATAATGCAGCTTGTATAGCGCAACTGAAAGAAGAATATATCAAGGGAGATAGAACGAAACATATTTCACCGAAATTTTTCTTTACTCATGATCTCCAGAAAAATGGTGAAATAAATGTGCAGCAGATTCGATCAGACCAAATTTAGCAGACTTGTTGACCAAGGCTTTACCGACCACAACGTTCGAGAAATTAGTAAAAATCATCGGGATGCGTCGGTTGCAAGATTTCAAATAATGTCCAGATCAGGGGGAGCGATATTTCAAGTGATGTCCACATCAGGGGAAGTATTCTTAATGTATGAATGACGTACTCTTTTTCCTTAACTAGGATTTTTGTCCCATTGGATTTTTCCTAGCAAGGTTTTAACGAGACGTTTTCATTGCAGTTAATGACACCTAAGGGGGAGTGTTATGAGTCATTTGATTACATAACTAGGTGTCATTGTAAAATAATGTCATGTAGCAAATTGGATGATTAATCATTCTTCTTAATTGCCTATATAAAGGGCTATGTATTTAATGAAATGATATAATTGATTTTTGCTTCATTTTCATCCTATCTCTCGGCTCTCTATCTCTCTCTATATTATATACACACCTATATATATATATATCTAAGTTATCAATATATATTATATATTATAACTATAGTTATATTTGATATATTTTATAACAAATTCGATTTGAAATTTATACATGTTATATAGTTCTTCCTTTCCTCGAAAAATATGTCAACTTCTTTTGTAAATTTTTGGCACAAAGATTTTTGTTTTTTAAATAAATAGTTTTAAAATTAACCATAAAAAATTATATGGATAATATCAAAATATAATTAAATTTATTTTATTTTTAATAATTTTATATTTATTTAATATTAAAATATTAGAATTAAAAAAAATATTATATCTTTTTCACATACTGTGTTTAATGAAAATAATTATTTTATAATATAAATAATTATAAATTAAAATTAAAATAATTAATTAGTTTAATTAAAATTAAAAAAAAATAAATTAAAAAATTTAAAATAAAATTAAGGTATTGAATCATCGGTACCTTGCGTGGCACTGTAAATCAAATTAGTATTGCCATTGGATTTGAGACTACAAACGGACGGAAGAACCCGAAAAGTTTCTTGCTAGGTTCACGCATAGTCGCGCAGAAATCGAGCAGAAAATGGCTTGTATGCACGATCACAGTTGCGAAGAGCACGATTGCTCGTCTGATTGGTCTCTCTATAAGCACATAGATCTTTCTAAGGTTCAAACTTCCGGCTTTATATTTTGTTTTACATATTTGACAGGATATAAATTATTTGTGTTGTGTTTTCTTATGAGTGTCAATTTGTTTGTGTTCGATTAGGGTTTCGAGCCGCATAATAGGTTCGAACTCTCTCTTCTTTTTTTTTGAACGAATTATTTTCAGTGTTTCGATGATCTTCTGAAGTTTGGGGAAATGGTGCCCCTTGGGGGTTCATAAGTTGTGGAAATAGGAGAAGTGAAGTGTTTTGCGTGTATGTCTTCATGATGATTGTAGTTTTAACAGATCCATGGATGGTGCTTTGTGTTCGTTGTGTTAGTTACTGAGATTGATTGGCAGTTTGTGTTTAGCCTTGTGCTTCGCTAAATTATGACGTTCTTAGTTCTGGCGCTGCCAGTATATTGGTTATTGAGCAGGTAAATCAAGCATGACTGCCCTTGTATCTTCTATTTGAATGTTCTGTTCAAATCTTACAACTCAGATTCATTGTCTGAGAATTGTCTAAATCTTCAATCTAAAAATTGTTAGATTGTAGTTTTACTTATAGATGTATGTATATTGTGTAAGATTAACGTATAGGAACTGACCAGTGTGTTATGATGTGCAAAAGGTATCTGCACTAAATGAGGCTGTTTCTGGAAGTGTAAAGTCAGTATTCAGAGCCTGGGAACAGCGCCTAAATTCTTCAGAGGTAATTCAAGTGCTGAGGTTTTTCTCTAATATGTGATCCTTACATACTTATATATGTCTGTAGAACAAAGGCTCATTCCCGATCTCGTAATACAGGGATATAAAAACATGACCACTGTCTTCTCCTGTAGGTTCTCTTATTTTTCCTTTTTAGATTACGAGCACATATGACTCACCAGTTTCGACTCTATCAATTTTAGCATCTGAATATAATATGTACATGCTTAATGGTTTTGGGTTGAGTGCAAAAGAAGCATGGTTTAAGTGTACTGTTATTGTGATGTGGAGACACTGCTACATAGTTGAGCAGTTGACACAATAAAGGATTATGCAGGCACACTGGCAGAGTTATATTTGTTGAATTTGATTGTGGGTTTTGCCTTAATTTGATTATATCATTGAACATGTGAATTTTTTTTGTTACCGACTGTGACAGGGTTACTTGGAAAGCAATGAGGGTGATCCAGAATTGATAGTCTTTATTCCGTAAGTGTCAACCTTCTCCTATGCCTACTTAAGTGTTGAGATTATCTAACTTTTGTGTTTTTCAGTGAAGAAAAAAATTGGTTCTAAGAAAGAGAGTCAAATTAGCAATATAAGGCTTATACAGATTATGCAAGTGTTGATAAAATTTGGTTCATTCTGCAAACAAAACACTACCCAAAATATAGAGTTATGGAATTGAGGATTGTAATTTGTGTTGTAACATTTCTGATATCATTGTGTTCATCCTGGCATGGTTATTCAGTTTTACAGAAATTTGAAACTTGTATTACTTGGTGTTTTGTGTATGTAGATTTACATCAGATGTTAAGCTAAAGAGCATTTCTATTGTTGGTGGTGCCGAGGGAACGAGTCCTGCAAAGATGAGAGTGTGAGTTTTAATAGCTTGCATTATATTCATACTGGTATTACAATGTCATTTTAAATTTGTAGCTTTGCTGAATGATGATATAACTTTTGTGCTCACTTTAGATTACACTTAGTGCAATTTTTCTTATGCTGTTTGTTGCCATGTATGTATCCTCGACAATGCAGGTTCATCAACCGGGATGGTATTGATTTTTCGGATGCTCAAAGCATGCAACCTGTTCAGGTGCGGGTTTCCACTTTTTACAGAAAATATACTAATTTCTATAGTTGATTGACTTATTTCAATCGTCCTAGGAGTGGGACTTGGTGGAGAATTTGCAAGGAGTTCTGGAGTACCAAACAAGGTGAATTTAAAACTTCTGAATGAGTGTCAATCTTGAATTTCTTAGTCTAACAATACACATAAGTAGGTACTCAAAATTTCAGAGCGTGGGGAACATCACTTTGCATTTCCCGACTAATTTTGGTGCAGAAACAACCCAAATTCACTACATTGGGTTGAAAGGAGAAGCCACACAAGTAAATATATTTACATTAGAAATTTGCAATTCGCCACTGTTTTTCTTTAACATCCCCTTGATATCATTCCAATGGTTCACAGCTGAAGAGGGATGTTGTTGCGACAATAGTGTACGAACTCATGCCAAATCCTTCAGATCACAAGTGAGTCGGTCCTCTACCAAGCTAATCTAATTCAATTCAATTTCAAATGATTGAAACTCAATACATTTATATAGTGTTTAACCAAAGGATATTGGGTGTTGTGCAGAACAAAATCTGAGACAGGAGGTGGTCTTTCACAGGTTTAAGTCAATAAGTCCAGGCATACTGCACAGCTAAAGTAATGGCTATGTTGTTAAACTTAGCTCATGCAAGATTGATATATTATAGCTCAATGTAGCTGTAAATTGAAGTTTCAAGAGATTTGTTTCCGCAAATGTTTTGGAAGTGGATCAAATCTTAATCCCTCATCCCTCTTCGTATTTAGATCAAGTAATCCACAACCAAAATATCTGGCTCCATTTAGACAATTTTTTGAAAATTTAAAATTAACTGATGTTCTTAAAAAAATTAATTAGTATCACAATCTTCAAAATAGAGCATTATATAGGAGGTGGTCTTGGGTTTGCTTGGGGATGATGTTTATTCTCATTATGTTTCATTTGAACTTAACCATCTCATCACAACGGGCAAAAGTCATAACATGTCCCCCCAAGAATGGTGTGATGAGATAAGGATTGAATCTGTGACCGTAAGGTTATGAATTTTGATTTAAGTTCAACGGAAAGTTTACTTGGTTAGGATAGATTTAGGTTCAACAGAAAGTTTTTTGATTTCACATTGTATAAAAAAAAGAAAAAAGTCCATGAACAAATAGATTCGATTTTAAGGATTTCTGATTTCCCATTAGATATAAAACTCCATTAACAAAACAAAAGAAACATATTTCCATTGAAGATGAAGAATTGGTGTAATGAAGGGAGAAGTAGGAAGCTCAGAAGCCAAGCGTAACAAGAGGATTTCATCGAGGAACCAACACAGAGTTGGCTCTTCTTACATGTTAGCTGCTCATCACTGCGACTACATTCCATCAATCCAACTCTCACAATTCCTTCGACATACAAAATCATCACCGCAGGCAATATAAGTTTTAAAGCATATCTAAATGTGGACAGTTTTTTGTATCATGAAATAATGCAAGAAATTCCATGGGTCTTCAAACCGGCCAATTTCATATAGGCTCCAAGCGGCAGTCAGGTTGCCATCGTAACTGGCACCTGCTGCTGACTCGTATGGAGCCATCACAGCAGCAATCAGAAGAAACCACTACATAAAAAATAAAAAAAAATCACGCTAACACACAGGTACTTCGAATCACGGCACGAAGAGCAATCTAACAGAGGCAGATTAATCACAGAGGATGATAGAAGAAATTTTATCACCATCGGCAGATTGAAACATCAACTACGCGAACGAGCCGCCGATTTATATCATCCACCTTCGGTGGGCATGTACGGACGCATAGCGAACTGAAGTAAACATGGCGGCGACGATATATATTTATAGAGCGAGCAGTTAACAAAACCCTAGCCCTAAAGACTAACAAAATATGTGTATTTGCTATCAAGGGCATTAGTTAATCTTAATTACGTTCTGGCACAAATGCAAATTCGAGAGAGAGATTCGGTAATCGGTGGTATGTATATTATTCAATAAATAAAATTCGGAAAGTTTGGTGGCTTAAAAGCGGGTTTTGGTGAATAGCGCTTTCGATGTCTTCAATTGCACCGCCTCTTTGAAAGCAATGGATGAGACTGCTCTACATAAGCCCCTTCTTCTTAACTTACAGAAAAAAATCATTTTGCAATATCGTATTCCGTCGGGATCGGCCGATCCAGAATATTGGTCAGATGGCTCAGTTAGCAAGGAACGCCGGTCGCCTGCTCACCCAGGCGGCGACGCCGCACCACCACCGCTCCGCCCTGGCGTCTATTTACACCAGCCGCGCGTCTTTCGCGGCATCCTCTTCGGCGCCCCCCACGCCGTACGCTCCCTCTCCTCCTCCGTCGACATCGTCGCCCCCCGGGTTATCTAAGGCGGCGGAGTTCGTGATCTCGAAGGTCGATGACCTCATGAATTGGGCCCGCCGCGGCTCGATTTGGCCGATGACTTTTGGACTGGCCTGTTGCGCCGTGGAGATGATGCATACCGGCGCTGCGCGCTACGATTTGGATCGGTTTGGAATTATTTTCAGGCCTAGCCCTAGGCAGTCGGATTGCATGATTGTTGCTGGAACTCTCACCAATAAGATGGCGCCTGCCCTTCGCAAGTGAGTTTATTTATTTTTTATTTTTTGCTCGTATGTGGCTATTACATATGCTATAAATTTTGATGCTTGTTAAATTTCTTCCGCTGGGATGTAAATTCTCGACCTTGCAATTAATTTTTCTGCATATGTTCTGGGAATACGAATTTAGGGTTTTAGATGTTGTTCCTCTTTCCTTTGTTAATTCGTTTGTAGATGCCTTATGTGGTGCACCCAAGTAGAACATATTATGATGAGTAATCAATATGGAAGGCAAACTTAAAAAATTTATCAGCAATACTATGAATCGAGGTGGATGAATGTTTTTGTTCTATATTCAATTTCTGTATGCATTGGCTTAAAAGATTGCAATCCACCCAAGCACGGTAAACAATGAACTAGTCAATTGTCCCCCCATCTATTTGACAGCACCCGCTTCCACAAACAAACATAGTAAATCAGTAAGTATTATGTACAGACATGAACACACACCATAGTTTCAGCATTGCAGTTCCCTCAGCTGTTGGAAGGCTATTTCTTTAGCAGTTTTATCGAGTGAATCTCTTAACTGTTTTTAAGATTGTATTAACCTAGTATTTTGGTAAACTGATTCATGTTTCTAGGTTAAAATCACTTGATGCAAATAAAAGAACCTTCAAAGTTATCCTTGTAATATCTCCTGAGGTATAGTAATATAAATATAAATAAGCTACTGCTGCATCTGCTTCGTCCGGAATTGATAGTCTTTTAAGAAGACTCTCAAAGTGATGGTTTCAAAAAAAGAGTTGACTTGTGTTAGAAAGACTAGTTATTGTTGTCATTCGAAACTGGTTTCTTTGAAATGTGTAAATTTTAAAATGATCAACCTTAAGGTTTAATCTAAGTCATGTTGCACTTGCCTGAAAATTCTTGTCTCGAATATGTGCTGTTTGGAAACAAGTGTCACATTACGGGAGCATTGCTATGCAGCCTATGCTGAGTATTAAGGAATCCAGTAATGTGGCAATCTTTAATGCTTCTATGTTTGGAAAATGTTTCATGTCTAAACACTCTTTACTCCCTCATACATTGGCAGAGTTTATGACCAAATGCCTGAACCAAGGTGGGTTATATCCATGGGAAGCTGTGCCAACGGTGGTGGTTACTACCACTACTCATATTCTGTTGTCCGAGGCTGTGACAGGATTGTTCCTGTGGACATCTATGTTCCGGGGTGCCCACCAACTGCCGAGGCCCTTCTCTACGGACTGCTTCAACTGCAGAAGAAGATCAACAGGCGCAAGGATTTCCTTCATTGGTGGACCAAGTGAAGAACACTGTTGGGTGTTATTTGTTGCTTGTTTGTGACAGAATAATCAAACTTGTTGTAGACATCATCACAGCATTGTTGCTTATGTTTTCTGTCATATAACTTACGAGGACCCTTCCCCGTTTCCAGGGCTGTTTTATGGATTTCGATTGTGTTGTGTTCAATTGAATAAGAATGCCTGGTTATATAAAAACTTGTATCAAGGAGAGGTTAAAACTCTTTCTAAGAGCGTGAATCTTTTCTTATCTTCTTGGTGTGCCATTGTGATTTCAGGGTTGGTCCTGAGATTAAAGTATTAAGACATTATATTTTATTCTTCTTTCGCTTGTTATGTTGTGTGGTCTGAGCTCTCTCTATTACCTTGATCTCTATCCTACCTCACATGCCCAGTGTGTGTATATAAGAGTATGTTTTATTTGCCCATTGGGTTGGCACTTGGCAGTGGCAAGTGCAGTGCAGGGGATTTATTGTTTTTGTTTCTTATTGGAAACTATTAAAAAATACTCAGTGGGGGGAATAGTCATTTTTAAATTATTTATTACTTCCAGAAAGTGGAAACTGGAAAGAAGTCCACACATTAAATCCAAATTATTTATTATAAGTTTCTTCCTCGAAGAATTGTAAAATTCAAATTATTTATCCGTTAGGCACTGTCCCTCCCTCCCCGCACTGTCGCTCTTTCCTCTTCTCTTATATTTTAGGGTTTTAAAATTTTGGTTTTAAACCCTAAAATTCGTTCCTGCGAAAAATCTCAACCAAATTCTTCCAGCCGAACTCATCTTACAGCTGAATCCCTCCCAATTCCTCCAATTATGAACCCTCCTGTTCAGAATTTGGAATCCATGCTGAGAGAATCTATCAAGCACTTTTTGACGTCGTTCCAGAATGGGGGCTCTGATTTCTCGGCGTTCGAGTCGATTTTCTTCCGCTTAATCCAAACAATGCTCGATCCCCCTCTTGAAACATCTTGGTTTTATTCTGCTGTCACTTTCCACGCCGCGAAGTTGGACCAACATAGCAACCCTTCCGCCAGGTTGCTCAGAGTAAAAGATTTGATGAAGTTTCTCGTTTCATGTTCTAATTTGAGCAGCGCTTCGAAAAAGATTGCGCTGCTTGCACCCGTTGTGTGCGAGGTGTACAGCATCGTCCGTGATTGTAGGAAGGGTGTGCCGTTCGTGGAAACGGAGGTCAACAACTTGGTAGATAATATTGTCAACTATGTTACCATGTCTGCTGGGGTTCACGCTTTTGGAGATGAGGATATTGAGAGTGATAATGTAGTTTGTTTCGATGAGTTGGTTCGGGTTTGGGTAGCTGATCGAGGTGGTGGAGAGTGTGTCTTTGAAGAAAATTTAAAGGTATTCTTCCCCCTTTTGACTGACGGAACTTTGAAGGCGATTGATGCAAAGTGTAGCATAAGGGACTTAGTCGGGATTGTCCTGTGCGAAGTGTTCTTTCTCAAGCTGTACCTGTCGTTAAGGTCGGGGATGCACTCGGAGGACATCCTGAAAGATACTCAAACTCAGGTGGCTCAGAGTATCAAGGGGTTCCGAAATTGCAACTTCTTAGGTACATTATTTTATTTTATTATCGACTAACTACATAATGTTCTATGTAAACAGGAGAATAGTATCTGCTTTATTATTATTATTTGGTCGCCTTAAGTTTATTTTCCAATGCATAAGGCTTTCTTTGTTGTTTGGCGGTTTCCAAGTGGTGTGTGTTTAGTAATATTGCATGCCCACAATCACATTATCAGCTCAGAGCAAGTATTTTTACACTACCTAGAAAGCTTTTGATTCCTCTGCAATGTTATATGTTTCGAATGCCTGTTCATTTTTTTTTACTTTGAATATCTTAGGGCTTATTTTTCTGTAAGAGAACCATGCCTCATGGTAGAGATCAAAACTGTTAACTATGTATTCTGTATTCAGAGGAAGATGACTACCGAGTGGTGTCTTTGGGGGTTCATACCTTGAACATTAAGGGAGGGACTATGAATTAGATGCTATTTTTATTCTTTTGGGATATTTCTTTCCTGCTTTCAGTAATGATTTCACGAAAAATTTATTGTGCAATCAGACATGTTGCTGAGGTTTTTATGAAGAAAATTCTTATATTTTGGGTTTATCCTAAATCCCTCCAAGAAAATGTTTTTTTTTTTTTCTTTTTTTTTTGAGTAAGTAGTTTATAATGAGGATTTTCTGAAACTGAACTATCTTGGTGGGAATATTTTTACCCCCTTTTTTCCTATCTGTCTGTGTTTAGGCTTAAGTTCCGAGGACACAATATCATCCCTGCTCCTTTCAATTGAGCATTGTTGTACCCATTTAAAGTAGTTCGTTGAGCAGATTATCGTATCTTCTCAAACAATATTACTCTCTGCTTCTTTCTGAAACAATGTTTTACAGAATGCAACTATGCGAGGCATTAACCCCAAATGAACATCCATCCAATAATAGCTTGATCCAGTACTTTGGAGATGATTTGTGTTTGCAGCCCATATGCTATGAAGCTTAGCCAATTGGGATGTCAAATTGTGTGTCGAATTTTGTTTTTATATATTACTTCCAAGATAGAATCAGCTTACTTGCCACACAGGTGAAACCATGCCTTGAACTGATTTAGTTTATACATTCTCTGATGGAATGATGCTTCTCACCAGTTATGCTTCTCAAAATGCTTTTGGAGCCCAACTTGCCCTTGACAGATTTATTGGTACGTTTGTCCTCATTTCCGCTAGAAGCTCATGCCCACTCTACTTTTTATAAAGCATATAATATTATTAAGTTAATTCTTCAATCGCTGCAGAACTCCGAGGATGCAATTCCCCTGCGCAAGGTGCTATATGATGCTGTAATGTTTGCTGATTATTCATTTTATTCTGGAAGTTTGGTCCAGTCGACTGACAAGCACCCCGAAAGGTTTGCACTTGTATGGCTGTTAGTCGCTGACCGTGCCTTACAGTTTGCTAGGTATTCGACGACCCCTAAAGAACCAGCATTAGTAAATAGCTCTGCACTATCACGACAGTATGATTATGTGAAATTTGTCTATCTCACAGGGCGACAAGTGACGAAACAAGGACCCTTTCTTACCTCAATACCTTCTGCAATTCTGCAATGGTGGCTGAGTTAACTAAGTGGGCGAGTATTCAAACTCAAACTATGAATCGTAACATTAGACCCAACATTTCAACTCCCAACACTTTAATCAGTGAGTTGATTCTTGAACTTCTCTTGCATCATTTCATTGATCTTATTAGAGATTTTTATCTTAAAAAAGAACTCGGGTGCACATATTATTCGAACATCGTACATATTGTGTTTTCAGAGTGGCTGCTGCTCCTCGAAGCTCAAGGGATTCGAGTGTTTGATCACAGTATATCGGCCATTCATTCAATATCAGAGATTGGCGAGTCACCCGATCTGCTCCATAGAAACAATCATAAGAAAAACACCGCGTGCCATGAAACAGATGCTGCAAACAAGGACCAAGAAATGGTTGACCTGTCCGGAAATGGCATCCCACCTTCTAACCGCTCGCCAATCGCACAACCCGAGATGGGGAGAAAACGCAAAGAGTCTCTTGGTGGTGGTCTGCACGATTCGCCTGTCAAGCAGATCAAACTCGGCTTCTATGGAAACTCTCTCGGCGAAAAGTTGTCACCTTTTTCTCCGGACAACAGATTGCCCTGCGGGGTTGAGGTCAAGAGCGTCGGAGGCGACGAAGATATGGAACTCGTAGGATGATTTAGTAAGGTCATACATACCTCAACATCCTCATGTATTAATACTACATCCTTGCTCTAGATTCTAACCCCCCAACCCCTTTGATGATCATCAAAAAATGCAAACACTATGTGATAACCCCCGAAGTGAAATCAAAATCAAAATTGAAATTGAAATCGAAATCGAAGTTAAAATCACTAGGTGCATGGTTTCTTTGATCCATTTTTCTTGATCATAATTATTGTTTTTAAAGCATGGTCCGTAGTAGCAGCATTGAAGAAAGTTCCAAAAAGTGTACGTAGAAAATTGCTTGCCAGGCTAGGCAGGAGTAGTTGTAACGTCGTCGGGATGCTGTCCTAATAATTTATCGTATTAAAAAAATTTAAATGTATTTATGAAATAAAAAAGTGGAGACAACATTTATATGGTTGTGTGTGAATGTGATGGCAATAAATTAGAGGCGTGAAAGCAGCATCAGCACTTGGCCATGGATCATGAAATGCCACCAACCACCCTTCATTCATTTCATTTCAATTCACTCTTAAAACATTTATTTAATTATTGGCAATACTTATGGCTTATTATTACATCATTTTATTTATCGTTAGTTCCTATCCATACATACGATTGTCGGTGAGTCCAACGAATATTATTTTTCATTACCAGTTTGATTCGCCTGAAACTTTTTTATTCTTTTATTTAATAAAACTAAAAAAAAAAAAAAAAATATCGATCCATCACCGACACCTCCTACCTATTTCTACCTTTACATTAATTGTCGTCACATTTTTATACAGGAAATTGCGACATTGCCAGTTAATGAAAAGTGGAAAATTGATTAAGTGATTGGATAGATTTTATTCTTTATTATTATTATTATTATTATTGGGGGGTAATGGGGGGTTTAGAAATTAAAATAATAGTATTATTATTTTATTACCAGGTTTATGAGTCTTACTTCTAAAATGTGTTGTACTGAGAGGCAATAATTGCTTTGATTGCAAGGATAACCACCAAAAATTGCTGACCTAATTGGGAACCTAATGCGATAATTTTGGTATGAGGATATACGTACACTTAAATACACATACACATGCAAATATATATATAGTGATTTACTTTGATATACATCCACAAATTGCTGAGATAATCTGTATGTGCTTTTATTAAATAAAGAACTAATATAGATATAAAGACAGATTCAAAGCATCCGTTATTATTATTATTATTATTTTTTAATATTTATTATTTACAGATCGCTAAAAGAAAAGGGGTTATGATTATTCAATCATTCTGCTGCTTAAATAGCTTTGTTGCAAACTATTTATTTCAATAAAGTAGATGAAATTTTATTTCTTTATTTAATATATAGTAGGATATATACTCAGCTACAAGTTTTATTGCCAAGAGTAATTAATAGTGAAATCCACACATTATCATTATTATTATTAGGTTGGGTGGCAGGTTATTGAGAGGACATTGGAACTTATGATGATGTACACTAGCAACTAAATTCTAGTCAAAGATTCCTAATTTATTTATTTATCTAGAAGCATGTGAATATATATACACATATATATGTCAACAAACTTATGCGCACACACACATATATATATATATATATATTCATCAATTTGTTGAATCATTGGAATTTAAAAAAAAGAAAAAAGAAAAAGAAAAGGGGTTTTTAATTGGAGATGAAAAAAAAAAAAAAAAAGAAAAAGAAAAGGGGTTTTTAATTGGAGATGAAAAAAAAGAAAAAGAAAAAGAAAAGGGGGAGTTACTTAGAGCAATAAATTATATAACACAATATTATGAGATGAATGAATTTCTTGCACTACACCACCAAACATGATTTTAACATGAAAGTGAAACCTCAAAGAGCAGCCATCAATGAGGTTAATGTAAGAAAAAGACACTCAACTCAAACGGAAAGGGATGTCTAAGTGTATTTGCATGCAAATAATTAATGTATTTTAAATGCTACCAATTGATATTCCAACTAAGTATCCTATGCAATATTTTGTGCCTTTAAGAAACACCCCCCACATTCTTTTCTTGCTTTTTTGACATAATAAATGACAGATTTTTCTATATGACTATAAAATAGAAATAAGACCTCCCAAATTTCAAGCACACTATGTGCATGCATTCTTGTCCTAATTAATTTTAGTGGTCACCCACTATAAATACAAGATGCATTGCACCCATTACTTTCATTGTATAAATATACAAGAAATACAACACACACAAATTTTTATGTATATATATATATATATATATCTTAAATGTGTTGGGTCATTGCATTTTCTCATTTAGAGAATATATTACGCAATAGAGAATTGTGACAAATTTTGATATCACTTATTATAAATATGGTAAGTACGATTTATTATTCCCTTTCTTAAATCTTTGAAATTTTATTTGAGTAACACTAATTTAGACAAACGATTTTTATGTTTTGTTTTTTACATATAGTTGGGGCAAAGGGTAAAGGTGGAAAAGAAATCCACTAAAAGGGGAAGAAAACAGGATAAAAGAGACGAGGACATTCCTGTCATTTCACATCCAATATTGTCGGCCTCTACCCTATCCATCTGCGTCGCTGGGTTCGGATCCGACCCATTTCCCTTTAAAGTCCGACCCGAAACTAAAATCGTCGGTGACTCAGTGAACGTTGGGCTCGACTCACTATTCATATATATATACATACAAAGATACATGTGTATGTATTCAAATATATATATGATGAGAGAGAGAGAGAGAGAGGAGAAGAGAGGTGAGGGTGAGGTGGATTGGTATATAGCTGTGGATGCCAAATCCAAGGCTTCTTGAATTTTGAGAGAGAGGGACAGAGAAAGCAAATAGTAATAGGTAATAATAACAATAATAATAATAATAATAATAAACAGTAACAATTAGAGAGAGAAAGTGAAGTGCAATGGCGGACTCCAGCGATTCTGTCTCCGTCGATATGGAGTCCACCCCTCTCGCCGGAAAGGTCAAACTCTACCCATGTTCATATTGTTTCTATACTTCATATACCTGTTGTGTATTTTGCGTCGCTGTGGCTGTGGAAATTTGTCCTCATGGGGAATACTGTGAATGTATATCTAGTTGAAGTAGATTCTTAGAGCTGCATTTTGTGCAATGTTACGCGATTTCAATTTCTTGGAGGGTTTCCTATGAAAAGATAATAAGTTGTTGATTTTCCCTCAAGTTATTGCACTGCGGATTTTGGGGGTGGGAAAGGATATTTTTTAAGGCAATCGTTTTTCCTTTTTTTCTCGTTTATTTGTAGATTGAGTTGCAATCGCGATTTCGTGAATGAAGTTCCAGATTTCGTGGTATAATCTTATTCAGCAATTTTGCTAATTTGGGGATTCGATTTTATTACTTTTTACATATCAATTTTAGCAGTTTCAGTTTCAGTTGCTGTTGGTTTTCTTTTGTATTTCTTTCGGTTTGATTTTCCCCATTTGTGCTGCTTTTGAGTTATGATGGTTTTCAATTGAATTTGTTGAAACTTTTTTTTTTTTTTCTTATGGTTTGATATATATATTCATATATATATATATATATATTTCTGTATATTTGTTGTTTTTCTTCCCAATGTAAACTTGGAATATTCAGCTGCTTACACATTTTGTGATTAATCTTTACTGCCCGGCTTACTTTTACTTTTTATGTGACTAACTACGAGATAACTTTTTGTAATGGCTTCAGGAGCATATTGTGAATACTCGCAGTGGTTCTGTGTCCGTTGCTGTTTTCGGGGATCATGACAAACCTGCCCTTATCACATATCCTGACTTGGCTTTGAACTGTAAGCAAACCACACTTTAATTTACACCAAATGTATTTACCCAACTCCTAATTCGACGATACGTAATTAAACTTGCTCTCCTACACTGGTTGTTGCATTTTGTTTATAGCTTCACCTAGAAAATATCTCCTCTGAATACTGTGTTTAAAATATAATAAGATTTTCCCATTTGAATTGTTCCTACTCATTCTGGAATCGGGAAAAACCCTCATGGACAGTAATCTTTTCGAGTTAATCTACAGTAATCTCTCAAGTTACTCCCTCGATAAAATTTACCAATCTTGTAGCATTGTGTCGGCTGCATCTTGAAGGGTTTCTATTGTTTATCTTTTTGTGGGGAAAAAGAAGAAGAAAAGAAATTACTCATAGTAATGAAGTCTAATGCACATGTGATTTCTTAAAAGTGACATTGACATTTAACCCCATTGTCTGCATGCCACCAAACAGATATGTCATGTTTCCAAGGATTGTTCTTTTGTCCAGAAGCATTTTCTCTTCTTCTCCACAACTTCTGCATCTACCACATCAGCCCCCCAGGTCATGAGGTCGGTAACTACTACAACATCTAAATATTCATCAAGTGGTTCCGGCTTTGTCGCCACAATGTGATATGCTTTCGATTCGGCTGTTTCTTATCTGGTCTCCTGTCAAGGATTATTGCAGTTGGGAGCAGATATCCCTGATCCTGATGAACCTGTGTTATCTATTGATGATTTAGTGGATCAGATCGCTGAAATACTCGACTACTTCGGGTAATTACAGCATTAGTAATATTTGCCTAATCATGCTGCTGGTTTCCCCTAATTATTCCTGTCGCACCGATTTCACTTGTTTCCTTGGAAATTTTGTGTGTGCATAAATTCTGCCACCAAATGAATCTCATCGTATTCTTTCCATTCTTTAGGCCATCAAATACATGATAATTTACATGTTAAGTTGAAATAATCTATGACAGATGTGCTAACTATCTTTCTTACCCCTAGACTCGGTGCAGTGATGTGCCTGGGTGTAACTGCTGGGGCTTATATTCTTACTCTCTTTGCGGTAATTCATTATCCTTATGCTGATTTTCTCTGCACATTTTTACCATTTTAGATCTTTATATATATCTGCTATCTGTATATTGCAGATAAGGCACTCGGAACGTGTTATGGGTCTTATTCTTGTTTCCCCTCTGTGCAAAGCACCATCGTGGACTGAATGGTTACGTAACAAGGTACGTTACTTTGTTCTTGTTTCATGAACACATCCAGGCTGTGTAAATTATCGACATGGAAGTTTTCAAATGTGTAAGGGAGCTTTTTATGTGCCAGGTGATGTCAAATTTGCTTTACCTTTGTGGTATGTGTGGCATTGTAAAGGAGATGTTGCTCATGCGCTACTTCAGCAAGGTGTGTATGGAAAAGACAATTTATGACATGATTTACTCATTTTCGTGTTCGTGAGCTTATAATTTTCTAATGGTTCTACAGGAAGTCCGCGGCAGTGTGGACATACCCGAATCAGATCTTGTTCAATCATGTCGAAGAGTAAGCTTCTAGCTCCAAACCATTTCAAAACAACATATCTGCCATCGGTCTAAGTTTAACCAAATTTGTTTGTTGATTTGCAGCTGTTGAGTGAGAGGCAGAGTCCCAACGTGATGCGATTCCTTGAAGCAATTAATGGGTATTTATTTTCATTCATTATCATACCAAAAGTAAAAATCAAAGTGTAGTTTGTTTTGTATTATTGTGTTGTGTTGTTTCCAATAATTTCTACGGCTGCTGCTCGGCAGGAGACCAGACATCACTGACGGCTTAAGAAGACTGCAATGTCGATCCTTGATTTTTGTTGGAGAAAACTCTCCATTCCATTCAGAAGCACTTCATATGACCTCAAAACTAGATAGGAGATTCAGTGCCTTGGTAGAGGTAATCTATTTTGCCTGCTTGCTTCTGCTAATGTCAATGGCATTTCATTTGCAGGCAATTCTTATGGATATTATAATTTGGGCTTCGGCGCAGGTCCAAGCGTGTGGCTCGATGGTCACCGAAGAACATCCTGATGCCATGCTGATTCCATTAGAATATTTCCTGATGGGATTCGGGTTCTTCAGGCCATCTCAGTTCAATGTAAGCCCCAGAAGCCCATTAAGCCCGACCTGCATTTCCCCGGAGCTGTTCTCGCCCGAAAGCATGGGGTTGAAGCTGAAACCAATCAAGACAAGGATCGAGGGACAAGTTTGAGGATGCCCAGATTTTTGTAATTTAAGATTGCTCGTACTGCTCGATTGCCTGAAGAATCCCCTCCCTATACTGGAAAAATTACTACAGGAGGAGGCTTGTAGATAATAAAGATAACCAGACACCAATAAATTTAGCAGAATGGAAGCAAGCAGAGGGAGGAGATGAGATAGAAAGGGGGAAAGGATGATATATACTAGGCTTAGAGGTATGAAACTTTTAATTCTTTTTTTTACCTTTTCCCACTTGTAATTTCACTGTTTTTGTTGGGAGCTTAGTGAGTGCTCTATATACACATACACCTCATGGCATTCTTAAAATTATTTTGCATAGACAAAAGAGATATAATAAAAGAGGCCAGGTTCATCCATGTTCTTGCTGAAATTGGAACCCAGGAATGTACAGTTGAATGGATATTGTCCAAAATGAACTGAATTCATTGTTCTACTGCATAATACTAGTACTAGTATGTAATAATAATACTAATACTAGGTCAGTTGATTGGTAATATATCTTCTTTTCTCAAAGCTCTGTTGATGCCACTGGGTGAAGCCATCGTTGCCGTTGAGGTTGTTTTCTTCTTCTTCATTACAATGCTCATTTCTTCTCATTTCTTCTACTCATCTCCGCATACATTTCCTCTATCATCGGCTTCCACAGTCGGACACGCGCATTAATAAACCAATTCGACACCTGGTGTCGGAAAGTCGATGAAAACTAGAACATCTTTTCATGAAAGGTTCTTATGGCATGAGATCATAGTTTGTACCTGGCTCCTTGTCAAGCCACTTTTCAGGGCGAGCAAATGCTTCTCTGTATCTTTCGGATACCTGAAATTTCGAAGAATGCTATATACTCTAAGAATCGGGATTTTATTATATTATTACAAGACGAGGTTACTCACGGATGCAAGAAATTTTGGTACATCCATTGCCTCAAAACAGAGACGGATCTTTCGGGCAGTCCTCTTTGTGGCTTCCATAGTTGATGATAATCCTTCTTCTTCAGCAGAGCCCACTGCTTCTCGTCGGGCTGCGGTATTTCGTGTTCGGTAAAGTTTGGTCCAACGGCGAGAATGTGGCAGCTGATTTTCTCCCGCAAGTTTTTGTACATGAGGGAAAGTGTGGGGAGGGCGAAGTGGGCGTGTAGATTGGGGTCTAATTCGGTTACGGCGTGGAATGCCGAGACGACAGTGTGGATTTCATCTAAGAATTGGCTGTGCTGATCATCAACCTGAATTGATCAAGAAAGGGTAATGACAATCTGTATGGATGAAGCAGATAGAGCAGTTCTTGACAATAGTATATTTATATATAGATGGTACCAGTTGGAGTAAAGACATGAGATGTTTCTTCTTGGATTGGGCATCTCGTGAATCTTGAGAGAGGTTGTTGTGCTGAGATTGTCGGAGGCTATAACTCATCTGATCGAAATTTTGGAGGGTGAAGCAAGCAATTTCAGCTAAGATTTCCTGCATTGCAGGGAGATACTTTGATCCCGACAATGATGACTGCGGCGCGGCGGCATCGCTGTTGCTGCTGCTGCTGCAAGATGCATGGTGATAATTATAATTCATGTTGTCGAACGTGGCCAGATTGGTGTGGACAGCAGCAGCAGTAGCAGGTTTTGGAGAATATAAGGAAAGGGGAATAGCGAGGATGTCCTGATGTGTGCCGCCATTCCAAAATTCATCATGTAGAAAGGGCGAAGGAAACTCGGCCATGGGAGCATTCTGGGTTTGCCTGAAAAGTGAATCAGCAGCAAAGCCATGGAGGGACAGGGAAGGATATATGGCTACTGCTTGCAACGAGTCGTCGTCGTCATCTGTCAGGACAGGGTTTGGTCCGTTTGCGTATGATGATTGCATATTGGTCGGAGAATCAAGATTGTCTGCAACCAGAAAGCAAGCAAGCTAGCTTCTTGGGAAGAAAAAGCAACATAATGAATCATAAAATAGAACAGCACATGCTACAAAAAAAGACCTTACCAGGTAGGGCTTCAGTTTCCTTTTTCTTTTTTTGTTTTAGAGTTTGCAGAAAGCAAACCTTGTCATGATGATGATCTTAATCCCTGAAGAAGGAATTAGGAATATTTCCATAAATTCCGGGCAGAACCGCAGGTTTCCCTTGAAAGAAAATGGCAAGAGGTAGGCATCTGATCTCTCAGCATATATGTATTAATATTAATGTATGTATAAGGAACTGATATTAATATAGCTATGGCAGAGCATTGTTTTATCAATCGGGAAGAAGAAGTACTAGTATATGTGTATGTGTATGTGTGGGAGGGGAGGGAAATTATTGGTTACCCTTTCCTTTCTTGCTGAACAGTGTGGAAATCAAATAATAGCCAATATAAATAAGCCCCCGTAAGTTTTTAACCTTTTTATCGTAAAGGAACAAATCAGGGAAAAAGGTAACAAGTCAACTGCAATTCAGCAAAAGTAAGGTGACACAAGCACAACCATTCTGTAAAAAAAAACCTCTACAAGAAATAATAAATGCTGGGGTGGGGGGCAATAAAGTGAGTAGTTGTGCTCTTTTTACCTTACAAGATAGATAAGTAAAAGAAAAACAAAAGTGGGATTTCATCCAAGAATCCAAAGCCCAAGAAACTGAGGAATTCAGAGCCAAGATTCACCATCATCATCATCATCATCTGTTCCATTGATGAGAGAGTTGTTACTAACCAGAGGGTTATCTCATTTGTTGGCTGCACTCAAGATACAAAGGGCCATGGGATGCGAGTAAAAGTAGGGACTTGTTGAAAAGCAGGCAGGGAGGAGGTGTAATTAAAATGTAATGGGCCTGGATGAGGGTCAGAATGTAGGGACGACATAGTCATCAATATCATAGTCCGATAGTGTAGTCGTAGATGGATGGATGGATAGGTAAGATCAATTTCAATAAATGTGGGCGTATTTAATACACTAGAAAAAGAATCCACACCATACATACCATACCAGACCAGACCAGTTACTACCATTATTATTAGATTACTTTCTGAGAGACAGAGTATCTATCTATCTGCTCTGCTCTGCTCTACCCCAAATTCAATCCAATGATGGTAATCACAATTAATTAACATTAATAAGGAAAAAAACGAAAGAAAGTAGTCGAGATTCTTCTTGTCACTCACTGGCCGTGCTGGTGTGGCAGAACAGGGCAGAAAGGAAAGGAAAGGATTTTCTTCTTTTTATCAGTGTAGTGTAGTGTAGTGTAATGTATCACCTCACGTCACCAGTCCATAGCATAGCATACCCCCTGGCAGGCAGGCAGGCAGGCAGAGATATATCTCAGTCTGAATCTGCTTTTATTTACTATTTAGAGCGTGTGACCAGAAAGCAGAGATATTGATGAGAAGAGAAGAGACGAGAGAGTGCAGAGGCAGCCAACAACTCAACTCATGATACTAGTACAATACAAACACAGAGACAATAGAGACACGGGTGTGTTTGTAATTGTAATATTGTATTGTGTGTACGGTTATGGATGGATCATAGCTGAAAACTGCAAGCATCACATAATACATATGCAATGCAAGCAACATATACAGTGATAGAGAGAGAGAGAGGGGGACAGTACCTATATATCTGTCTTGTCTTGTCCAGATATGATCTGTTGCATTTTATTACCACCATATCTTCTAATCTACCTAAACTATCTCAGTCTCAAACACCTCTTGTCATCATCGTCGCGCGCACTCGATCCGATCCGATCCCATCACATCAGATCCACTGGACTGGACTGGACTCCAGGACGGATAATGGAGATGGAGTGAGTGACATGATGATGATGGTGATGATATATAATGTTTGTATTTGTATCGTGTATTCAATTCAATGCAATGCAATGCGGGAGGAGGATACTCATACTCAATACTCCCTCCAAACTCACAAGCCCTGCCCTCTTCCATCCATCCTGGTAATTTCCTCCAATTAATTAATTCCAATCTATCTGTCTATCTGTGTGGTATCAGTATCAGTATCAGTATCAGTATATGCAAACCTAACCTCAAATGGTTTGTGCATGCCTTCAAACAATACATACATTACTACTATAGTACAGTCCCTCCCTCCCTATTCTGTATTCCCATCCTTTAATAACCCTTTCTTAAACAAATATCCACCAGTGAATCTCTGCGGGCATTCACTGCACTGCACTGCACTGCTGCTGCACCCTACTGTATGTTATGTAATGTAATGTAAGCTTTACTATTGGATTCACTGTGGCGCGGCGCTCTTTATGCAGCACTGCGTAATTAATAAATGTTTGTTTTAATATTGTTTGTTTGTAGAAGCAGAACTGGAACTGGAACTGGAACAGGAACAGGAACATTCCCTCTGTTCTGTTCTGTTCTGTTCTTATCTGATCTGATCTGCAGGGCAGTTTAATTTTACTATTATCAATCATTTCATTTCATTCATACCTAACTACTTACTTACCAAGCATTATAGCATATACCAATAGCACTCTCTCTCATTTCTGCGCAGTCCTGTCCTACTAATAATAAACTTACTTAATTATTGGGCCTCAATGAGTTGGGCTTTGTAATCGGCCGCTCAGACCCATTAACATTCAAATTAGGATGCCCCTCTACACTTGAACCTGGAATACTTAAATAACAAATTAATGAATAAAAATAGAAATAGGAATAGAGGAGATCCGTATGGTATAAGAAATGAGAATGCAGAATTTTCAAAGCTACTTCTCCCCACTCCACCCTCTATCAGACTTCACATCAGTCAGACCCCTCCGTTTTTTTCCTTTTTTCTTAAATATTTACTTATCCCAAGTCAACACACAACCAAAGTCACTCACGGTTTGAATTTTGGACTGAGATTTGAATAGGAAAAAATTTCAATTGAAATAGTTTTATGGTGTGATATCAATATGGATTGATGTGATGTTTTGAATGTAAAATTGATTTTTTTTAGTATAATATTTAAAAAAATTGGTGTATGATTTGATATTTTTGGGAGAAATTTTTTTTGTGAATAATAAAAGTCCACGAAAAATCCTTCAAACAAACACACCCTAATTAATTAATTACAATACGTGTATGTAATGTAAATATTTACCATTTCTTCCTCATACATCATCGTCAATCTCAATAAATTCGTCTCGATGCTTTTATATAATTTCATATATAGATAACACTGAGTGAAGGCCTCATATATATATATATGATAGTGTATATTATACACCCAATATTAATATTAAAGGCAGTGCATGGCACATGCATATGTATGCACAAAATATCAAATCTGGTGTAAGAATTAAAGCAGGTTGGAATTGAAGGTGATCATGGGCATGATGAGTGTGTGTGTTTGTGTCTCTATAATTAATATAATATATAATATGGGGCTAAAAATTAATTGTTGGTGATGAATAATAATGATTAACCAGAAATAATAAGTGGACAAGATACAAGGGGGTTGATCATCACATGTATTTAAATATCACAAGTTTCTCAAGACACACACACACACATATATATATACACAAATGCATACATACATATATTATATATATTATAGGTGGCTGGCTGGCTCTACACATATATCTACGTCACTCAATTATATATATGGTAGTGATAATATGGATATATATTGCAACTTGCTTCAACTTGTTGTCCTACATATTCTCTATGATGGATTGTTTTCAGTGGAGATACATACATATCTATATATCTCATATCTTATTGCATACAATACAATATATTGAGTATTCAATACATCAAGAAAAAGTATTATATATATATATATATATATCTAACTGTGATGTTGTCTTTTTATTTTTGTTTGCCCTTTTCTTCATGAGGTTCTCGCGTGTATGGTTGGATAAGGAAGACTTGTATAGGAGTGAGATCATATATATATATATATATATATAATCTTAAAAAATAGTCAAAATGTAGTTACATACTAATAGGAGGAATTGATCTCTATTCAATTAAATACACAAGAAATTATATACATGCATTATTGTCTAAGAATCGATCCATTACATGATTCCCCAGTACTGTCTGTATATGCATTATTATACACTAATTCGAGTCCACTAAATTTGAACATATTAATTCACTCTCAACAGCCAACTGAAATTAAAGAATATTTATACAAATGGCGACAGCCAAACTTCAATTGAGATCTCATCTAATCATCATTATTAACAAACAATTCAAAAAATATATACATATGCGTGTGTATGTTTATAAACAAGTATTAATAATAGTCATGCGCACAGGATTTATTAAATTAATTCATTTCAGCTAATGAATGGTGACAATCAGATTCACGATAACTGCACAAATCCTTTTTTTTTTTTTTTTTAATTATGTACTAAATTATTGAAATAAATCACAGTGCATTAACACTCAGTTTGTAATCCTGCAATAAAAATGAAACCCCTATATATAATATATATATATATTCAAAACGAAATCTAAGTTAGATTCACCATCCAAAAAATCAAAGATACAACTAATATTATACATCATCTACAATAAAAAAAGACAACAAATTTGAGTATATATGATCAATTGCCCAACATCAACCCACGAATCATTCATCGAAAATTTCAAAATGTGAATAGGCAAAGAACAAAACTAGCTAGCATTGGATAAAGAGAGAGAATTTTAAAAACTAACGAAACTACACTACACTAGAGAAACCCACCAAACAGTACAGGTAACTAATCTAACAACTATACAAGTTTAAAGGGTTTAAAAAAGGACCCAAGAAAACCCTTTTGCCTCGTCCACTTGACACATTTCCCAAATTGATCAATATATATATATATATATATATATAAATATTTTTTAATTTTTTTAAAGGAAAGAAAGAACAATCACCAGCAGAAGAAAAAGGGTTTCTTGATCGATCGAAGCCCCCTTCACCAATCCTTTATTATTATTCAAAAAGAAAGAGGAAAAAAAAATGAAGGAATGAATGAATCATTCGTGGCCATGCATTGACGAGATTGCGACGACTCCGAGCTTCTGGAGATTGAGCTTGACGACGGTGTCGGTGAACATCTTGGTGTCCTCGCCGGTGTTGCCTTCGGGGATGTCGACGATGTACGATTCCAAGACGATCGTGTAGACGTTGCCGTCGCCCTTCTTAAATTCGTTGACGGAAGTGACGGATCGGTAGTTGTTGAGGCGGTGCTCGCCGCCGACGACTCGGAAGCTGAGTATGTGGTGTTCGTCGTCCAGGATTTCGAGGCGCTCCGTCGAGGTGGAGGCCGGGAGGCCGGAGACGACGGTGACCTCGCGGATGCTGCCGACCCCGCCGTCGCCGATGAGGCGGCAGCTCTTGATGAAGTGCTTGTAGCGCTGGGGGTTGTCGAAGCGGCGGACCAGCGGCCAGACGGCCTCCGCCGGCGCGTCGATGCGCTGGGTGATTAGGGACGTGCATGTGTTGGGCAATGCGTCGAACGTGTGGTACGTGCGGATCACGTGCTCCAGCTGCGCGTACTCTTCCGCCGTCAGCCCCTGAGGGACCTCCACCACCGCCGCTTCTCTTTCGCCTCTCTCATCCACATCCATAATTTCTGATCTGATTTGATTTTTCTTATTATTGTTAATTTCCCAAAGAAGCCAAAAAACAAAAAAACCAAGTGTTAAATCGATGACGATCTTTCAGAGAAGAAGAATCTTATGGGTGGATTGAACAAGAAAGACGGAAAGGGTTTGAGGGTTTTTGATTATGTATGTATATAAGAAGTTTCGGAAAATGGTATTTTCTTGAGAGGAAGGATCGGTGATTCATGTAAATGAAATGCTGTTGCAGAGAATAGTTTGAGATCAGAGGGAGGGAGGGATATATGATATTGTTGTGTTTCTGTGGATGGACATATTTGCCCTTGTGGTGCATAACTCCCATGTTCCCAAGAAAGCTGTCTTGTTGGTATTAACTATATATTAATCATACAATATAGATACATACATACATACATACATACAAAAGCATTTTACAACTTCATGATCTCATATATCATGTCTTGTCTTGGCCTGCCTTGCCTTGTTGGAAATATTGAAAGCTTTTTGAAATTTGGATTAAGATTAATTTTGGAATTCTATATAGTATTTGAATAAACTCCCAAATATCTACTTGACCATTCTTCTTTTAAGTGTAATTTCTGTAGAAGATGAATTTTCAACTTAAAAGATTTCCTAGTGGATAATATATTTGGGGATTTTTTAATAAATAGATGTAATGGAATTTGAATATAATTTGTCGGGGTATCTCAAAAGAACAAGTAAATATAATATACTTAGGGTAAAGGCATTAATTAATTGTGTTTCTATTTGAGGTAAACGCAGCCTAAATTAAACAAATAGTGTAGAATATTTACTAGAGTATACCTAGAGATCTAGAGGGAGGGAGGGTGGGGTGCAGCAGCTTTAATTTGCCTTTTTCTTTCATAGAAATCAGTAAAAATGGAAGAAACTAGAAACTTGGGATATATTGCATTGCATTCGTACGTGTTTGGTCAATATATATATATATATATATATATATTATAATATATAATCAGCAATGCAAGTTGCAGATAATATACACATACTATACAACAACAGTAATGATTCCTAATTAATTGATTATTATGTTGTTGCTATTAATTATTAGATGGACTCGTTGTCAGGTGAAGAATCTTTTTAATTTGATTTATTAGTATTATTATTATTATTTATTATAAGTAGTATGTTTTAGAGGTAAAAGAAAATACTAATAATAGAAAGAAGCAGCAGGGCCAGGGTAGAATTGTAAAAGACATGCTGTAGGTGAAGGAGGAGTGGTCTGGTCGGTGAGTTGAAACTTGAAGCGAATGAATGAATGAAGGAAGGAACAAATTGGAAAAAGAAAGAGCAAATGAAAATGGGATATATTTATGTTCAAGTGTAAGTGTATTAATGTAATGTATGGTTTGTTATAAAGAAAAAGTAGTATAGACATAGTTTTGGAAGGATGCAATCAAGTGACAAAATAGCTGGTTTGAATGATGGCTGGCCGCACGCACACAAACACCTCCTCAACACCTAAATGCTTTTTCAACAAGATACCTTGTTGTTGTTGTTGGTTTTACAAAATTGTCATCTTCCTAAATTGACTGACTGACTAAGGCCTAATATAAATTGTAACCATTTTTGACCTTTTGTGTTGGATTCCTTTGATTCAATTGAATTCAATGGCTTACATACACACATACATACTACCTTCAAACACACATCTTACTTGCTATATGTTATATTATATTTAGTATTATATATATATCTCAGTTATCCCTCCCCCTCCAACCATTTGATTAGTGCCATTGACATTATATTGGACTGCTTGCAGCATACAGTAATTCCTTCCTACTATACTATACTACAAATAATAATAATAATAATAATCATCATCATCATTATTGCAAAAGTCAAAGCTACAACTGTGGTAGCAACCATTACAATTTTATTTGATTCTTCAGTATTACTTACTTACACCTGCAACGGGACGAACCTGTTTGTCCTCCAGTCCCGCCACAAATGTAATGCATATATATTTATTTGTTCAAACCAAAAGCTCTTTAAACGACGACGTTTTCTTCCAGTTCTTATGAGTTATATTTATCAATGAAATCAATAACTAGAGAGTGCAATGATTGATGTTTTTTCATTTAATATAAGTTTGGTTTGGAGGTTATGATTTGAAATATATACCCTTATATATTATTGTATAGTTGGTAGAATGAAACAGACAGACGCATACATTATTGGATCAAGGATTTAAAAATACAAGGCACAGAAAACTTCTCTTTTCAACTTAAAGCAGACTTTTCGTACAGCATAGCGTATGCCCATTAGAATAATAATACATATGAAAACTCTACTCTACAGTTCCAAGATACAAATGAAAAAACCAACGGGTGGATGAGGAAGGAAACAAGGTTATCTGAAATACTATTATATTTTACAATGGAAAATTAATAGGGGAAAAAAACAAAAACAAAAACAAATCCCAAGAGGAGCAGGAGCAGAATGACCATGGTGGAAATGGTGTCAACTCACCGTTGTTAGTGGGAGGGCTCTAGAAGTTAGATTTGGTTCCTAGAGAGTCTTCTGAGACTGCATTGCTTTGATTTTCATTTTTTGAGTTACAGCTGTATAATAGACATCATATCGCATCAACTGGCTGGGCCTGGTAGATGAACCGGGAAGCAGCGATGCCGCGATCAAGCTGTCCCCGAGCTGTTCACAGACATCAGACGGGTATTCAATCGCTTTGTCCAAAGTAAATATGTCATCCTTCATGTATCAACAGATCCTTAGATATTAAAGCAATTCTCTGCTTAGCACTTTCTGAGCGGAGACTGTCTCCTTTAAATCCAAGCTGTGAATAGCAGCAGGCAATCATGTTCAAGGACCAATTCAAAGTAAACAATACTGACACCTCTTTGTGAACCCAACCCGTATACAAAAATAGGCAGTGTCATCCAACATATACTATAACTCTTTCGCCTATTATGATGTTGTAATGTAATGAAAAACCTTCACAAGTGATTTACCTCATTAGGGCCATCAGGTGAGAACCAGCGTAGCAACACACCCAGGTGTACGACTGCTGGTATTAACTTGAACAGCAATGGAGTAGTTACCTGAACAAGAGTGTAAATATATTAGCAAGCATGCTAGGATTCATTTGTAATAACACAACTAAACCAGGATGATGGATGGATTTTACCAGGCTAAGTGCTGTTGTTCCAAGAAGCAGCAGATATACTTTCCCCTAAAAATACATGGCCAAACAGAAAAATATAAAAATTGCTTGTCATGATAACTGAGAGAGAACAATTGATTTAGAAAAGATAACTGGAAGGGTTTCTTCTCCCTGCAGAAAATATCAAACAGCTCCAAAAGAAATTTGGAAAGATTCTTGAGAAAGCTTTACAAAAGAGCATCAGAACTATTTACCTCAACAAGATGAAGATTGGATGCCCGACTAAGCAGTACAAAAGCAAACTCCCCTATCTGCGCCAACGACATTCCTACCTACATGACCCGAGGATCAAGGTTACATATTAACAAATGCATGTAAGAACAAATTCCACAACCTGTACAAAAGTTCACATCTTACAAGAAGTGAGGTTTTGTTATTGTAGCCAAATCCCTTGACAACTGCAGAAACTACTACAGTTTTGACTATGACAACTAATATGACTGAAGCAAGCAAGATATCAACATGATTCCACAAAAAATGAACATGGATTAGCATCCCTATGCTAGCCAGGAAAAGAGCAGCAAACAGGTTGCGAATGGGTTCAACCTGCATCAATAACATACCCCAAGTCAATTTTAGCTATGATCCAATTTATCACAAACAATGTACATAAAAGTACACCTAAAGCAGAATGTGTTTCCCCTAATTATATACCCATGTGAGAATGAACATTAACTGTGTAGTAAATTTAAATCTAACAATGAAAGAGAAGTTCTACATAATCTTACTTGTTCTAAAGTATGCTGACCAAGATCGGTTGTTGCTATCATCACCCCAGCAGCAAATGAACCCAATTCTAAGCTAAGCCCAAGCTTGTCACTACACTGAAACCATACAAAATGTTGGTATCAGTCCATTGACAATCATCAACAATGTAATATCTGTGAACAATATGATATATATACATATATATATATATATTCCAAAGAGAAAATGTAACAAACCCAAGCCACAAGCAGGCAAAATGCAACTGATGCCAATTGATAAAGTTCATTGGTCTGCACGAGAGAATATATTCGCAAAAAGTTAGAATAATTAAAGCAGCTTGATCATAGCTGCAACATTCAGTATATCATTGAAAACAAACATACAAACACACATAAGAAGAAATTATTTGAAAATGGCATTTACCTGCGATGACAAGCTTATCATGAGTTTAAGAAACCAAGGCACACAGGTTCGAGACAATACCGATAAGCCTGCCAAGAAAGCAATCAACAGCACCAACCTGGCTGATGGAATAATCAGTATGATGTTTGACAGATTCATATACTGCTCAGAAAAGATAAGATAATGTCCTATGTTCCAATGATGTTTGGAGAACAAGATGCAACAAAATAAAAAATACCAATTTTCAAAGCACCACAATGTTTACATCATAGATTAACCGTCTCACACTTGCCCTTTTGCTAAAGACTAGCAGGCATCCAATATTTACTATTTTAGGTTATATGAATATAACCAACTCATCATTTTGTACTTGAAAATTGCTCACACTCCTCTAAGGTTAACAATATGAGTTATTAGTACCAACTCACAAAGATCCTCATGAACTGCCACCTGAACATGCAACCTTTTCTTTTCCTAGATTATGTTAACTACATCAATTAAGCTCTCTGGAAACTTTCCAACACAAAAGAGTCTAAGACATTACTCAGTAACATGGCCAACATTGTCAGCCTCGCAATGAAATTTAGAACAAACTTAAACACATAACTGAAATATTATCAAGGTACATATCATCTATTTTTTTCATTTTTGGGTGAATGGAACATACTATACAACTCACAATTTTGTTTAATTGCATTCTAATCAGTCATTCAAATTGCCTATATACAGGCAAAAAAAACATTCACTATCGAAAGTGCAAATGGATTTTTCGGAGCTGCAGGAGAATAAATACAGCAGGTTGGATAAAAGTTGAACTTACGATTTAGTCATTGATATTATACCCTGCATAACCCCAGAAGTCCCACCAAGAACTGGAAGCAGAGCAAATAACAATCCCACGGCACAGTCCTAAAAGCAATAAGCTTTTAGAATGTTTCCAAGAAAAAATATCTAGTGCTCATGACAAAATAAGCCATAGTCACAACATGATCACAGCTTGCAAAACCAAACTCAAAGTCAAAAGTATGCCTTTTTTATAGAAGCCTTCAGCTTCTATTTCATAATCTATGAAAGAACTTAATAGCGATATGTTCAATGAAAGCAATACATTAGTTGCAATGTGAAACAGGAAACAATAGTTATGACACCTGTAAAATCAGGGTGCCAATGATCACTTGACCATGAAGAGCATTGGTGCTATTTTTCTCCATCAAAAATTTGTATACCTGCATGTACGCAATGAATAAGTAAAGATTTAACTGAAACAACTAAAAGCAAAGCTCAAAGAGTGTTAGATGCACAAACATACCACTGCTGTGGATGACATTGACAGAAATGCACCAATAAATACTCCTTCTGAAGCTCGACCTCCAGACAGCTGCAATTAAGTGTAAATTTACCAATTGTAGACTGGGCAGAAAGTACTTTCCAAATTAAGAAATGACATGAAAGGTCATCACAGATATAAATAAGCCATAGGAATGTTCAACTTTAACACTATAACATCACAATAATCACTGGCCATGCAAACAATTTTAAGAAGTTCGCAAAAGCAGATATATCTGGGTTAAAACCGAAAGTTTTATGTTATGCCTTTCTCTTTTTATTTACAAATTATGAAATATTCAAGAATATGATTGCTATTGACATATCATGAACCCACCACAGCTATAATTCCACACAGGCACATAAAAAGGAGAATTTGTAGTAACCCTCCAAGAACAGCAACGGCGCGAACAACTCGGAGCTGTAATATGTGAATAAATAATTAGTTTGCATCTATTCACAATTAAACAGGAACATGTATTTAATCAGAATGTATCACACGCTAACCTTTGTTGCAGAGAATTCTAACCCCAGAGCAAAAAGAAGGAAAATCACACCAAACTGAGCCACTGTTTCAACCTATATGCATCACTTCCATTAAGATGGAGAATTATCTAATGTCAAAATATCATTGTATAATATCATAAGTTGCATTTAGGAAGTGTCAAGATACAAACATATCACAAGTGTCAAAAGGACAATTTTACTACATTAAACAACAGGGTATGCATCAAACAAATATGATGCATCCAGTCAAACAATTTGATAGTTTCTTAACAAGCTTGAGATCACTTGTAGTCTTGTAGGTTAGTTTGAATGTTCATGAATTACCTCGGTTTCTACAGCTCCACTATAGCTATTTCAACTACTAAAAACAGTGAAAAGGATATATATATATATATATTACAAGAGGCGTGAAAATACAAGCCAACATATTTAAGCAGTAAAGATTTACATTCTGTAGCTACTTACTTGCACCATTTCACTAATAACATTAAAACCTCCAGGTCCAACAACTGATCCTGCCAGTAAATATCCAGTAAGAACCTGCAGATATAGCCAGACATTAGTAAACAGCTAGCATAAATACTTAAAAAACACAATTCAATGTCAAAGATCAGACCGGCTGTCCAGCACAAGCAAAGGCAATCCCACCACAAGTTGCAGAAACAATGACAACAACCAGATCATATATGAGCCTGCAAACTCAACCACATCAAGCAATCCAGAACAGGAAAAGGATGGGAAGAAAAATCCCAAAAAGTGGAAAGGGCACCTCAAGTCTAACTGCAGCACTGGGTATTTAGATTTGAAGTTCGATATGATAAAGACATTGTCCTGAATACAAATAGAAATTATGATTAATCCATGCATCCACAGCAGGAGAAGTAATTTTTTACAGCACAACTTAACTTAATCCAAATTATTTTCTTTTCTTTCAGTATCAAAGAAGACCATCTCATATGGAACCCAAAGAAAAGAAGCAGGAAAACAATTTCACCTTTCTATCAATCAATGTTGGGGTTTCTTCAGCTCCATTGTCATTATCCAGATTGAAAACTCGATTTAGTTTAAAAGACCTGTACTTACCAGACAAGTAAGATGAGATCTCGAATCAAATAGAAGTAAAATATTGGCAAGGGAGGGTCACATTAAATTTTATTCAGGTGTGAAAGGTTAAGATACTCACTTTTCCTCCTTTGTCTCATTTTTCTTTGTCTTGACTCTGGCTACTGTTTCCAGTACAGCCTAATTGCCACGAGTGAAATAAGTTAAAACTATAGAAGTGTTTTAGAATAAATACAAAACAAAGATTCTTGTCTTCAATCAATCTTACATCACAATGCACACCAGATAAATTTCTTAGATTTCAGTTATGTATCCAAACTGTCATACAAATAAGTCAGAATACAGTTAATATTAGGTGCACCGTTTCCTTCAGTCTCACAGGGATAAAAACCTGATGTAAGTGTCTTAGTACTAAATATATAATAGATCCTTAAATGATTATCAATGCATCATCATTCTAAGTAAAATGGCTCTGAAACAAATATCTTATGCACTATATTTAATTAATATCATCATAACACACCCTAAGGTTCAAGATATATTATTCAAAGTTGCCCATCGACAAATTCATTATAAAGAGCTTAAAAGGTAAAGCTCCTCCCCGAGAAGTAAGTTCTTGGAGTTGTAGTGTTGAGTATCACAATTTGTAATGCTCCCTGCCATGCAAATTCATCACTGACCAGCAGTGCATATCCTGATATATTAATTAACTCCTCCTTTTCCCTAATAATGGCCAGCTGATTTGATATTATACCGCTCTTCGGGAACCCTTCCAATGCTGGTCTCAACTTTTTACTTGAAATATATATATTTTTAAATCATAGCAATTATAAACACAATCTTAATATGCATTATTTGGGACAAACAAAAACCAGAATGTTTTTTCCTGTGACTAAAATGAAGGGTCATCTTCTCAACTATATACACATTCACTGCAAATCAGTGTTCTTCAAACCAACTGTATTATTAGCAGCCATTGTTGTATATCCAGCACAGTGTTTAAAAAGAAATGATATAAATCATAGTAGCAACCATAGATAGCAATTGAAGTAAATACTCTTAAATAGTTAAGAATGTGCAATGCTACATACTTGCTGACCGGCCACACTGTTGTTGAAGCTACCAGCATCATTCGCTGCCAAATTTACATGTATAACATTATCAGCTGAAATATTGACTCTTGGAAACAACCAACTTATTACCATGTACGGTACAATGAATACAGAAATTGCTAATCATGAACCAATCTGGAACAGAAATCCGTTGTAGATTCATATAAGCCAACATTCATGCGAGATCCATAAAATGCTGAGAACGGCGTCTCCCTTTTCAGTGGACGCAGCAGAAGCTCCGTTTAAAGTAAAAGCAAATCAAGAAAGAGGAAAATCACTTTCCAAGATACGCCATTGATTGCTCACAAAACCACGTGATTCAAGATTTCAAACATGAAGATCGAAAGATTGTACCACATCAGCGAAAGGAAACAGAAAATCGGTTTCGCTAAGCTATTCAATCTCCCATTATCAAACCGAGTAAACCCCAATGCAAACCCTAATGAAGCTATCACGATTATCAATTAAGCAAAATCGCGAGATAAATTGAGATCCAGAAAATTCAAGATATAAAAACCTTCGTTTTGATCCTCGTTCTCCGTGAACTCCTTCTCGAGCGCGCGATCGATCATGTCAGCAAAAGTGTCCTCCTTCGGCGTAGTCGTATTCCCATCGACCCCCGTGGCGGTTGCATTGATGGCAGAAACGGCTCCATCTTGGACAATTCTCTCACCTTCCGATGCAACCTGGGCCGTGGCGTCGGCCACTAGAAGTCCAAAGAGAACACCGACAATGGCCAATGATCTACTCATTGCGCGCCGGCGAGCCCCACCCGGCGCACCTGGAAGCACGGATGACACGACGCGGTGAATGTCGGTTGGGTTGCTGGTCTCGGTTTGGGTATTGTACCACAGGAATGAATGATAGTACCTGCCAGAGTATGGGAATCACATAAGGAAGGAAAACTATAAACTAATAAGGGTGCACCACCGCGGGGGCTTGCAATTTCTAAACTAAATAATAAAAAATACATATACACCGCACATATAAAAATAAAAATAATTAAATTAGGTGCTTTTACAGTGTTCGTTGTCGTTGAGACTTGAGATTGGTGTTTTAAGTAACATATTCATACATTACAGAAGCAGATTGATTATTAAGTTCAATTCAATGAGTATACTACAAATTTTAGATACCAAACCTATTGGACCATAATGAATGATACGAGTGTCGAGCTAACTCGTGTTAGATTTTTAATACATCAATTAATTTCCGATCTAGGTCTGGGGCCCTAGTTAACGACAAATATTAGATTATCTATAAATTAATCAATATTGTGACATAGCGTTTCTTTGTTTTTTGGCCCAGTCAATTGAGCCATGCACGTGGTTTTATATGAAACTTACAATTAATTCAAAGTTGATTTCACTTTCCGTAGCTGGTACAACAAAAACACTATTTGATAGTATTTATTTAGAAATAAAGTAGTCGTAATTTTAAGAATGTCGCTAACAGGGCGGGTTCGGAACAGATGCACGCCCCGGAACCCGCCCCACTATTTGTAGGATAAACAAATGCGAAGATAAATTTGATTTAAAATTAAAGTTTTATTTTATATTTAAATTTTTTAAATAAATAAATAATATAATTTATATTGTATAAAAATATAAATAAATTATAATAATTATTAAAATATCCGGATTCGGATCCGGAGTGAGGCGGATTTATAGTAAAACCTATAATTCGCCCCAAATCCGGCCGAATCTAAAACTCAAAATCCATAACCCGCCCCGAACTATTTTTTTTAGACTCGAACCTGCCCCGTTAAGACCGGACCCAGGGCGGATCCGGGCTAACCCGCCTCATTTGACTCATTTGACATCCCTAGTCGTTAGCTAGGCTAACAAGACCAAGATGTGATATGTTATTTCTGCAAAAAAATATTAGACCATCGCCCACACCATCGAATTTATTTACAACCCTGGCAGATATAGACATAATTACAATAACTTATCATGGAAGATCCCATTTTAGAGAGTAACTTATGCTTGTCCTGATTTCGCAGTGGTTCAGCTGCACTTCGAATTCTTGGTATCTAATGTAGTCTTCTTCACTACCTTCGGTTGTAGGTGACAATGTCTGAAGAGTCTTCATGTGAATGGTATATTTGGCCACTTAAGATCAGATGGTTATCAGAGATTTCCTCGACAGGTTTGCTATTGAATCTGCTATGACTCTAGCACTAGATTTCATGTAACCACCTGGACATAAAAGATCTGAGATTTCTTGACTGTATTCAATGAATAAAAACAGGTAGAAGATATATTGAGAGCTAACCTGAAGTGAGCATGATGATTGGAATATTCCTTTCACGAGCAAACATGAAAACCTTTTCATCTCTCGTGGAAATTCCATTGGGACTGATCTGCACATGGGACGAATTGATGTTGGTGAAGAGTCCTTTTTCTCAAGGAACACAGTTTTAAATTTAACAGTATACAGAGAACATCTTCACTTTCTACTTAAGAGTGAAACACGGCGAGGAATTTGAATGTACTTATGAACAAAGAAAAGCAAGGGAAGGGCTGAAAAATAAAATAGGATGGATGAACCTTTAAACAATACCAGTAGTTCTTATTATACGTCTAGATGTAAAATCTCTAGGCATCAGTTACCTACAGCATCTCTAAATGTCCTCCATTTTTTCTTCCTAATTGCGAAATGACTATATTTGATCATGATTCACAATCAGCTTAATAGAGGCTAATCATGTAGGAGAACACATTTAAGCTCAAAGGCTTACCTGCAATCTACCCAGAGGGTCACCATCAAGAATATCAGTTCCTGCATTGTATATGATCAGTTCAGGGTCAAAGGCACCAGCAGCAACCTGAAATGTCAAGGGAGGGCAGCAGTGGTTGGTAGATTTTTCACCCAAAACCAGTATCTCTGAGTTAAACACAAGAAAAACAGATACATTGGAGTAAATTACAATTGCATACCGTGAGTGCTTCGTCAAGTTTAGACAAATACTCGTTTGTTGATGTTCCACTCTGTCATAATAGAATTATCAGAAATAACAAATTCTAGACAAACAGGACAAGAATGCACAATATCTATACTCAAATTTTAACATCATACACTTACCACTACTTCAACTTCCTGATTGATATATCTTCTGGCCTCATAATCCTTCACTTAAAAAAAAAAATGATACATTGAGAAACTTAAAAAATTATTATCTATATTCTCCTCTCTGTCTTTGGAATTTCAGAGCAAGGAGAACAGTTGAAATCAAGTTTTTATGAGGAAACTTACAAATGGATATATATTTGGATTGTACATATCGAGAATGTACACTCTTCCTAGCAAATGTACAAACAATAAATAAATGTGAGCACAGTGTTCAACATTGAAAGGAAAAGTGCAACAAAATCTTGGAGGGCAAGTGAAGAAAAATAAAATTCCATACTGTCATCAGAAAAATCTTTTTCATGGCCATTTCCTTGATGAGCATCAAGGTCTATTATCATCACCCTGCATATTAAAAATAGCTATGCACGATTATTATTTTCAGTCTCGTGATACAGAACCATCCACCAACCTTGTATAAAATGGCAAATCACGTTAGATACCTTGAAATATTCAAACGTATGAAGGCAAAGTGAATGCAAAGAGAGATGTCGGCATAAGCACAGAATCCACCCCCTTTTTTTGCAGAACAATGATGAAACCCACCACCCACATTGATAGCCCATCCTCTCTCTTTTGCAAGCTTGGCAGCCAAAATAGTTCCTCCAACCTAGAGTTGCCAGTTTTAGCAAAATAATTCCACAAAAAAAATAATATAGGAATGTACAGTCAATCACCTGTTTCCGAAATGGGTGAAGAACATGCTTATCCACCAGACAGTTGGGCAATAAAGAAACAGGAGGCACCTAAATCATGACCACCAATATATCAACTATCAAGGGAAAGAATAAAGAAAAGAAGCATAAAAGTGTCCAGTGCAAGAACAACACTGCCAATTCTCAAATCAGTTCTTCTGATCATCAAGTCAAATTACATAAGATTATCAAAACTCAAAAGTGTATGAAATAAAGGCTTGTTCTTTTGTTTTTAGAATAACACCATTCACAATTGATTAGAAATTCTACCTCAACTATTGTGGCAACATTCAAGCTGCTTTTTAAACTATTTAGGTATGCTTCTGAATGAACCTGCCACCAATTTCACAAAATAAAAATCATGTATCTTGGCAGCCATCAAACATAATAGACCCTAAACTCACATTAAAACTTCCTTCATGAGTAGAATATTATTTAAACAATGACAGATACCACTAGAAGATCTTCCTTCTTAGCCTCCAGAGGTTCAATAATATCCTTTTTGTTCAGAACAAGATCAGTAATTAGAAAGTGGCAGATGCGACCCCATTTAGAAGAATCAAAAGGATGCCTGAAATTTCAAAAATGCATTGTTTGAGCACCGTAGCGTGGGAAACAATATCATAATTTTTTCTCAGGTATCAGCAATATCAACTTTAGAGTGTCTGGTTGAAACTTGAAACCAGGCTGTGGCAAATATCAATTCCAGTATGTTTTCTTTCATATCCACGTTAGTTTTTTCAAAAAATATCGTCTATTTCCAATACAATAATTAGAGCTAACCCCTATTTACATCACATCAAATATATATTTTTTTAGTAACTTTTTACTATTTTCAAACTATCCAAAACTCCGAGGAGTTTAGTTCCTTGGTGCTTGTTTTCATATTTAAGTTGGATTTTGGTTTGAATAGTTTGGAACTTTGAATGCTATTGTATTTTTTATAGTGACCGTGAGGGTTGCCGGGTGTGTTTGGTTGGATGTTTGGATTTTGAATAGTAAAAATTTTGAATTTAAATAGTGGTACGATGATATATAAATAGTTATTGATGCGATGCTTTGAATGTAAAATTTTAATATAATATAGAAAAGAAAAATAAGTGTTTGTTTTGATTTGATGTTTTTTCATGTAGAAATTTGGATGAATAGTAAAATTGGGAGGAAATTCTATAAAAGAAGACAACTTTTCGTCCAAATAGAAATTTTTTTGGAAACACATCAGTTACCACTTACCAACAAAATTTTACAGTATTCAATGAAATATAATGTGGAAAGTGAACTATTATAGAAATTATATACTTACATCTTTTCAATGCCAAGAAACGCAATGTCATACGAAGAAGAATAAATCAGTGGAACCTGCACATACATTCAAAAGTCAAATAATTTACTGAAAATCCACTCATCCCACTCTAGAAAAACATCAATCAGCTATGAGCTATACAAAGTAGCTCCTTGCAAAAGTAATCAGTTCTACCTTGGAATTATCCACATCGAAGTAAAGCTTGCTCGAGAGAATTCGATCACGTCTGCGGGACTCAACCACGTCGATTGCGGATGCTGCGTTCCTGGAAGACTCTTCGCTTCTCGACGATAGAGAGGCCATCCGGCCGCCTGAGAAAGCGTTATCGATAGGTCGAGGAAGTCCGAGAACGGAAGCTTTGAGGAAGGGTTGTAAAACGCATAAATAGATAAATTTTGTTCTATCCAGTGATACTTGATTCGAATTTCTGTTATTAAAATTTATTTATTTATATATTACGGGTTAGTTTGTTTGGGATTTGGATTTTGAGATATAGGAACAAATTTGAAGGAGTTAATTTGATATAAATAGGTGATAATATAATATTTTAAATATAAAATTAATTTTTTAATAATATTATATAAAAATAAAGTTATATTTATATTTTTAAAAAAAATTTACTAATAATAAAATTTTTAAAAAATTTACATAAACGAACACATCTTACATAGTCGACTACGTTTTTTATTTCTTCTCGTGATTACGTTTTTGTTTTTTCTCTAAAACACGATTTTATGTTTCTTTTATGGAGTACTTATATTATTCCGTCCTCCCTGGAGTAGGTCGCTGATCTCCGACGCAAAGCAAAACGATCTTCTTTATCTCTGTTCGAGTTCAGTTTAGCGTCTTGCCTATGAAGAATGGCAGACAAACCAAGTAGAGCTCTCGTACTGTACGGAGATGGCTTGTCTAGATCTGTCGCCTCACACCATACTCATCTTCATTCCTTCGCTTCTCGGGCCTCCTGTGGTTTCCTAGCCCTTCCGAATTCCTCGCCATCAGGTATTGAAAATTTCCATGATTTACGTAGTGAAGATTAAGTGGATTTAGATTGTGTGTTAGGTTCTTTTGTTCTTTTAATTGATTGTTAAGATATTGAAATACAGAGGATGAGGAAGCCAGGGTAATTAGAGAATTTGCAGAGCTGATGGATTCAAATGGCTTGGATTACAATACGGTATTGATAAACCATACTACCTGCCCTAGTTTCAAACCCCCTGCCAAAAAAAGACTTGAAATTTAACTGTTTCCTAATGTTCTTCAGGATTTAGAAGGATTGGTTAAGGATAAACATGAAGAAAAGTGTGCTATTCCTTCTGTTTCAGAGAGGTATTTCCATCTGTTTCTTTTCATTCTGGTGATCTTTTTATATGCAAAAAGAATTTAAAAAGTTTCAAACCCTAGCCTTATATCATCTTGGTTTTGTATTAATTTTCAGGTTCATGGGAATGAAAGCAGCTATGATAACAGACAGCTTCAGTTTGAAGTCATTTGGAAGTAAACTTGGGTTCTCTGTATTGAGCTGGAATGAGTCATCTGACAAGACTCACTCCCCTGCCGAGATACCACGGCTGGTCCCTGAATTGTTGAAATTGCTTGGATTTCAAGAAGGGAAGATTTTAGACAACCACCAGTTCGACCTACTTGTCGTTCATGTCAGAGCTGGTGAAATATTAAATGATCTTAAAGACATTGAATTTGTCAATCAATTTGTTGGGGCATTGTTGCAGAGGGAACAATTTATAGATGATATCCGTGCACGGTTGCATCTGTCGGTTGTTACTAGCCATGGGGCTGAGCTGGAGGATGATCATTTGCAGTATTCTATTTCTGATATGCAACGAAATAATAATAGCGAACTTTCTGTGCTTTTTCCCCGACAAAGTTATACGATAAAAGGAGGAAAGCCAAGGGAAAATATTAGGTGAGATATTGATTTATATGCTGTTCTCTAAATAATCCATTGTGTCAACATAATCTCTTGTTCATTTCAGGCATCACTGTCCTATGCTTTCTGCTCAATATCAGGAGGCTGTGACTCGGAAGGACATGGTGAAATCTTTCTCTTTTAAAGATATACTTGAGGTAAATACTGTGGTTGTTTATGTATGTATTGACTGTTATTGAATGCATTATTGTGATTTTGTTTGTCTATTGTATGAAGTATGGAACTCTTTTAGGGCACAGTGTAAATTGGAGAATACATGAGATGTGATAATAGTTTTGTCAAATGTGCCTTAGCGCAATGTCCTAACAAGACATTTACTCAAGTGCATTCGAAACTTGTATCATGAGAATTGATTTGTTATATTGATTTTGCCTGTTTTAGAATGGTGGAAGTGTTGCGATACCGGCAGATCGGTTCTTACACGAAGTGGCCTTCAAGCTTTGGAAGGCCCCGAAATATGGGGCATGAGGCAAACTCAAGAACAGAGGATGCTTTGGCTGACCGGATTGATTATAAATTCGTAAAGGTGCCGGCAACCTGGATGATAGAAATCCAAGGAGCTTCTTGTACCTTGAAATGGCCTAAACAGCATTTCACCCTTCATTAACTTATCAGTTATTATGTTACATAATGTTAGTAGGAAGAATCAGATGATGCTCAAAAGCTTCATTCATTTGTTTTTGCTAATAATTGGCCATAAAATTGGCCATAAAAGTAATGTGTTGTAAGCTTTCAGTCTTTTTTTTTTTTGGACACAAGGTGATAAAAAAACATAGTCTGATGTGTATGGCCAAAACCCATCAAAGAATGACTTGCTGTGAACCACATTTAAATTAAGCATATATAGATAGCTCTTTAGAGCATCAACCAATCGACCATTATACAACTAAAATAAGCTAGAAGGTAACAAAAAAAATGTACTATAAGAAACTGCAATATTATTCAGATGTAAAGGGGAAATAAAGAAAACTAAGCCCAGAGTGCAAGTAAAGACATCAATAGAGCCCCCAAGAACAGAGCAAAATACGACACCATCTGGAGCCTCACATTGCAGCTCATTCTCTTGCTCAAGAAGTCGGCCGCAATCAAATCGACTAGAGCCATGTACACCAGAATCCCAGAGGATATCGAGTCGAACACACCTTCAACTATCAGCGCTCTAGGGCTATTAGCATTGTAGATCGATGAAACACTAATACCGACAGCGATCCCTAAAGGAGTTGTCAGGGCAAAAAAGCATGCCATTATGGTCGCATGGAGCGTCCTCAATTTGGCCTGGGATATGCATCCTCCCAGAGCAAATCCCTCGAAGAATTGATGGAATGCCAAAGCTCCAACCAGGGGTCGAATCGTACATGGGCTATGTGAAACTCCAAGAGACAGTCCTATGATCACCGAATGTGAAACTATCCCGAGTTCCAGAACCTGTGAAGAAGTAGATAAGCACATTCAAATCAGTCAATACGATATTAAAGAATCCAATTTATAGTAAGGTATTAAGAATGCAATAAATTCGAACATGCCTGTGAAACAACAACATGCCTAATGCCACTTTCCTCATCGACGCTCCCAAGCCCATGTACGTGTGAGTGGCCATGTGAATCCTCCCGAAGAAGCCCCTGGCATGCTCCCTGTTCTTGCGAGTGACTATGTCTATGGTGTGCTGCGTGCGCGTGTATTCCAACAATGTGCATCATGCCCCCTTCTTCTTCTCCAAAAACCTTTCCATTGTATCCAGCTGCTTCAGCTGTAACAACCCCAGGCTCGGATTCTGTATCCAGTGAGGCTGTCCGAGCAATCTTATTCTGTTTTAACTGTTTCTTCTCATAATATTGAGTACCAACAAAATCAACGAGAAGAGTAGCCAAGGCAGCCATCATTGATATGAACCCTGAAAACGGAAATCTTGACCACATTGTCGGAAGACAAGGGTCGGTTAATGACGTAGTGGCATCAGGTAACATGTGGACGAAGCCAGTGGCAAGGATGACGCCAGCAGCAAATGATTTGGCGACGACAAAGAGGTTGGAATCAGTTTGTAGAAACCTGCGCCTCTTGCCGACCAATGGGATGCCCACACCGCAGACTCCAGCAACGAGGATCGCAGCTATTGCAATCAATTTGAGTAGGAGAGCAAGTGAGTCGTCCCGGCATCCTCCAAGCTCCTCTCCATGTACATAACAGTTAGCATTGGACACCGACTGAGATATATTCTGCAGAAATGAGCCTTTTCCGACAACCAAAACAAGGAAATTTTAGAAAGTTAACTTGCAAAGCAGTGATATCCAACAGCATGATCAGAAATAAATCAGAACATGCAAAACACAATCTCCATTGTTCTAACAGGCTTCTATTCCACACCACATACACTTTCTAAGTGCAAGAGATGTCAATAACAGCCTTAAGCTGATAAACTGAAACTTGACAAGAATGAATAAGAAACTGTATGCTGACAGTTAAAACTCCAGAAAACCAGTAGCGGAATTTGAAGATTTAAGTTTTTTCTCTTCAATATACCAATTAGGCAAATCAGTAAAATTAAAATTATCTTACTTAAGCAAGCAGATCATAAGCCTGTAACACATTAGGGAGAACAAAAACCTACAATCCACAATTCAATCTATTCGGGTACTTTGATGATATCAAGGCAACAAAATCAAAGGGTCTCGTAACTTACTCGAATAAACTCCAATTCTTTCTCCAAAATTTGCAGGCCAGAGCACCGGCAACACATCCTGCATCGAAATTTCCCAAAAATCCCCAATCAATAAAACATAAGGCAGCACAAAAATGAAAATTGACAGAACCGAAATAGTACCTCAACAATTGACATCGGAAGGCGGTCGAATTCAATATTTAATCCCCGTTTGTATCGAATTCCACGAAGATTCACACACACGAGTGTAGTTGCGAAGATCCGAGCGTACTTGTAAATATTGGTATAATCAGGCACGATAACGATTTCGAAATCGATGGCAACGGGGAGCGGTGGGTGAAAGGAAGGCGTACGTACATATAGGCAGAGATGGTAGAACCGCAGAAGCACACAAAATTGAAGGGATGGCGTGAGCAATAGATACGAAGGAATGTCGACATTTTGGTGATCGAAATGCGAAAGAAGAGAGAAGAGTCGCCTCTGCTGTGAGAGAATTCTCAGAATTGTGTCGACACCTTTGTGTAATACTTATTTCATAAAAATATTTTCTATTTATGTTTTATTTTATTTTTTACTTTTTAGCAGACACATGTGAACATTCGGGAATCTCCTTGATGTCCGTTCCTAACCTCTTATTCTCATTCTTATTATTGGTAACATTATTGTAATCATTGGTAAGTAGTATTACCATCTTTTTAATATTTATTTAATATAAATTTAATGTATAGAATTATATACATTGGTTAGAAAATCAATAATCCAATTCATTTTGGGAAATTATAATTGAGCTAGGCTAGAAAAATGTCGACATTGTGTGACCAGGGTTGGTTGGAAGTTTAAGTAATCACGATTGAATTTGTTTCCTTTATTATTGACTTTTTTAGCATTACAATAATAATATTTATTGTGTTTTAAATCTACTTTACTGACATTTATTGCCTTTTAATCAAAAAAAAAAAAGCCCATAAATGTTTTTAAAGATAAAAGGGCAAATCAATACTCAAATATAATATACTTGGGCTTTGAGCTCGATAATGGATCTTCTACTAATGGGCTCAAAGCTCTAACTTGCAGATATTATTAAACGGCCCAACTATGGATTATGAAATCACATAAATTTTTTTGTAAAATGATTATAATTATACAATTAATATTTCGGACAAAAAGGACATTTAAGATGTTTGGATGATTGAAAATGTCAAAATCCATAATATATTTAAAGAACATATGCAATGCGCCGTTTGAGTCACATGTAAACAACGTATCTCTCACATGCTTTGTTGCAATTCTCTTTTTCCTTTTGTTTATTAGTATTATTATTATGATTGGCAATACAATATTTGATAATTAGATGACTATTGTCGGTCACAATATTTATTATTTATTGACTTAATACGATTATGAAAATTCTAAACAAAATTAAAATACAAATTACATTTTAAGTATTCTTTTGTCTGTTGAAAATATGTTATATTACAAAACTCTCAAGGGATATAATAAATAATTCAAAGCGGGCTTTTTCCATTATTTATTGTATAATATTTATAGTAATATATATTTAGTGTATTAATTTATATTTTATTCATTAAAATTAATTTAAAATATTAAGAACTCACAGTACAACAGATAAATAGCCTAAAACAAACTAGACTATACGGAGTGAGTGTATATGGACAGGCCAGGGATCTCGACTCCCGAAGTAAATATTCCAAGCGTGGGCGGTGGGGTCCAGCGACCATAAAAAAATGTGGGTCCAGGACCATACTGTCGGTGCAAGTGGGCAGAATTTTAACGTTACCAGACAGCCAAATTAATATTTTATTAGCTTTTTAATTAATAATTTAGAAACAATACGAGACGAATTAATACATAATTATTGGCACAATATTAGTTTAGTATTATTTTTACTATTAGATTAATTCGCACGTTACCTGATAATTGATGATCAATGCTACTCAATTGCTATAATTACTTACCTGTTTACTTAATTAAAGCTGCCCTCATTATTGAATTTAATTTCACTTAAATTTAATTATGGCAATAAGTGATTTTAGTAATTTACTTAATTGCCCCTGTATTACTCATTTTAGTAGAAGAATGCACAGTGAAGCCTTTACACGTATTTATTATAAGCCTCTCTTTTCTTTCAGTGCTCTTTACTACAATCAAACAATTATTGTTTTTTTTTTTTCTGTAATGATTAATATACAAAATTAGAAAGACTTATGTAAATAGCAACCCTACACTATGTGTCTAATTTAAGCTACATTAAGTAATTCCACGGCCTTTTAGTTGCTAGTTTAGTGACTGTGTTATTACGTATATATATATATATTATTTAATCTAATTATATAAATTTATTAGTGGACAACAATAATTTCAGTCATGATAGGGAAAAATTGATGCGTGAAGCAAAAAACTAAAAATATATATATATATATAATAATGTTGTTAGTACTATTGATCAATGTACCTTTTTTTTTTTTTTGTTTGTTTAAATGAAGGGCAATATATATTTATAGCTGAATTCCATAAAATGTATATAATTAAAATGAGTAGGTGGAAGTGGAAATGGAATCACAAGACAAGAACAACACTTGTAATAAAATTAGCTATGATTGTTATTACTTATCAGAACCCAACAATATTTTTTTTATTTTCTTTTTATTATTATTATTATTATTATTTTTTATGACTTGGTAATCCGCAGCCTCTATCCGTAAGTGTATATTGGGTAAACCCCTAGTTGAATTTAATGCCTATAAACTAGATCCGGAAAAGTCACGCTGGGCGAACCCAACAATATTTGGTATTGCTGCAGCTGTGTGTGAACAAATTTATATATATATATTAAATTAAATGTGTGTGGTAATTTTTATGCAAGAGTGAGTGCCAACTGGCAGGTGGATGAGAATTAACCATGAATTAAAATAGCAAAAAAACATTTAAATTTCAACCAGAAACTGCACTCCCTTTATGGATTGGAGTGGAATTATTGCACGAATTTGAAACTAAATTATACAGTATATAGCAGGATGCAAGAAAAGAATCCTGTATGTATAATGTATGTATTGTACTGCAGTGGCAGCCATAATTTATGGGTTTCCATAATAATTTCAACCAAAAAAGACAAATGCAAACTGCTATTGGCCTCACAAGCATGTAAGATTTCTCTTAAAAATAAAATAAAATAAAATTGTAATTTAATTGGTGTATTGATTTAAAAATTTTCAAGAACATGTATCATTAATTATAAATATAATAATATTTTATGGGCAGCAGTCAAACAGGAAGGCACTCTCCACTAATTTGATTTATTTTTCAATGATATTAAAACAGGCCACGTGGCAGCAATTGGTGAAGATTGTAAGATGTGCACCTCATAGTCAGGGATCACAAACTCACGCATATATACTATTCATATACACTAACCGGACAAGAAATACAGCAATGTAGACAGGGAAATATACAATAATCATATTAATAATAGTAAATATTACATATATAATACTACTTTCTAATTTCTATTAATTTATTTAATGTCAAAAATATAAATATGGAGTGGTGTATTATATTTGGTGAGGTGCGCACATCGGACATCTTCTTATGCATGACTCATCCGTGGGGGCTCCCGGGAGTTCGAGTCCAGTGAGATTGCGGTATCGACGGTGCGTGTCGTCGGGAGCTGGGATCCATGGAGCTAGCTGTGGAGAATCTTCCAATATCTAAAACGCTTTGTGGTGGCAGGTCGGGTTTATCTTTCTGGGTCTGGAAAAACATTTTCTTTATCCTCACTTCACTCATTTTAATCTCCAAAGCTGAAATCCATTCCCTTTTTAAACGTTTCTCACTCTTTAGCTCTGCAAGATTTCTTCATCCCCTTTCATTTTTAGCTTCTAATTCTAAAATCTCAAGTTACACACATTCTTGATAATGACAGACGACAGAGTTTACCCGTCTGGAAAACCAAATGGCGCCGCCGCAGCAGCCCCCGTGGCGGTGAATCCCGCAAAGGGACAACTTTACAACCCCACGCGCCACCCCTACCGGCCGAGTATTCCGGCGGCTCAAAACCCGCGCAGCAAGTACAAGCACAAGCACCGACGAGCGTTCAGCTGCCGGCGGTGCGTGTGCCTCACGTGCTTCTGGTCAATCCTCGTCCTGCTCGTGATTCTCCTCCTCGCCGCCATCGCCGCCGCGGCGTTCTACGCGCTGTACCGGCCGCATCGGCCGATGTTCTCCGTCACATCCCTGAAAATCTCGAGCTTCAACCTGACTACGACGCCGGCCGACGATTCGACCCACCTCACCACGAAGATCAACATCACCGTCTCCGCCAAAAACCCTAACAAAAAATTCGCATTCCTCTACGATCCGATGTCCATCTCCGTCCTCTCCTCCAACTCCGTGAATCTCTCGAGCGGGTCCTTCTCGAATTTCACCGACTCCCCCGACAGCATTTCGATCATCCACGCGGCGACGGCGCTGAATTCGCAGGTGCTGGACGCCGACTCGTTGAAGTCGCTGCAATCGGATCTGAAGCGGCGGAGAGGACTGCCGATGGAAATCGTGATGGACACGATGCTGGGGGTAAAATTGGAAAAACACAAGATGAAGAAGATAGGGATCAGAGTGAAGTGCGGGGGCATCCATGGAATTGTGCCCAAGGGCAAAATTGTAAAACCCGTCGTCGCCACCACTTCCGATGCAAAGTGTAAGGTTGATCTCCGCCTCAAGATCTTCAAATGGACCTTCTGATCAACTAATTTCATCACTCACTCATTAAATCGTTCTTTTATTATTATTTTTTTGTTTCTCTTTACAAAATATATATATCACATTTTTATTTCATTATAATATATATATCATATACTCACTTGGGGTATGCCTTTCATTGTAGAAACTAGAAAATACAATGCATATTTTGTCTCAATTTTATTTATTTATTTATTTGTAAGGATTATATATGAATGTCAATAGAAATTATTCTTGTTATCAATTTCAAGAATTTTGGCAGTGCTGTCATGTTATTTTTTAGCGACTCAACGGTAAGTTTCAACACTGATGTTTTATTATCTGTATATTATATATATTTGAGATAAGGATGCATCAATAAATTTTTGGAATTTTTGAAACTTTTTATTTTTTTTTTATTTTACAGTTTTTTTTAATTTTTATCTTTTAGTAGGATAAATTTTATCTATTAGTGGGTATATACAATTTTTTTATTTTTATTTTTATCATTTGTTTTGAAACTTATATTCTTATTTTTTTTACATCCATAAGTTTTGATAATTTTTATTGTTTATCTTTTATCTTTTCTTTGTTTATTAAATTTTGTTTTTTTCTATTATTTTGATGTATATAATTTTTTGACATATTATTTTTAATGCTGAAGTAAAAAGTTTGAAGGTGAATGTGCTACTAATTGAAAGATGTTTATAGAACAATCAATTCCTACAATAATTTTTTTTCTTTTTTTTTTTGTTTTTGAATTTATTCTATTTATTTATGTTATTTAATAATTTTATTATTTAAAAATTTTATAGTCAAATATCATATCACACACGCGTGTGTATATATATGACATTAATTTGGGACTTACCATTCAAATTGCAAATTTTTTCATAATTTATGAATTTTTAGAACTTTATTTACAGTCTTTTTTATACATATTTTTAAATATATTAAGTAAAAAAATTGTACTTAAACTTATTTATTTATGAAATAATTTAGTATATATAATTATATTATAAAAATAAAAATATTATAAATTATTTTAATATTAAAATATATAAATTAATATATTTTATATATATCCGAATCATTATATATTATTTTGTAGAAAAATTTATATATATATGATAGTATTATAGATATTTTATTATTTTTTTGTATATATTTTTTATTATATCATAATTTTTAAATAATTTTGATTAATATTTAATATTTAAATACTTTTTTCTTTAGAAATATATATATTTTTTTTACTATTTTTCGTTCCGAAAAAGAGTAACATTTATTTTTTATACGTAAAATTTTTTTAATATTAGTATTATGTTGGTTTATAGTGGAAAAGACAAAATTACTCTAGATTATGTGATAAAAAAGTAATAGTATTTGTATAATATATTGGAAGTTATAAGGGTATTAATTATGTTAGGTACGTAGTACAATTACTAAAATAATGATATCCTTTCAGGGGGAGCGAACAAAAATGGAATAGGGTATCCATTTTTTTAAGTGATAATTGAAGAATATATTGTTTTCTGAAATCTATATACTGAAAGTACTCCTTATAATTTTGATTTAATATTTTAATTATTTACTAATATATATTTTTAATATTTTGCAGATATTTGTCAATTATTTTACATATTCTTCATTTTGTTGTACTTTTTGATTTTGTAGTTTTGCTTTGTTATTTTAATTATCTACTATTTTGATTTAATATTTTGATTATCTATTAATACATTTACAACTTTAAATATGTATATTTTATTATTTTTTATCCACATGCAGTTTTAAAATTTTCAATTTTACAATTTTGATTTGTTATTTTAATTATCTACTAATAATTTCATAATTTTGATTTAGTGAGTTAATTATTTACTAATACTACTATATTTTTAAATCATTATTTTTATTATTTACTAATCTACTATTTGAAATTGAAAAAATTAATTATATATTTATAAGACTAGCAAATTGAAGTTTCTATTTTATTTAAGTTATATTCATGTTTTTTTTTTTTTTTGTGTTCAATATTTTTTACCATGTCATTTATTTAGCAGTTAATTCTTCATTTTATTGTATTTTGCAATTTCATAGTTTTGGTTTAATATTTTGATTATTACAAAAGAATTTTTTATTTTTGTATTTGAAGTTTTAATTACTTACTAATAGTTCTACAGTTTTAAATATGACATTTTTATTATTTATTAATTTGTTATTTGAAATTAAAATAAATTATTTTTTTACTAATTGATAAATAAAATGTGCAAAGTAGGGCGTCTATTATACTCTCTATGTATACACATAATAATTTGATATGATTTTTTTAAATATATTCAATATGTCATTTGTTCCACAAATAATTCTTTATTTTATTGTATTTTACAATATTGATTGGTACTTTAACTATCTATAATAATTCGATCATTTTTATTTTGTTCTTTTTGATTACTTACTAATACTATTTATATATATTGCAGATATTTTGTAATTTATTGTGGATGTAATTATTTATTTTGCTATATTTGTATATTTGGAATTTTGATTTAATGTTTTGATTATTTACTAATACTTTTATAGTTTTAAATTGATCGTTTTATCATTTACTTACCTGTTATTTAAAATTAAAATAAATTATTCTCTCTTTATATCATTTTAATAGTTTATATAAGACGTGCGCGCAGGTGCCCCGCTAATTTATCTTATTTTGTGCGAGTGAAGGCTCAATTTTTGGCTGAGTTTAGGATATTTGGAGGATTGTAAAAAAAAAAAATATTATTTGACCTCAAGATGTATTGTTTGAGTAAGCAAGGATTTCAAACTTCAATGGACTAAGAAGTAAGCAACCAGAGAAAAGTCACCACTCTAAAGTTAGGCACAGTGTACTTGAAAATTCATTTAATCTATCACATTATATTGTTTATTTCCATATGCTTGAGATTTTTGCAAAAAAAATTGAAGGATTTTGGCATTAAGCTATAAGACTAGATAAAAAATGCATACCCTTGATTGAATATGTGTGTGTGTATATACACATTAAATCCAAAGCTCTAATGTTTTATTTGAATTATTCTAAAATTTAAATTTTAATAACCTGATGGTGTGGATTATAGCTTTTATTCTTAACTTGATATATTTCAATCATTCTTTATTTTAACTCTCTCGCATGGCTTAGAGTTGTTCATACTTCACTGAAGTAACTTGTTCCATCCAATACAACATTGTAATTTCGAAAGATAACTATTAAATAAATAACACGAAATAAGTAACACTGCATTAGCTCTACACGTTACATATAGTATAATATTTATTTTACTAAAACATATAATTAAATAATATATATCATATACGGTAAAATATTTGGGGTACAAAGATGAAAGTGCCACGTACGGTGGACTGGCTGTCTTGGTATTCTGGATCTGCGTTTATTTAGTATATAATCTGCATCATCAGTCTCTGTATTTATATACATTATACTTTCTTTCCCCATGTTGATGTTTGTATTAGTGTTTTTTTACAACTTTTAATTAAAAGTTCCTGTTCATTTTATCTGTACATAAATTTTAAAAATTGAAAGTAAAGTAGTAGCTTATAGGAAGCCTCGAATCACGAGTATGAATATATTACTAGTATTTTATATTTTGTAAAAATGTAAAAACACTAACTTTAAAGTTGCTTTAAATTGTCCCTCACTCACGAGAAAATTGCTCATACAGATTATATATATCTATTTTATACGCAAGTGTTTGGAATGTAACTAAACTTATGCCGAATCAATTTTCAATAAACCACTCTCATAAGTCATTTAAAACTTAAAACAATTAGCTATCTCCATCACCAATCTTTTAATTATAGATTATTGAAATAGTTATAGTTCACCAGGAGAAAATAGATGGTAGTATGATTGGGACCAGAACTAGAATTTGCACATGATATGATATGATTTGGTGTTTGGTGCTGAATGGTGGGTGGGGGCAGTGAGTGTTTGGCTGTGCTGGATCCTCAAACCTTCCAGCTAATCAAATTAATTCATGATATGATGTACGAATGGATAGCTCCCTCTGAGTTTTGATACCATCAATCAATATGAGAGTATGAACACCAATGAAAAATGCTTGAATTAACAACCAAGAAGAAATAGGGTTCAAGTAATCAATCTTATGTAAGCAAAAATAAACAGGGATGATACTAATGAAGATGATGATGATGATACATCCCAAGAAACAAATGTAGGAAGCAATGCTTCTTGTCTCTCTCTGCCATACAAGTCTTTCATTCATTCACTCCACAAAGCAATTAGCAGCAATACAATACAGCCTCAACCATGAGTGTTGACAGCTTCCCAAACCAAGTTCCTCGGAACCGGGCTCGAAAGATCTCTCGCCTGCAGGGCGGCGTTCTTCAGCGTTGCAACCGTCATCTTATTCGCCTCCCAGAACGATGCGCAGTTGTAAGGCAACCCGTGTTTCTTGCAAAGCTCCTTCACAAACGGGGAGATCTTCCGCAGCTGGGACCGAGGCAATCGGGGGAACAAATGGTGCTCAATCTGGAACTGCAATCCGCCGTGAAACCAATCCATCCACGATGAGCACATGATGTCGAGAGTCCCGTCCGTCTGCTTCTCAAACCAGTCATTCCCTCTCGGTGGCCCGACATAAACACTCGACGAGAAGTGGTTCAGGCAGAACTGGATGTGCTGGATGCTTGTCACGACGAAGCTGGCAAGAACAAACATAACCCTTTCAGTCCAATTGGGCAAGCAAGAAACCAGAGATGGATACCAAATCCAGAACACCAGCAATCCAAGAAGCTCTTGGCCCCTATTGGGCACCTTCCTCTTCGACAGGAGCAGACAGAATGATTGGGCAAACAGGTTAAGCCTAGCAAAGCACATCACCGGGTAGAATGTCCAGTGCTGGTGGCTAACAAAGAACCTGGCAAAGCAATCGAAATTCATCTTCCGCTCGTAAAAGCAAGAAGTGATTGAATTGAACAACTTGGAAGATACAGCAAAGAGGGGCATGTGCTGGAGATCTGGGTCGTAGTCAAGGCTGTTGCAGGCAATGTGGTGAGCATTATGATTCCATTTCCACCAACCAATGCTGATCCCGGCGAGGCAATTTCCGGTCAGGAGCTGCGCAAATCTGTTGAGTTTAGGAGTGAGCATGACCTGGTAATGACCGGAGTCGTGCCCAATCCAACCACTCTGAATCCAGAGGAATCCCATCAGACCGCCGCAGAGCAAGTGGACCAAAATGCCCTCGCAGAATAGAACGCCATAGACGCTGATGGCAAAGAGAAATGCTATAAAACACATGGAAATCAGAACGCCGTGACCTTTCTTCTCGAAAAGGCCCATCTTGGAGAACTCGTACACGAGCTTCCTGTAATCCTTGGATGCTTCGGAGACGGAGTAGTCTTTCAAGTAATGGCCGTTGAAGTGTCTGTCGAGAAACTGCCAGGCAGCCCCTGGGTGATAGGCAACGAATGCATCGGTTGCGTCTTGCCCCGCGAGGTTGAGGAGCGGCAACTCGCCGCCGGGGTGGTGGTTCGCCCAATCGGAAACGTCGTACACTTTGCCCTGAATACAGATCCAAAGATCCCCCCTTTTGTTGTGGGTTTTCAACTCGTCTGATGTAATGTACCTTTTTGGCTCACCCATTCCGGGATTCAAGATTTGGGAGAGGGAAGAGATGGGGAGAAGAAACGCAGAAGAATTTTAAATGCAGAGAGATCTGGAAATCGCCTTGCCTGCGATTAACACTTCCCTTTCATCTCCTCCAATGTCGATGAAAAACCTGTTTTTATAGATCGAGATTCTGATATCAAATGAGTGTATGAAAAGGGGAAGCGATTGATTGATTATAAATGCGCAGGGTGGGTTTAACGAAAAGGAAAATTGCGTTTCGCAGATTTTTACGGCATTGACGGGCACAGTCGAAATCTTGCTGTAAAGAAGAGAATATCCCATTAAAATCCTGATGGATTGGAGGGAGGGAAAGTGAAGACGACCGTGGCCATGTGCGTTTTTGGATGCGAACGGACTGAGAGTCCAGTAGGGTTCAGTTGCCTCACTGGCGCTGGCTGTGGTTCTCGAGTGTTTAACTAACTATAAAGCGGGCCGGGCCGGGCCAGGCCAGGCAGAGGCACGAAATCAAATTTAAAATATCAAAGATATTTCCAATCACCATTGCCATTGCCAAGTGGAAATGGAAATGGAAATGGAAATGAAAATGGTAGGTGAGAAATGCAGGGGTGGATGGATTATATGGATACTCTCCTGGTTGTACTCATACACACAATTACAAATCGATTATTAGCCAGCGGCAGGCAACTCCTGTTCTGGGAACGATTGCTTATTGGAAACTCCCTGGACCGATACGCCAGATTGATCTGCACCGTGCGATGGGCATCTTCCGTCCTTGGATGGTGCAGATCTATGTATTTCGAATTTTGGTAATTGAATAATGAATATACTTATATTTGGTAGAGTTTTTAAGTAATATCAATAAATCTTAAATAGGACTCTAATTTAGGAAGCAGAATTAATCCTAAATGGGTTGACCCGCCCCGCTTGGTATTATTCTCTGGGTGGAAAGTTGGAAATGTTTATTTATTAGTATTTGATTTATTTCCTACCCAAATATATATCATCTCTGTTTTCATATCACTATATAGAATTATACGTTATGGAAGCACTTACCAATTTGAATGGAGATAATGAACTTAAATTCAGTGAATGGAAGAAAATATACAATAGTCGCACCTCAATAAGGACATTATCATAAATTTTTTGACTTTTCTTTTTTTTTTTTGTAATTCAGAAAATGACATGACCAACATTTTACCAAAATGTTATATATATATATATCTACGGTTAAGTTTTTAAATAAAATAATGAAGCTCATAGTAGTTAAATAAAATTATATCGTATTGTATTTTCAAAATTTCAAATAATACTAGTATTTATGTGTACTAACATCTTTCTTTTGTTCAAAGGTAACATTAAACACTTGTTTTTAAATTAAGATATTACATAGATTATTTTAATAAAATGAGATATTTTTAAATGAAATCTTTAATGCTAATATGCTGTCTTTTCTAATCTAACTAGTTTGCTGTTTGTATTATTATTATTATTTTCTTTGTGAAAAAAAAATAGGTGTGTTTGTTTTTATTTCAAATAAAAATTAACACTATTTATCTGATATTGCAAACTAAAGACCCTTTCCTATGTTGTCATTGTTGCTTGCATATTTAAAATATACATAAATATTATATGGTCCCAGTGAATAATTAAAATTAAAAATGGGTTAGGGATTGTCTTTAAAAAATTAGAGTTTTCTTTTTTCCAATTCTTTCGTCCGAGCACTGTAAGCAATAATTGTATTGGACCGGGGTTTCGTTATTGGGCTTAATGGGCCGTCAACATAGCATCTATTTTGTAATTAGGGGTTCGTTTAACATACACAGACGCTCTGGGGATGAAATGGTAATTTTGGTCTCGAAGTTATGCTAATGAGTGCCTGAGTCGAAGAACCGAATATCCGTTCCGGATTTCTCCGTCTATCCGCCGCACAAAAGGGAGGGGAAGCAAGATCGTCGTGTCAAAGGTGTACTCTGAATTTGCTCCGAATTCTTGTTGATATTATTGCTAGTCGGTAGGTCGTTCTGGAAAGCGGCTTCTCATCGAGGTAATATTTTCCTACAAAAAAAATGTGTTGTTACTGTGGTTAAAGTATCCCAGTTTCAAAATCCAATTAAGGTTTAACTTTAACAGGAGGAGCATGACTGAGTTATTTCTCAAGTTCTCCGTATTGTTTAACTTGTTCGTTTATTTTCTTTTATCGCATTGGACGATTGTGATATTTAGTTGAATATATCGAGTTTGTCGTATAACGAGCTTTGTATTTACGCCTATGATGCATAATTTGTCGCCTCTGGCCTTAATTTGTTGCTTGCATCGCCATAGCTCACATGTTCTGCCTAATGCTGATTTATTTCTGAACTCTTAAGAGTAGGCATTGAGCAGGCTGTTACTGTATATTGGTTTGAAGAGATACAAGTAAGGGCATGACGCTGGAGTTTGATATTGGGATTTTGGGGAGGAATAGTTGGATTTGTTTTGGCATTATCTTTAGAAAACTAGAGTCGAATTGAAGATTGGTTACCCGTTGTTTTTATTTTTTCCTGGTTAATCATTGCTTAAAGATTGGTTACGTATTGGTTTCTTCTCCACATTCTAAAAAGGGCCATAGATCATAGCTCGTGAATGTTCTTTACTTTTCATCGGATGCATTGAATTATTGACATCATTATATGGTAAATGAATGTTGACTTTGTTGGTTGCTAATCCTACCCTATATATGATTTAGCAGGTGTACTTTCAAACTTTCAACCAAGCTAGCAGATTATGGCACATCTCCTTTCAGTATCTTGTTCTTTGAATGTCTCTCCCTGTAATCAATCACGTGGAAAACATCTAAACCAGAACTCAAATCCACTCTCTATTTCTGTAAATTATCCGATTTCAAGATCAGCCTTTCGAAGGCTTTATGTCCAAGAAAATAATAGTTCACGAAAGTGCCATGTTTTTTATGCAAAGGCAGTTTCAGTAGGTCAAGATGCGTCCCGAATGCAGCCTGGCTCAGCGACACATCAGTCCTCTAGTGAAGATTCAGTTCCTAAGAAAGTTATGGTAATTGGCGGTGATGGCTATTGTGGTTGGGCCACTTCCCTCCATCTATCAAACAGAAACTATGAAGTTGCTGTTGTGGACAACCTTGTTCGTCGCCTTTTTGACCATCAACTAGGTCTCGATTCTCTTACTCCCATTGCATCTATCCATAATCGCCTCAGGCGTTGGAAATCCCTCACTGGTAAAGATATCCAGCTTTACATTGGAGATATATGCGACTTTGAGTTCTTGTCAGAGGCCTTCAAGTCCTTCCAGCCTGATGCGGTTGTTCATTTTGGAGAGCAAAGGTCCGCACCATACTCCATGATTGATAGGTCAAGAGCTGTATTCACCCAACATAATAATGTGATAGGAACATTGAATGTTCTGTTTGCAATAAAGGAATTCGGGGAGGATTGCCATCTTGTGAAACTTGGTACCATGGGAGAATATGGTACTCCGAATATTGACATTGAGGAGGGGTACATAACAATTACCCACAATGGGAGGACAGATACTTTGCCGTATCCGAAGCAAGCCAGCTCTTTCTACCATCTCAGCAAGGTCCATGACTCTCACAACATTGCATTCACTTGCAAGGCTTGGGGGATCAGAGCTACAGATCTAAACCAGGGAGTGGTCTATGGGATGAGAACTGATGAAACAGCTATGCATGAAGAACTCTATAATAGATTCGATTATGATGGAGTATTCGGAACAGCATTGAACAGGTTTTGTGTTCAGGCCGCAGTTGGTCATCCACTTACAGTCTATGGCAAAGGAGGACAGGTAGTTGCTTTTCAGTAGCCATATATCTTTTGTTTCTTATTATTTTGTTAACATTTTCCGGTATGCGGTAGTTGCCTCTGATTTTAAATGCTTCCAGTATCATAATTAGGCTTTAGTTTTTCTATCTAATTAAAGCATTCTACCTTGAAATGATCAGACCAGGGGATATCTTGACATAAGAGACACAGTACAATGTGTCGAGATCGCCATAGCCAATCCGGCACAAAGGGGAGAGTTTCGCGTGTTTAACCAGTTTACAGAGCAATTCTCAGTGAACGAACTTGCTGCTCTTGTTACCAAAGCTGGTGAGAAACTCGGGCTTGAGGTTCAAACAAAGTCAGTGCCGAACCCGCGGGTGGAGGCAGAGGAGCATTATTACAACGCCAAGCATACTAAACTTATTGAGCTGGGACTCCAACCCCATCTCCTATCAGATTCTCTTCTGGATTCATTGCTCAACTTTGCTGTCCAGTACAAGGATCGAGTCGACCATAAACAGATAATGCCGAGTGTTTCTTGGAGGAATATTGGAGTGAAGCCAAAGACTGCTGCTGCCTAAACAAGCCAAGGTGATGATGAGTTTGAATAAATCCCCACTTTATAGTTTGTGATTTGGGATGAGATAAACTATCGTTTGCACGAGTTTGGTTGTTCTGGAGGGTCTGTTCTGTTGTATATTTGGTTTCTCTACTCTTTTCAGAGAATTTAGATTATCTAACTTATTTTTATTATCTAATTTAAGATTGAGACTTTGTATTGTTTATTCATTTCAATTGGTAGGTTTGATATAATATAATGTGTTAGGCCGAAATGGGCCGTAAAAATAACACATACCGATGGGCTCAAAATAATCATCCCAATTCCCGCCTCATGAAGCCCAACCAAGGTCCAATAAAGTAAAAACGGGATTGTAACGACCGTGAGATTTAAATATTCGATGGTCTTTTTTATTATTATGAATGAAAGCCAGGTAGGCGATTGTAAAAATATTACACATTAAATTAAATTAAAACAGCAAGCACGTGCAAAAGAATAATCCATGGATCTTTTAATTGTAAACGACGTAGTGCATATTGCAAACTGGACACTCATATGATGCTGTGGAATTTTGTGTGACGTGATATATATATCTACAACAAACACAGTGAAACACTTTAGTTAGGGGTTGGTGTGTAAAATAATATTTAGCATCTATGGTAAGCTTACAACCCATGCTACCTTTAAATTAGTAAAAAATAATAATAATAATAATTGTCTTTAATTTAACTATTAAATCTATTATTATTATTATTATTCTGACGTGGGGCAGGCAGGACCATTGGATTACTACAATTTGAAGAATATTCAAGTATTTAGTTTTATTATCTCCAAAGTAGATATTATCTTTTCCCAATAACAAAATCGAAATTCAAGATCTCTTATAATGACATTAAACAACATATGAATCCATCGAATTGCTATTAAAACTCAATAAAATATTCACTATATGCAAAAAGGACTCATCATAATCACATGCTCATGTATTAATTCAAAACATGAATGTTCCATGATTGAAATTTCATGTAATCTATATCTCTAAAAGACTTACCATCGACTTTTAATTGGTCTACGTCTTATTAATATTTAATTATACCTCCGTATTTGTCTCGAATGTTTTTTCTATATATTGGATTGAATTAAGTCAATCATAGAATTAAGTAATATACTTTTATCGATTGATTCATTCCTAACTTCATCCCAATCCTAGTATATACATAGAACTATCACTTAGTTAAACATATTTGCTGTATATATGCAACAAAAACAACCTAAATTAGGGTCGAGGTTTGGCACGTCTATAACCATCTATACACACCAACACTACCTCAGACTAATAATAGCAATAATAATAAAAAATGGTGGTGGTGGTGTACCAGGAAATGTTACACATATATGTGATTGATTTAACGAAGCACGGCGTCGGGGAATCTATACTATCTTGTTTACCTTCACGTCGCCGTTACAATATTTTCTCCTTTCCATTTACTTTACCTAAATTAAATACATACATGAATTCATCATCAAAATTAATATACACAACTAAATTTAGATGCACAATTAACTAATTAAAACAAAGTATTGTTTGATGGTTGAGGAAGATTAACAATGAAACAGAAACAATAGAATACATAAGAAATAATGCTAAAAATCTTTTGTAATAGAAAGAAAGGAAATTCAATTAAAGAAAGAAGCTAGCTTTGCCATGGCGATGGTGGATGGGTGTTGTGATCAGTGGGGTGATCGTACGACGAAGATCCCATCTGATCAAGGCCGTCCATATCCAGGAAATTCCTATGAGGGAATCCTCTCAGTCCTAAGAAATCCCTCGTCAAACCTTCCCCGCCGCTGGAGCCTCCGGCAGCGCCGCCGCCTGGTCTGGCGGCGGTCATCAGATGGGAATTCTGATCGTGTAGAGGAGTAGTAATCAAGTTTCTCTTCTGCGATTGAGTCTGAGTGTGCGTCATCATTCCATTGAAGGTATCCTCGAAGGGGAAGGAGGATTCGACATTGTTGTTGTACCCGGCGGAGGAATTGGGCAAAGAGAAAGCAGCAGCAGCAGCCATCATGTTCATGTTCATGTTGATGTCTTGGAGCTGTTGATCGATGCAATTATTTCCGACGTTGAGGAGGTGGTGGTGCTTGTTGTTGTTGGGAATGGGAAATGAGGGGAAGCTGGAGCCATGCATAAAAGCAGCTTCACGTGAGGGAAGGACAGCTGTAGTTGTGGACGAGGAAGCGCAGAGCCCCGGTGCACCCACGTGATGATGGGGTCTTCCAAGAATTGACTGCTCTGATGTTGATGATGACTGGCAGGGCATCTTTGAGCTCATCGTCACCCCCATTTGGGACGCCTTCTGCAACAGTGCCGTGGCCGACATCAGCGACGAAGACGACGATCCTGCTGCAGGGGAGGACCTGGAAGAGCATACATTATTATTCATCATATTAGGGTTAGGGTTAGGGTTAGGGTTTTCTGACGACGATGATGAGAAGAGTCCTGATGATGGGCCGCCGCCTCCTTCCGGCGATAGCCACGGCGGGAGGCTGAAGGTGTGGTGGTGCTCCTGCTTAAGGCCGGCGGCATTTATGGGGTGCAGGTTGATGAAGGTGGTTCCGCCATGGATTTGGGATTGAGACTGGGATTGGGTTTGGGAGGATAAATTAATTAGTGGGGTGGGGGTGGGGGTGGGGTGTGTCATTGATCTTGAACTTTCTTCTGCCAAAGCATCGCAGAAGGCTCGGTGGGTGATGAAACTGTCCCTCCTGTGAACAATGGATCAATGAATGAATGAATATACAACACCAAACAAACAAACAAACACTAAACAACAAAAAGAACAAACCAGACTATACTTATATATATATATATAATATCATAATATATATATTGCTTTCTGATCTACCTCTGAACAGTATTGGATTGTATTGTATTGTATGTATCTATGTATGGTCATCATTTCTGAGCTCTACTTTTCTTTTCTTTCTTAAATTTTTTAAATTAGGTTCCCAGTACTCCTCTCTCTCTCTTTCACATGAATCGGAGACAATCGTCAACCCCTTTGTGTTCAATTTCTTCTTCGCCCCTTTTCATAGACAAAAGAGTTACTATATCTGAAACAATCAAGTGAATTTCGCGCTTCTCGATGCAGAAAATTATTTAGTGTGCTTTTCTGCTACCTATCTGTGAATTGTGAAAATAAAGCTTCGATGCATCTCTCTCCTGTCCCCCCAAATAGCAAAAAAATAAAAATAAAAAAAATTGTAAAAACCTCCCAACAATTTATGCAATTGCTAATTAATAGCAGTATCTATTCTATTTAGACTGTTGTTATAGAGGATGATGAATGATTTGGATAGTGAATCATATCGTGAGAATGAATTAATGTTGTTAGATGCTTACCTGGAAAAGAGGGTTCCGCAATCGCATCTGTACTCGCGAGTGCCACAAATCTTGGAATGAGCTTTCCAATCGGATTGAACAGCATAGCGTTTTGAGCATTTCTCGCACTTCCATTTCTTCTCGCCATGTTTTCTGGAGAAGTGTTTCTTGATTCCGGTGAGGTCGCCCAGAGCTCTAGAAGGATCGTGGTGGACGCAGCTTGGCTCCGGGCACACGTACACCTTCTTCTTCACCACTTCTTTGTTGCTCCTTTGCTTCAGCTTCCATGGCAGATTGTGCCCTCTTCTGTGCAGTTGCAGGTTCTGGTCTCTCTGAAATCCCTTGTTGCAGATCTCACACACAAACCTGTTTGTCGCCATTAGGGCTCTTGGAGATAGCGCCACCACTTCCGCATCAGGATCTACTTCAATTACAATTACAATTACAAAACCAAAAAAAAAAAAAAAATCAAAATCAAAATTCAATTCAATTCAATCAGTCCACCATCAAATCAAATCAAAACATTCAGGTGTACGATCGAATTAATTATATAACCTGGATGGCCAGGGAGACTTCTTTTCTTCTTGGGAGGCGGCGGCTGTGTCGGATTATTACCAATGGGAGAAGCAAAGGATTGGATGAGAGGCTGCTGTGAGTACATATTACCTCCTAATTCATGATTTCTGTTGCTGCTTGAAGATATGCTTGCTTCATTTGAGATTGTCGATGTTAAATTCGACATACTGTCATCCACCACCATGCCTCCTCGGAGCATTATATATCTATAAATCAATCTATCAATATCCCAATTTCCTTCCTTCTCGCAATGAATCCTGAAAATGAAGATAGATATATAAGCTGGAGAGCTGCAGGAACAAATTAAAATTAACCGAAAAATTTAAAAAGGGGGTCGAACTTTATAATTACTGTGGATGATGTTCAGCTCAGATCAGCTTTTAGGATTTGTAAAGGCCAAAACTTCTTTCACTGCACAGAAACCCTGAATGGAAAAAGGCAATAGATTTACAAAAAGTGAAGTTGAGGAAGTCTAGCTAGCTAGCTATTATATTCCAGATATTGAAAACCAACATGAATTTCTTCTTGGAATTATATAATCACATATACACATATATATATATATATATTATATTATTAATGTATCAATATAATATTCCATGCTTATATATAGATATATCTGAATGATTTGTTGTTGGTAAAAATATTCACAGGCTTTTAATTTGATTCCTTACAAACCCTAGGAAGATGACAAAGATTAACCACCAACACATGAGTGTCGATGAAGACGAAGACCTGTGTGTATATATATATATAAATTTAGTCAGGGAATTGGGAAGAAAGCAAAAGACAGTACTCTACATATATATATATATATAAAGTTAGTTTCGCTGCAAACAAAAGCTCCAAAAATCTAATGAAAAAACCTTCATATGTGTTAGCTTTTTCAATAAAAACATTACCTGAATTGCAGCTGATAACCATACACACCAGAACATATCACAGAGAGAGAGAGAGAGAGAGAGATGTGGATGAGGAAGTATATCTCTTCTTTGTTCAGTTCCTTACCACCATCAATTATAGAGATAATATACACGCAGATGTATATTTTTATTATTTATATTATCAAACATTTTAGTCTACATCTTTTCCGCCACGTTTTTTATACAGAAAAAAAAAAAAAAGAAAAAAGAGTATAAATTGCAAAACTAATTATATTGTAGTAACAATTTTTTTTTTTTTTTGGTAGTAATAATACATAAAATATTAGATATTGTCTGGGTGTGTGTACATATGAACACACAACCATATACATATATATATATATATATATGTATATGTTACTGTCCAGGATGTGTAAAAAGAATATATATCTTTATGTATATACTGTATATATATACGTACGTATGTGAGGAAATAGGAGGGCAGCAGTAGCGTATAAAAGTTTTCTATTACAAGCCAACAGCCATTTCTGACGACGTTTCAGTTTGTCTTATCCTTCGTTCCTTTTTTCCTTAGCCTCTCCAATTATTGCAATTTTGTTTCTTCTTTTAAATGTTTTAAAAAATAAACAAAAACATAAATCTGACTTATTAATTATAAGAAAATTCAATTGGGGACATGCAGTCACGGAAAGCTGTTGCAATATTCCTCCCAGCTACGGATGAATCCATACCAATTTGATTTTTTATTTTTTTATTTTTCAATATATATATATATATAGAGAGAGAGAGAGAGAGAGAGAGAGAGAGAACAAGCATGAGTAACAGTATAAATAATGATATATGTACTCACTCTCACTCACATTACATACATGTGTACTGCTGTACTTTTCTTTGCTAGCCTACTCACTCACTCTTGTAATTATAAATAAATAAATTTCATTGTTGTTCAAATATATTTCCACTATATATTTTGTCATGCTTTTATACATACAATCATGAAAACCAACAAATTAATATGTTTGTTAATTAGTTAATATCCTCAAAAGTGAGTCATTATTAAATATTTGTAAAACTCCTCCAGTATCTCACATGCACATACGTATCATTAACATTTGATTAAATTAGGATGTTAGAAGTAAAAATAATATGTATCGATAATTAATTAAATAATTATATATATATGAGCTAGACAAAGAAAGATGACATTGGTACACAGCATCGTGAGATACTCTGTCTGTCTGTCTGTCTGTCTGTTCGTCCAATCAACTATTCATTTAATTCAATTCCTCCACTAGCTTCAAATAAATGCTCACCATATATTCTCTTAGTATTAAATAACTATAATTTATAACATTTTATTTTATTATTTGTCATTTTACACACTGCATGCATGCAGTAACGTAGTCCACCCAGCAATTACTTTAATTTTCCTTTTTCTTAATTATACTTTATAGTATTCTTTTATTTTTTGTTTAATACCAGGAAGCGACCAATCCTTGAAAATTATAAATAAATAAAGTTGACTAGTTGGTGACTTTTTCGGAGAAAAACTAATTAGTAACACGAAATTGACTTGTTATTAGGTATAACAAAATAATACTAATAATAAATTAAAATATCATATTCAACATATTTATTTATTTAAAAAGAGGTCTTATAAAAATAAATTAATATATATATATATTTTCTGTTTTATGTCTTTAATGATCTGTACATTCTCTGATACACTTTCATGGGCTATTAATGAAATTGGATCGACCCGAGTATTGGGTCAATTTAAAATAAAAAAGGGCATTTTGTATTGGGCCTTAAAAATGAATGAAATTTGAAGTCACAATACAATCCAAAGCTGCAGAGAGAGTCCTATAAAAACTTTTGGGGTATATTTGAATTGACGTATCTATCTCCCAACATAACCTCATTAAAACAACTTTGTACAATTAATCTTACCATGTCATGTCAGCTGGTTAAAAAGGTTAAATTTAATTATTTATTTTATCTGAATATAAGTTTTTTAGTTTCGAATGGAACTTTCCAAAAAATTAGAGTATATAATATTCTTGTTTTATATATATATTTTGGTGAGGAAATATATACTACAAATAGAATAAGCTGACTGGAAATATATGTGTAAGCACGCGTGCATGTGTGTCTATATATATATATATATATATTTGTGTTACATTTATGTTGTCCTAATTATTTTCAAAAACTTTTTATTTTATTTATTTGGGATGTATAAAAACGTATAAAGGTTTTCTCATTTCGTTTCCATATGGTTGACTTTATTATCAATATTATAAATAAAATAAGAGTAAAATAAAATATCTAAATTATATTCCAAGTGCACCAAAAGTGTTGATTTTCTTTGTGGAGGGAGTAGTATTTACACAATTGTGATAAAATAATACAGTAAGAAAGAAATAAGACAAGCAAAAGATATACCACGTACGGTGATTATATATATATCTATGATTTGTTGGTGAGGGAGGGAGGTCTTAACTGGGGGAGCTTTTTTCGTTTGTTATATTAATTAATTATATATATATATATATATATCTCACTTTATGAATGAAGATGCAATCTAATGAGGTCATAATATTCAGCTAAAAGTCATCTCCACATGTACATATATATGTCTGGGTGCAGGACAGGAAAATACATCAATTGTTTAGGTAGTGATTATATTATATTATATTATAGGGAAAAGAGAAAAATATATATGTAGGTAAAAAGATGAGACGAGATTTTATTAAAGATAGATGATGACATACATACACTTTAGTTTGCAAAAATTAAAGAGAGCTTAGCTTTGTAAACATATATATATACATATTCAAGTAATTGGGGGAGGGGAGGCTTCTATAGTTGTATACATCTTTTTGCAAGATTTGAGTCGTAGATTGCAGTGAAAGATTCTTGAGGGGGCCCATGCCCACCTATTATATATATATATATATATATAGATAGATAGATAGATATGATATAGTAGGAGTATGTATGTATATATATGTGTGGTTTAATTTGTTTGTTGGCCGGAAATGGGGTGATTCCCATTTCAACCAATTTGGGACTCAGTTTCCAGATTCTGGACTGAACCTGCACACTCACCACTTTTGTGTAATACTAATACAACTTGCAAACTCATTAAAAATACTATTAATTAATCAAACGGAAACAAACAAATTCAAGTCCTATTTCAGCTGGATCATCAATCTCAATATCAATATCAATATCATGCTATTATTGCTATTTTTATTGGTATTGCGATGATGGTAAGTTATTATTAATGACGACAATAATTTAATATCTCTTTCGATCTATATATATCTATATCTATATAATAAATGTGTCGTATGGAACATGAATACTACGTTACACCTACTCTCTATAATTAATTCTAATGTTGTTGCCTGCCTGCCTGCCTGCCTTTAAATGCATACAGCATACTCACTTTTACAGTAATTATTTTGCTCCACCGCGACCTCTTTTTTATTTTTGTTGTGAATTTAATTTCTCAACCACTACTGCTGCTTGATTTTTGGGAATTAAATTTGGTGATATATGATTCATATGTATACATGTGTATAGATATATATATATATATAAGGTGTTGATTTGCATTAGACCCTTCGTTACATTCATTTAAATCTTTGCGCACACACACACACACATATATATATATATACTTTTCGTATGTCGAAAGTTGGTTTCTTTTTTAAAGACTTGCATCACATCAGCTGGAATATGTTCCATTTGTATCTACCACAAATTGTGGACTGAGAATATTCAACAATTTGGATTTTTCTCACTCTACCAATTTATAGAACCACCTGACCTTAATCTTTATTTTTTCGTGCAATTATGGCTTCAGTGTTTTACTTATTAATTTATTTTTTGGTAGGCTGCACATATCAACCTACCAAAATCATGTATAATTTTCAAATTCGACAGTTTGTTTTTTTTTTAAAAAAAATAAAATTAATCTGTATATTGATGTAAATCATGTCGACCGATATTATATTTTTCTTGAATATTAAAATATGTAGGAATCTGAGTATATAGAGACTATTGTGGTGTTTGGGATTTTTACTAAAGTAAGAAAGGGACAATGGAATCTTTGTTTATTTTTTCATTAGTTAATAATGCAACGACGACCACGCTTTATTTATATACCCTTTCTTTCGTCTTCACTACTAGTTACTTTAATTTTACTTTTTCTCTTGTTGAAAGAAACGTTTGCTTCTTCACAAATAATTATGTACTAACATGTAATTTTCTCATTCTTTACTGAATCTTCCCGATGCTTGGGCTATTATGGATTCCCCACTGGAATAGAATCATCCATCTTAATTAATTATTAATCCTTTTCTGTTTGTTTTAACTCGTCGAAAGGCAATTTTAATGTTTTTACCAGAACTCCAACCTGATTCTATTAAATCAGGTGCAAATTAAATACAAAAAAAAAAAAAGATCAATTCTTGTTAGATATATGGGTTTCGAAAGGACTCAAAAATGCCAAATTTATGAATGAACGACCTCTGATACCAAACGTGTGTGACAAGAATTCCAAAAGCCCTAAATAACCTCTTGAATATTCCTCCATAAATTATTGGGATATTCATGATCAGTTATTTACCGATTTGTAAAGAACTAGGTAGTGATCAAAGGTGACAGTGTAACTTCAAGAGATTTAATTCAACCATACTAATTTTACAAACAAAATAATGAAATTACCAAAAGATCAATACATAATAGGACACCATATGCCTGCTATTGGACTGATAATAATACTCTTGGGAGTTTTTATTCACATAAATAGCAAATATATGTATAGATATCCTTATTTAACTTCAAATTCATCCTAACAACAGTTACCAATAGCCTAAGAATATTAAACGCTCGTAATCAAACTTCGATTGCGAGCAATAACATGCAAAAATTTACTTAATTTAATTATCATCTCCTAGATAGTTTTTCTTTTTTTTTTTTTTTTTTTTTTTTTTTTTAATACTAAAATTAACTTGCATATATATAATCTAGATATAGTGAAAGGCGAAATAAGAAAAATATTTAGCTAATTAGAAATTCATTTCGAAGAGCACCAATCTCAATAAGCTTAGGCACCAGATTATTACTCAAGTGCAGCGCCACCAGGCTCTCGAGCCCACCGACGCACGCGCCGCCGATGTACAGCGCGGGAGCAGCTCCGGCGGGCGGGCCCCCTAAGTCCTCGGCGTTGTCGCGGGCGGTACGGCGGGGGCTGAGGGCGGCGATCTCATCCTCCTCCAATTCGATGACGGTTGGGTGGACGCCGATGGTGGAGAGGAGGCGCTTCATGACGTGGCACATGCAGCAGGATGAACGGCTGAAGATGATCACCGGATTCTCCGAGATCAGGCGCTGGATGCGCATCTCCGCCGACTCCGCCACGTCGATTGCCAGAGGGGAGGTGGTGGTGGTGGTCAGCTCGAGGCGGACGCCACCGTCGCCGTCGCCGTCGCCGAGGGAGCCGTAGCGCCGTGGTCCTTTCATGGGCGCCCGCGGGTTGAATTGGGGATGGGAAAAAGCTAATAGTAACAAGTAAGGAACGAAGAGGGTATCTAATTTATATTCATAAATTTGGCATTTATAGTATTTCCACTCGTATTCCGACACCCACCCAGCTGATTATTGTTATTATTATTACGGGACTTTGGAATACCATGTAGCAGAGTAGAGTAGAGTAGTATCAATATTTATTTAATTTAATTTAATAAAAAATAATGTTGGAAAGGAAAAAGGAAAGCTTGTGAATTATTGATGCAATAGTAAATTAGTTGATGGTGGCAGAGTGACGTAAGAAACATAATGTGAGGGGAGGGGGAGAGAATGTGGTGCTCTGCCTCTGCATCTGTATCTGTTTCAGTCAGTGCTGCCCGGCCCTGGCTACATGACAAAACACACAGATCCCAATCATCTCATCTGCTCTCTTGGTCCCCTAACTTAATTATGTAATTAAACATTATATATATGGATTAATTAATGCAATTATGGAGCACCATGGACATCGGAGTATATAATTATATATATTTATTTATTTATTTCCACTAACTTGTGTTTAGAGAAAATAAGACCAACTTTAATTATTATTATTATTATTAATTGTATATAATAAAAACTGCTTCTCCTGTTCCTTGCCGCTTTACGCAAGTTATTGGCTACCCATCCCACCACTTGACCAGCCCTAACATGACATGATTGTGATTGACAATAACCAGTTGATCCATAATTAGTGATTCCGGAAATGTCCAAATCCGGCAATTATTTATTTAAAAATGAAATTGCATGTGCTGTTGTTCCAATTTCCAAGGAGAACCATGGAAATTACATGCTTCCATCTAAGTGGGATCGGCTAAGCTCTGATTTAGATAAAATATAATTAGTAAGTAATTAAAAAATATATTAATAAAAATAATTATAAATTAAAAATTTATAAAATATAAAATATAAATATAATTAAAATATATAATTATATTTTAAAAGAAAATTATATATGAGACCGAAGGAGTTCTTTATTATTTTAATTATTATAATGGGCGACGACTCGGGTTGACCGCTAGGGCTACATAAAATAATAAAACGGCGTCATAGCGGTCGACCGAAGCACAGGGGTTCAGAGTTGGCTCAGTACTACGCTTCAGGACAGGCAAGGCTGTGTTTGGCTAATCAAAGAAATTATGCAAACGATGCTATAATTGGGTACACTGTAACTCTGTAACAACACTGAGCTACCAAACGCGGCCTTACAGTAATTGACCTCGGCAGTTGGCACATGGATGAAAAGTAGTAACTAAACGTAATCCTGACGTCAGGTGGACCTCAGTACAAGGAGGTGGGGGCGCAGTGACGTAATAGAGGGAATTAACTAAGGGTGGGGCCCAGAAGCGACATGGTCCACAGGCTGTCCACGTCATGCCTACGAGTAGACAAGCTATTTAGGATTGGGGCTAGACAGTAAGAAATGAAGTACTAGTATCAGTCTACCACGCACGCAATCACCTCGCTAGTGGGATACCACCACGTGGCTTGCTCAGAAAATGACGCTTATTTCACTCCTACTTTTCTGCTTTTTTTTTTTTTTTTTTTTGAAGTATCAATACAATAAATAAATAAGTCGTGAATTAAAATAGGAAATAAATAATTAGTGTAAAGATAACAAATTAAGTAAATGGCGCACGAGCTGCAATTCTCATGGATTAAACAACAGTTTATCAAGTGAAGTATATACGTACGTACTTAAGTGTACAACACGTTCCTGCACGTCTGTATGTTTACTACTGCATAGAGTACATATATATATATATATATATATATAAAAGTGGGTGGCTGCGTGATGAATTGGTGCAATTAGCTCACTTTGAAAAATTGATACTAATATAATTCGTCTGCTCTTGTAATTGTGATGGTGATGGTGATAGGGACAGGGTGATGTGATGCAATATTAATTTCCAGACTTCCCAGCAATAATACATCGCGGAATTGAATTGAATTGAATTTTATTTCATAATAATAATAAAAGTAAAATAATAATAATAATAATAATAATAATAATAATATACTAATTTTAAAGGAAAAGAGGTGGGAAGGGAAGTGGGTCTTACAGTAGGAAGCTTACGCATGAAAAAACATGAAAGCGTTGCAGGTGAACCGTCGATGGTGCTGATTTTGGTGTCTGCCACGTTGGACGTGAATTTGATCTAATTTTAATTAGTGTTTAATTATTTATTACATGTATGTATGTATGTATGTATGTGTGTGTGTGTGTGTGGAAGCTATTACATCATCAAGTAGAGATCGATGCAATAGTGAGTGGGTGGGAATTAGAAAAGATGTCTTTGTAGACTTGGGGACGGGACTGCTAAAAAATTAATGCCCCCCGTTAGCTTTCTGAAATAAATAACAAAAATAAATTAGGTCAATAATTAATGCTGGAAAAGAAATTCGACGTACCCGCACAGGCATTAAACAAAAGGTGTAATAACTTTTTAACTGAAAATTAGGGCCTCGCACATGGGATGGGAGTATGTATAATTCACGATCATTCACCATTATTGATTTTTCCAATCTTGTTATATTATAACCAAAAATTATATATATATATATATGATAAGAAGCAGTATCATACAAGAATTAACTATATATTTATTTTGGATCGATGTGTTCATTTTATATTTTCTGGTGAAAGTATTTTTTATTATAAGTAGGATAAATATTATTATTAATGTAAAAAATATTTTGCATTGAATTATAAATATTTTTTTTAAAAAAATAAAAAATATATAATTTTAAATTAAATATTTGTTTTTATTGATATTTTGTAATGAGTATTTGAATTTTTTTTTTATTTTTTAATTTCTGTAATATATATATATTTTATTATTAGTTAAAATCGTATTAAAAAAATAAAAAATAAAAATATACGAGGTGAGCACACTTTAACGAAGCATACAATAAAAATGATGAAAGTGGTGACCCAATGATGCAGTTGGCATGCAAGTGATGTCTAATCTTTCCATCCAATCATCAAATTAATATTTCTTTCCAACTTTTTTTTTTTTTTAATTGGAAAAAAATATGTTTCCTTTAATAAATTACTTTTTCATTTTTGGTTGGCTGAATAAACTGACAAGTTACCCTAAATTAATATAACGCATAATCCTCGTGTAAAGGCTAGTTGGCAAAAAGATGTCCTATAACTCACCGTGTGCACAATAGCAGTTAATTGGTGATACATTTGTTTATAGTAAAAATTAGTAAATTAAAATATTCACAATGTTACATGCACTTGGTAAAGGTGACCTGATTTTCGTTAGTGCTAATGATGTTAGTACACAGTGAAAATACGGCAGATACATCATTCGAATAAAGAACTATCATCTCATGTAGTTCCTTAAAGGATATCTGATAATGTAAGATATATACTCTGTTCAAGTCCTTCACCTTTTAAATTATCTGTCATGATTCACCTAATGTCCAATGTTCTGCAGATACAAAATTATGGTGCAATAACTGACAGATGTTTGTCACATGAAATAAATCTATTTCTATAATTAAAATAACATAGTATAAATGAAATCGGGTTGTTTCTTCAGGGAATTAAAAAAATTTTATTTTCAATTATTTAATTTATAAATATAATTAAAGGAGGATTTTGGAAGTAGAAAATAAAAGTAAAATAACAAAAAGCCTAAAACATAAATTCAATAAAAATAAGTTTTAAGTATAGGAATGAAATTGACAACTTGGACAGTGAATTTGATTATCGATAAATATTTAATTTTATTGGTTTCTAAATAAATTAATTATAGTTACCGACGCGTATTTAATAACCAACTATTCCTTAATTTTTTTACAGTCTAAGTACGCCCGTCTAACCCTAGTGACGCCACAAAGAATTTACTAGCCTAACCGTCTTGCGAACTAGAAGAGCCTAATTTAATTTAACAATTATTTATGCTAAATCTTTTAAAATTGATTCCGTAATTTCCTAATAGTGTATGCCACTAGTTGCTATTTGAACCAAATACGCCTAATTTAGTTTAGCAATTAATGTTTAATCCAATTGAAATACCTGGCATACCCAATCAAATAAAAGATTATAATTCAAAGAAATCAAAATCCACTAGAAACTCAATAAATCTCACAAGTCTAATATCCCAAAATCCATGCAAGTTTAAAAAAAATAAACTACTAACTAATCATAAGAGGAAGAACAGAGAAAAAAAAAACAAAAGAAAAAGAAAGCAAAGATAATTGTGACCTGAGAATGAGGACAGTGAAGGTAGAATTTGAAATATTCTTGGCATAATCTTTCTCTTTTATGCCCTTGATCAAAGTGGCGCCTACTCTTCTTTCTTTCCTTTAAATTTGCAATTGGCCTTGGACTTTTTTTTTTTTTTTTTTTTCTATTTTTCAACTAATTATATAAATTTTATTATTATTTTCCTACAAATTATAAATAAATAATATGGACCTAAATCAGTTAAAATCTAATCAAATATGACAAATAATATAAATATATAACGTATGCGATTTATGACTATAATAACGGTTTGTGACAGAAAGATTAATTACTGAGATCAATTACTTAATTAGAAAAATATATAAATAAAGATTGACAATGCATGTTGGAAGTGGAGAGTTGTTTGCATGTATGTAAGCAAAATCTGGACAACCTTTACTTTTAAATTTTATAAGAATATGGATGGTGTGAGTGGATGCAGGCAGGGCAGCAGGTCGGGTGATGATGACGATCATCATCATATTATGTTGAACATGGCATTGGCTGCTGGCTGCTGGCTGCTGCTCGTACAGACTTTTTTTCATATGTTGTATTCTTTCATTTTGTACCACATTAAATGCTCTCTTTTTATCCCACAATATCTAACATAATTATGCTCGCAAAGATTCTTATTCCCCTCCCGTGTAATTTGAATCTTTGACCCAACTGTATGTGCGAGTGCATCTGGTCCGGACATCGGCATTATTCATCCACTCCACTTGCCTTGTTATTATTTTAAAATCTGTTAAAGAATATCTAATTTCCATGGGCTTCAATTGTAGATTCAACAAGCTTCTCTTCTCCTTGTTAAAGCTAATCTGGACTCACTGACTTCAGGCCCACTGCTAGAAGAGGTGGCCTGTTTCGATATATACGAGGTTCTATATTAAAAACATCTGCTGCCATCCGTTATTAACAGAACACGACACAGAACTTACAAGCTTTACAGAATGTGTGGAATATTTGAGATCAGACAAGACAGTTTGAGGAAGAATCAAGCTCTAGTTGGCATGGCAGCACAATATGATTTGATTATAGGTTTGTGACATAATTAGGACAAGAAGCTGTTGAAAGATTCACATCGGTTGGAGGCTGCTCTTCAGTTGTGGGAGAATTTATTGTCGATTCTGAGTGATCCAGAGGAGATTGGGATGGCACAATTAGGATCCGAGGTGCCATTAATGGAGGCTTTAAGAAACTGAGACTCGTCCATGGACTGCCTCTGAGCTCTGCATCTGCATCTGCAGCCGGTCCTCTGCTTGGCCTTGGTCGCTTCGGTCATGCTCATGTAATTCGGCACTGGCACTGAAGGTGAAGGAGAGCTCTCATCATACCTTAGGACAGAGCTGGGGCTGGAAGAAGATGGTGTTGTCTTTGCTCTTGTTGCTGCTGCGGCTGCCACATTGTTCTTCCTAGTTTTCCCCGAACTAACTTGGGACGACCTCGAAAGATTTCCTACAGAGACAGCACTACCACTACCATTATTAGTATAATTATGATCCCTGCAGCTGCTGCAGGTCTTGGATGGCGGTGGTGTTGTCTCCAAGATGGTGTTGGTGGCTTTCTCTTTCTCTTTCTGTTTGTCCTTGTTGTCCATGAGCATCAGCCTGTTCTCCCAGGGCTTGGCTGCCATCCAGCGTTCTAGCCAGCTCCATCCCCAGCTACTCTGATCGAATTCAGAACATCTTAAGGAGGAGGGTGCACCTGATTTCCACTGCCAAGCCAAATGAACACGCATGTTGAGCAAGGGATGAATGAATGAATGATCGATCAATCACCAAAGGCTGTTGCTGTTGCTTTGTTTGTTTGTTAAATGGAAAACAAACCTTTTGAGCGAGAGAGTATGCAAGAGCTCTCTCTCTCTTCACTGCTCCCTCCTGCTTCATTTGTATCTTGACCTTGATTTCTTCCAGGGTGCCTCTGCTATCACACCATCCTTCCTGAATGAATGAACGAACAGATGAATAGTCGATTGTGGCAGCTAGGATGAATGACTGCAGCAATAAATTAGATTATACCTCAGCCTGTTTGATGGGATCGCCGCCACGGCGTTCGTGTAGGATCTTCTGCACGGCCTGTCCCTCTTCAGACATGCGCACACGCCGAGCTCTGATTCTAGCCTGTACTCGAACCAGTGCCTGCATGCACCGGAGCGTCACCGCAGCTTGTTTCCGAACCTGCCTGCCTCGGACTATGGCTTGGAGCCGAACCAAACCTTTCAATGCTCGTAGCGCTCTTCTTGCCTGCATTCATTAATCCAATCCAATCCAATCCAATCATTTCAGGAACGAAGAAGCTAAACCAACTATCACCTGTAATGTGTAGTAATAAAGAAAGAATGCCCACCAGAAATCCTCTGAAAGCAGTTTGGATTCTAATGGCAGCCCATTCTTGCTTCACCACCCTGAAATCTTTAGGAGGAGCCCGGACAACAGTTGCAACAGCAGCACTGAAAGTATCCGATGATAAATCTGTCCCACCCCCACCCCCGCCCGCAATTCCCCCATTTTTCTTGGAACCTCTTTTCCCTATCAGATCCCCTGATGACCTCTTCCATATCCTCCATTTCTTGCCTTTTCCAACAACTTTATCCTTCAAAATGGAGACGGCCAAAAAGGCGCCAAAAAATGAGTTCAAGAATTCAACACAAAACACACACACAAATCTAACAAAAGACCCACTCAGATCATAAGCACATTGAACTTTCCAGAAAGAGAAAATCATAATGCACAAGCGAGTCCGAGTACAAATGTCTATGCATCATTAATGAAAAGCTAGATACCAAGTGGAGATCCAATTTACAGGAGAGCAGAGATACACAAATTCTCATTTGTAACGAAGTCAAGCGCAAGAAAGACACAAGCTTGTGAAAGTAGAACAATAAATGGGGGTGCTATGCGGTAAATAAAAATGTAAGCAAGACTGAAATGATTTATTTGCTTAAGAGTATCTAAGCTTACAGTGTCATCTTTATCAGTTTTCTTGAGCCCTATCAGAACTTTAACCCATTTTCCTGAAGCCCCCATCTGCGGCAAGCCTTCAGTGACAACAAAACTCTTCGCTTCCCAGTACAAAAATTTGAAAATGGACAGATTTTTGAGGAAGAGAGAACTTGAGAGAGTGAATAGAAGAAATACAGAAAAAACATATGAGTATAGAAAAAGGGTAGTAAGTTTTTAAATGTCTTAATGACTCTTGTCAAGCAAACGACAAACAACGTCTGAGATGGAGAGGAGCAGAGCTTTTAATAAGAGCATTTAAAATTCCTGTTTCTCCTTGAAAAGAATAAAACTTTGGTCGATATGAGCAGTTACGGAACCAATAACAGGGGATTTTTCCGAGGAAACAGACACAAAGTTGGCAAAAAAGCAAAGGGGAATTTCTGAAAGTGGGGTTTTTGCTCTGTCTATGAAGAACTCGTCACTGTTGTATTGAAACTTCATTGCTACTGCTCTGCTCTGCTCTCAGTATATTAAAATAAATGTTTGTTTTGGTAATACTAATCAGTATAGAAAATGTTTCTTTGGCTCTGTTTTCTTGTGTTCACTCAGACTCAGTCCCTTCACTGTTTGCCGTTCAAAATTCAAAAAATTAGCGGCCTCCCGCTCGAGACAAAATGGCCACGTCTTTCGAGTTTAATTACAAGAAACCCACCCACCCCATACAAATACAATACAAAACCAAATGGGACTGAAAAGGTGCAGCAGCAGGTAATAAAACCAAAAAGAACCATACAAAGAAAACCCTAAAGTCAGTGCACTGAAGATCTGCACTGCGGAGGAGTCTTTATTTATTTGCAGAGAAAATTAAACCCCACAACATTTGCCTCGGATCCCTCTGTCTTGGTTGGGACTACCTATGCACGCATGTACACATCGATACCAATTATCGTAGAGTACACACACATTTTTTTATCTTTTTTCAAAATTTGAAACCAGTCCGATAGTGTAGCTTCAATGTTGAATAAGCTAATGGAAAATAATGTGCCCACCGGATTGGGTTGGTCTGATCCAACGGTGCAGAGACGAATACTGATTGGATGAGATAATTCAGAGTTTCATTAAAGCCATGGTTTTTAATTGACAACACGACACATATATGAATGAATTCAGGATGAGAAAGTAGTTTTAATATGACTCTTTATCATCAGGGTAGTCAAAGAACAATGGTGACAGACGAGAGAGGTATCTGCCATCTGGCGAAAAATCATTAAATGGGGCATTGCCAATTTTCTTAGAATGGGGACCTCTTTGTTTGATGATAGATAGCTCAGAAATCAATTGATGTTTGATGCAAACCAAGGCAATTGTGCATTTGGTTTGGTTTGGTTATCCTCCCCATGGCTATGGAGTGCAGTAGTGATTATATTGTAATTAATATGGGCAGGGCAGGCACAGCCATGAGAGCCCCAAGGTTTAGAACTTCCACCCACTTTTGTCTTTACCCTTTTGCTTGTTTTTAATTATTTCACATTGTCTTCACCAATTAGAGTATCCAAAACTCCTATTTGGCAACACACTGTCTGGTCTGGTCTGGTCAAATACGATAAAAGTGAACCTGGAGAAGCAAGCTGTTCAACAACTTTTATTCAACAAGATGAAGTATTAATTTTTTCTGCGGGATTACATTATTTATATGTCATATCCACCTGGAACATTATACAGAATATATGAATCGACAACGTTAATAAAAACCCAAAGTACATTATTTTTCATTTTTAACATCACAGAGTTTATAATTCGAAACTTGCGGGCTGTCAAGAGCTTTTATACTTGTACTGCACGCACGCACAGATTGGCTGAACTTCATTAAATTAGATTCACCACCTCACCTCATGTCCACTTCTACCTTTAAGGGCAATAAATACAATATAATTAATTGTCCATCTAACAAATGAATGAACGCTTCTTGCAGCCATTCTACTTTGTATCATATATATATATATTCACACTGATACTATACTATGAGGAATTAATATAATTTACTATGTTGAGGACTCCCGTTTGCGGGATATGTAACTAATGGCTTAGTTTCCCTAACAAGTTCGAGCTTTTAGGTGAGACGGTCATTAGCTTCCGACATGGTATCAGAGCCTAGGTTAGGTCTCGAGTTCGAGTCCCGCCCGTCCCCATTTGTGGCACTTGCATGTGCAAGTTTCGCAGACCCACTTGCACCTGAGGGGGCGTGTTGAGGACTCCCGTTTGCGGGATATGTAACTAATGGCTTAGTTTCCCTAACAAGTTCGAGCTTTTAGGTGAGACGGTCATTAGCTTCCGACATACTACATTTTGTTACCGAGATGGAAGTCTCCACATTCTAAATTAAAATTACCAACAGAATATGCACACTTCCTAGTTCTTGCAAGCTTAGACGACTGCCCTGGTCTGACAAGATCAAGCTTTCAGGAAGATCCATGAATCACATCATCTGTAAACGCTGCTGGCTAGCTGCTTGTTGAAGATGCTAATATAATGCGTATTGAAGAAACTCAAGAACAAGCTAACAAGAGATCGTGCGTCCATTTTGACCAGTGTTAATTAATTTGAATGGTGGAAGAAAACAAGTAGCATTGGATCGATGGATGGATATATACAAAATGCCAAAGGGGCGATCAGAATGGATATATATATATATACATAATAAATGAATATTAGTATTAATTGGGTTGAGTGCAGTGTACTGTAGCTAGTAGCATGTACCTATTTTTTTGACAAATCTGGAGCTGGGGCTGGTGGGTCGATGTCGGGCGGCCTGGAAAACGACAAGACAGTGCTATTGGATCTCTGGTGGTACGTCGAAATTTTGTTGCCCTTCTCATCGTACACAATGCTCTCTTCGTCTTCGTCAGGAACCTTATTCCTTTCCCCGAGTATTATCTGCTTCTTCCATATGGAATCTTCGTGTTTTAACTTCGTCTTGTCGCGGATCCCCGCAGCCTTCTCCTCCAGCCGGGAAATCTGCTTCCCCACCATCCCGTTGACGTGCCCTGGCAGTTTCATGCTCAAGCTGGACGCCAGCTTCGACGTGATCGAATTCGACCGGCTGTGATGATGATGCTGTGTGCAAGAATATGTTCTCGTGTGGAACCGCCCCGGCGGCGGCGGAAGCGGCGGTTCCTCGTCATCGTTTCCGTTGGACGTATCTTTACTGTCCCTCGGCGGGGTGTCTTCGTCTTTGGCGTCTCCTCCGCTGCTGGAGGGGTCAGCTGTATCTTCTTTATTGGCGTTTTCGTCCGGTTTCGGGGTTTTCTTGCGGCCTAAGACACCGCAGAGGAATGAAACTGCAACAAATTGATGCAAGAAAAAAGAAGAATTCGTGATCAGATCAGCAGATGAATCGTTCATTCTCTTTCTTTTAAAATTTTTGTAGAGTTATGTAAAGGGATGATACAAACAGATCATCTATCCTTGTGACCTAAAGGATTTCTTTTCCCCATGGAAACTGGGAACCACCAAGATCGCAGAGACACGATTGAATTTCTTCAAGCATGAACATATGTACCAAAGTGGAGACTACAAACAAATATATTTCTGGGATTTGCAGCAGCTACTGTATGGTTACTCTTCCAAAAGATTTTTTTTCCTTTCTTTTTTTGATTTTTTTGGAAAATTTGTTTGTGTGTTGAATTTGCAGCAAAGTAGTTTTGTTTTCTCATGCAAAATTTGCGATTGGTGGAATTCAGGTTTGTGAGGACGAAAGGCGACGTTCAAAGTTGGGCACCTCTATTCTAGCTACAGCATTAAAATTTGACGGTTAGAATTAGTTACTTTGGTTGAATTTTTTTACCGACTGTTGTTGGCTCATGAGTATTATTCTAAATTAGAATTTTTGGTTTACGTGGACTGCCTGCCTGCCTGCCTTAATTATTATATTCTTTCATGTATCTAGCAAATACACAAATTCCAATTTGAAGCTACTAGATGTCAATAGAAGTGGTGTTTTTACAGCATAGATGAGCAATCTGATATGATATTGATCAACATCACATTTAATTTATTAATCCACGTGAATAGTAAATAAATAAAATAATGGAACTCCTTACAAATGGTTCAAGGAAAAGGGGACCTCTTCAGTCCCATCAATTAAACTGCATCATCTTCTTCTTTTAAAAAATACAAAAAACTCACCCTCACACACAAGGGCTATCGGCTATTCGGTTGTGTGAAAAGAGAACCCACAGAGAGTCATGTCGATATATATATATATATGCATACATACAGATTAAAGACAGATGGTTAGAAAGGTGATGTGTGGGGAATTCTTTTGCATTAATGTCAGGAGCCATATTGTATTGTGATGAGTGGAGCCTCCTCCTCCTGGTGGTGGTGGTGGTGGTGGTGGTGGGGAGATACACACAAAAGAGCACATTAATTATATATTTTGAACGCAAGCTAAATCAGGATTTGGCATGACACAGAGGGAATTAAAGACAAAAATCTTATCTTTGATCCCAGTCAATCTTGTGATATACACCCTTAATTTTTTTAATTAAAATTCGGCAAAGCCGACATACGGTGAGTATGTGGGCTACTACTGTTTCTTGTAATGATTGAGCAGTGTGCAGAGAGGCTCTCAGCCCTCTTGCCTTGCTCAACTGCTTTAATTTGCTCAGTTAATCAAGAAATGCCTAGATATAGATATTGTCTTCTTTTCTTTTCTATTTATTTATTAAGTCCTGTCCACTTCACACACCATTATCATCTTTGCCTTTGCAAACAGTTTTCCAATAAATGTATTGATTCCATTATATTAACAGCTTCTATCTGAGAGAAGACATTTAGTAAAATTCTGACTTTCTGAGGGGGAACCAGCTAATTAATTGAGGTTAAATGGCGGCAAGCAATTCGAGCAGCAGTAGTCGAGGCAGCAAATTCAATAAAGTCTGTGTCTTCTGTGGAAGCAATTCGGGCCACCGGAAAGTCTTCAGTGATGCTGCTATTAACCTGGGAAATGAACTGGTCAGTTTCTTCAGCTTTCCATTATCTTGGCAATCTTTGATCACATGATCATATTGGACCATTATGATCTGATATGATGTGATTGCAGGTGAATAGGAAGATAAACTTGGTGTATGGTGGAGGTAGTATTGGGCTAATGGGATTAATTTCCCGAAGAGTCTCTGATGGTGGCTGCCATGTTCTTGGGTGGGTAATAACTAATAAGGGCTTGTCAAAATTCTACAGCACACTGGTTTGGTTTGGTTTGATGTTGTAGTATTCTTCCCTTCAACTAGCTTAGGTAGACAGATAACTAATGAACTGTTTACTTTGTCTGTGTTCATGCAGTGTAATTCCCAAAGCTCTAGTTCCCATTGAGGTAAGTTATACGTAACCGTGCCATTTACTGAATTAGGAATTTATGGACAGACAACGAACATCCAAATGTTGGATTTGCAGTTTCAGCTGAATATCTATCTATCTGATAATGTCTTTATCTATGTCTATGTCTGTGGTCTATACTTATGCCTATGCCTATGCTTAACAGATATCAGGAGAGAGTGTTGGCGACACCAAAATTGTGGCGGACATGCACGAGCGTAAAGCTGTAATGGCGCGGGAGGCCGAAGCATTTATTGCTCTTCCTGGTGGTTAAATAACTAATTAAAATGCAGTCTGTCTATTTTCAGACAGCCATTAGTTCAATATTGTGTTGTGTATGTTCTTAATTATAATACCATTCATCATGTTAGGAGGATACGGGACCATGGAAGAGCTACTGGAGATGATAACGTGGGCACAACTTGGAATTCATAGGAAGCCAGTACGTACTGTACTGTACTGAATCAATATATCAATCATTTTGATGATATGCTTTAATTTTGTGGACTGGACTGACGGACAGGTTGGTTTGCTGAATGTGGATGGATACTACGATTCTTTGCTGAAGCTATTCGACAAAGGCGTTGAAGAAGGCTTCATTGAACCTGCTGCTCGCCGCATAGTTCTTTCAGCTCCCACTGCCAAACAGCTTCTAACAAAGATGGAGATGGAGGTATATATATATATATATATATAATATATGTATCTGTTTTCTTTACCTTATATATTTCATCATCCACAAGTTGAAAATAACATAAAAATAAATTTTAAAAAATATATCATCTTCCTAATTTGCTGCAGGTATATGTTCGTTTCCATGACATTGTCGCCCCTGCAGGTTTGGAGATGGAACTGGAAGATACATGATGGACTGGATATTCTTGTTTTTGTCAGCTGGTTTTAACTAATAATGTATAATACATAGATACACGCCCCTGTTCCTGTTGTGATTAAGTTATTGTGCAGTGTGTTTGTTTTTTGAGATAGCACAGAACGTACACTCAGCTGATTTGCTGTGATTCAGCACCATTGATGTCGGTCCTCTCTCTTGCTTGCTTTAGAATTGTTGCAATTTGATTTCATGTTGTCAATTACTTTACTTCCGAAGCTTTTAAGTGAATGGAAGAAAGATAGAAAGGCATTAGGGTCAGAAGCTTTCTCTTTCTTTTTCTTGTCAAGAGTCCTCCATTTATCCATCAAACCAGGTTTCATTGCACACGAAATCAGGTTTAAGAGCACATAGATGTTCTTTCTGATGTTCTGTGATCTCAACATTGCAGACATACATACACTCAAGACGCTACCCAATTAGGATGATGAGTGATGAAAAAGCTAGCAGTGGAGTGGGACAACACAACAGGTACAGATGGATAGTAATTCAAGGATAACGTAGGTAATGAATGACTGGAAAGAGCCGCACCCGGCCCCAACCCAAGAATTGTTTTGTTTTGATTGGTGGGTTTGGTTGGGTCAAAATTGTTCTAAACGAGGTTGAGTGTTGTTTGGAGTTTTTAAGGTGGACAGAAGGTTTGGGTTGGGTTGTGCATTTTGTAGAGTCTTCTTTCACATCTCATATCATGTCCTGATGTTATCATTGTGATCACATATCATTTCAGTCTATCATAATCCCATCATCCACCACTTCTCAATTCCATGGGCTATTATTGAAGCCAAAATACAGCTTACACATTACACTTTTCACAATTAATTCTACACTGCACTGCACCCTTGAGTCGAGCAATTCCAAACCTCTGTATTATATATATAACTCATGGCAAAATCAAACGAATGTGCAAGTCAATCACAGAGATGGGACAAAAAATTCACACCTTCAGGGGCGTATTTACTTGTCTACGAACACTACTCATCACTATCCGAGCTGTCTCTCTCTCTATAGTATCCATTTAATGAAAACTACTCAGGCTTTCTCTTTCGAGGTTGAAGACATCAAATGCTGAAGTGTGCTCGCTTGGATAACAGCGCTTGGATTTGTTTCTCTTGCCCGGCTTGAACCTGTTTGTCTATGCGCACTGCTGCCACCTCCAGCGAGGCGCCTCCATGGCCTTGGAAGGTGTCTCATCAGCCGTGTTGACGTTACCAACAGGACAACGCCAAGAATGATCAATAACCTGCACAGAAAGGTTCGTGAAATGAGATAAAACCTTTGCATATTCTACAACACAATATCAAACTGGATACCATCCGAGAAGAAGCATCAGTCGAGCAACTGGGGCTGTAGGCAACTGTTCGCCCAAGGCGAACATACCGGCAAGGACGCCTGTTACTATTGAAGCAACTGCTGCACATGTGGACACTACTATTGCCCTTCCATGCTTCAAACCACGGGTCTGTATGGTGAAAGCAAAATGTGGTTACTATATTAAAAGCTGTGAGTATGAATATTGATAACATCCCAGGGTGTCGGTGGACACAGCAACATCAAGAAATAACAGCATTTATGCTACCTGGTAAAAAAATCCGGATGCGCTGCAGGATATGCTTATCGCAATGCAAATAGGAAGCACTAGCTTGGAAAATCCTTGCTCCATGAATATGAATCCCATCTTTGATATTACAGAGGCAAGCCTGAAATTGTATTTGGAATATTTCTTCCATGTAAACTCGTGGAGAGATTTTTATAAGGAATCAAGCAACAAGGATCCAACTAAATTAGTACCCAAATAAAATGCCAGATTCTAAACCATGAATGATTTCTTCAACCACTTCATATTGCATCTGCGGGGTAATAGTGGATAGTCACATCAAGTTTATAAAGGCTTGAAGTTCGTTCATAAGATAAGGAAGCTACATTACCAACTCTTGTTCTCTTCTTTGGCGTCTAAACACACGAAGCCATCCATTAAGAAGTACCTGCAATAAGCGAGTGAGATCAAGATCCTTTAAAATGAGCAAATCAACAATATCCACATTTTACATTTGCTTTGACCAATTGAATGACAGTAAAAGACATTCACCCATGAAAATGTAAAAGTTGAGAAAAAATGTATCTAAAAAAGTCAGCAATTTGGTATTAGAAGATGAAAGATTCCTTGGGGGTAAATTGTGGAGCAGGACAGGATATGCTTGCAATCATAGCACGGATTTATACTTTGATTTCTGTGTTAAGAAGATAAAAGCTTTATAATAGATGCTGAAAATTAATGTAAGATACCTACAAACAAGAATGCCACAACAAAGGCTAGCCATGGTAAATGGAAAACTGAGATCGGCAAAGCTGTCTGCTCCTCTCCTCCAGCACCAACACCTAAGGGGATATCACAAAAAAATTTAAGAGCATGTGGATCAGAATGGAGGTAGAAATTATTCTGAGAAACTATACAAAATACAAATACCATTCAATCTGACACATGAAAGCCATTACAGGATCAATGGAAGTCAGATGTGATCATGTAAAATGCATTTGTTAAACCTTCTAAGGAAAAAAGTATCTAAATGCAGTTAAAAATTTCTTGCGCTCCACAGAGCTTGCATTACCTATAGTTCCAATTCCAGCCAAAACTATACCAACCCAATCAATAGCGTTCATGATCTCCTTCAGATAAAAATGAGAAAAAACTGAAAGAATTGCAAGCCCACACCCGGAAACAGGTTGAATGACTGATACCTGTTTCAAAATCTCAGAATCAGATCATTATTTATCCCTATAACAGGACATGAAGATTAAAATGTGGTTTGATGAGGTTTACAGGAGCTTGAGATAGTGCGAGAAGCATCAAGACAGCTCCACCAATATCCATTAGGAATCCAATGATCCATGTTCTGTTAGAAGCATACGCCCTTAGGACCTGTGTTGGTACAGACCAGTTTTTACATCTGTTTCAGTTATGCAATTGAATACTACAAGCACACTCAAACAATTTCCTTCAATTGAAGACAACATTGGCAAAGAAAAGGGAAAGAGAGACAGATGCAAATTTAAGGGTCAGGAAACATAATGTCCTCACAATTAAAAATTATCCAATGCAATCTCCCGAGTTGCATCTAATTCGAACCAAGAAAACATCACTTGAGCATCTCAGTAAAGATCGTTCATTTCGGGGATGGATCGTTCATGAACATTTCTTGGTCAATCATTACCAACTATGTAATTGCCGAAAACCAGCCTTACATTCTAAGATTCATCTATCTCAATCTAAACAAGATCTGACAATATTCTGAATCTGAATATAAATGTAGCACCAATCCGTAACCCCTCAACCAAAATAAACCCGCAAAAACGAAGGATAATTTGGTGTAGCCGAAAGAAAATCCAATCATCGTGAACTACGCAGTCTAAGAATTTAAGTCAGAGCAGCAAGACCAGCAACCACTATTCGCGTATGATGAGTAGGAAGAATACAGAAAACATCAATCGAAACCCCGGCCTCGTGCACTACGTACCTTGATCTTGAAAGAGAGGGGCGGAAGAATTAGGGTGCCCTTCTTTTGGAGGACTTTGCCGATGTTATTCCCGGCGGTGGCCGCTATCGTTAAGCAAATTGATTCCCACATCTCTGTTTACCTCACGGTCTCGCGTCCATGTGATCTTTATTCGCGGCGCTGATATTTGGGTAAAATTGTAGCGTTTGTCGAATAGATAAATTATAATAGTGAGATATCCTCTGCTCTAATGTTGGGTAGATCCATCGTTTTTCGTTTCAGTTCCTGCGGTTTAGCTGTCGGTTTCCGGGCTGGGTGGATTAAACTTAAAACGAAATTGTATGTATCACTCTAGTAGGAGTATATTTTATTGTCTCGAGAGAAATCATGGATTAAGATAATCATTCCCTTAATACTTCATACGGAATGGATACCTCTTTTCAAATAAAGGTCAGATCTCTCCCAATACATTCCTAGCTGATTAGAAAGAAATAAAACATGTCTGTCTGTCCGTATACAGATTGCTGCAGATTAGATGGATTGGGTTGAATTACGAAGATGATTAATTCACCCTTTTTTTGAAAAATGATGTGAGAAAAGCAGCTTGCTATTTTTTCGAATGCTCTCTCCTCATTTCTTTGGTGCCACAACAAGCCGAGGCGGTTGGTAATATATATATATATATATATATATGTATTTAGGGATATTGGGTGTTTATTATTTACTTGTGTATTTGGATTGTTGATGTGGGCAAGAATATTCTCTCAAGTTATTCCTTCTTGTTTAGGTGTAACGAAAGTTCGTCAATGCACTATTCCATCACAAGCTGTAGACAAGAGCGTGCTTTGTCAAGAAAAGTAGGCAGATTTCGTTATCAAAAAAAAAAGGAAGAAAAGTAGACAGATAGGAAGGAAGGAGTAGGAAGTTGGAACTATGCTGATATCATATCAGACAAGCGAAATGATGCTAGTTAAAGTCAACGGTAATGTATAAGGCGAAAACAAAACATACATCAAACCAAATCAAATGGCGCTTGAAGTTGAACTCATTACAGATGTTTGATCGGACAAGTCAAGAACCCGAGGCCGAGGTTCACCACCAGTACAGCACACTGAACAGATGATGGCTTATATATGCACTTACCTCAAATCCGATCATTTTCCTCCCCAAGAAGCAAACAAATGGCTGCTAAGCAAAAACCACATGGGACCAACGCAGAATTAAATATCGGCAGTCTTATTAAAGATAAAAGAGTGAGAAATTGCAGTAGCGTTTCTGTCCTGTAAAACAGCTTGCTTCTTTCATTCCAAGTCCAACAAAAGCAGCGCAAAAGCATCGACTCAAACTCAACTAATTAACAGCATATTCCTTGTATCTATGCCCACAGTTCACACCACGATCATATGTATGTATAATCGTTTGAATAACTTTATAAAAAAGTGAAGGATTATTTCCTGAAAATTAAATGAGTTGTTCAAATCATCATCATCATCATCATCCTACCATCCATAGACCACCTGGGTGTATCTATGTTTAAGCCACCTGAAACTCTTCCTGAAGGACCCTTTGACTTTGCCTTCCAAAGAGTAGACTTTGTAGCTGGCCACCCTCTTCTTCCTCTGCAATTCAGGGTCGCTGAAAGCACTCCAAGATCGGCTGCTGGCTGACCCATCAACAATCTTCCCCTTCTTTATCTTCAGAGGCGGCGACGTGGGCATCCCATAGTACTGTGAAGTAGTCGCACTGTAGCTGTAAGACCTGAAATCATTAGGCCTGGCGATGGCTCTGCCTGTCCAACTGTAAGGCTCTATTTGCATTTGTCCACTGCTACTGCTGTAGGAATTTGATCTGTAATTTGCCATAGAGAGAAAGAGAGAGAGAGAGAGAGAGAGAGAGAGAGAGAGAGGAGTTTCTTTTAATGGTTTTGGTCGCCCTGTTATATATGTATATATATACACATTAGAGCAAACAATACAAGGAAGAGAGGGGAGATGAGCTTCTCTTTGGACAGCCACATTTTATTTTATTCTCTCAGTAACAGTGATACGAGATCAAACGTTGACCAGTCAACCCTTCAAATATCGTGCATCACAATTACTTATTAAAATTTAAAAGATCTCTATCAATTCAAATTACTTGCGTAATCAATTTGTAGGACCCTAATTGCGTGCTGCTGCCAATGCAAAAATAAGAAAGTGAGATACGATCATAGCTGAGTTCTTGGACCAGATATTGCTGTAGTTTGGCTTGCATACTCATTTGCCTATGCTTTCACACCAGCCCATACAAGCTACGGTCAAGACGTCAACTTTGACACATCAAATTAAAATTCACATTTTAACACAACTAGCAACATTAAAAACTACGACATCTGATGATGCATGTGCTCATGCAACGTGCAAGCAAAATTACCAGGTCCTAAATATCTTCTAAGATGAAATAATCCACTAAACAGAACCTCAAATACAGAATGAAAAATTCAAACTTTTTCAGACAGAAAAGAAAAGTTGATCATCAGCCCAATCTGCAGTTTGCTTTGGACAAAATACAAAAACAAACCAAAATTTCACAATAGTAGTTCGAAACTGCAACTAGATTGGGAGATGAGAACCCACCTCCATGCACTAGATCTTCAACCATGGTCCATAACATCGAGTAAACCAAATAATATATAGGATAAGGAGCAATTAGACCCCGGGGGGTCACAAAACTGCATTACAGGAGATCCGCAACATTGGCTGGCAACTCCTGAATCTCGACATTGTAGAACTTCTGTATGTCGAGAAGCATGCGCCCGTCCTCACTAGTAACAAAATTTATTGCAACACCTTTCCTGCCAAACCGCCCACTTCGTCCAATACGATGGAGGTAGTTCTCAGGCTGTGTTGGCAGATCATAGTTGATAACAAGGGAGACCTGCTGAACATCAATACCACGGGCTAGGAGATCGGTGGTGATGAGAACTCGCGAAGAACCAGATCTGAATTCTCGCATAATGATATCTCTAGTGTTTTGATCCATGTCACCATGTGTGGCAGATACAGTGTGATCACGGCCACGCATCTTATCAGTGAGCCAGTCAACTTTGCGCCGGGTGTTAACAAAGATGACACTTTGGGTGATGGCAAGGGTCTCGTAAAGATCACAGAGGGTTTCGAGCTTCCACTCCTCCTTGTCAACATTAACATAGAACTGCTTGATACCCTCTAGGGTCAACTCATCACGCTTCACGAGAATTCGGACAGGCTTGTTCATGAATTTCCTTGTAATTTCAAGGGCCTCTGGCGGCATAGTAGCTGAGAATACACCAACTTGGATCTTGGGGGGCAGCAACTGGAAGATGTCATATATCTGGGCAGACAAATCATGTACATTAGATATAAAACACGCACAAGGCTAAACAGACTAGAATCGAACGGAGGGCATATAAGCTGAAAAAAGCAACAAAGCCCATAACAGTTGAAGCAACCAAATCATTGCCCAAGAACAAAAAGGAAATACATACAGCACAGACCAATGTAATAAGATGGTCCTGCAAGGAAGACCATATTAGGATATAAAATAAAAAACAAATATATGAGGCAGACCTGATCCTTAAATCCTCTTGAAAGCATCTCATCAGCTTCATCTAATACAAACATTTTGATGTAATCAGGACGCAGGGACTGCCTCCTCAGCATGTCAAACACACGCCCAGGAGTGCCAACAACAACATGAACCCCACTAGAGAGGATCCGCTGATCTTCACGGACACTGGTGCCTCCAACACAAGCATGAACCTTTACACCAAGATAATCACCCAGTGCACGCATAACCTTCTCAATTTGCTGTGCAAGTTCACGTGTGGGTGCTAAAACTAGAGCCTGACATTCAACAATGTTATAATCCAGCTGTTGCAAAATTCCAGAGCAAAAGGTTGCAGTTTTTCCGGTCCCAGATTGTGCCTGTTGAATCACATCAAGGCCCTTGCAGAAAGGAACAATCCCTCTTTGTTGAATTGCAGAAGGCTTCTCAAAACCTTCAAAACGATACAATCACAAACCATTAATTCTCCATTGAGAAAACTCAAAAGAAAAGCCCCACACAGAGCATATCAGACTGTCAAGGAATAACAATGATTTATTATTATTATTATTTTAATCAGCAGAGCAAGAAAAAATACAGGCACAGGTGTAGGCATGCAAACAGTTGCATAACTTATAATTGTTTGGCAAAGAGAAAAATCAAAACATGGAATACATAAAAATGGCACAAACTAAGGAAAATGAAATTTATCCAACAGATAACAGAGCCAATATTCACGTACCATAGGCATAGATACCCCTAAGAAGATTTTCTTGCAAGCCCATTGCATCAAAACTTTCATACACCTCATCATAACTAGTGAAGAAATCCTGACCATCAGTTGCAAGTCTGTTTCACAGATAAGTGAGGACAAGTAGGATGTTACAAAGTTGAAACAGTTCTTAAAGCAAGCAATAAATGCTTGGATACCAAAAGCTGGGAGGTGGGAACATACAGCTCACTCATTTTGGAATCATACTGACGGGCATCAAATTGAGAACCTTCTGGTGCCATTCCAGCCATGACTGCAGAAACTGAAAACAAGAACAAATGCAGGTAACTAGATATGCAGGGGCAAGATATATGCACTAGACTAAACTTCATTCAGCATGACAATAGCACAGATGCCATGAAAGAAGAAAATTAAGGTCGCTCTTTAGGCAAATGTAACGAACAAGTATCCCCGTTGGTTGACAAAACCAAAAAACCAAAACCCACAAAACCAAAAAACAGAAGTTCTCACTTATCACAAGTAAAACAGCGACATAAGCTATTTCAAGTTTTCACTACCTCCACAAAAGCGACGCAAAACTTATGCTTCCAAGAAAAAACACTAACAAAGCCTAAGGGCTACCGCCAAACAGAAGTACAAATGTCGGCAGGCATCCATGAAACACAAAATAAAAAGTAAAAGATAATACTGAACAAGTCACGTCAAATAACTACTTAGTGTAAATAAGAACTTATAACATTAAATAAAAATAAGATCTTTCACAAGTTAACACAAAAGCCAAATCAAACCAAGCCAAAAAAAGGTCGTAACTGCAGATATAAGAACTCCATCACAGATAAAAATCTCCGCAACCGTAACTAACTACAAATTTCCCCAGAGTTGCCAATCATGCACTAGTAAAAAGATTAGTTGAAATCGGTTTCGATCAAGTTACCTGACAGCGTTAAAATTCGGGGGGAAAACCTGGATGCTGTGAAGAACAAAGGGTATGGCTGAATTGCAGAGACTGTTTCCAAAACTCCTCGGATCTACGCCGCGGAGTAATGGAGAAACGAGCAGGAAGGGAAATGTAAGAGAAGAAAGGCAGTGCGCTGCTTTTAGGGGTTGGGTTAATCCCAAAACGGCCCCTCAGTTTCCACTGGAATTCCCCTTTCTACCCCTTCCCTCTCGACCGTTTTGGTAATGGTGTGTAGTTGTTGAACTTGGACTCAATCGAACCCATCAAGAACTTGAGCCCATAAGGAGAATGGACTAATTAGTAAGCTATTTGTTTGGGGGCCCATTCCCATTCAGGTCTGCAAAAATGCATAATAGATTGCAGATGGACGAGCTAGCCTAGGTTGATGACTGGGGCCTGGGGGATGCTCAATCTATTCTTCATCATTGCAGAAGATGAGATGCAATGGTGCTTTCGTGGATGGGGTGCAGCCACATAAAGAAAAAAGACATCTCTCTATCTATCTGTGTGGTGATGGTGCCACGTGGGAGGAATGGTCCCAACCAAAACATTTCCCAGCCAATTGCCGAAAGCAAAAGTGGGAAGGAGATATAGATATGATATATATCTATAGATAGATAAATTAAAAAGCAGAAGAAATCAGCAATGAAGGAACATGCTGGAAAAAGGCCGAATTGCAGCTTCACCACAAACAATGCCTACATACAAATACAATACATATCTATATCTATATCTCTATATATATATTCATATCTTCTAGCTAATTCCCTGCAAATTGCCTCACACATATGCCACAAGATTCTTATCATGAATCAATCAACACAGAACAGCACATCTGCAAGTTGGGTAGCTTTTCATTCAACATATATATATATATATATACATATAATTGGAGCCACCCAGAAAGCTTTAACTCGATTCGGCCGGCTGCACTTATTAATTCTCATCATACAGAGAGAGTGACTGCAAAATTTAATGTTAGTTTCATACCACACAAAATATAAGAACAATGTATATAGTAAGGTGTCATTTTAGAACGAGGGTCTCAACCATAGGCTTAAGTTATTAGGGATAAACATCATTTATTTATTTACTTATAAACGAGAGTCGACTAATAGGTCCCCTTACATGCAAGGGAAATAGATGTCATTAAACGAAACTTGCATGTAGACGACGACAAAATAGGGGACATGGGACTCGAACTCGAACTCGAGACTTAAGACTCTTAATGCATGTTAAATGATCAGAATTAGGGACGGTGATACTCGAACTCGAGATCTAAAACTCTGATACTATATTATATGATCAAAATAGAGTCCCACCGTTTTTCATTTGTCGTCGTCCGTTTGCAAATTTTTTTTGGTGGCATTGGCATGTTGGTTGACTCATCTTAGACTTGTAGGTGAGATGGTCAATCTGAACATCTATGTATATATATATATATATGATGTGATATAAATATATATTGATGTGATTTTTTAAAATTAAATTGATATTTAATAGTTACCGTGTCCCACATATAGTGGGACATTTGGTTTTCGACATAAAAATTTATGTGAATAATATAAAGTAGAATAAATTGATAATTAAGTAATATGACGAGAAAAGATATTTTTAATTAGAGTGATGCAATGGATTTTAAATATACTATTCATCCCATTTTTTTCCTAAAAATATTAAATCAAACACCTATTTTTTATTTTTTATATTATACTAAAAATCAATTTTACATTCAAAACATCGTATCAACACCTATTTATATCATATGATGCAACTATTCACCTAAAATGGATTTGATTCTATGACCCTAGTGTCACAAGTCCAACCTCCACACCTGTGGCAGATGAACCCCCATATTTCATCTATCTTCATCTGATGTACCTTTGCTCCATAGTGTATCCATTTTAGTATATCATAATAAAAATAATCATATATTAATACTAAAATATTTTTATATGCATTGTAAATATATTATTATATATATAGAAAATATTAAAGATTAAAAAAAATCTTTCTCACATATTCCTAAATACAATAAATCTAATACAAAGAAAATAAAAATAAAAATAAAACCCAAAGATAGACGTTAGATAGCGCGAACTTGCCTCAAGGGTAAAATAATGAAATCCCAAAGTTATTATCTCAAAGGAATCCCTCCCTTAATTAGCTTGTTACAATTTTATTTAATTTTATTTTATTTTATTGAGAAGTATATATATATATATATATATATAGATACATGTCCCAACTGCAGTGCAGTCTGATTATAGTTGTGGGAATTGAACTGCACTGGGAAGGAGAATATATATATATAAAAATATATATATATATATATATTGGAATTGGAGTAAATAAATATCTAATAACTAACTATCACTCACTAAACCAACCAACTAAACTAGAATAGTACAATCCATCATATTCTTATCATATGACACGACAACAAGACACCCGGCCTGCCCATCACCTAAGTTAAGAGCTAGTGGCTACTTAATTACGTACTGTACTGTACTGCTACTACTCTATTGATAATAATAATAATGTATTATTATTACTATTAGTTGTGAATCAGCCAATGAGTGAGCGGTGTGCGGCGCAGTCCCCAATTTTTTATTTACTAATTGATAATATATATATATATTAATCCGCAGCAGCAGCTACAGTGCACATGCAATCCTCACTGTTCCATCATTTAACGTTGCGTGCCGTATATAAGAATTGAACTCAAATCATTTTGTGCGGCTGGAACCACCCTGCCATAATATATGCTATAATCAAAATTCAACTCTTAGGTGTTATATATGTTAGATTAAGTGATTATTGTCGTTACGTTACGGATATTTTCAGGAAATTAAGATGAAATAACAAAGATAAAAGAACACAAAAATTTGGTAATTCAGTTCAATCAACATCCGGAGATGCTGCCAAACTAGAAATTATACTATAAAGTATGCAGACGCTTGTTAAAAATAAAAATATATGGATATTTATAGGCTAAACTTATGCAATAATATCTAAAATCATATCCCTAAATTTTAGGATATAATCATGATTCATATCCCAACAATTTCTCACTTGAAGACTGATTTCATCTTCCACTTCAACATTTTACTTCATCCGCAATGACAACGTCAAGCATCTAAGGTCACCCACCTTAGATTGTCTTTCAGTCTCATAAATCGGCTCACTACTTCCACTGCACGTGTTTTCCATCTCATAAAGGTAAAGGTATCAAAAGTATCATCATTACACTTAAAGAAATATACTCATACCTTCCTTGTAACGTCGTCAATGACCACGGGGTAGTACTATGAGCCTCCAAGGGTCGATACAAAAGTTGGTTCCCGCAGGTCCATATGAATCAACTCCAACATTTTCTTTTTCAGGTCTCTCATATCCTTTGAGAACGCCAACTTTCGTTACTTTTCAAAGATACAGTCTTCGCATACTCCAATATCGACGGACTTAGAGACGTGGCAATCTTCCTTTTGACATGAACTTCCCTATCCCCTTCTCGCTCATGTGTCCGAGACGAGAATGCCATAAATTTGTGTCATTATTTATGGCCACGAAACTGATTCCGTCTTGCATGGTTTTCATCAGAGTTCCATCTCTTCTCCCTTGTGCCACCACAATGGATCCTTAGGTTATCTTCCACGACTTAATTTAAAAAAAAAAAATTGTCGAGTAACCTGCCTCATTCAATTGTTCAACGGAAATCAGATTTCATTTCAGACCCAAAACATGGCTCACGCCATTCAATCTCACTCCTCACCATTCGATGTTTTGATTCGAATCATTCCTTTATCTACAATTTTCAATGTCTCATCATTTGCAAGATAGATAATACCAAAATTACCTGTGGCATAGAATTTCATAATTCCCAAATCACTGCATGAGTGGAATGATGCTCCTGAGACCAAGATCCATGACTCAATTGGACTGTTGACACACCACATCGGATATCTCATCTGCTGCGTTTGCTGAACCCTGATCATTCCCCGGCGCCCCGCACTCTCGTTTTAAGTGCCCTTGCAATTCCAACATACCATCTGACTTACATATTTCTTGTCTTTCGGCTTCAACTTTGACCATTCTTGATCTTCACCCTTTGCCTTTGCCTCAAATCTAAATTCAGTCGAAATATTCTCCTAAAGGTTAGTCGAACCGCACTTATTGTCTTCATGTCGATCTTCTTTTACTCGACTTCGTCCATCTTGACTCCCACAAACAAACCTAAGGTTCACTTGATATGAGAGCACATTAGATATTCCGCTGCGTTTGTCGAAACCCTTATCCTTCTATGTCCACCTTGCACCGCCTATCAAAGGAACCCGCTGTCTGACCTACCAGTCAGGACCGACTCAACACCGCCAAGAGACTTTCGACACAAGGCACCTCCGCAGGTCACAAGGGATTCAATCTACCCTAAATTTCCCGGAAATCAAGACAAAAGAACACAAGAATTTGGTAACCCAGTTCGAACACGATGATCTACGTCTGGTGGCGGTGCAAGCCAGAAATTTTATTATAAAGTACGCACGCACATGTTAAAGTGATAATAAATGGATATTTATAGACTAAACCTATGCCAATAATATCTAAATCATATATTTAAATATATGATGTAATATTTAAATCATATCCCTAAATTATATATATATATATAACTGAAAATTTCTCTCAAAATATATAGATAGATAGAATTATTAGATGCGTTTCTCTCTTGAAAAGAATAATAATGAGTGGGATGACATAATCTTATATAGTTAATTCATATATGATGCTAATTATATGTGCTGGTGCTTTAATTAAACCAGTCGTAAGTCGTAACCTTGGCACTTTGAGAGAGAGGCCCGGCCACATGTATATATTATATAAATAGCTAGCTAGATGCATGCATGATTAAAGTAAATTCATTTTTATACCAATAATAATAATAATAATATTTGTGAATGGGATGGGATGGGATGGGATTATGGGGTGCCACTGAACATTCAGATTCACATTCACATTCCCATTCCCATTGCAAGATGTCAGATTGAGGAGGTGGTGGGGAGGGGGAACATGTGTGTCGATGGGGGATAAATCTCCCTCTCTCTCTCTCTCTATATATATATATATATGTATGTAT